ACCGTTTGCTAACTCGCGGTCAACAAAATCCTGTCGAGAACGAGGTTAGGCTTAACCAGTCGTAATCGTTACATAATCGGCAGCCTTTTCACGGTCGCATCAAGCCCCTCAACCACTTCCAGACTCGGCTGGGCCTCCATAACCATCGCATGCAGCGCCGCGGCAGCCTTCTTGACCTCCTCCCTGAACTCCTGCTCAGGCAAACGCGGCGTAGCAGCGCCCATGAGAACAGCACCTTCAAGAGCATCCTTGGCCAGCTGCTTTTCCTGGTGCTCAAGGGAAGAGTGAAGCTTGCACACTTCTTGGAACATAGCTTGGCTGGTCATGTCTTCTCTCATGATTGCAATTCGTTTAGCAGCGGTAGCCAGCAGCAAGCCTGTATTCTCGGTCTTCTGGGCCATCTCTCTGTAGCTCATATGGAGACCGCGCATGTAAAGGACCGCGTCCGAGGCCAAGAACCCTCGCACGCAATGAAATGCCAGCTGCTCCCGCTGCACCGACTCCCCAGTGCTGCGGGCGAGACGGGTGAGAGCCTCCTCCATCTCTGCCAAACTTGGAGAAGGAGCCAATTGTTTGCAAAACAAGTCCCCCAAATAAGCAACTGAAGCTGGCCGAGTGCTCCCGAGTCTGCGGCAGCCCTTGCAAGGTGCTTGCTGAACAGCCTTCACGTCCAACTTCACTGTAGGCTTTATCCTGGCTACCGCCGCTGTAGTTTATGACATTTTAGCTGGCATGGCGGACCGCCGGTGTCGCACGGTTTCGCGGCGAATGCTGGGCTCCCGGGTCCGTCGCACCCTCGGACCGGTCACCGCGGTCTACCGTCGCATTTCATCATTGCGAGAGGACTTTGGGCCTCGCTCTACTGCTTCGACGCGAAGTTCCTTGTCGGTTCAGCACAGATATGTTCCATGAGGAAACTCCAGCCAGTCGGACACCCCGAGGGCTTTGATTGATGGGTTGAGCAGAGGCTTGGAACTGGTTCCGCTTAACCTAACCACAGGTTATAACTTATGTACATGGATTGTAATTCGTATACCTACCTACGCCCGCAAGCAATTTAGCAAGAGTTTAGGGTTTTGCAAGGCGGTGCTGGCTCTCACAATGACATTGCACAGCAAGTTTAGCCATCCATTGATCCAACTCCAAGTTCAAGTCCAGGTGTGGGACCAATTGGCATACATAGGAGCGCTCGGGAAAGCACTTTATTAGCCGTTTCTCCAGAGCAGTGCTGGATAGAGCATAGAGCTGCTTCTACCATAGAAATTTTCATGCGTCTTGATATTACTAAGTACTTCTATTGAAATCTTTCGTGTGGGTTTCAAAAGCTTGGATATACGAAGCTTTGTGGAAATGATTACAGGATGACAGCACGGGGTGGCAACTCCAGTTTTAAAATAGAGGGCGTTTTTATTTTGCCTTCATCCAAAACGACGGAAAAATAAATGCATCCAATGTTTTGTTTCTTACCATCGTATAGCCCTTCGTGTATAGTTTCTAAAACACTACTCGTTTTGAAATTTGGCCCCCCCCACAAAAAGTAAAACGGTTTTAAAACATTTAAAAACGCCAAAATCTTAATACATGTATCTGCGGGTTAGGCGGACTTCAAAATAGCCCGTTTTATAAAACAAACAAAACAGCAAAACGTTTTAAAACGCCTGCATTAAGTGTATTAAAACAAGGAAAGGCGACAACCCGAGGCCCTTATGGTCTGTTTTGTCACCCTAATATACATAGAAGTGCATGGAGGCGGCATACGAGCTCTTGACAAGCCGATAGCCGCCACAAAAACAAGGAAAATGATACAAATTGGACTTTCATGCCGTTTCATGCTGTTTCATGCCGTTTCATGCTCTTTTAAAACGTTTTCAAAAGCAGTTTTAAAGTTTCAAAACAGCCAAACCCCTTGTTTTAATCCGCAGATACCATGTTTTAAAACTGAGAGTTGCCACCCCGGGGATGACAGCTAGGCCCAAAAAGTAGCAACGTATCTTGGATCTGGCAAGTTCGAGAACAGCATTTATGTGCAAGCGTGTCCGGCCTGGCCAGCGTCTGATCAAAGTGCCTCGTCATGGAGAGATCTTCTTATCATTATCAGGTGCAGGCATTAACAATATGGACATCTTCTATTCTCATAGCCGCTTCGCTGTGCCTGTTTCTTACAAGGTTGCCCACCTGTTTTCTTTTCTTACACCTCCTTCCAAACCCAATTCTTCAAAAAGACGTCGAAAAGAGCGCAATGTGTGACAACCAAGGTATTCGATTCCGTAAGCTACAACATACCCCCATCATACCATCTGATGCCAACAATCTCCACGAACGACGCAAAACATATCGTCCAACCAAATTTATTGGAACGAGCATGGCCAACTCGCTCAACAGAAACCGGCGGGAGGCCTGTGGATCCGCTGCCAAGCTTTTGATCAAGTGAGAATCGTAGACTATGAGCATGCACATGAAAGCTCTGTTGAGCAGCACCGTTATGACTTCTGGCTTGACTCTCCATCGATTACAACTAGCAGCTCCTCATCGAACACCAGTTTCCTCCTCTGGTTTTTCTGGTCAATGGCACGTGAGTCTGTATATGACGTTGTCACTGTGACGTGGGCGGCCTTGACTTCGTCAAGGCTACCCTAGCCCCTTTCAGCTTCCTGTAGCCTCGGCAACTCTGCTGAAAAATCGCACATTCGTTTCTGACCATGGCCGTAAGAATGAACACCGAACGATGTCATTGGAAGCCGTTGATATGTACGTGGTCACGTAAAACATGCCAGTGATATCTTAGACAGCTATATCAACGTACAAAGCTTGCATGCCAGGCGGTAAGCAGCGCCGGGCAACGTACGTACGCCTTAAGGACCCGGGCCGCGGTCGGCTCTAATCCATGCTGTATCTACGTTAGCGGGAGCAGATATGCTATAATTGGTATACTTAGCTAGTTGCCTGATCCGGTACCTATAAAGCATTCAAGATTTTACATATAGAATAAGCATATATGCGACATGACACATGCGGAGCCGGAGACGCCGGCCGCCGAGCTCGGCGCGTCTTTAACGCGTGTGACATGATCGATCGATCCATCTGATGTCATGACCATTGGGCTTCGTGAGCAAAAGTTAAGCCATATTATGAGCACGCGGTCAAGCTGTCCGATCGGATTGAGTCGGAGCGAACTTGAAAGCGCGCAGGCTTGCACGAAGGGGCCATGAGCGCGGCAAACTTGGATTGCTTTGATGCAAGGAAGGTCACGTACCTGTTGCATAGCCGGCCGCATCGCTGCAGCGTGGCCGGGCGCGGCTGACACGCGCTCCATATGGCCAACCAATTCCACAATTTGAAACCTTTAATTTGAAGAGTAAACAATCTTGTATGGCTTGTATGCCATGCACAAAAATTTCATCTGATAATTGGCACAGTGCGGCAGTTGATAATTGGCACAGTGCGGCAGTGTCAGGCGGCATTTTACTGCACACCCGTTCATCAAAGATCAAAATAACTAAAAGTCGCGGCAACTCATTCGGGCTACACTGATTGCAAGCCTTTATTTGCGATCAGTGACCACTGACGACCCAAGCCGAATCCCAACTCGCCACGATTGCCTATTAGGCTATGATATAGTCATGTGTGAAAACTTGAATAATGTCCAACTCCTTCAGACGCGTTGCAAGAGAAGCCCAAATATGTAAGTATGTATATAGACATCGACTTTCAGAAATACGTTACTCGAGATAGAGAGTCATTTAACTGCGCCCGCTGATTCGACCGGCTGGTCCTCTCCGCGAGAAAGGCTGCTCTCCCACTCGTCAACCTCGGACGCGTCAGCCTGCATGTGCGACGGTCATGTTTGGATTCCTGACTTTGTAAGATGCACGCAGAGACAAACAACTCCCCAGGTTCAGAAAGCGTTCACCTGCGTCTGATATTCGCATCGCTAAGGAAGAGCATTGGTATCTTAATCTCCTCAAAGGTCGTTGACTCTGTCCAGTCCGGTCGCTGCAGATCTTAGACTCAAATACGTTCAGTGTTGGCAAACTCACTACTACCAAGACGTTTCTTTCTGGCTCGATACGCTGCAGGCTTCCCGTTGACCACCACATTTGGAAGCCTTTACCAACCGTGCGACACATTTCTCCGGACAAAGAAAGGTTCCGGTGAAGACTTCAAACTGCACAAGGGAAGCGAGTAACACCCCCTTCTCACCTTGACACACTCCCGGGTGATGACGTTGCACTCGAGCGCGTCCGCATCTTCCGGTGCTTCCTCCTCGTCCCAAGCGTCTGCGTGAGCGGCGCCGTTCTCGGCGCCATTCTTCTCGGCGCCAATCTCGCCGCTGGTGCTGGCTTCCTCTGCTGCCGTGGCAGGCTCCTGATCGGCCAACGAGCGCGCCATGATGTCGCGCTCCAACTCGTACGCAAGCTGGACACGAGGATGCCCCGTCAGCAAAGCGTAAGCGCTCTAAGCGACTTTCTCGGCTTGTCAAACAGACGAGCTTTCACGGCCGCAAAGACAAGCTATAACGGCTCATAGAAACAGCAGAGATGTGCTACCAACGAGAACGGTCGCATGACAGCTCGCAAAGTGGTCAAAGGAAGCAGCAGGCAAAAAACAGCGAAGTCAACTGCTGGGCCCTCCCCGCTTATCGAACGATTCTCTCCTTTCAGTATCAGCAGGGTCCACCAAGCAAAGCTGCGTCAATGTCAAATTGAACAATTTCGAATGGAAGAAGCAACCTAAAATTTGCTCGCTACCCCCTTTTCAACAAGGCAGGACGTCCCCGCAGCTTGCTTACAACATACAAGGGCACACATGAATTCGACTCGGAGAAGCATTGGCGTTCGGTAGTGTGGAAAAAAGTATCCAGCGTCCGGTGCGGGCCTACCGTGTCAACTTCGAGATACCGCCGGAAAGTGTCGGCAATGAGCCGGATCTGCGGCGACAATGGAGCATGCCAGTTAGTCTGGCAACGCCTCACACAGATGGCAAGCAACATCTTACGCTTCTTCCTCGAGAGTTCCCGTTCTCGCTTTGAACTCTGCTTCACAAAGAGCGAGCAGAATCGTGGCTGTCACGACAGCCATTCAGGAACGTCGTCCGAACTTCGGTTCGCGCCGTCCCATTAGCTGCATTGAATTTGCTCAGGGCGGACTGCAGGCGACCTGCGAAACTTCCAGTACACAACTTGCTGGACGGCCTTTGGAAAATGAGAAGGCTTCGGCAGAGGGCCAACTAATGGTCCAAGGTCTATACGCCCCAGCTTCTTGTCAATGAAAGTGGGAGGGGAAAGAAGCAAGCGGCGCGTATGCCGTGAGTTTGGGTGATACTTTCAAAGTGCACATCGTCGACACGTTCCGCACAGCGACCTGTTGCCCAAGAAGTGACTCCCTTCACAGGTACTTAGAGAAGCCACGGAATACAGAGTCGCAGCGACATACAATCACGACATCTTAAGTACAGCGCAGCGAGCAATGCAGGGCGGCCTCCTCCTTTGAAGGCAAGGTCCGATGCTCCGTCCTGTCCTTCTTCATCCACCAAAGTAAGACGGCCGGGCACTAACTGCGTCCCAGAGTACTCGATCGAGCGAAGAGCCCACCTGCGCGTTGGTCCAGTCGGACTTCATGTTGCCGTGCGCGCCAACCACACACCGGTCGTCGTAGATCTGCCGCGACATGCCCGTCAGCTGCTCCTCGCGCCCCTCTGCGCACCACAAACAAAATACCGTTTTGAGTCATCGTATGCATTCCCGAGCGCTTCTGCAATTTAACGCAGAAAGAGCAGAGGGCACGATTAACGACCTCGGGCTTCTTAATGCTCTTATGCGTGGGAAGGAAGACAACCTCTAAACCCTTGCCCTCGCAAAGGAATCCAAGCGGTGTAGGTTCATGACGATCCGCTCGCACCTGTGGCTGTGGAATCGCAGCCTATCAATGTTTGCACACAAACTGCTAAGCAAGTTTGAGAAGCTTGGTGATTGGAAACGGTCTTCGCCGAGAGCGGACCTTGGAATCGAAACTTCTGCAGTCAGACGAAAGTGGTCGATCACTACTCCCGTCCGGTCGAACTGGCGGTCAGGATTTTTAGCTGAGAGTCAGGTAACGACCAGGGCTTCCGACAAAATCGGCTTCCGTTTTTCGCTCGAGCTGCCTAAGGTTCCACGAAATTGGTACTCATAAAGCCGCTCGTATGCATCCCACTTACCCAGCAGGCGGTGGCGCACCACCTGCCAGCAGTCGATGTAGGGGTGCGCAACAGGCCGACAGTTCTTCACCACCATTGTTGCCTCCTCCAGAGACATGCCCTGCAGCCACAGCGGGATGGTTGGACATTGTGCACGTCTCGTGTCGAAGCCTGCCCAAGACCCCGCTCAAAAGCACTGTTCACTTGCTCAAAGAGACTCGGGTTCATGATGACCGAAGGGATAAGAGAGACAGGACGTGCAAGGATGCTCCACCCAAGGAAGGCTTGGGTGTAGCTGACTAAAGGGACACAAAATCACAGGAAGAGGGTCGAAGAGAGCAGTCAAGGAAGGGGGCGAAAAGGTCCGCAAGCGCTGTTTCGACTGACTCTGCTCCGTGGCTACGCTTGCGACCGCTCGTGAGGGATCGCTTTCTTCACACGCATGCAACATCTTCAACAAACTTACGGTCAACAACTCCTGGATTCTGATCTTTCCGTGTGGATTTAAACGAAAGTGGACGCACCTGAACGAAAGTAAGGTAGCCCACGACAGTAAGCGAGGCCCGGTTGATGCCCGCGGTGCAGTGCACGTACACCTTCTTGCCGCGTTCCACCAGCAAGTTCAATGCACGCACCGCCTCCGGAAGCATCAACGCCTAGCAAATGTGATGCGAAGACACTCAGCAGCGAAGAAAGGAGCCGAGCTGGAATGAACCAGTTCGCTGCCAAGGTGCCGAGAGCAACAGCTGGGGCCACAAAATATAGAAGTGGCAGGGTGTCTGAGACTGGCGACCGTTCTTCGTTGGGAAAAGGCTGCCATCTTCCCGCTAGCTTTGGGCGCGACGTTTCTCTCTGATGCTGCCCGCTTTCGTCCAATCCGGTGAATCATATACACCTCGACCTGAAGGACTTTCAGTGGCTGCCAATACTCCCACTTCTACAATTGAAACATTGAGCCAGCCGGCTCAAGTTCTGCGCTCCTGCCAACCTATCGTCCCAAGTCCTCCACCGGACCAAACATGATCTGGGATGCGTGCTTTGACCCTCCCAATATCAGGATTGGCCCACCTGATCGTTGTGGTCGAAGTCTCTGACCGGGACGCGTCGCAGCAGCACCCCGCGCTCGATGGCCCGGCTGCGGATCGCGTCAATTGGAATCTGCACAGATGGAAGACAACGCTCGAATGAACGCAGAGAAGGGCGGGCTGAGCATGCAGAAACCAGAAAGCATCAGCCCGAATATAGCGAAGCACAGACGTAGACACGATGAAGTCCACACCTGGTATAGTTATGCTTCCAACTCGGTTAAACTCCAGGAAACAGAGAAACAGCGGTGTGAGAAGTCCCTGCCAGAACAAGCCGAACGAGCGGCAGAAGAAACAGTGCATGTTCGATCTTCTCCTTCCTGTCAGAACATGTTCCGATCTGCATTGGTAAGGCTGTTGACTGCCATCACTTTGCATCATGTTCGTACAATAATAACAGGCAAGATTATGCTAAGACGTGAACAGGAAGCAACCGTATTTGACACACCTCCAAAGCGTCGAAGCAGAGGTCTGACTGCAGGTTAATGATAGCGTTGAAGCCGCCTTCATCAACGATGCGGTCCTGCAAAACACAGCAATTGCATGAGTGGTGGGGACTAATGACTGTTTAAGGGCTGATGTTGCTTGCTCAGTATTCTGTGGAAGATACTGCAACTGCATTTTGGTCTATCTCACCAAAGCATTTGCACCACCAACGAATGAGCACAAGCAAGGCTTACAGTTGCACGAGCTTTTGGATAGAGCCCTGGATTTCGGACAGGGTGCAACTGACGCGAAGCGTTCAACCATTTTGTCTCGGGTCTTGGGTAAGGAAGCAAGCAGTGTCCCTGAGAATCGACATGAAACCAGCATGAAAAGGAAAAAGTGCTCACGACATCGGAAGCAGAGCGGGGGCACGAGCCGATGGCAATGTCGGGTGTGATGAAGTTCCAGTTGAGAGTCCACTTCCACTCGCCAAATGCAGGAGTCTCGGTGCCCGCTTCCTTGGATTCCTCCTGCACAATTTGCGAGCCCGTCAGCTCGTGGGCTATTTCACTGCAACTTTCAAGAATCGATGAGAATTGGCAGCTGTCGGAGGATTGAGGGATGACCAAAGACGTCATCTTACCAAGCATTCACATCCCACGCAGTGGCGCCAGCACACCATGAGATCTAGTGCAAAGCAAGCAACTTCGGAGCCGCGGAATCTGCCGGATTGCAAATGCACATGAAATTTGTCCAGGCTTTTAGAGAGGATGATCGTTAAGTCAACTTAAAAATCAGTGAGAAGTGGCGCTGATGATACTCACAGCATTGTTAAATATTGATGATTCAGTTCAAAGAGAGGCACTCTTCAAAAGTCTCCTTCGCTCATCCAACTGCATTTTGCAGGCAGCAACAACCAGAGTGCAATCGCATCTTCAAAAACCTTCTTGAACATTATAATTCCTCTGAGTAAGATAGCGTTTCATCGGAAGCCAATACTTGAGCGTAAAAGAAGCGGCAAAAACGGTGAACTTTTGAGATGCGCAGGTGGGTGCCCAGAATTCCAGTGGTATGACAGCGCAAAGCTTCACAGCAGCTGAAAACATACCATACGCTTTTCCCATCCCGCCTTTTCTGCTTCCGTTACCCCCTCAGTCTCCTCAGTAGCCTTTACTCTTCCTCCACGCAACGACCTTCTCGCAGTTCCTGAGCTTACAAGGTCTGTGGTTTGTACGGAGTCATTATTAAAATTATTGCTGCCGACAAGTCCAGAGAGTCTTGCGGCCGCAGGATGCCTCATGCCGCAGCGCATCGACACTCTGCTTTGCACGGAGGAACAACCTGCTTCGGCATTGGCCCGAATTGCCCCTGCTTGGGCGAAGTTCGAGAGAGAGCTGAGTTTCCTACTCAGAAAGGCGGAGGACGACGCCATTCTGCCAGCTGCCGACGTGATTGTCAAATCCAAAAATTGCAAAATCCGAATTTGCAGTGCAGATTGGTAAAATCGTAATGCTCATTTGGCTTCCTTTCTGAACTGAGTCACATGGCCGGGGTGAAGGGAGATTCAGAATCTTGAGAATCTTGGAAACACATCCGGCAGGTACCTATGACGTAGGCCGGTCCCTGCCTACCGATGGGACCGCAAAATCTCCCAGGATTTTACTTGCCGCTCGTCTTGACACTTGTCGCCTCGCCGCCCGCACGCTAGCCATGTGCTGCTCCTAGGCTCAGACCAGAAAGTCGCCAGAAACTGGGTTGAAAATTGAAATGCAAACAAGAAGCAGCCAATATTTCATGGCTTCCTCTTCTGTCTGACAAGACCCTGGCTCTTTCGTTGACTTCAAGGCAAAAGCAAGGTGCATTGCTGCTGCCCCTTCTCCTGGTAATGTTTACAACAAAGGTCGCTGTGCCTTTTCCTGCGGCAAAGTGCGAATACAACCACGTGAGATTTTGGCAGCGCGTTTGCAAGCAGGGTGCGAGCTTTGAGGAGTGATGGAGTGAGTGTCTGGTGTTAAATATTGAGATCCAGGCCAGGAAAGCTTTTAGTACTAGGAATGCAAAAGGCACTTGAGTTTTACAGCCGAAACAGGGGAACAAACGCAGCGACGCTACAAAGCACTGGTCTGAAAGAGGGCAGAGCTGTGATGTAGCTTGCTTGCTGAGATGTCTCAAACAAACAGCTTCACGAAAGCTACATAACGCTGACAAGGTAGACAGGAAGAGGCCAGAAGTTGGACAAGATGACTCTCGACGGATGTGTCAGTGTCATTGCTTCATCGGCCTCGCATTCTCATGAGTGCGAAGGGGGATTGTGCCCTTTCTACGGTCTTGAGATGCCGGGGCCTGACTCAGTGTATGATCCAAAGGTAAGTGTGAACTGTGCAAATGGAAGTGCTAAACCCAGCTAAAATGAAGAGTCTCTTGGGCAGCAACGACGGAAATCCAGATGCTTTCTCCAAGGCATGTGATAGTGCTTTGACTGCCCAACTAAGAGTGGGACGCATACTTGACACTGAAAAAGCATTGGGAACTGTGCGGATTTCAACAAGCAGGTTCGGAGAGAGGTATTGTGCTCCAGGATCGATTTCAAGGTGAAGGAACCTTTCAGTGGCTACTTAGGGTTCCAGTACGTGATTTGTGACCCCCTCGAGTTACCCGCTGTGCTGCTTCACTGTTGCAACTTCTTCGGCACACCTTCTGGCCTCAAATGGGGCAAGACTTAAGGGAGGTTCACCTGACACTAAGGTTGTTTTTGCGAAGTTCTTGCTACACTTGAAATACTGGGGTGAGATGATAGAAAGGGGTCACCTGAACCGTCAGATGGACTATAAAATGCTTCTGTAAGATCATATTGTTAGTGAACTCACACCAAGAGCTGATCAGAGTTTCTTGCCAGTTTCTGCCATGTGCTCTTGGAACACTGTCCGTTTACTCCAAAACAACCTGGGCTCTTGTCGATTTCTGATTCAGACCTCTGTCACTTAACATTGCAGTGCTTTTCATTCACTTTTCCAGTGACGTACTGCTCAATGATGACGCTCCTGTAATTTATGGCCTCCACTCTAATGGTGTGCACCCAGTCTCTAATACATTTACTTTTCCAGTGACTTACTGCTCAATGATGACACTCCTGTAATCCATGGCCTCCACTCTAGTGGTGTGCACCCAGTCTCTAATAGACTGACTGCAAGCGCATTGGCAAAAGTCTGTTGGCAGCTTGGCCCTCCGTCTGAAGTGGGATGTTAAACTTGCACAATATCAAAACCCGAGTCCAAAAGGAGGTTGCGCTTGAGCTCTGAACCTGCGTGTTCCCTTCTTCTGCAGGGAGCTCCAAAGCTGCGCAATGAGGACTTCCGAATCAATGTTCTCCACAGTTACAACATTCTCGACACGGTGAGAAAACCCTGCATGATGACCAATGAGATGTTTGGCTACTTGAACGGGCAACAGTTCGTTTGTCTTTGTTTTTACTAGATCAACTTCATAGGGCTTTGCTTTACAAGTACAACACAAAAGAGATTATGGCATGTCTGCCTTTGTTCCTTGCATGCATCTGTGCCCGCCCCCATCTGGGGAGCTAGCTTCATACAGCTGTATGAAGGTTTTCAAAGTCATCAGCTACTGTAGCCTTTCTAGATTGGGCTTTCTTGCGTTGTCAATCATTGCCCAACTAGCAGGTGCTTCTCTTACTTTCGACTTTTGCGCAAATAATGGAATCTTTAATGGAGATTAATCTGCTTGAGCCCCTCCTACCCACACCTTCGTAAAAGAGTCAGTCCAACTCTGAAGTCCAACTTTGTGCAGGAACCTGAAGCACGCTTTGATCGACTCACGGCTCTAGCGGCGCGCATCTTCAAAGTAAGCAGCAAATTTGCAACCATTTTTCCGGCTTTACAGGGTGAACAGCAAGACTAGACATGTGTGTCCCTTGGTTGTTATTCAAGAAGTTGTTGCTTGTGTCGGAGGCAATCTTAGTTAGGATCATTGCATTGGCTGGGTCTGTAAGATGGTTTAGGTGGTCAAAGTTGCGGGGCAGTTCAATTTTGACTTGCCTTTCGAAGTGCAGACCGAAGCTACTCAGTTTGCTGGTGTATATTGAAGGCGAAACTTCTGTTGCAGGCAAAAGCTTCGTTGGTCACCCTTGTTGACTCGGAGCGCGTATTTTTCAAGTCAAACACGGGATCCTTTGAAGGCTGCGGAGAGGTTCCTCGCAGTACCTCGTTCTGCCCCTTCGTCACCCTCCCGACGTGAGATTTCTATGCACTTCATGCTTTCAGACGAGGTTCAAATGGCCATGAACTGGTCCAAAACATTAGCACAAGCTTTGCGCTGGAATCGTTTCTCCCATGCTTCGATGCGAATCATCCAGTTGCATTGGCCTGTCTCTGACGCTTCGGAGATTGAGCACATGGGAGTCATACGTGTGCTTGGAGAAGTCTAGACGGACCCGCTGATTGCTCGTACGGTTGTTGCCCCAACAGAAGATGTGCTGTTTCGCTTATCTCGCTTTCTTGTTTTCCTCAGATCCAAGCCCTGCTTAGTGGTGCTGGACGCATCCAAAGACGGTCGCTTCCACAAGAACCCCTTGGTGCGTTCTCATTCGAAAAGCCTCTCATGAAGCAAGTAGGAGGGACAATATATCTTGCAGGCACGGTTCCACCGTAATTTTCTGGCCCTTATGGTTCTTCAGCAGATTGTATGGCTTTGAGCTCGATAGACTCTTTCTGTACATGAAGAGGGTCGGCATACTTGTGGGTGTCCTGCATTCTATTTGGGTCTGTTGTTCTATAATATGGTCCATGATTCCCTGGCTCTCATCGTCTATTCGAGAACTTCTCGGGGGTTAGACGAACGGGTCTATCTTGGCTGCGCCGTATCTCCGAGCAGAGTGTCTAATCCGCATTCGGATCGTTCAAGCATTTCGGCGATACTTCCTCATTGAAAACACCATACGAGAAGTGGTCAAGTCCCAGTACTTCGTAGTTTGAGCACGCATGCTGAAAAGAACCTGGATTTTACAGGTTTGCGGAGAGCCGCACATGCGCTTCTATGCAGGCGTGCCCCTCGAGACGGAAGGAGGCTTCGTCTTGGGCTCCTTGTAAGCTCTTGTGTCACTCAATCCTCGTGATCCTGCCATGGACCAGCTGCTTATTCGGATTGTTGTTAGGCTGTACTTTCGCTGTGACGGCCTGTTGCAAGAACCTAGTGTCGTCTGGTCCTGTGAACTCAGGAAACAGGTCTTGGAAACTGTCTGTCGTGTTCGGTCACGGCGAGTTTAATCGTCAGACCTAATGGCGATTCAACAGCAATGGCACTCAATGGCACTGAATGGCACTCAAACACGTCGTCCTTCGTGCACCTCTGTGAGTGGTTTAACAGCTAAGTGGAATCTGGACGTGTTTGCCTTGGTCCTTTGGAAATTGAACAGTACCTAAAGCTCTGTCCGACAAGTCTTCTCATCTTCTTTCAGCTGCATCGTCGACTTCGAACCTCGAGAGAGCTTCTCCGAGGAAGAACAAGAGATGCTGGTTGGGCTGGCGAAACTAGCTATCCAGGTACGCTTCTCCCCTTTTCGAAACGACCAATGTGTTTCTGCAAAAAGCTTGTTTTGCTCTTCTGAGCCACCACTACTTGACGCTTTCTCTTCTGAAAAGGATGATGACGGAAGCGGGCTCTTGATCGTGGGAACTCTCTCCCGACGCTTTCCGTCAATTTCGAGCAGCAATATTTCGAGGCTCATATTGCTTAAGCTTTAGTACAATAAACCTTGTATACTCCTCTCTCTGCAGGAGATTGAGAAGCACAACCGTGCCGCAGAGCTCCAACGGCTGCAACAGAAGAAGTTTGAGGAGGACAAGCGGGGGCTGCTGCAGGCAATAGGTGCGAAAACATGAGACATATGCGTTGACAAAATGTTCAAGCGTCGTCACAGAACTTCCGTTTCCAACCAAAGTGGTCCAATTCGTTGCAAAAGCAGCACACTCATCCGGCGTGCAGGAAGCAACACTTTTCGACGTTGCAGAGTGGCAGAACTTCAAGTCGTTTTTTTCACTCAGCGGACACCGGAAACTAAAATGGAAGCTCGTCTCTTTCTGGTTGCAGACGCTTTCAGCGAGGGCCTGGTGTTGGTCGACGTGTCCCAGAAGGGGCAGCCCATCGTGTTTGTGAACGAGGGGTGGGAGAAGATCACGGGGTACTCGGCAAACGAGTCGCGCGGGCAACACTGCGGCAGTCTGCTGCAGGTGAGCCTCGTCTCCCTGAAGAACGTTGCCCTGTGCTGCTTACGACGTGTGAGCAGGGATCCAAGTTTTGTTGGAGGACATCAAACACTCTTTTTATGCATTCTGCTGTACATCTGCCCGTTGCAGCCCCCGCAATGCCTCAAAAAGGTTGTCGTTCACGGAACTGAGTCCTTCTCTGGAGGTCTCGAGGCTCTCAACAAGGGTCGTGGAATTGAAAACCGTATTGGGGCGCACATGCACTTGGTGGGAGAACGCAGTGAAAAAAGTGACAAAAAAACTTTGTAGAGCTGTGGTCAAATATCGCAGGCTGCCCAAAAGTCTGAAGACTGGATCTAAGGACCGTCGGTTTTTGACTACAGGGGCCTCTGACCTCTTTGGAAACCACGCACACGATCACGCAAGCGTGCAAAGAAGGGCGACCAGCTTCGGTGGAGATCCTGAATTACCGGAAGGACGGGACACCCTTCTGGAACTGGCTCAGGATACGGCCCGTGGAGGGGAGCAACTTTGGGCTGAGCGAAGATACCCGGAACGGGCAGGGGAGGTGAGCTGGCCATCGGAAGAACTGTCAGCCGCTTGCATCGTTTTCCTAGCTGCGTTTCCCAAGGAATCGCACCTGCAGCGAGGTCCTCGTCGATGAAAGGAAGAACGCTTTGCAGCTCTGGAAGGTTGTGCTGGAGCGGAGGAGAAGGATGAAAGAGGAATCGTGGAGATTTTTGGACAACATATCTGTCAGGCAGTTGGTCTCTCATAATCCGTAAGGTTTGAAGAGGGCTCGAGCACAGCTTTCGGCCCTGAAGAGCAGGTCGCTTTGCGACGTGACTCCCTTTCGTGCTTCTTTGCTGGGTATGACGCTTTGTTTTGCAAGAAGTCTTCCAGTCTTCGAGTGATTCTCTGCAACAATCTGGTCGCGGAGAAGTGAAGGCACTCAGGAAGCTTCCGAGGATCGAGAGGCAGAGCTTCCTTTCTGGTCAATTACGATGGGTACCAAAGCAGTACGGAAGAAGTGGAGTTGGCAAGGCCTTTGAAGAAGAGAAGGCAATCTTGACTCATCGACGGGCTGGAAAGCTGGTTTGTCCTAGCGTTCAAGTGTTTTTGTATCGGTTGAACTCAAAGTTGAGATTTGGAGCAATGAATTTTGCACCTCCGCTTACAGGTACTACTTTGGCATCCTGTCCGACTGCACCCGAAGGAAGGAGAAGGAACTAGAGTTGGAAGCGATCCGGTTGCGCGAGCTGGAAGCCGAAGCCTCCGTGCGGGCCAAGCGCTCCTTTGTCGCAAACATCAGTCACGAGCTTCGGACGTAAGTGTAGATATCTATGTCGGACGAAACTTGACACGTGTCGGTTAGTGAGAGGGCGAAGTCGAAAGGCGCTTCCTTTGAGCGACTGTAAAGGGGACCAGTCGGAGTATGAGCTTTTGCGAGTGTAACAGAACGGATCTCCGAAAGCAGATAGTGCGTTCTTTGCACGTCCCATTGCTTCTGAATGTCTGGGAGCTGCATTCCGAGTCCGGAGCACGAGATGGAAGGCAGCATCAGGTGTTTTGTGACAGAGGCTGTCAGGAACTCACTGGGACAGGTTTGTGAATCTTGCAGAGAAGGAACATGTCATTTGATAAAATGAACTATCAAAATTTGGAGTCTGCGGTCAAACTCAGAAGGCCAGCGTCGCTGACGTACGTTATGTGACAAGCCGTTCAAGATATCACTTCATCTCTAACGTTCAGGAGCGACTAGTGCTATAGCGGTTCGTCACTCCTACAAAGATATCGTCCACACCCCGCTCGTCTGTGGCAGCTACTTTCCTTGCGCTTGCCGCCGTCAGTGAACGGCAATAGCAATTGGTCCTTCTACACCAAACTTTTCTATCTCCAGTCGGACGGGTGAATGAGATCACCAAAGAAGTAAGACTCATTGACAATACCCCTCCTTTGCGCAGTCCGATGAACGCGATCCTGGCCTGTAGTCAGCTGCTGACGGACATGCCCTCGCTCACTGACGACCAACGGGAGCTCTCCAGAATGATCCAGGGGTCGGGGCAACAGCTGCTACGGCTGATCAACGACATCCTAGATTTCAGCAAGGTGCGTTTTTGTCGTATTGTCACCCATCTTCCGAGTCGACGTCTGTCATGCTCTCATGAGTGATTGTGGCTTCGGCCAGCAAATACTAACTGACATGAAAGGGCATGCTTGACAGAACAAAGAGACACTACATCGGAGCAACTCTTATGTTGTTTGGTCAACATGAATCAGTTGGATTGAAGGGCCTGAGCTTTTCTTGTTCTTTTCAGTGCATGCTTGAACGATGGCCAATTGCACGGATTCAGGTTGTGGGTCCTGCCTAGCCTGCGCAGCCTTAAACCCTGCAGCAAGCTTAGACTCTGCATACTGCACTTGCTTCTGCTCGCGTCCTGACCCTTCGTTATTCGTTTCTCAACCAGATGGATGCTGGGAAGATGGAGCTCAGATGCGCTGAGTTCAATCTGTGGGGCTGTCTCGACTACTGCGTCGAGATGCTGGCGATGCGCTGCGAGAGCAAGGGCCTCGACCTCTCATACAACATGGATGAGAGCGTGCCAGAGTGAGCACTCCAGCCTCCGATGGGCTCTTCTTTTCCACTCCCTCGGACTTGCACTCATAGTTGGTACTGGCCTGCCGTTTGTTCGTGTTTCTGACTGGAGGCGTGTACGAGCTTCTTTTGCAGAGGTCGTCGCTTTCCGCTCTCATCTTTTGCACCGCAAACTCAGCGCGTTGGCTGGCAGAGTTTCTCGCAGTATCGGATATCAAGACGCACGTGAGCGCTATTTTTCTGCAGAACTAATTCGCTTCTCATTTCGGCGGAATCTTTCGCAAGCTGAACCTATGCTGCCAAGGCTGCTCTGCTCATCGAGAGTCTTATTTTCCTTCTGTCATTGTTAACTGACCGAGCCTTTCTGACGTGCTTTCACCGACCTTTGCAACATCTTGGTAAGTCCGAAGCCCAAAGTCCTCTTGCTTTCAGGACATGCTTCGAGAAATCTGCATCAGACTGCAGCGAGGCTGTGTAGTGCACAAAAGTTCAATATCGCATCCCTTTCCGTTCTACAGCTGGATTTGGGCAGACGACGTTCGGCTGAGCCAGATCCTGACCAACCTGCTGAGCAACGCCGCAAAGTTCACGGAGGAGGGCGGAGAGATCGAGGTTTCAGTCAGCGCCGTCAGGCGCTCTCCGAGACGCACTTCCTCGGACGGAGCGGGCGCCCCCAGTTCCGCCGGACGGAATTCCGCCCCGGAAAACAGCGCCCATCTGCCCGAGTACGAGGTCACCTTCGCGGTTCGCGACACGGGGATCGGCATCCCGGCAGCGTTCCAGGAGGTGCTCTTCGACGCGTTCACGCAGTGCGACAACTCACGGACGAAGAAGTACGAAGGTGGGTTGACTCTAGCCGTTTGCTCTTCGTGTGTCATCCCGCTTTTGGCGCAGATTCAGACAAAAATTAGCACAACTGGGGCCCGTCTCTGAGTGTGTGTTCTACTGCTGTATGGACGTTCTGTCATACTCACTGGAAACCGCATGGTTGCAAAGGCCTGCAGAGGCCCACAAAGTGCTTATACATCAAGTCATCAAGGTGTTCGGCTGAGAGCTTGTGTTGATTTGGAAAGTTGTTGTTTAGGTGGTTAGCATCCTGTGTGTTTGACCTCTTCTTTTTGCTTTTCATCAGGTACCGGGCTGGGTCTTGCGATCAGCAGAGATTTGGCAGAACGGATGGGGGGAAGAATGTGGGTAGAGAGCGAAGAAGGCAAGGGGAGCACCTTCTATGTGTCGATCTTCGCGCGTGGCTCCATGCGAGAGTCCTCGGGTGTCGCCCTTTCCCCGGAGCAAGCAGTGTGTAGAGCGGCGACACCTGTCACTGGAAAGCGGGCTCTGCTTGTGGGCGGAAGAAACACGTTCCAGAGAATGGTCGGATCTATGTTGAGAGTCTGGGGGCTGGAAGTGTCTGTTGCTGCGTCTGTTGAAGAGTTGCACGGTTTGTTGGGTCCGGCGGAGAAGGGCAGGTTGCAGGCGCCCAGTAACGGACGAAAGTTCGTGCGGGTAGACGTGGGCGGTTCTCAGGGCAAGCCGTTCGACGTTGTGATCGTCGATTGCTTCGATACGGTTAAGCGTACCAAACACGGGCGAAAGGGCGCCGTCGATGGGGGCGCGAACGGGCGGACGGCACCCGCCGATCTGGTGGCCTTGGGGTGCCAGCTGGCAGAACGAGTGCCCACGTTCCTGCTGACGTCAAAGGATACGAAGAGCCTCATAAGCCAATGGGCGGACATGGTAAGAGACCTCGCAGTGTTTTTGATCTGCCCATAGATCAAGCATCTCAACCGTTTCCTTCACCTGATCGACGGTTCAATTCTGACTCGCCCAATGCCCTGAAAGGCCCCTTGCGGTTTCCGGTCCAACAATGCTGCCCTTTGAAGCAACCAGGCCGATTTTCGGTTGATCAGCCCGACTATGTTGCATCATTCAGCTTGACCGTTGGTCCTTTCCGAGCGCTGTATCAAAGTCGCCACCGTCCGAATTCTGCTTTGCGTGCCGGCTGTACTTTTCGGCGTCCCTCATATGAAAATCTTACTTACTGGACTTGTCCTTACAACATGCAAACAGGCTTGACGTTGCTTGTGTGCTCCGGATGAAAAGCTAGTAATCGGTCATCTGCAGCAAACTTATACTGGTCAAAGAAACGGTTCGTGGCCTTTTCATCAGCCGCTGAGTGTCAAATTAATAGCAGTACCGCTCTTTTGATCACAACGCCCCTTTGGCCAGCTCCGTTGCAGGACTGTTTCAACAAACTGTCTGGCTCTTGCTTGCATCGCCTTAGCAAACGCTGTGTCTGTTTATCTGCAGGAGAACGCCGTCTGCTTATCCCGGTCAATCCGGATCAACCTCCTGTACGCTACGCTTCTCCAGAGGCTCGCACACCAAGACCCGCTCTCTCCCTTAACCACCCCTCGTTCCCTGCTAGACTCGATAGCCTCAGATTACGCAGAAGGGGGGGACGCAACCAGCCTGGAAATCCTAGTGGTTGAGGACAACAAAGTGAACCAGCGGGTGCTGAACAAGGTCCTCAAGTCGCTTGACTACGACAAAATCCGGACGGCTGGGAATGGGCGTGAAGTCTTGGAGTTGTTGCGGCAGCAGCCTGCTGACGTGGTGCTGATGGACGTCCAGATGCCAGGTCAGATTCCGTAGTTGACTCTCCATTGCCCTTTATCAAGCCTTGCTCACTTCAGGAGGCTAAGTCCTAAAAGCCGGATTCGAGCTGATACACTTCAAAGGTCAAACTCTGTTGCAAACGGTTGAGGAGGCTGTCTTGCACCGGTGGTTCGACTGGTGAATCTTACAGATGATTCATTGGATGCCATCGTTTCACTTGTCGTAATGAGTGGCCCCTCCTTTCCTGCAGAGATGGACGGGCTAACGGCAACCACGCGAATCAAGGTGTGTTGATCTGTCATCGCATGGTCTGCGTTGAGTTCGGTTGTCTGATCAGTACGCGTGCGAAGGACCTGTTTTTAGAGGAGCGACCGCAGGCGCCTCTTTTGGAGTGTGCCGCACTGCCAGGAATGCCGCCCTCGGCCAACTTCGACGGGTTACAAACCTCCGACCCTCTTGTCCCTTGTTGTTCTCTCCTGTTGGAATGGTTAGGCCTTCCTGGCGATCATTCCACTCCCTGCTCGTTATCCCGTTTGTGTGACGCTGCTTAATATGAACTTTCACCGAGCCAATTGCAGGCCGACATTTCCGACGAGGACCAGCCCATGGTGATTGCCCTGACGGCCGACGTGGGGAACGACATAGAGAAGGAGTGTCGAGAAGCCGGGATGATCTCGTACCTGTCAAAGCCGGTCCAAAAGTCGAAATTGGAAAAGTTGCTTGCGAAGTGCGGGTATTACAAGCAGCACCGGTCAGAGCGGAAGATGTTGAAGTGGATAGACGCAAGTTAGAGTCGCGCCTTGCGCCTCCACTGTGTTTGTACCGTCGTTCTCCCCACGCTATGTAAAGGTAGCTGCGGCCTGGTTATGAGAATGTTCTGGTCGGCGGCCACTGATTGACAAATGTAACTAAACTTATCGATCGTGAAAGCTATAGCAAACGCGCTTTGATTGCAAAAAGTAAGATAGTGAACAAGGTATGACTCATTATAGTGAAACACCGGCCGAGGTAATCGTAGGTAAGGAATCCGGTGATCTGTCTTAGTGGTTAGTATCAGGTCGCATGTCTAGCTGGACCTCAAACTTCCAACAATCACGGTCTGTTCCGGATGTTTGCAAGTAAAGTAGTCGCATTGGCAGTCGACCACCGTGTAAAGTTTCTGTCCGTCCAACCACCACGGATGGCGGGCACAAGGTGCGGCGCATCATTCATGCATGGGGTATAGCTTGACAAAAGTCAGTCACGTGGAATTCGGCGAAGCGTGAGTACTGTGTGCTTAAGTTGGTAATTTCACGTGACGGTCTTTGAAGTTTCGGCCGGAGAGCTAGAATTACGCTGTGTTAAAGTTTGACATCATAGCTACCTAGAGCTAGAACAAAGATAAGGCCGCCCGCGCCTGCCCGCTTGAAAATCATTGCTTAACAATTGCATGCCTACGTTAATGGCTTGGTCATGCACTGGACCATGCGGTGCATACCAAATGTGGGCCGCTGGCATGTCGATCGCCTGTATAATATAGCATGCTATGCATAGCTGCGCGCGGGGCCGCGCAGCGACCGCACATCGTTGCCATGTGCCAGCGCAAGCTCGCATGCAGGCTGGCAAAGTCTGGCACGGATCACTTTTCAATTGGATGATCGCAATTCGATCCAAGTACCAAGCGCCTCATTCACTAGACGTACAGCTTTTACTGTTAGTATATACAGCTTCAAGAGATGGTCAAACATGCGTTAAGATTCAAACCTGACGTGCATGACTGAACGGTATGAACGGATTGCCACGTGCATATAAGACCTGCATGCAATAAATGCCGCCTGTGTTGTTCCAATTAGTCGTCATCGGATAGGCTCTCTTTAAGTAGAAGCACTATAATGCACTATGCACTGATGCATGTATGCCCGGACATGTCTAATGTTCCGGCGTTTGACTGGCCGATAAACGTAAGATGACGGCACGTCGATCACGTATGCAGTCCGACAATTGTCTGTTGCCATTTTGGCAAGCCTTGGACCAGAGGACTCTCGAGGATTAAAAGATGGCGCGCTGTATCTGAAGGGCCAAGCCTCAGTGGTTCAAAGGCCTGCCTCAACACGCACACCCCAGGTCGTATGGTTGAGGGACGAAGTGAAATGAGGCTCTTGGAAGGAGGAGGTTATAGTGTGAACAGCAACGACGGTGCCGAGCCCAGTGGCGGTTTCTTCCCAGCTTTACGTATAGTTATTGATCCCGCTGACCTCCAGAGAGGAAAGAGGAGACGTTTCCAGGCAGATTCAACGCGAGCGAGTCCTTGAGGCGGCCGGCCTGGCCTTCGAGAAGCTTGAAGGGGTTCTCGTTGAACTTACTACCAACCTGCAAAGTCAAGGAGCAAGCGTGGGATGAAGCAAAACCGCCTGGATGACCGCAGAAGGTGAAGGTGGTGAAACTGGGCTCCCTTGGCGTGGTCAATCCAAACGGATGCAGTCATCCTATTTAAGTGCGCAGCATGCGAGGAGACAGAGCTGGACGGTTCAATCCGCTCAGTATAAACCGACAGAAAAGCACTTGGGCAGAGGCGTCGCCAAGACATTGAGAAACTCTGGAAGGCTCTTGGAAGGCTCCAGGTATTCTGGCATCTGGCCGATAAGAGTGTGGAATCCAAAGTACGACAGGAAGAACACGCAGTGGATTATCTTGAACCTCAACCATAAGCCACAGGAAGAAACCGTAAGGGCATATGGAAACGTCCGCAGTTTTTAGGCGAAGCCCGTGCAAACATGCAAGCCAGGATAAAGAAGTTGCAGGTGGCAAATTACAATAGCTACACGTTCAGCTGTAACGAAATGATACAACCCCAGAAGGATTTCGACCAACTATCATTATGGCCTTCACCGCTTTGAAACAGCAAAGATCTGCCTCGCAAAGAATCGCATGAGAACAAAGAACCCACTGTGAGCCGCCGATTGGGTCTCGACAGCCACCTTACCGTCCCCAACACGCAACTGAGGTCGAATATGTTTGGCGGCAAACAGCCTAACGGAAACATGGGCGGAGCACCAATCGAGTATTGCCACGTGGCTTCAGCCCCTCACCGTGCCTATGATCGACTTGAACAGCGGCTTGGCCGCGCCCAGCCCCAAGGCCGCCTGCGGCTCCGCAAACGAGAAACTGCTGACGTCATCGCTGAGCGCGGCGCGCCACGGCGATGTCACGGCGCCAGGCTCTTGGAGGGAGCCACGACGAGAACGGGGGCCGCTTCCGCCGTTGGCTAGCAGAGGGGAGCTGCGCGAAAGAAGTGGAGGCAATGCGCTTAAAGAAAGAATAGCCGCGTTCTTAGGAGCAGGAGAAGGGACGAGGGACTGTGGTTTTGTCTCGATGGGTTTGGAAAGGTATCAAAGAGATGGCGGCTGTGTTGGGATGCACATTCCGACTCGATAAATGCAGTTCGTGACCGAAATGCAGTTCGTGACCGGATTGCTTGCAGAGAAACGCTGCAAGGAGAGGTGTTGGCACGCCAGTGAAAACAAACGGAGTAATAAGGAAGCGCAGTTAAGTACTGAAGGAGTCATTGCTGTTGCAGCTTGACTGAACCTTTGGACAAGCGGAATTTTCCCTGTAGAGCCAGTGCCTGGCCCGCCAAGGCGATAACATTGTCGATAGCATGTCCACGCAACTTTAGTGGTGCAAGAGAGATACTTGACCGGACACGGTGATTCTAAGCCGAGACGCGCAAATAGAGGGCACTCGCGCGCACGAAAAGTATGCGTACTTTTCAGCCCCTTTGGCCGCCCGAAGAACCGTCACGTAAGGCGCTGCACAGACAAGCACACCAGATCTGCCAATCCGGCGTGTCGACGATTCCCAGATCTGCGGTGTGCACAGATAGAAGCGCCCCAGCTGGCGCATGCCCGATACTTCTCTAGAATAGTCGTAGAAAGCTCAAGAACGAAGCTAACACTAAAAGCAAAACCCAAATAGTCACTCGCTCCGCAACCGTACCCACCATAACCCCCAGACTAACCCAACCCTCCAAGTACTAAAGCTTTAAAAACTTCGATTGGGAAAGCTAGCCGAAACGGTGGGTTGAGCTGCAAACTTACGAGTTTGAGTTACTCTATACTTAATTTAGAGAACGGTGCATACCTGATGGGCAGGTACGCGAAGCGCGGCACAGCGTGCGCCATGTTGAGCGTGTTGCTCTCCGCGTTCTTTGCGGGCATCTGCGGCACGTCCGTGTACAGCCGCTGCAGCTGGATCAAACTGCCAAACAGCACCGCGCACCGGTGGTAGTACCGCCGCTCGTTCGACCACAAGTACGGCTCGTACCTGGACCAGGGCAGACCGAGGCTTTCGTGTTGAAGAGGTTGGAGTTAGTGGACGGGATTCTTTGTGGGTCCGCTGGGAAAGCGGCATTTAGATTCTCCTATCTTTCAGCCAGTACAAGAGAACGGACTCGCCTCGCTTTCAATTACAAGGCATCAGCCGGTCAAACGTCAAACAAGGCAGACACCGATAACACGACCCGAGAGGAGTGGCGCTTCGGTCATCGTCGTGAAGCCTTCCTCACAATCTTCGTTTGAATTTCAAGTCGGATCTGAACATCTGTTTGACTTACCAACGCGGAAGAGCTTACGGTGGGTCGGTGATTAAGCACAAACAAGCATTGGAAGCAGTCTTTTAGCACGGGCGGGGTAAAATGGAAGAGTTTGGGAGGACGTGTGCGGAGCATGTGAAATTCGAGGTAAATTCAATATCAGACTGAACCCATGCTGGTCCCTGAATCTCCGTAAGGATTCAAGAGTATGGAGGTACAATCTTACGTGGCCCAGTCGATAGGGTCGATCTGCCCGGTGAGCCCGTCCAGAATCCCGAGCACCCGCCGCTTCCGCGCGAGCGCGGCCGCGTCCGTTTGGCTCGTGCTCGTGCGCACGCGCTTGTTTCCCGCCAGGCTAGTTCCCGGGTCCTTCACTTCGTCGTCTACGCTCGTACTGCCGTCCGGCCCAATGTCGGACCCTCCCGCGAGAACGTCCGAAAGAAAGCGGACGTCGAAAAGGAGTTGGAGGATGCCCTTCTCGGAGGCGCGGGTGCCGAGGGATGAAGGGTCGGCGACAAGGGACTCGTAGATGCTCAGAATCTGCGAGGAAAAAGATGCGTATACCATGTGTTAGGGTGAACGTTGAAGAGCTGTGCTCGCAGTCTTGAATAGCAACCTTGTGATGAAAGTACGGTCACGGAGAGAGTCACGCAACCCAACGGATGGCGTTTGACGCAGCCGCTTGATAGGTCACCCTTCAGCCAGAGTCTTCCGCTTCCTGAAGAGGAAACGCTGATTAGTTTTCCTCAAGCCAGCAGGATTCAGCACCCTACAACCCGTTACATCCGTTTCAGGAGAAGTGAATTTCTTCCTCAAAGAGAACCTTTCAGTTGCGTCATCCGAAGATCAGTGAGCCGTACCAAGCCTTCAAGCGCTTGAACCCTAGGCTTTTCACCCGCCGAAGCTTCCAGATAGATGGAAAACTCGGAATAAATAACCAGACTGAATCTCAATAGATCAGGGCCAGATGCTCTGGTGGCAAGCTTCGCATGCGCCCACCTGTTGCGAGACGCTCCACGCAAAGAGGCGCAGCACGGCCCGGTCGAGCGTGTGGCTGCCAACGCGGTGGATCTCGCGGCACGCGGCAAAGAGCAGCGCGAGCGCGTACGCGGATGGCATGGCGGGCAGCGACATGCGCATCTCCACCGACTGCCCGCCTTCCTCCTCTTGCCGCGTCACCGTCTCCTCCCAACCCTGAAAGCAGAAATAACATTCTTCGACTCTGAGCTCGAAGACTTGAGAATGTGACGTCCTTCGGCCGCTCTTTTTGGTCTCTCTGAGCTCTGCTTCCTCATCCTGCCGCGTTACCATCTCCTCGCAATCTTGAAAGGAGTAAAGGATCCTTCAACTTTTGGTACTGACTAGGGATTGGTGTTTCTATTTGGCTGCACTTTCGACCTTCTGATGCTTCGCTTCCTCTTCTTTCCACGTCACCGTCTCCTCCCAACCCTGAAAGCAATGTGGCATAGTTCTTCGTTTTGCGGCTGTGACTTTGTCAAAAGATTGAAGCGCAAACGCTGCAGTTGTGGTTTCTGAAATGCTTGGCTTCCTCGTGCTGCGTACTAGTCAGATCTCCCTTCAGCTACTTGTCATGTGACCCTCTTTCTTGTCTCCTTGGAATTCCCAGCAGCCTCCTTATTTTGACACTTTCTGGAATGAAGTTGCTTCGGACCTGAGGCAAAGTGCACGGTGCCTCCGACGAAAGCTTGTACCGCAATACATCCTGTCGACCTTGCAAGCAGCTTTTGCAGATGCCGGCTTCTTGCAACCCAAAAAAAGCACAGCGGACTTCGCAGAGAGCGGCTGGTTGCCCCGGCAGGTGCCCAGTTACGGCTAGGACTACCGAGAAGGACACGTGGCGAGCTCAAAAGGAGACACGTGGCAGTTGCCAACGTTGCCCACTGGCAACGCGTTTTTTAGACCATTTTCGCTAGGAGCACCCTCAGCATATTCCGAAAAGCTCTTGTTCCGTTCCGCCCTCACCTTGAGCGGACTCGTGGTTGCCAGCGCCTCGTCCCCTCTCAGTTCCCGCTCGAACTTGGCCGTCAGCTGTTCAGCGCTCCACGTCACCCACACGCGGTGCGCCGCCACGCTCACGCGCCGCAGCTGCTTCTGGACACGTGTCAGCTTGCTGGTGCCTTCCTCTCGCGACGGGTCCATGCTGCCGCGTCGCGAGAAGCGCCGCCCGTCGGGGTTCCCGTCCGAGTCGCTGGGGCGTCGCAACGGACCGCTCGATTTTTCGGTGGCCTGTGAAATGATTGATTGATTCAGGGGTTCGAGCCTTAAAGGGGTTCTTGACTTTGAATAAGCTTGTATGATTGAATAAAGGCAGGGCTCCCGGGGCGTAAGTATGAAATCAGACGGATCTAGCTCAACGCAAGATTCGGTGCAAGATCGGAAATCGGAGCTTCAAAAGATGAAAGAACCAAAAGCAGTCGAGGTCGTGAGCAGTGTAAAAGTGGTGGCCATCACAAATTGGCAGCCGTAGCCCTTTCAGCACCCAAAGTGCGAAAAATAATGTCTCCCAAAAGCTCAGCATTCATATTGCAGACAAACCTCTCCACTGAGTAGCATTTCAAACTCCAAGCACAACGCATACCGCAAACTCGTCCAGCTCAGCCGGGGCATTCTGTCGTCACTTCCCTAGACTGCTCTCCGGTCTCACCTTGTGACTCCCCCACGCCGACGGGGGTCCCAGCAGAATCGGCAGGAACGTGGAGTACTGCCCGAGAGCGGCACAGAAGCGCCCAACGAACAACGCTCGCTCCACGACCGTGGCTTGATCGACGTCATCGTCCGTTTTTTGCAAGTCCGCCAGCTTTGCCTCCAGCTCGCTGGCAATGCCCTGGACCGCGGAGAAGCACCGCTCCTGCAAAAGGGAGGCTCTAAAGAATGAACGGACGCATTCTTCTTGGACTATTGCTCAGTTCAAAAATTTGTAATAACAGTCTGCGTACAAGTACAACAATCAGCTTGTCGGACACGATACGGCCCCAACCCCATGTGCTCATCGAGCCCCATGCTTCAGTACGAGCTTTAGAACGTGAGGCATAAAAATAATGGCGTTGGCTGGTGACCATAATGATGAAGGAAAATGATGACAACGGCCGTACTCTGACAGTTAATATCAATCTTCACAGGAATTCTCTGACGAAAACCCCAGCTTTGATTGGAGTCCGCAACGCCCGTGCTTCCCAGGCCCTTACCTGCAAGTACGGCGCCAGCTCGCCCGCTCGCCCCGCCCCGCCCTCCGCTGACGTCATCACCCACGTGACGTCGTCCAAGATCTCCCCGAGCCGTGCGTCGAGCGCGTCCCGCAGCGCCGCCACTCGTGGGCTGAAGTAACTAGCGCGGGCAGAGAACCAGTCCTTTTCGCTCGCGGGGAGCTGCCAGGTGGACTCGGCGGCCGTGCCCTGAAGCGCTTCGGGGGAGTCGTCGGAGGCGGTCTCGGGAGCGTGCGTCTCCGCGAGGGCAACGTCCATCTGTTCCGTCACGCTCAGAGCCGAGAAGGAGGCGTCGATGATGGCCTTGGCCCTGCAGGGAGATAAAATGGACGGGCGTTACGGGCGTTCTCAGACGACTTCAGTTCACTATCAAGAGGTGCTTTAAACTTGAATAACAGTCCAAGCTGAACACCTGCGGTGCCGAAAGAAAATATTGGTCGGGAGGAACGAGAGGGAAGCGGGAATCTTGTCGCTGGTGGAGCTGTAGCGTGACCATTCTGCGAGTTCAAGATCGTTCACCCACCTAAGTTTTCAAAGGCTGACACGTCCAACGACAGATTGTCACAAAAGACCGCTTAATAGCAGAATCAGTTGTCGTCTGGCGGTCTGGACCTCAACGAACGACGACGCAGATGGCGTCCTCGAGACACACGTTCTCTGGAAATCTAGTGCCCGTCCCCAATGGAAAAATGGCAACCCCCAGTCCCACAATGTCGACTTCCCGTCCCCACCTGTCCGTAAAGAGCTTCTCAAACAGCGTCCGCCACAGGTTGACCGGCTCCTTGAGCACCAGCTCGCACACGCAGTCCCACGGCGACTCGGGCGCCGTTCCAAACGCAGTCACCAGCCACTCCATGCTGTCCGAAAACACGTCGGTTTTGCCGATCTCCGTCCGAACCACCGACTCAATGTCAGCGAGGCCCTTGGCGGTGCCCACCTGGGCGATCAACGTGCGGCCGTCTGCCGCGATGTCGTCAGCGCAGTCCTGCCGGGAAGAGAACGAGGATGAGCGCTTGAAGAAATGTATGTTTTGCCGACTGTCCGCCCAATGAATCTGTAGTCTCCAATAAGCGATTCCTACTCATGATCAGCTTGCCAAGTATGCATCTGGAACGGGCAACTGCTATTTTACTTTCGGCAACAAGAGTTGTCCTGCACATGCTATTCAACTTCAGACCACGCTCACAAAAGTGACACTCGACATCCGAACGGTTGTTTATCAACAGTGGCGCGGCGGCCCGTCACCGCACCTGCAGCCAGCGCAACGCGGCTTCCGTAACGGCGCGCCCGCTCAGCGGCGTCACTCGCGCCTCCAGCCCCTCTCTCTGCTCCTTCCACAGTTCCAGCTCCTTCTCCGGCTGGGGGATCCCTCCAAAAAGCTGCGTGGCTGGTGTCACCGCCAACAACGTGCTGAACAGCAGCGGCGCGCGGCTGCTGGAAGCCTCGAGAAACAGCTCCCCGGTCTGGCAGAGTGACATTTGGATGACGCGCACCAGCTGCCCCAGGAGGGCGGCCAGCGAGGCGGTGTCAAGCGAGAGGGATACCCCCCGGGAGAGGCGCAGGTGGGAGCGGATCCAGGCGCGGCGGGAGTCGAGGAAGAGGGGCAGGATCGCGGATGATTGAAGACGGCCCATGATGGCAGCGCCTGAGGGGGGGGAGGAGGAGGAGAAGGCATCTTTGTCAGCATGAAATCGGCAATCAAGCCTGTTCGGTCTCTGTAGGTGCATTACTAGAAAGGAGGTCATCAAGGAGGTTCGGACAGGAACTTCGTCTTCTCAGGGTAGGGCACTTTTGCAAGGAAATGAACCCCCTGCTAGCTGTCAGTATTTTGGGGTGTTCAGAGACTGTTTGACGGCTTGCTGGTCGCTCACAAGATGACAGTCCTGTGGAGGGCTGCAGAGGACACTTGTGAGTGACTGTGACTTTGAAAGCGGTCAGCTGAACGCTCAGAGATGTTGGGAGACCGTTTCGATGCTGGACATCGCTCCTCTACTTCCACTGTGGACGGCTGCGGTTTCGAAAAGCGGCTGGATAGTGCCCTTGCCCTCTTACAAGCCATCGAAACCTCTCTTCAATATCTCGCACTCGACCATCAGCACCTGCTCCGCTCACCTGAGAGCGCGGTAGCACATCAAACTAGGCTCACCTCCCTGCTATGCAAGTCTTACTGTATAGCATCGTGTTCGTTCAGACCCAGTCGAAAGATGGACGGGAAGTGGGGCCGCTTGCTCCCAAGGACAACTGCTTGGCCCTAGCCGCTTCTTGATGCTACGCTCCTCCCAGTCTCGAGTTCTTATTGAACACGGCCTGGTCTTCCAAAGTCCTCGAAAGTGATGTCAGGCACCCGCTCACCTGAGAGCGCGGTCGCGTAGTCGGTGACGGGCAGCCCCGCCTCCTGCAGGCGCTCCTGGCTGCGCTGTAAGATCTGCCCCTGGAACGTCTCCACCAGCGGCCACTGGTGCCGCAGCAGCGGGAACAGTGCCAGCACGCCGCGCTGCTCGCCGCCCTCTGCAGAATGGGACTTGGTCAACCGGAACTCTTCTTCTAATCGCTCCTCTCAAGTTGTTCTGCTTCAGCCCTTGTCTCTTGGGCACAAGGTTCGATCAGTTGGCAGACCCCACAGTCTGGGTATCTCGACAGGCGTTGGAAGGCCGCCGTTCAAGAGAGCGATCCGATGTGGGGCCAGCAGCCAGGGCCAGTTGCTAGGCTGACCCCAAATTATGCCTGATCTGTCAAAATTGACCAGACCCAGCAAGATCAGTCCGCGAAACTGACACCGCCTGAGTATTGTTCAGGCAATAGACCGAACACCCACGACAATAAAGCACCAAGGACCAGCCAACCTCAGAAACCTTCTTGTCGGCCGCCCCTCAAGCGCAGATACTCAGCAACTCTGCGAAACCTCCCCGTGAGCAGCGCACCTTGTTGGAGCAGCAGTTGGTGAACCTCGCGTGCGCGCTGGTATCGCTCCGCGGCTTCGAGGTACATGTGTTCATCCAGGCAGCCCCAGATCTTCTCGGGGGTGTCCACCAGGTACTTCACACGCGCCCCCACCGCATACACGCGCTCCCGCGGCTCGCGGCCTTCGTTCACGCCTGACACAGAGGGGTATGAGATCTCTTATCGATCAGTACTGGGTCAAGATCTGTGCTTGAGAATGCCCCAAAGACGGCCTGTTGTGACCAACGCCCCAAACACGGGGACGCGAGAGCTGCTTGAAAGAGTCCAAGCAAGGCATTTGCAGAGGACTTGGTACCCGTGCGATGTGTTCAAAACCCACGACATGCTTGAGAAGCAAGCATGCGTAAATGGGACACATACAAGATGATTAACACAACTAGCTCTACCAGGACAGTAATGATTAGCGCCCTCAATGAGCTTATTTGACCACCATTCATCGCTTGGAAGCACAGAAGGCAGCAAAAGAGGCCCAAGACGGAGATTTTCAAAGCACCCGACAGACGCGAAACGCAACAAAAGCAGAAAGGTGACCAAATGAGGGGGCGCAGAGCAGGGCACATAACCCTCCAGAGGTCAATCAAGGAGACCGATGTGTAATCACCATGATCCAATAAACATCCCTGATGTCCGTTTGCTTACGATGACTAAGGCCAGGGGAAGGAAGGCTACTTTTAAACGAACCCGGCATTTCGCAGTCTCGTTGGCCCCTTCCTCAAGAAGGGGCGCAGCGTCTGATTGGATAGCTGAGGGGCTTTCGCAAACCTCTTGCTCTTATGCTGTTGGACCACAGCTTATCATACATCCTGTCCCGCAGGCAAATGCAAGGACGCACTTCACCACCTAGTTTCCCACAATGTTAAGTAGATTGCAAACTCAAGCGTCTTTGGCAGTGCACAATTGATGCCTCCGTATGGATCAATTGCCAATGACCTCTCAAGCTTTTGAAAGGATTGTGAGTGCCGCTGTGCATCTCAGAATACCCTTCAACAAATGCAACTTGATCAAGATCACAGTTTCCACCTTGCGCACCTGCGAAGGGGCATCCAACTGAACGTCGCCACTTCGCCTGACCCATATTTGACTTTAATGCACCCTGGATCAGCCAGTCCCTTTCATAGCTGCTGCTCAAAGGATTCTGAACCCTCGCTCAAAGATTCGAAGGAGGGTACCACCGCTGTTTGTGATTCCGGCAATTAAAATAGATCTGAAGAAAATGCAACTCAAAGTAACCCCACGTCAAAAAGGATCAGTATTTGGCTTCTGGATTGATCACACAGCAGCCTAGAGGATGGTCCTTGGAATCACAAACAAGATGAAAGGGCTGCCTTTCCAAGCAAACCAGCTCACCTGGACTCGACTTGACATCCGCCACGCTCCTGTGCAACGCCTCAAACCCCTCCTCCATCCTGCTGATGTTTGCCCCGACTGCCTCGCAAGACCTCTGCATTTCCAGGATCGAATCAGCCGACTCAATCAGGTCTCTATAGCTCGCCCCCACCAGTTGCCTGAGCTCCTCTTTCTTCTCCTCGATGTCTTTGCGCATCCGCGCCTCCACCTCTCTGATATCCACCACGGACCGGCTCTCAAACAGCGCCTCCGCATTGCGGCTGCTTGCCTCCTCCCCCGCCTTCTGCTGGAAGCGGCCGCCCCTCATTTCGAAAACTCAGCGCCCGTGCTTCAATTGGATCTACAGGGAAGGCATTCGAGCTGCCACTCGTGTTGTCTGATGACAAGCAGGAACATGGGTCCAAGCAATGAGGTTGGGCAACGCGCCACTCCTCCCTCCGAACTTCGAAGTCCAGATTGCTGCACAAGCAGCAGGTGCATAATGCCCCGCCCTGAGTCCAGGTTTTGCGGGGGATCTTAAACTAGACTCGGCAGTACGTTCCTGATAAAAGTTGCTACTGATGTAGCAGTTTATCGACGGTTCTAAATATTCCAGATTGACTATCCAAGCCGACGGATATTCTCCATTGGTCTAGGGTTGAAGATCGGACGGTTGCACCTACTCACCGCTCGGAACGTTCTGCATGCACCTGCACCTCTGTCTGCCTTTTGTGATGTCAGCGCTCATGTCAATGGTGGAAGCTTACGCAGCAGCGCTCAGGCTTTCCAAACCTAGAGCCTTCCTTTGTTTGCTGGCTCTGCGCTAGCAACTCAGCATTTGACAATGGCGGAGTTTGGGAAGGTGAGTTGCTTTTAACGCAGGAAGAGCTCTTGGTATTCTGCAAGGTTGAACGTTGGGGCGGACTGCTGTGTAGATGTATGCAGAGAGAGAAGTGGTTGCAGCACAACATTAGTGCACCACAGCCTGAGGCGTCTTATTTCAACCACACATCCATTTCAGGGGTGGAGTATTTGAAACAAACTAGCGTGTGGGTGCGATGCATGTACATGCTTGGTGTGCGAGGAACAGTTGACTTCTGGGCAAAAAATTGCAGTTCTTTTTATCCTACGTGCCGGACTTGCTTCTATCAAAGGCCATGTGCATTCAGTATTTCATCTCTGTCCATTGTTCTCCCCCTGGCATCAGGCATTAAAGTGTGGAATTTCGTTGATTTGCGATTGACGGTGGTGCAATGCCGACAAAAAGACAGAAATGGAAAGAAGGGCTTCTATTGCACCACAGTCCCCTTCCTGGGTAAGTGGGGCCGCTTTGCAATAGATCTGCGGTTGAAGTAGCCAGGCAAAGGACCTAGTCTACTGGAGTGATAGCCCAAAGACTTAGGACGTCGGTCTGTATCTACAGAGCACTTTTTTGGTGTGGGTCTTCTTCCTAGAGGATGCAGAGGTCTCCCCTTCATCTTTCGCAGGCCCCTCTTTTCTCTATGACCACTGCAACGCTACCCCCCCAATCCTTCCACTACAACGCATCCATTGCGGAATGGGTGCCAGCCGCCATCTTTGGAGCGGTGGCCAGCCTGTCTGTGAGCCCCTCAATCTCATAAGCTATATTTGTATCAGTGCTTAACCCCAATGCTTAACCACTACTACCTAATGTTGCCCTGCCTGGGCCTCTAGCATCCAAGGGCCTAAAAGCGGCCCTTGGATGCTTTAAGATTCTTCTTAGAGATCTATTGATCGGATCTTTCCAAACACCAGTGTAGCCTTCCTCTTGCCGCAAGCACGTCGCTGGGAGGTGAGAATCCTTGTGCTTGGTTGAAGTATTAAAACTGTCCCCTTTTGAGTGCAGGTCTTCATTCTGTCTGCCACGTACAGTCCGTTGCTGGAGGCCTACCGGAAGCTGCCACCTATGAAGAAAACCGAATGGGATAACAGGTAGGCGGACCAAAAGTGCCCCTCGTAATAACCCAAAGGGGTTCTGCTCATCTCGCGTCCATGACTGATTCTGGCTGATCTTGCTGCGAGGCACGTGTGTTATTAGACACCAACTGAGGCATCCCAGACGTGGATGTGCCAGTGTCATAGTAGTGCCAGTCTGTCGACTCTTGAAGTAATCTCAAGGGTTGTTGCGGTGTCCTAGAAATGTCACTGACTGTTGTGCCTATGAACACTAGGGCTTAATTACTTGAAATCTGGCTTACACGAACGCCCCTTAAACCCAATCGTACTTTTCTTTCGCAGAATGTTCTCGACCACGCACAGTCTCTTCGTCACTTTTGCCGCCATCTCTTTCTTCCGCTCCAGCCTTTTCCTGGAGCCCTCCCTTGCAAAGGACGACCTTGTGATCCTCCGTGCAACGCCCTTCACGTTTGCGGCTTTTGGAGTGAGCTTCGCGCCCTCTGGTCGTTTGTAGGCCCATGTCGGTTGAAATCGTGCAATCCAGCAATAAGATCCAGCAATAAGCAAGGCAGACATGGAGACAACTCTCATAGATTTGCTGGAGGATCGTTGCACACCGATTCGGTGGAGCTTAGAACAAATGCCAATAAAATGGGTCCGCATTTTCAAGGACGACCTTAAATTCAGACAGTCTTCTGTGCGCAGCTCTCGTTGGGATACTTCCTTCTCGACATTGCAATGATGACCTTCTACTACCCCGCCTTGGGAGGCGCCGAGTATGTGAGCTCTCCATTTTGCAAAGCCTTTTTGTCCAATTATGCACACAAGCTGTTGTTGTCATGCAAGATTCTTCTGACGCTAGAGTGTGTACAAAGCGAGAATTGCTCACCTTGTACCCCTTGCACAATCACATAATTGTTTTTTTTTCTCTCAAAAATTCCAGCAACCAAAGTCTCGGAGTTAGGATGCCTACAAGCGCAAGCTACAAATACCCTTTCATACTCTTCACTTCCTTTCAGAAGTTGTACGTCCCGAAAAGGTGTCGCAGAACCAGACCAATTATTACGTATTTCGTTCCGAAAAGCTCCCCACTTTAGCCGCAACAACTGAATCAACACACGTACATCAGATAGAGATGATGTCCATTCCTAGTCAGTGTCGGGATCTCCAGGACGCGAAAAGTTTTGCACTGAGTTACGCAACCGTGTCTGCAGTTGGTCCATCATGTGGCGGCCGCACTTGCCATTTTAACCGCGCTGGTTACAGGCAACGGTCACGGTGAGTCACTTCCCTAACCAGTTATTCCAAGTTAGTTGTAGCGAAGCCTCAAAAAAGGCGGCGTCTTGTCTCTTCGAGGCGGAGATCCCTTCCAAATGACTTTGTGACTACCAGTGGTGTTGCTCATCGAAAAGAAGGAGACTTCTTGCCTCGCTTTTCCTACTGAATATGACAGTATGTGTCGATGTGGCTCGCGACCTTTTCTTCTATCTCCGTCCTGAGGGCAAAAGCTTCCACACACATTTCTGTCACCATCTTGCTTTCCTGATACTGTATGACGTCGTCTCACATCTGCGGCCCCTCGAATGACGGAGGGAAGGGCACGAGCAAGCCAAAAAACGTTGAGTGGTTTGTCCGTGCAGTATTCATCATGATTGTTTTCGTCACGGAGATGACGACACCCTTCGTGAACCTGCGGTGGTACGTCCTCGCACCCGACAAGCACAGCCGCCCTCTGCCAAATCTAGCTACTGCAAGAGCTTTGAGTGCGTCAATACGTTCAGAGAACTTGAAGCTCCCTTGACCTGTTAAAACACTCAGCCTGATACGGAAACGGAAGAACACGAGTCTGGATTGACGACGGCCATTGTGAGGTTCGAAGCTACGTGGTGAAAGAGGTCGGAAGTAGCCAATGCTTTTCTGCATCTTCGCAAAAGCCTTGCCACTTGTAACACAGCTGTAGTCTAGATTGTCTTTTCGACTGGACGAGAATCCGATCCTCCAGTCTCGGACAAAGGCTGGCGACGTCTCACGAAGTCGCTGACGTCACTGCCGCAGGTACCTGAGCAACAGCGGCCTTCGGCAATCCGTATGGTACACGATCAACGGCGTCTTGCTCTTTGTGGGCTGGCTGGTGAGCAACCGGGCTGCGTCCCCCGGTTTGGAGACTCTATTTTTGCATAGCGTCCTCTCACCACCGATTTGTCAGCTTGAGCAGACTTGCGAGCCTCTCCCTTCCTCCCGACCGCACGACACCGCGTGTCGCCAGCTTGAGCAAACTACCAGGCCTATATCTCTTTTCCGCATTCCGAACCAAGACGATAAAGCGCAGCTACTCGTCGCCAACCCCCAACCTCTTTTTACGCACGGGAGACCTCCGACGGTGAAACCGATCATCATCGTCCTTCGGCAGGACTATATAGGTCTACGAATTCGGTGCTGATTTGTTAAATCATGACGCGGGTGCTTCTTTGCAGACGGCCCGAGTGCTCGTCTTCCTGTACTTGTTCTGGTACATGTACGATCATCGAGATGAGGTACGCGTTATCATATGCCACCAACGTCTCCTGCTTTTCGGCCGCACAGCGACGAGATGTCGTCCAGATTTCCCGGTTTTCCACTTTGGAGCGAATTCATAGAGTGCTCTTCCTATGTAAACTGCGCGTTGCCTCGGCTTGCCGAACTGGTTTCGAAATGGGTCCAAATTCCGTTATCAACGTTCTTCCCATCGACGTTCAAGGTCTTGCAGAAGATTCAGGAAAGCGGTAAAGCTGACCATTCTCTAGACTGGCTTTTTTTGGAGTACATCTAGCATATGAGAAGCCCAGCCTTACTTGCAGCTGAACAGCTCACCCTCTTTCTGATTCTTCTCTTCGTGTCTGTAGTTGCACGTCTTTACGCCGACTCAAAAGGCTGCCCTCTTTGGCCTTCCGCCGATCTTCTTCGTACTGAATCTGTACTGGTTCCTACGAATCCTGGTGGGAATGCTTAAGCTGGTCTTCGGGCCCAAGGCCAAGCGCGCGTAGTAAACCGGTGGGGCCCAACGTTCGTTCAACTAGAAAAGCTGCCCACAAAGGCTTTGCTTAGGACGGTCGCGGAAGGATTTGAGCCTTAGGGTAGCCACAGAGGGGATTTTGTACATGCGGTAAAATATAGACTCATCACCAGGTGTTGTCGTAATTCGCAATCAGTATAAAATCTTGTAATCTAGAATCGAAGCTGGATGAAAGTCACCCAATAAACCTGCATTGACAACGCTCTCAGCAGGTATGGAAATAAGTTCTGTGGCGGCGGCTGACCGGACCGCCATGGCTATCATTTGCCGATCATAAGAAATGCTCAGGAGTCAGGAGCAGACACAGCAACCGCCCCGGCGGCCGGCTCATTGAAAACTCAGCTTAATGCACTATTGCTGGTGCCGGTCTGATTCAGGGCCGCCGCGCCCGGTTCGGCCCTATGTCTGAGTTAATGCCCGGGGTCATGCGGGACGTTTGCCTGCATCATGATGATCTCCCGGCCGGTGCTCAACTCTCTAGCTTGCCATTGCCATTGGAGTAACTTGCATGCCATGCATAAGGTCATGGCCGCGTTAGTACCGTGCAGCCACCCGGTCGCATGCGCGCAGGGCCGCCCGCGCCAGTCGGAAGCGCCTTGCCGAATTGCAACTGCGAGGCCACAGAAGTGGCAATGCCACTAGCACGTTGTAAATTTACGTCTAATCGAGATCGAAGAATCATGTGCTAAGCACGAAAACTGAATCATGCTTGATGCATGATTCTATCGTGTGCTACTTTATACTGACTGAGGCACCGTCCACACATAATCTGGACCGTAGTAGTCAGCCGCGCCCGGACTTGCAATTCAGTAACGGACCTCCGGCTTACAGCTTTTGGGGTCCATTAATGTCACAATCGAAACATTAGCGTCCTGATTTCAGCTTGGGTCAAAACACAGGTCCAACACCGACGGAAGACACAGCTAAAGTTTCCACTCGAGACCGTCGAGCTTGTAATCGACCCTCCGATCCAGCATCAGTGGATTGCCCATGCACGAAGCATTCGCACCGGAGGTAAAAGCTCTGAAGTTTGCGAGAGCTGGCAGTTCTTGCTGCTTGGTTTGCAGCGCTTTCCTCTCGGCTGCTATGATTCAGAGGGCGCTGTTGCTGCGCATTGCTCAGCGCTTCGTAGCACCACCGATTGAGGGTGCGCTAAACAGAGGGCCCCGTGCATACTCCCCGTCTGAATCAAGAGACGTCATGGAAAAAGGAAAGAAGGTGGAAGAGAAAGAAGAGAAAGAAAAGATGGAGCATGAAACGAAGCGGGCCCTGGAAGAGACGAGGGGCGAGCAAGCAGAGATAGACCAGAAGGCTGAGAGATGGGTCCAGCAGGGAAAGCGGAAAGCGGAAGACAGGGAACGGAACGAACAAACGGAACAAATAGACAGTCAGAAGGAAATGGGGGGGAACCAATCGGAGCCTTTGAAAGCCGAGGATGAGCAGAGCAAAGCGAAGTTAGAGCAGGCGGTGCGTCGCGCGAGCGACCCGAACCTCACGGATGATCTCGTAACTGAGATGCCGATTGGCTACAACGCTGAGTTCGAACTAGATGCGGGGGTAAGGATCTTCCAAAAATGCACGGAGTTCTGAGAATGAGTGCATGCACTGGTTCTGGTTAGTGTTGCATCTGTCGAACAATTCGAGGCTGAGCATTGCAAATGCTGAGATGGGCAATCAAGCTTTTGGCCATATCAGTGATCCCGAGCTGTTGAGGCCATATCAGTACCCAGCCCACTCGTAGATTTTGGTCGTAGATTTCTGTGGTGCAGTTTATTCGAATCAACTACCAGCAGCCACTTCTGTCGGCGCCTTTCTGGTCTATTTTAATCTGGTGTAAACCAACTTTGTTGAAGATGACTATTTTGCTCCTTGGACGCTTCGCAAGTTCAAAGTTGGGAACCGGAGGAGAGTCGATTGTGGGCTGCAAGCTTGTACTCGAGACAATCAATGTAGAGAGTTTGTTTTCTGCGGCTAACTTCAGATTCGAGATTTGAAAGCGCCACAGACTTAGAAGAGCGTCGTCTTTGTAAGAATCTTTGCTCTGCTTGTTTCTACAGAAAATTAGTCTGCTTCGAGACTGGTCAGAGTCTCTGTTATCCATCCAACGTACAGCCGTTCCTTTGGAGGTTGAGCAATGTATTTTCCTGGCCCAACCCAATGCCCACGTACCCTTACTTCCAGTAGGCGCCTTGTATCTCTATTTCGTCCAATCTGCTCGCATAGCTTCGTGAATCACACCGTCACTCACCAGATTGTGTCTCATTACCCTTTTTCTTCAGACGCCGTGTCGAGTCTGAACCATCCATGCTTCGCCCTCCTGGCGTTCAAAAGCCTTCCTCCAGATGCCTCTCGTGAGCGCAGACGAGATCCTCGAGAGGGCGCCTGGCCCTTTTCAAAACCCAACGCCCAAATCCATCCCAGACTGCGCTCTAACTCTACGGCTCGTCCCAACGCTCGCAGGACCTGCCGTTACTAGTAGCAATTGGTCAACAACTAAATTGTGTGTCACACAACCCATCTTCAAGCATCACACAAGGTCTCTGTCAAAACAGAACGCAGAAAGTTTCAGACACTTCGGAACCTTTGTTTTCAGGTGCCCCTCGTGAGCGCAGACGAGATCCGCGAGTCGTCGCCGGTCCCCGAGCACGTGGTCACCGCCGTGCTGTGTCCGCACGGGTACGCCGACCCGGAAGACTGCCCCATCTGCAGAGAGGAGATCAAGGAGGAGTTGCGGGAAGTATTGCAACACCTGTGAGCGAGCCGTTGAAAGTGGGCGCTTTCTACAGCCTCCCTGGAGTCGAGTAATGAGACGACAGCAGAAAGAAACAGTTCACTCTGTTAAAAGCAATCGTGTGAGTCGTAACCGTATCAGGTAAATGTGCGATTTCCGTGAAAGGAGACGCAAAGAAACCAGAAAACAGACACATGGAGCTAGTGATCAGCTTGCTTCGGGGGTGCTCTGTTCCCTACGATGATGCTTTCTGCTGGAGGAGTGCAGCTCTTGAAAAAGTCTATCAAGCACCTTTGCCGTGATCAACAACGATAAATGCGAAAAATCTTATTTCACGTTAGGGTTTTGAATGAAGGTCTGGGATTAACGAGCAAGGGAGTTTCCAAATTCGTGTTTAATGGAAGATGGATGTACGACTCACTGGTATCCAATAGGTATCCAATATCTTACGACGAGGACTAAATACGCGATGTGACGTCGATGAGGTACAAGTTTAGAATGGGGTGCGCTGAACAATGGGCTGTATCAGATGTACGCATCCTTAACCTTCACTTATTTAAGAAGATTGCAATCTTTCTGGCTGTAGTCAAGGTGACTTGTTGTCACCGGTGAGATGTGCGACAAATGCTGTGCCAGAGCTCTTGGCCATCATCTTTTGCATCCTCTGGCCGGCCATATGAAAGCCCTTTCTTCGAGTGCACTAAATTTCAAATCGAGCTGCGCAGTGCGTGCGTTCCCTTTGGTCGTAACACTACTGATGCATGCCAGCACGATGTCCGACTCGGTCAATGCTCCTGTGAATTGTCAATTTTGCATGGATGAGTACATGCTTTTCACTGACAAGGGTTGCCATAAGTCTGGCCACTCCACATGCTGAAAGCCTGACTTGCTGTACATGTAAGTTTAAAAGTCATGTAGGGCATTGAATCCCAGCAGCGCCGCCTGCACGCTGGCATGGCAAAAGACCCGATATGGAAGCCTGATTAGTGTCATGGGCGTTCTTGCAGGATAGCTTCTTGGATTCGGGCATGTAAGAGTGATGGGAAATGCAAGAAAGCTTTGCGACTACCCGCCGTCATACTTCTCGAGTCCTCTGCCTGGCGAGCCTCATCAGCTCCTCAAACTCGTCCGCTGTGAGCTTCACTACAAGCTCTACCACCCGCCCCGGATCGCTTTCCTTGCTTTTATTGGACGGCTCCTCGAGGGGCTCGATCGGAGTGCCCGGTTCTAGATTGCCTTGCTCTAAGCTACTGCTTTCCGTAGTACCGGGCACACCAGTCAGTTCCCCGGGTGAATCTTCCGGGCTGGTAGCGTCTAACGAGAACGCGTCATCAGGGAGAGCGAACGACCTCTGCACGGAAAACGGCGAATGAGATAAATAAGGGATCCCTCCCGGCGCTTCTAATGACGCCCACCCACGATGGGGGGGACTGTTGGATATAGATGGCCTCATGGAATACTAAGACGACAATTCTGGTTTTGGGAGCGTTTGCAGCAGGCATGTGCTCTGAAACATGTCTGGAGGCGTTGGTTGAAGCTTCTCCCTTGTCGACGTTCATTTCAGCATTAGCGCCCGCAAAAGGAGCGCGTTCCGAATCGTGCTTTCGGTTGGCACCATTACTTTAAGCGGCGCCAAAAGAAGCTGCGAACAGAAATTCGCCAGCCCACACTTCCGATATTGCGAGTCAGGCGGTTCTAAAAACGTGAACGCTTTCAAAGACAAACGCACCTTTTTGGAGTGGCTTCTGCCAGAAGGCGCAGCCGGGGGGCTCGGCGGCTCAGGAAAAGCGACCCCCTGCAGCGGGCTGGGGACATAATTAGGCCCCAGGGCAGCGGGCCGCAAGCTGCTTGCCGGGGGGGAGCCAGTGCGGGGTGACATGGCCCCCCTGGGAGACTTCATTCCGCTCCGGGGGGACGTTGGCCCGGTTTGGAAAGGGGGGGTTCCTCGGAGGCTGTGCAGGCGCAGGGCGGGCTTTGCTGGGAGCTGAAGAACGGGGGGTGCATCGGGAGGCGCGGCGAACGACTGGTGGCGCCGAGAAGTGCCCTTGGGAGTGGAGGGCGCACTGGAGAGAAAAAGTGAGCAATGAGAGAAGGGAATGGGGCTGGAAAGGGTTGGGCATTGAGAAACGTTTGTATGGCGGATGAAATATACTCTTGTTCACTCCCGACGCAGTTCGGGCTGGGCAACTCTGAAAGCTTCTTTTTGGTGTGAAATCTGGTATTCTCTTTGAGATTAAACAGAGCGTGCAGGGGGCTCGACCATGAAGTAGCTGACCAGCAGCATCGTGAGCTGGGCCTTAGCTAGCTCGTGAATTCCGGGCGACAGCTCGTTCTACTATTCATCACAAGCGGTTGGCTTGGAGGCTGAAATCGGGATCAATCTTCATCAGGCGACAAGTTGAAATCGCAAAAAGAAAAGGGTAACTGTTTACTGCCGGTCGGCGTTGCGGGCTTAGCCAAGTAGCCCCTATTATACACGTGAGATGTGATGGCCTCAACGCAAATGTAAGATTTAGATCCTTCTCATCTGAGCTTCCTCGTTCATATGAACCAATATCAGTTATTGTTCGTGCAAGAAATGTACACTGCGAGGCCGTACTCAGCGAATGGAGGACACAACAGCAGTACGTCGTGCTTTGAAATTTCCTTGCAGCAACAATAGGAAACAAATCGGCATAGCGCTCACCTGTGTACTGTTGCGAGCGCTCCCCCCGTTTTCTTCCATAGCAGTGCGCCCAGGCCCTGCGCCGACAGCGTGTCCGACGTGTTCACTGGAAGCGGCTTGATGGGGGGGCGCACCGCAAGGGGGGCCTCCAGGGCTTTTAGCAGGCGCTGGAGTCGCAGGCGTTCCCGTTCAAACAGAACCGACCGGTCCTCTGCAGGAAGATTGTGGAAAGGTGACTTATATGCAGCTTGGGATACTCAAGCACTGCTCGTGGAGTCCTTTAAAGAACCGGAGTGGCATGCCTCTGAAGCTGCGCCATGAGAGGCTCCTACAGCATTGGAAGGTTGAATCAATGCATGAAAGCAGATTAGTCGTACGCACTTGCCCGGTAGATCTGCCCTCTTGCAAGGAATCAAGCCTGTAGAGTCTCAGACAAGGGTTACCTATCACGCCCTCTCTTGCCAGCCCCTATCAGACGCTCCGCAACTCTTTGGAGCCGCAGGCTTTGGCCCCCTCTGCTCTCGAAATTGAGCACACCAGTGAACACCACTTCCACCCCCATTTTACGGCGCCGCTTAGAAGAGTTTGGCTCTGCTGTCAGCTACCTCTCTGCAGCAGCATTTTCGTTATTTCAGCTGGTTGAGTTGTGCCCACAGGGAGGCGCTCACCTAAGATGATGCTCTCATAGAAGCTCTTGAGCTCAGTGGCTCGGGCCCGCAGCGCCGCCCCCAGGCGTAACAGGGCCTCTTCTGCCACCCCCCTTGCCGCGGAGTTGGTGGGACACCGCTCCGCCTGGAAGGCACAGAAAACCAGCTCAATAGTTTGACAAAGAAAGAAAGGGGAGCTGAGAGATTAAGTCGCCAGGTCTCTTGTATATAAGATTGAACGTAGAAGACAATCCCAGGCAATAGTGTAGGCCGAGCGCTCACATTCCAACGCCAGATGCCCGTCCCACTTTCCTGAAGTGGAATTTCAGCTCGACACAAAAGATGGCCCTGTTGCAAGGAAAAAGCTCTGGAATCTGGTGAGCCAGCTGGCAGCATTTTCATACCCGGTCCCGCAATTTCCTTGCACGGATGGTCATCCCCTCATCCTGCTCTGCCACAGCTGCGAGGGCAGTGACGTGCAAAGGAACCCACGTGACGCTGCCATTGTCTGCCGGAAGGTTCATCTGGCCCATCTTGAAACGGAGCTCATAGAGCTTGCCTCAACATCGGCACCGAGAAGAGTGGTTTCTGAGGCGCCTCGTAAAGACGAACATGGGCGGTCCGTGTCCTCTCATCGGCCCAGATGCTTATAGGAAAGTCACTTCAGAGAATTGAGCTAGAAACATCCCTTCAATGGTCCTCTAAAACTCACTTTCGGGAAAGCTTCAATCTTGTCCGCATCTTGAGCTGTTCTGTTCTTCTCCGGTGCAAATCGGGCAGATCTTCCTTCAACAAGGACCACATGGCCGGGAAGAAGGGCAAATGGTACTATTGCCACTGTTGGTGGTAAATGCCGCTTTAGAGAATCCGGCCGGCGAGCTGAGCCTCAGGGGACAGGGTTTCAAGATTAGGGTTCCAAGGAACCCTAAACTTTACTAGCGCCGCCGCGGTCGGCTTGGCGGCCGCGCTGGACAGCGGCCAGCGCGGACCGGGACTTTCATTGGCACGAGTGGCGCAGCGGGGCCAGGCAGCGGGGCGCATTTATGCAGCTTCAGAGGCTACTCAGGTGACATTGTGCACAATTTGAACAGTCTTCGAGCTCAAGTTGAGAGGATGGAGTCTCTCATGGCAGCAAGAGCGAGCGCCACATCCTTCAGCCCGGCTGTCCAAAGCCCCGCCATCCAGCGCCCTGCAAGACCGTCTGCTTTTGTAATCCCAGTAGACAAGAACGGCAAGCTCAAGCGTGCTCACCTTGACAGCTGGCAGCATGACCTGGTGACGAAATCACAACCTTTGCATGTGCAGACAAAGCAGCATATGACAGCATTCAGTACCCAAGCTGCAGAGAAGTCAGTTTCTCGTGCAAAAGGGCCGCGAGCGGCGTGCCCGTGCTGCGGGCGGAGGGCGGCACTGCTGGGGGGAGCTGCAGGGCTGTTACTGCCAAACCAGGGGCTGGCTCAGGTGGGGCTAGCTTCTATGCCAGGAAAGCTTCTAACATTAACGTCAATGATTGTTGGATGTCGGTCAATCGTTAAGCTTGCTGACCAGGGGATGTGCAGACTGAGATACCTCAATGCCCTCAATCGCATTGCAACGTGGGATGTGAATTGCAAACCAGAATTAGGCAACACTCAAACAGCCAATTGGATCAAAGGCCCCCGACATTCAGATGTCAAGTAAAAAGAGGAGGAGGGAACGCGTGTTGGCTTTGTGAGAGCATTAATAGGTAGTTTCGAAGGGTTGATGGCTTATAGCCTTGGTGAAGACCTGTTATTGTGCCCTCAGGAGGCTGCGGCAGCTGCCGCAACACAACCACCTGGGGCACTGCGTCAGTGGTACGAAGAGTTCTTTGCGTTCGGGCTAGCCAAAGGAGGGGCCATATATGAACCAAAGGTGAGACATTCTGGCCTTTCGCTTCCGACAACCTGTTCATGTCGAGCATCTCTCCCAATTGACCCAGTCTTCCATTGACAGCTGTCACTTGGCTACCGCCCATAAGTAAAGATTAGTATCATTTGTAGGAGCTTGTTGAAAGTCATTTCACATGCTCATGCTTCTCTCCAGCATGTTTCCAACCTCCTCCAGGATGCTGACATCAAACACAGAGTGTGAGTCCAACTCCGATCCGCACTCTTGTAACAGGTCCGGCCGTACAAGGATGCGGTATTCCACCAGCTGCAGGACAACCTTGCAGAAAGCAAAGCAGCGGATTCAACTCTTGAAGTTTTGGAGATTGTGAGCGACACAAACGCCCCTCTACTTCGAACGCAGGGCATGGATCATGCAATAGAGGATTGCTTCGACCTAGGTGAAGAAGAGTTGCTGCTGCCATGTCCATCTTCTGCTTATTGGGAAGGGAAAGTGGCATTAGAGGGGGTGCTCGAAGTTGAGACTCTTGGCTTTGGGGGTTTGGTAAGACTCTACGAGTCCGCTTAAGGGCAGTGAAAACAGTCTTCGTGGCTTGGGGAAGGGTAGAAACCGGTGTGAAAAAGCCCTGTGTCAAATGGTGTGAAAAAGCCCTGTGGGAATCTAGGTCTTGGTGAGACGCAAAACCCGTCATATGTCCACACTTCTGACTTTGCGAAACGAATGAAGCGAAATTCACGACCTGGGCTAAAAGAGCCTAAATAGTCCTGATTGTATCCACAGCTAAAAGCAAACCCTCGTTGGCGACCCCCTTTTTTTTTTCTGATTCGCCGCAGGGTGTTGGTCCCGCGCCCAACCTTCATTACTGGGCGGACTGGCCGGGGCGCGTTCATGTGACCGGGGTAGATCGCAACTCTAGCATGGAGCCCTATGCCCAGGAAAACGCGCACCAACCGGGGCTCGACCGGTTGGCCTTCGACTTCTCCCTGGGGGTACGTTGCGCACCGGATTTCGAGCCCCTCGCTAGCGCGACTTCTTCTTCTGTCATATGCGATAACGAGTAAAGTTGAATCCTATTGGGGAAGGAGAGCCGTTTATCCGAACCTGTTGACTGTTCGCAAATGGTTTGCCCCCAAGAAAAGAACGGTTGTCGTCTCTCTGCTCGACCTTGATGTCGGTTCAAAGGACGCCCCCGCCTTATCCTGCCGCTTTCACAGTTGGTCTCGATGGGGATTCGCTTTAGATCACTTTCCGGTGGGTGGAACGCATTGACGCATGGTTTTTGATTGCCGTTCGCCCATTTGGAGAACCCGCTCGATCATTGGCGACTGGCTTCGCCCGCCTCAGCTTTATTTGTAGACTGGCATTCTTTGTTTCCGAAAGTCCTCAATGAACTGCTGAATGCTGCTGTCGCTGACTGGACGATCGTATCAGGTCGCAACCTCTTTCACGAGCATCAAACGACTTCTGGGACTCCTCGTTTCCCCGAGAAGGAAGTTCCCTGAGCGCCATTCTTCTCGTGCTCTGTTCCGGTCCGCTCACAAAATCTTCTGGCGGATCATGCAGAGCGCGGCAGACCTTCCCGTTCCCTCCACGAGCGTCGACGTCGTCGTGGGAACGCTCATCCTCTGCTCGGTAGATGACGTGGCCCGCTCCCTCTTAGGTGACGTCATCCCTGCTTTATGTGGCGCTTTTTACCGCTGACGCTTTGCCTGCGGTCGCTCTTTTCCCCTGGACCTCGGTTTCGCTGCGTACTTGACGTGGAAGGGGAGCACTTTGTAAGATCCAGACGCTCATCTCAAGATCAACAATGGGGTCATCAATGCAGCTCGCTTCGTCATTCCTTGCAAAGACATGCTTGGTCGTGGTGGGTCTTGCTTGTTCAGGCGTCTTCTCAGAGACTGAGTACTATTTGATCTAGCGCTCACCGCCGATGCTTCGCCCTTTGCGCCGCATAGGGCATCCGAATAAAGTTGTTACGATCCCAGGAACCCAAGGACAGTCGAGGGTACTTTTTCGCTTCCAAGGCATCGCTTGCGAGCCTGCTTCTCTTGATTCAAAGTGCACAAGCATCCCGTCCCTAAGGACGGTTTCTTTACAAATGTGACCATCAGCTCGGAGAAAGTTCGTCATGTTCGGATCCTTTCGTTCGTGCAGAAGTCAGGCGGGTTCTGCGACCGGGCGGCAAATATCTCTTCATTGAGCACGTGGCCGCCCCAGGTGCGTTTGCTTCCTCTCCAACGCACATTTTACGTGGCTTGAGTGCCTGAGGGGGGTCGACTCTTCAATTGCGTTTTGTAAACAGTGATTACTGCCCGACGCAACAGGGTTTGAGACGTGACTGCCACCATTCGGCGGTTGAAAGGCCCGGGCAAGGCGTTGCTCGGCCTGTTGTCACGAAATTAGTTCAAGTCTTGCGTTGGCGATGCTTGGCCTACAGCACAAACCTGTGTACTGCTTGTTCTCAATGAAGCGCGTACTGTTGTGCAGACGGGACAGCCCTCCGACAGCTCCAGAACACGCTCAATCCCCTGCAGCAAGCGTTGGCAGATGGGTGTCACCTGAACCGAGACACGTTGCAAGCCGTGCGACGAACTGGTTTTGCTTCTGTCGACGCTTCGAGCATAAACATAGACGGCCTTAGCCTCCTCGCTCCTCATATTGTGGGCATTGCTACCGCCTGATCAGGTGGGGATACTCCACGTCGAGTCCTCGAATTGCGCTGATCGAGTCGCAGCTCATCCTTGCTCCATATTAGAAGGGACGGTTGCATATGCTTGGAAATGATGAGCTTGAAGGCTGCAGCATGCTCCATTGAATCACTGAATCTGAATCAGTGATCGATAGCTCAAGAGCTATCCAGTGAGCTTTATAATGATTCTGCATCATGTGCGCAATATGATGTACTGAGGACTCATACTACAATTGGCGTTACATTGGATAATGACATCCGCTGCACCACTCAGTGAAGCGCGGCGGTGCAAGCATGCAGATTGTTTCTCGCTAATTACTATCAGAGCTCAACCACAAGTAGTTTGCGTGCAATCCGAGATCATGCATGCGCGGTCATCATGTGCACGCGATTTAAGCGACTCTAGCGGATTGGATCCGACCGTCCATGCGTTCTTCTTGCCAGTATGTACGTGCCTCACATGGGCGATATGATCTTAAGCGGCGCCCGCCCTATGTCCGATATCAAATTAACGTGCCATGGCATGTGCGCCAATGACGGTCATTCATGTGCCAGGTCCAATGGGTCCATCAATGATGTACATAGCTACTGTAATTAATAGCTCCATTCTCCATGTATTTTGACGGGCACTGCAACAACAGTGATACATTATTACTTTCATGTGGTGACCGGCATGCAAATCTCCGGCATGCAATGATGACAACCACTGTCGATTGTGGAAGGCAGCAGCAACTCTTGGCAGGCCAACAGTGCAGATCGAGTATTTTCAACAGGTAATGTGTTCAGATGCAATCTTACGACAAAGTTTATGCAAGCCCTCCTTGAATGTTCGCCAAGCAACTCATATCCTAGAGCGACGAGCTGTGGGCGCCCTAAAGTACACATCGCACGACTCGTGCCCTGTATCGCTTTGATTCAAGCGAAGGGACCCAGGACTGAAATGAAAAAGCGTCTTGGACTAGTCCTGCAGTTCAGGTCTCAATGGGTGGTTGCGGCAACTGGTTGTGCTGTTGCAGATAGCTGGCAGCTGTCCAATTTAAAGGGTAACTGCAAGGAGGCGTCACAACATGGTCAGCTTTGTCTTGGAACAGGGTGAATCACCGAATAGGGTTTGAATCACTGCTGAGAGACTCTGCCACCAGTCTCAGATCCGTCGACAGGTAAGACGCTGATTACAAACCTGCCCAGGAGGCATTTCCAATTCAGTTACCCACTGACAGAAGTATTGCGAAGTTGGAGGAAAAACACCCAAGTAAAATACCCTCCACGACCAGATGGTTTTGCAACCTGCCTGCAGAAAACACTGCATGACTTCCTGGCAGTCACGGTTGTAAAATTTCTTCAACGTACACCAATGGCAACCAATTGCGAACTGCCCAACTCACCCTGGCACCCAGTACCGGCTCCGCCTGCCCCCCCACTTGGGCACTCGTCGCGGCTTTCGCGCTCCCTCCTGCCGCAGCTCCCTCCGCCCGTTTGCCTCCCTCTCCTCTGCCGCCCGCCCATTCCCCCTCCCCCTGGCAGGCTTCTCGTCCTCCTCTTCTAACTCATCCTCTGGGGGCTCTACTTTTCGGGGGGGTCCTTCTCGCGGCCACGGGATGTGCGGCGAGGCCGCCTCCTCGTGATCGTCGTGCCGCCCCCCTTTTCCGCCCCCCACGGCCGCCGACTCTGCCGCGGCCAACGGTCCCGCGCCACTCGGCTCTCGCTCGTCGGGCTCGGCGCGCGCCGCGCCTGGTTCTCCTGGCACGGGGGACGTTGCTATGCTGGCAGAAACGACCGGTTGCGGGGGGCCGTTCATCGGGGGTGGCGCTTCAGCCGGGGGGGAGGACTGAGCAGTGTGGCTGCTGCTCGGCCGTGCAGGCGTGGGGGACAACGGAGTAGGCGCCGCCGACAGTGTATCGTCTCCCTCCCGAGGGTTGGAATCGAGCCCCCGTGCGGACTCGCTGTCTCGCTGCGCGTTCCGGTGCTTCGACGGCGGCCGGCCCCGCTTCTTATTCGGCAACCGCTCATCTCCTCGCATGCGGTCCTCCCCTCTCCGCCGTTCCGGACTTGCTGGGAGCGATTTGCCCTGACCGGCGCTCACCCCCCGGCCCGGCGCCCTTTCTTCCGTCGTCCCGAGCCGTCGTAGCTCCCGCACTGTTCCCGCCCCCTGAGGGCTGTCCTCCTGCGCTTTCCGGAGCCTTTCTCGTCGCTCCAGCCTCTCCTCTCCGGGCGTCTGCTTCCGGTCGCCCAATCCCCTCAGACTCACGCGCGGCCGCCGTTTCTCTTCCTCCCCCCCCCTCCGCCGCCGGTCGTTCTTCTCGTCCCCCCCCCTTCGATCACTCCTGTCGTCGCCCCCCCTTCGTCGATCCCTGGGGCTGCCCAAAGCGCTGCGCCGACGCTCTCGCTTCCCGTCCGCTTCGCCGTCATCCTCACTCCGCGTTCGTTTTCTTGCTCGCGGCGCTTTCTCATTTTCGCCCTCGTCACTCTCTTCCCGTATGACTGCGTTCCGGCCCCCTACTCGCCTGCGCTTCGGCCCGTCTGAGCTTTCGCCGGACCTTCCCCGCCGCTCCCGTGCGAACCCTTCTTCAGAAGCCGTCCGCTCCGAATCGTTCCCATCAGCCATTTTCTCATGAGCCTCATCGACTGCATGAGCCGATAGCTGCGGGCTACGCTCGTCCTTCTGGGGGGGCGCCGAAGCCTGTTCAGCCACGCCTTTGAGAGAAGTGCTTTTCCTGACAAACGCGTCTCCCAACGAGGCGCTGGCATGGGCCGTCAGCCCGTCTATCGGGGCAGCGTGACTCTGAGCAAAGGGCTGCCTGCTTGGAGAACTTTCATCGAAGCCTTTTGGGCTCGGAATGTCTGGCGGCTTCTCTACTTTAGTGCCGACAGCAGGTCCGGAAGGTTCCCTCAAGATTTCTCGGGGGTCACCTCTGCCGGATGCCGCAGAAGGGTGGGAGGGAGATGGCGCCTGGGGCGAGGCGGCAGCCGAAGGCTGAGGTTGCGGAGAGGCTGCCTGGTTTGAGGGGCTGGCGGATGAGGGGGGAGCTTGGTCGCAGGAAGTGGGAATGCGGAGGGGGAAGCTGTCCAGAGAGTGGGTTCCGAAGGAGATAGCCCTGTTGCAGTGGGATGCATGAAAGATAAGCTGGCAGACTTGGGGGCGTTAAACCCGCATGGCGCCATGATCTATCCAACACCGGAGGTAAGCATTTAGAGACCACCCCCAGAGCATGTTTCGATAACCTTGACTCTTAGCGACATCGACGATGTGCAGGCCAGGCAGTGCAGACATCAGACGCAAACCCTGCTCAAAGAACAACCACTTCACATACTCCTGAAATGGCGGCCTTACTTGTAGTCATATGCGATAGCGTCCCCCTTCCTGATCGGCTCCGTTGCAAAGAGACCAACCCGCAGCTCCCCATCCACCCGCCTGCATAACCCAGCCTCAAATAAGCAATCTCAGTCAATGCATCCCTACTCCACTCCCTTACAGGCCACTCGACACTTCACATCACCTTGAAAGGTCGCCTGTCTCCTGCTGTCCTAAAAGCGCTTTACACTGGGCAGAAGACTTGTCGCTAACAAGGATCTATTCTGTGTTGAGGGCACCGATAGACAGATTTTTGAATTCTTAAGTACAGAGGCAGCTTGGCGCTACCATCTGAACGGATTACTGAAACCTCTCACACAAGCATGATTGTGTGACAGCCCAGCTTGTCCCCGAGAACAACGCCTTGTATTCTAGAAGCTTGGCCAAGTTCCGGGAAAGTCACGGGTACCACCGACATTTCTGCAACAGACACCGGGACCACTACTTGGTACTCACTGGCTCGTTAGATTGGGAGACAATAAATTCCAATGCGGGGAACACGACCGACGACGTTCTCATGGCAAGTATCCTTACGAGATCCTCCCTGTCTGTAAGCGAGCACGCGACTCACCATCTCTGCAGTTGGCAGTTCGGCCGTGCGGAGTGCGGAACAAAGCGGCTAAGGTTTCCCTTGTAGTAAGCGTCCAAGACGAAGGAGTCGTCAAGCTGACACAAGTGTCGATTGTGAGCGCCCCGCCGCTCGAGCGCCGAGATGCGCTGGTGGCACAGCGCGGAATCCAACACTGGGAAAAGCGGAAAGGAGGGGCGTGAACTCTTGTGAGCAGCTTGAGTCACATGCCGATCTTATCCGTAACTTGGAAGGTGCGGATTCAAACAGCCATCGATTCAAAATACTTGCTTATCAGCTGCCCCAATAGTAGGCGAATAGGCCTGCATTCAATGAAGTTCGAACACAACTCGAATTGCGAGAGGCGATGGTCAGCGGAGTGCTAATTTTGGGTCTGACAACACAGCGGCTGTGCGTTCATCTCAACAACAGAAGTGAGGTCCTGTGATCTGACATATAACAGATACCTAAGAATGAGCCTGCCTTGGAGGAAGATGACAAATTCGAATACCCTTCCAGGGCTCTTCTGGAACATCGTTGTCATTGTTACACACTCCATTCAAGCTTGTAACATATGCTGATACCGCTCGCTCCTGTTACTAAGCCCCATATGATGATAAAGTGTGCACTAGATCACATGAGCTCCTTTTCCATTTGCCCCATGTCATAGTTTAGAGCTCTGCAAACGAAACAACCATCGGAACAGCAGCCGCTGTCCAAGCAACCGTCGCTCACCTTCCCCTACGTACTCCACAACAAAGTCCTCAGCTGCAACGTCCTCCCCTGCCCCCACAGTCCATTCCGACTCCCGAACCTGCAGGACGGAAAAAGACTTGCTCAACCAATAGCCTTAGCTTCCACATTCTATCGTCCATAATCGTCCAACTTGATACCGGGCGGATCCAACAACTCCGCCCCAAGCTTCGCTACTGATCGTCCAGTCCGTCGGCATTCAATCTGAGCTGTACGATTGTGTTGGAAGGAAATTCTAGTCAACATTCGATGTGAGGCAACTTCAAACATGGCCCGGCAGGTACAGAGTGACTGCGATTAGCATACCTTCTCAGAAGGCACACTCATACAAGCGCTGCTGTACCACGATACTTCTCACACAATGGCCGAGTTGCTAGGCACAATGTGTGGCCGGGTAATTCTGGTTACAAAGCGCGACCGGCCCCGCTGGCCGACATCAATCATTGGACCCCCTACTAAACGAACTCTTCTTCCTACGTTGAACTCGAAATTCGAAATTGAACAAGCTCCTTGTCTGCCGCGGCAGCGCAATTCGCTGCCAGGTCAATCAAGTGTTTGGTATTAGTTGGAGGAGCTCACCTTGTGAAGCTCTAGCTTCTTGCTGGCAGCAAAGGACGGGGCCGCCTGAGCGGCGGGGGCACCGGACCCAGGGCTATGACGGACCAACCACTCATCTGGAAAAAGCCAATCGTATCCCTTTAGTCATCATAGGAATGAGTGTGCACTGATCCTTCTCTTCTGCTACAAACTACCTCAAAGTACTCATTTACTCTCAAAGTCCCATCCAACATTGGGTGGTGTAAGATGGCTCGCCATTTCAGCGAGAAGTTCTTGACAGTAGTCAAATTGCGCTAAGTAATTCAGTCCGCAGCAGCTTCCCGAAGATGCTGTGACCTGACAGCTGAATGTGCGAAGAGATTGATGTGACCACATTAGAGATTGCAGGATTGCCCCGTGGCGAGCCTTGCACCTGGACTAAGTGAACCTGTCCAGTAGAATCATCATTACGCTAGCTGCTTGCCATTGAAGCAAACTCGGTCCGCAGGAGCTCGTTTTCGAAGACTCAAAAGGTGCCTATAAGCTTCCAGTAAGCCACAAACGGTTGCTTTGCTTGTGTTTGCTCTGAGGCTTTGCAGGAAAAATCTGAGGCTCTAGCTAGACGAACTCGCCTGTAGTAGCCTGCTTTGGAATGACTCCTGACAGTAGTCTCAGAAACTGACCAGAGTCCCTGGATAGCCTAGAACCCTTTTTGGCACGAGAGACGGTAAACCTCTTTCTTGAATTCCGAACTTCCACGATTGACAACCTTCTCTGTCTTCAACGTGCACAATCCTCTGATAGAAAACAGTGACTGTCTAAACAAGTCCGGGTCCCTATCTCAGCTGTCCCCCACTATTCCTGCAAAAAACTACACACCTTCGTTGTTTCACACAATCTACAAAGACCACCACATAGGACACTCGAGACACTCACTGTGATCAATGTGAATGTAAGGCGGGTTCTCTGCATCACGTCCCTCCCCCATCAGCATTCCCCCAGTTGCACCTCCATCCTCAGGTAACCCCCTCCCCCGCTCTCGGTCATCGTGCTCGTCTCTCCCATTTTCCCCCCTACCTGCATCCATTCCCGCATCCTGCCCGTCACTACTACCCGCCTGTTCTCGTACTCCATACCTTTGCTTTTTTACTCTTTTTGCCTGCCTCTCCCCCGCATCTGCTCCCCTCTCGCTCTCTTCCCAGCCCCGCTTGTTCCCTGAAACCTCTGGTTTCGCGCTCTCGTTCCTAGCGCCTGTGTCCACTTTCTTGGTGATCTCTGGAACTCCTTCTGGAGTCACTTCCTGCACACTACTGCTCGCTGGTTCTGCCTGGACCTGGCCCACCCCATGCGGACGCAGAACGTCCTCTTCATCGTCCGAGTCACCAGCCGCCACTTCGGGCGGCAGTTCAAAGTCAATCTCGACTAGGGGGACCGCCAGGCGCCCAAAGACCTCAGCAACGCTCTTTGTTTGAGGCAATTTCTGTGAAATGCAAAGGTGAGTATGAGCACAAGGTGTATGCGGAGGCACAACGTTGGACGAAACCCTAAAAGCTGGATACCACCAATGATTATCAAGGTGTGCTCACATTCCGCCCTTTTGTTGATCAACTTCATATGAAAGTCAGATCCCCACTTTTGATGCACATATCGCTATTTCACAGATGTTCTGATCTTCGGGGGTTTACTGCAATCATCACTTGGGAAGGTTCCTGCAATCCATCACTGACATCAAAAAGAACCTTGCTTTGACAAACCGAAGCGGATGCCGAAGCGGATGCGCACCTTGGGCTGCCTCTTCCAGTCCGAGTCGTGCCGCCAGCAGATGCAGTGCGAGGGAATCTCCTCCAAGAGGTGGCTTCCCTCAGGGGCGCATTGCTCATGGTATGCCACTGGACAGAGAAGGCACTTGTGAAGCTTGGAGGCACGCATCTGGTGATGACAAGCCCTGCAGCTGTGCTGAGGGCACACTAGGTGGTCCTCATTTGGACCGCCCCACGTGACACCTTCCAAATCTTCCACGCAAGCCTCGTGGAAGAACTTGGCACAGTCTCGTCGGCTACAGACAATGATGTCTCCCCCAGGAGCCGTGCTGCCCATCTCCTTGCAGGCAAAGCACTCCACCTGCAGGAGTGAATGCGGAGGGAGTAAGTTTGCATGAAAGTGTGGTGGCAAGCTCAAGTAGAATAAAAGCTGGAGGTAAAACAGTGCCCTAAGTTCAAACATTTACCTGCTCTGCACCCACGCCCACCCTGAACCCCCTTACTAACCCATCCGTCCCAGGCAGGTTAAGCATAGGGTAACGTGCAGGGTAAATCGCAAGGTAACCAGCATTTCTCAAGGAGACTAAAGTAGTCGGGTTGTGCTGTGCGCACCCTGCTGAACAGTGTCTATCAAAAGTGATTCACTCGGGCTTGACAGGATGTGTTCTGTAGCTACTCAGATCTACTCATTGCCAGCTTCTAAATCAAGTTCCTCCTATGGAGATTGCAGGGTTGTTCTGCAAATCAGCCACATTGCAGAAATGAATTCTTCTACAAGCAAGCACATAAAAGGCTGAGATATAGTTTCAGAGATGACACAAAGGATGAACAACTCAGAGAGAAGGTAGACTTTAAGGAGCAGGCAATGTCAAATGCCATCAATTTCTCGCCAGAAGTGTTGAACCAACAGAATGGGAGGGACAGGTTCAAAAGATGCAGCCAGCAAACCAGTGACATCCAGCTTCTGCACAAGTCTGGTTCAATGCCTCAAAGACCTCACCTTGGCCTCACGGCAGTCGGGACAAATCCACTCCTCGTCATCTGGGGCTTCATTGGAGCCAAAACTGCAAAAGCGAGGAAGAGTTACAGGAAGTCGTTAAGGCTGGAAGCGCAGCAGATACGCTCTCAAGGAAACACTGAACAATCACCCTTACCGCTCTTGACATGACTAGTCCGCTGGTTACCCAACTGACATGCTTCCTTATGCCCTGACCCATGCAGGCAGAGGCGGTAGAGAAGCCTCTTGCATGCATGTCGGGAGCGCACCATTGCTCGTCGATATGAAAGCCTTTCTTGCACAGGTCACAGTACACGAGCTCCCCCAGCTCGCTGCACACTGCGCAGATCCACGAGAGTGCCCCATCGTCCTTCTTCCGCAGAATCTCCTCCAGTTCCTCGTCCATGCTTATTCTTCCGTGCCAAGTTCAACCTGATCCAAGAAGCCTCCTACAGCCATTGCCCTCGGCCTCCCTCTGATGGGGCGCTGTCAATGAGACCAGCGCCGCAAGAGAATGAAAGAAAACGGAGAAAAAGGAGCGCATATGAGTTTTCAACGCAGCTTGAAGAGAGAGGCGGCTTCTACAGGGTCATTCCTTTGGAACCTGCAACCCTGGCGTCTCGAAGATGAACCAAACAACGTGCCGCCCTTCCGCTGCTCAATTTCAAAGCTCTTGCTGGAAATGGAACTTTTGAAGAAATGAACGAAACATGGGGACTGTCGATTCACCTCGCAAACTAGAGGCAGAAAGGCAGAAACTACCTATTCAGGACAGGCTGAAGCGACAATCACAACGAATGAGGAGCTGCCACCGTGTCAAGCAGCTTCAAGCATGAACGGTTCAGATGAAGCTCATCTTGAATCTAACGGGCTTGCTTCGAAATGCAAATATCTCCCCGCCATATGATATGGTCGACTCCAGCCCATGTGCAAGCAGAAGGGCGCCAGCACTGGCAGCTGAAGGCTGATCAGGAAGCTCCTCCTACCAGCAGAGACGGTGTCCCTCTACGGGCTCCTCTACCAGCAAGTGCCAGCAAGTGCCCCTCCACGGGCTCACCACTTGTACTAGCGAGTTGGGAGCAAGGTGCTCTATTTCTAGTCAATCAAGCCGCTGTCTTCGTTTCGTCTTCACGAAGCCAATTTTGGTATCTTTCTTTGATTACACAGAATTATGAGGCTGTTGTGACGCCGAGAAGGTGAAGAGCGCTGAAAAGCGCAAACAGGACACCCTCCTTTGCTTGAAGTTCTTCTTCCCTGCTAAGACAACCGCTGGCAGGAACCGCTTGATGGTGTGGTGCTCCCTTTTGCATCCCAACTATCTGTCCCAGTTTGAGGTTCAATAAATAGCTCGGAACCGATGCAACTGCTCGGAAGCGATGCAACTGCTCACTGCTGCTTGCATTCCAAGCTGAACAAGTATTTCAAGGGCATTCGTAGCCTCCTGAATTGACTTGAGTCCCTGCCTGAAGGTGGTGTGGACTGAACCTTGATGCAGCTTAGGTTCAATTAGGTCCGTTTCTGTCGGATCAAGGAGAGATGACTGCCGCGCCAATGCTAGCCTCTTGATTTGTGGCTGCACCTGCGCAGTTCAAAGATCTACCGTAGGTATAAGTCCTAGCATTGGAGTGAGCTGCGCTCAGCAATGTCTTTGAAAGCAGTGCAAGCCGAGCTTGTGGCATGTCGAGAGTGCAAAGCAGTGTTCACAGTTGATGCTGTGGCTTTGAAAAGCCTCCTCCATCCAGGGGAGTGGCACTGTGGAAAGTGCTTGCAAGGGAAGGTGAGTCTCCTGGCCCTCTCAGAGCAAGTTCTTTTTCCCCAAAGAACCACTAGATCCAGTCAATTACCTGGACGGTAAACTTACAACGCGTGATGTCTGTGCGACGTCAGAATATGCCTATTACTAAGGCTACTTGTCACGGTTGTAATGCAAATCATGACGCTGCTCGATTGACAACAAAGCTCTCCATCTAAGTCGCTTCTGGAAGAGGAACATTTGAATGATTGGTCTGAAGCCACCGTCGGCGATTAGATTACTCCAATCTACCTGATTCCGGAAAAGACCGCTCTGATTGGTTCCCAGATCAAGTGCCCCTTTGCCCCTGCAGAAGCTCACTGAGGCAGAAGTTTGTTTGCTTAGAGACTGCTTGATTTACCACGAATGCATCACGCTGCCAACCTGCACTGCTCAATTTTCGGATGACATGGCATTTGGGGCACCAGTATTTCAGCCACTTTTTGTTTTGAGAGTGTGGTTCCTCTAGAGCCTTTGTATACTTTCTGACAAAAGCTGCTGATGGAGGAGTGCCATGTGCTTTACTCTACACTGAGGCCCCCTCCGATGCAACACCTGGCAGCCCGCTCTTATCAACCCATTCCAGATTTCTCGAGCCCTCATAGCAGCACACCAGGGCATGTATTGTGTGGCTCGAAATTTTCGCAGGTTCCGGATAAGCCCACACTTGTGTTTCACTGCGAAAGTGAGCCCGGGCTTTGTTTTCAAGATGACACCACCTTTCATACATTACAGCTCTCATAGATGTCCAAGGTTCCCACTTCTCTTTGTAGCACAGACAATATAGCAGAGATCTCCGGAGCTGATGACCATACTGAATTCTCTACTGCAGGTGCGCTGCTTTTCCTGTGGCGACCTCGCCCCCACGCGATCCACCGTCCAGTGCAGCCACAAAAACTGCACCAACTCTTTCCACCCTAGTTGCGCTGATCTACTCCCAAAACCCTCCCCCCACGAGCCCCTCACGAAAGGCCACACGCCCCCCCCTTTTGTGTGCCCCCACCATTTCTGTGCGGAGTGCAAGGGGACCAAAAGCCTTCTACTCTGCTCTGGATGCCCTGTGGCTTATCACGCGCGGTGTTACCCTGGGGGAAAACTGGAGAAGAGTGGGTCCAGCAATTGGGTGAAGTGTTTCCGGCATGACGAGGACTGGAAAGTTGAGAACCTGGTAAGCGCCGCCCCAGGTTGTTCTGGACAGTCCAAGCCACGCAGCTTGGAGGCAAATGGGCAATAGTTTCCTTTCCACTTTTGGGCGTCAACCAGAGCTCCGATGAAACAACATCCTTGTCATGGGTAACATCCGAGTAGAGTCTTGATTCCTGAATCATTCAAGCTTTGGTTGGATTGCTCAGCTGCAAGGGTTTGCGTGTAAGGGGTCTCTTATCTTGTCCATTTGCCGAGCCCGATGTGAACACGAACAATGTGTCTCAGGCTGCCCTACCATGTGCTCAATTCTCGCCAAAGCCCAGAGATTTCCGTCGACTTTTGTATAAGCAGACTTTCCCCCTCTCTTTGTCCCCTAACAAATGCCGAAACAAGACAATGCCACTTCACCCTGACAAGCCCTCTCTCATGTGCCAGACTGCCCCCCCAAGCACTGGCGTAAGGGACGCCTTTGAGCGACTACCGCTTCCCCCCAAGAAAATCGACTTCCGAGTCCCCCGGCAACTGCAAGAAGCGGTAAAAAAACTGGCGGAGCAGCCCCCGCTCTACCAGCACATAAAGCGGAGTATCCTCAACGGCAGCCTGATTGTTGATGCCTTTCATTGTTGGTCGTTGTTGTCTTTTCGTATCCCTCCGGACTTCCTCACTTCCTCGATTTGCATTGCTATGGAGAAGCTGGGCCAGTAAATATCAGTAATTACCCAACCCGATACTGGAAACCGAACACATTTCGATCTGCGTTTTAGTGATAGTGTCTAGTGGGTGGGAAGGCAACTTTGCGGAACTACTAAGCCGCCAGTGCTGCTCTTGAAGTCAATTGCGCTTTGAAGTGTTTGCTCCTTTGTTGTACGGTGTCCACCGGAGGCGTTCTCCCATCCAGTCCCTCGAGCTTCAACTTGTCTCTTGTCCGAGTAGCTTTGTTACGTAACTTGAAATTTGCATCTTGGTCGCATTGTCATTCTGGCACATGGTCATCCGCATAACTAAGACGAGCTGCCCTTGTCAGGCAGCAAATTTTTTCCTCATTGGGCGAGCAAAACAGTTTCGTTTCTGTTGAGCTCCTTGACCGTTGTCCTCAGACGTGTGGGTGATTCCCAAGCCGAAGAGCAAGGGTCGGGAGGACGAGAGCATCGAGCGCTGCGACTGCAAAGCGGGGGCCGCTGCAGACGCATGCGCGAAGGACTGCCTTTGTAGGTGAGGATAGATGATGCCGATGTCACACTGTCGAAAGCACCTGTCTTTTGCGCTCAGTGAAAGCTGGACCTTTCTGGTATGTCGTAAATGACGTGTTTCTCAAAGGGTTTTGAATGATTGGGCGTCATACATGGTTGCAGCCAATGCTTGTCCATCCTTCAGATACTTAGGGTGCTTCTAGGCAGCGCAATCCCTTGCGCCGATGCTCGTATGCACTTTGCAAAGCGCTTTTCCCTGAGAGTCCTTCTTGATTCTGTCTCGACCCGCTCCGACCAGAACAAGAGCAGACCCGCTCAGATCCACATCGCCTAATTCGATGGTTCTGTGCAGCTTGTTGTTCATCACCTGCTCCAAGGAGTGCGGCTGCTCCCAAGGCTGCCAGAACGTAGCCTTCCAGAAGCGCGTGGTGCCAAAGTTGAACCTTGTCAAGGTGCGGACCGACGATTGTAGGCTTGTCTTTCCTGTGTAACTTCGGTCTCCGAAGCATCTTGTTTGTTGCTGCAAAGCTGACCAAACCTTGGACCATGCTCGCTGGTCTTCAGCTGCGAAGGTGCATAAGAAAACCGTTTCGTTTCTCGGGCGTCAGAGCGAGCACGAGTCCTTTTCTGATTTTGACCAGCCGTCCTGTAGCGTTTGTGAAGAATCTTTGCGAGCATCTTTTTCAGGAGTTTTGTCAAGGAATCTTAGAAGAGTCATCAATGTGCACTGGCTTCCGCTTGTTGCGCACGTTGCGTTGTTTGGTTACTTCTACCAGAGACTGATGCGAAAAGCAGCTGCATCGTGGCAGGAAGCGTCAAAGCGATTTTTTTTGTTGATCGAGCATTGGCAGATGAAGATGCCGAAATTGAGTAGGTGATTTTTATCCATGACGTTCAGCAAGAAGTGCGCTTGCACTTGGTTTTCGTACGTTTTCTCGCTTTAATGATAGATACCCATCTCTCTCGGGGGAGAAAAAAAGACGGTTTCGGACTGGCGAACTTGAGTAGATGTTTCTCAACCATGGCGTTAAGCACGACGTGCGACATGTCCACCCGTCTCTCGTTTCTGGTACGCATGTTATTGACCTTTGTGCACTTGGCTGTCGCAGACGGAGGCGTGTGGGTGGGGCATCGAAGCGGGGCAGGACATTCCGGCCGGCACCTTCTTGGTGGAGTACACGGGGGAAGGTGAGGGGCCGGAGCAGCGGCGGGTCTTCTAATCATGGGAGTTTACGTCACATTTGCCGAGCCGAATCAAAGATCGAGCCGTGATTTGCAGTGTTGCGCCATCAAACTGCCTTTCATCAACGGTTCAAGTTTGGGAACACCCTCCTGAAACGTAGCAGAATTGACGCAAACAGCTGTGAATGACAGCAGCAAGAGACTGGCGAGGACTTGAAAGTACTCTCGGAGACGAAATCAGAAAGAGAAAATCCAACGCTGGCAAGTTCGCTGGAAGGCACTGTTGATTCTTGAAGAGACGGTCGAAGTGATGCACTGGAAGCCGATTCTGACTGGTGAAGTCAACGCTTTGAAAACGACCTGTCGCCCCCAGATTCCTGCTAACGTATGCCAACGAGAATGTTGAAGAAATTGATCGTGCTGCAAATCTCACTCAGCGAGATCCCATTCGATCCTGGGAGCGCAACCAGGTAGTAGCCACTCTCCAGAATTCGCACGCCCTGTTCAACTCATGAGTGGTACAAAGCACATGTTGGGCCCCCATTGGACCGCCATTGACAAGCTCGTCCTCCGCTCAATAGAATCCCTCGAAATTTTAAAGCCTAAACATCAGCCAGAGGTTCACGAACTGTATGTTCCGCCCCGCAGTGATTGACGACAAGCTGTGCGAGGAGCGACTGTGGCGCAAGAAGGAGGCGGGCGAGACCAACTTCTACATGGTCGAGGTCACCCGCAACATGGTCGTTGATGCCGCGGAGAAGGGCAACTACGCACGCTTTGTAAACCATTCGTGCGAGCCCAACTGCGAGCTGCAGAAGTGGTGAGCGCCGGACTGGGTCGCGCTCGAAGCTGGACCTTTGATGAGCAAGGCTGCATCACCGTGTGTCAGGATTGGCGAGGTTACATTCGACGAAATGATGGCCGGCTGGGTCTTTGCGTGTTAAAGAGCAGTTGACGAAGGTGAAAGCATCGACAGATCCCCGGTTTCCAGCCCATTTTTGCAGAGTGCGATAGTGAGCTGGAACGTGAGAATGTGCATGATTTTATGATCTGTTTTGTATCGAGAGTGATTGAAGCCGTAGGCGGAGAACGAGGACGATACTCTTCATATTGAAATCCCGTGCCGGTGAATATGATCAGATGCGATTGAAGGTCACAAAAGCCCCGCGCCCTTTTGGGTATGGCCAACGTGAGGTCCACATCGGTGTGCTGCCATGAAGCGCAAATCCTGACTGTCAGGGAGAAACGCTAGGGAGAAACGTTAAACTCTGAAGTCCAATGAGTCTTATGAAGGTGGCCGTAAGGGCGGCAGGTCGTGGAAACAGTACTAAAGTGCTCGAGCCTACGTAGAAGCCAAGAAGTACTCCGGTTGAAATAAAGCTACGAAGTCCCTTCGAGAGGGCGCCTGTTTGCTTGCGCAAATCCTGAGGAGCTATCACTCGACAGCTTGCTTCGCAGACGAGGCTGCCACATTTTCTAAAAGGCCCTAAAGGTTGTTCCATGCTTAAGTTTGATCTGAGTGCTTGTGCAATATTTCCCTCCCCATAACGATCGAGTCACAGCGTTGCTCGACTCTGAGACGGCTCGAGTTTTCTGGATTTCAGGCAAATAGATGGGGAGACGCGGATTGGCATCTTTACCACGCAAGACGTGAAACAGGGGACTCCATTGGCGTACGACTACCAGTAAGGGCCTCGCATGACCCTGACCTGTCAGTCTGCAATCTGCTAGAGCTTGATAGCACCCTCTATTCAGCAAGCGGCGTTCTCAAATGCTCATAGCATGGAAACAAACGAAACGCCGCCCAACATTGGTTCAACGTGATAAAGAATGATGGTCGTGCGTCGCGCGGACACGCTTTCGGACAGGATGGTCCGTGGCCCTTTCCGCATGAGATTCAGTTGCGCGAGCAAGTACGGATTCTTCTCGGTGCAGTCTCTTTATTGTTGACCCTTCGCTTTTGCGGCCTTCTTTGCTAGGGTTGCTTCAGCCTTGCCGGTTCTGTCCGTCCATTGCGAACTGTGTTGAGCATTGCAGACCTGATACTTTTTATGCATCGCAGGTTTGTCCAGTTTGGAGCGGACACGGAGTGCCGGTGCGGTTCCGCGCGCTGCCGGGGTCGCCTCGGAAAGACCGCGCCGTCCGAGGACGGACTGAATAAAGCGAACGGGGGCCGGCTGGTCCAGAAAAAGGTGAATAGAGGGCCTCAGAAACTATGAAACACTGCTCGATGAAGGATTTTGAAGTGGGTGTTGAATGTGAAAATGCTTGAGCTGGAGGAACGAGGGTTGCAAATGCAGCCCCCTTGGTCAGAAGCGACTGTCTCGACTCTCGCAGATTGCGAGAGATTGAACATCGTTCGGAGCTCTTTGGAGCGAGGACTTTTCAGGGTGGATACAGAGAGTCTCCGAAGCATATTAAGATGGAACACATTGAAAGAGGAAGACTTAGAGGGAAGGAGACACGATCGCGATAAAAGCTGCGTCCCCGGCAGCTTGCAAGAAAGACGGTTGGCTCCTCCAAGCGTCGTGTACGTCTCGAAGCGCTTCCAAAGCGCTTTAGAAAAGCGATATTATAACGTCTCCTTCATCCTGTGGCCCTGTGCAGATCAACGAGATGTTCCCGCAAAGCAAGGAAGGGGCTAAACGAAGGCTCAGTGGTAAGTAGTGATCACCATGCATTCTTGGAAACTTTGGAGCAACCGCTGATGGCACTTGAAAACGGTTGAGCAGCGAGTCGATTCCCCAACCGTTTGCAGGTCATCGTCCTAGATTTTGATCCAATCGGAAAAGCCACAGAATCATTTGATTCCCAGTAAGAGACTGGTGGATCTCAACATTGGGATGAACTGAAAGCGTAACGTCTCCACAATTCGCAGCGGTTCCTTGTCGCACAAGGCGCTGAGCATCTGAGCGGGAATGCCCTTTAAAGCTCTGACGACCATGCCCATTGTAGCGAAGTGTTTCAGAAACGGAAGCAATCTCACGAAGCACGCGCTCTATAAGGTGTACAACAACGGCGTGTCAAAAGTCGGACTGGAATACGGCTCCGAAAATCTGATCTCATCGCGTTGGCTCTGCAGCGAAAGTGTTGCGAAAACGTGCGGAGCAGCTCAAGGCGGCCGAGGACCTGGTGGGCAAACGCGTGGAGGTCTGGTGGCCGTTGGATCAGATGTGAGCGCAATTCTATAACCCGTTATTTCAGAAAGGAAGACCTAATCTTCGTGTCGTGACTCGTGGCCCTTTGACTTCTAAACGGGGAATGGAGGCAATTATTTAATCTTTCTATCTTTCAGAGGAAAAGATAGAATCTGTTTTCCGTTGGTTAATTATCTACTCTCCTGCGCTTCTGAGCCTTGGCTTATAAAAGCCATTCCCACAAAAGTCGAGAAGACGGATTATGAATCTACATCCACAATCTCATGTGCTGACTTCCGCACTCTGGGGCAGGTACTATGGCGGTGAGGTCGTTGCCTACGACGCCGAGCGAAGGCTGCACCGGGTGCACTACGACGATTCGGAGGTGGAGTGGGTGGACCTCGTCAAAGAGCGCCACAGCATCGTCAAACCTGCCATGGCGCCCGTGCTGCCGTCCCTCTCCACTCCTAGTGAGTTTCGCTATCGCAAAATGCTCAACAGAAACTTCCTTTTGACAGGCTTTAGATTGCTCAGTTAGGCTGCGGTTATGCTTCCAGCGAGCTCCCTTTTGCGACTTTTGCTTTCGACGAAGAACCTCGCGGTTGACAGCCTTGATGAGCGCAGCTGAATTGAGACGTAGCATTAGGAAACACTGACGGGGAGAATGTCTCTGGGTAGGTTTCGGCGAATATTTATGCGCCACTAGGTCTCAAAGCAGCCTCAATCAACAGCCTCCTTTACCCTCCGACAGAAGGACGCCTTTAAGGGCCATTAAGCAAAAGGTCTCTTCGATGCGAACCCCTAAAGCTTTCTCTCTCCAGGCTCAGCACCTAGTTTGGGTCCTGCTCCCTCTAGCACGGTCCCCCCAGGGGTGAGCGGCGGTGCCGGAAGGACGCGGCGGTCACGCGGTCAGCAAATAGTGGGGCAGAGAATACGGGTATGGGACGAGGGACAGGGGCGCTACCGGACGGGTACCGTGGAGCTGTGCAATGCAACGCAGCTGACGCACACAGTAAGCCTGCTTATCGATCGTTCTCAAATTTGCAACATGGACTTTTCGGGAGCTTTGTTTGCCTAGAACGATGGGCATGGGCTCCTTGGCAGTGAAGCCGTCAAACCGGCCGAGGTCTCGCACACACTGGGTTTCGTATTCGTTGACTCGCTTGGGATGGAAAAAGTCCTTTTAAAAACTCTGGTTTGAGGGTCTAAAGTTTCCTGGGATGGAGGAAGGGCAGGGCTGCTGCACAGTAGAAACCTCGAACTATCTCAAGCCCGCAGCTCATGTTTAAAGACGTGCAAGCCTGCAAGGTCTTTTAATATGGACTGTCACTGCTTTCGAACTGGATCTCCTTAGGATGCAACCAACCAGTTTCTCGTGCCCGCTACATGTAGGAAATCTTCGGCTTTTTCACCAGGCACTCCGACAAATGAGTCGAGTTGCTGAATGCGTTGACATTCGAAGATGTAGCCAATCTGACCTTTACGACGCAATGTCGGAACGGCCGCTGACTTTTCGTGCTGCTTCCTCACCTGACATAGTTGCTTCGTTCCTGGCCGCAGATTGTGTACGACTGCGGCATGCGCGTACAGCTAGACCTGTCGCGGCACCGCTGGCAGTTGGAGACCACGTACCACATGCCGTCGGAATTCTGTACGCCGGACCCAACGGAAAAGGTATGGCGGAAATCTCCCGGAGCCTCGTGAATTGTCATTGCGTCGTCGCCAAGTCCCTGCTTCAAAAGAGCGTGGCCTTTTCAGTACTGCTCGATTTCAGGATTGCTCTGAAGGTTCTAGATGTTGGCAACTGCGAGAGAGATTTGCAAACGAAGGCGTGAGCAAGTCAGGCCTGGCCTTGGGTTGGGAGTGCAGGCTGCAACGTCAGTTCGGCTGAGGATCATGTCACCTGTCAGCTATGGAAAGTGTTACTGGCTGACTTCATTTTCTGACCAAATTTCTGCAGGCAGAAGGCGAGGCTCTCGTGGGCCGCAGGATAGCGCTCTGGTGGACTGTCGGGAAGCAGTGAGCAACTCTGCTCGAACTTTCTTTCTGAATCATTAGGGTTCACATCTTTCGCCCCCATCCCTCCTCCGCCATCTATGATTCCGTTCCGCTTGTCCCGTTTCGCTGATTCCGCCGTCCTAGTTCCGCTTCTTCTCGCGTGCTGACCTCTCATTCCGCCGCCCCCAAATCCGCCGGTCAAGTCTGCCCCCTCTACCTCCGTCAGCTATGACAGACACCACCCGTTCTGTCTCGACTTATCTCTGCGATACCGCAAGTATCTTTTGGTGCCTCCAGGCTATCCTGTGGCAAGCCCTCGATGTGTTAAGCCCCCTTTGGGTCATTCTTCCTCAAAGCCCTTCTGTTGAATTGCCCGTTTATGAATGCTAAAAGAGCAGGCCAGACTCAGTATTAACTTCTTTCCGCAGGCAATGGCACGAAGGGGTGGTCGAATGCTACTATCCAGGGGAGAAGATGCACCTGGTTAGTATCGTTACAACAATTCTAGCCTCCAACTCTTCATCAAGAATCATCCTAGTCACACTTTAAACTCCGGACAACGCGTTTCCTTTATCCTGCCGCAATTAACGCACAGCTATGTCCGCCATAAGTCTGCGTCCTTACGTGCGTGAGGTGTTCAAAAGGGGCAAAACTTTCACAATGCGTTTTTCACCGAATAAGAGTGGGCAGCTGACCAGCGCATAGAAGGACTTGATGTAGCGGTCTGCTTCCTCCGACGAACTACGCCCAGATACTCGCCAATCAAAGCTCGAGTCTCGGCACAGTCGGGGCACCCGAGGCTTAATCACTCCTGCTTTGCAGATGAAGGCACAGCTCCTTCTCGAAGCCCGTCTTTTACCAGTTCTTGACAATCTCATCGCATCAGCAAAGATCCTGTAGCTCGTACATGTCCAGCAAACGACTCTCGGATATACGTCATTATGTTCAGGACTTCAGGGCAGTGGCATCATCTCATTCCGCCCGGCTGCTTGCAGATCCGGTACGATTCCGGTATCACGGAGGACATCTCGCTGGAGGAGCAAGAGTGGCGCTTGCTCGAGCAGGACACTGACGGGCTCGAGCCGGACTGCGACGACGGGTCGTTGTGCATTGACGACAAGCTCAGCCAAACAACTGTGGATGTCTCCAAGGTAAGGCGCGGTCGCTTTTGGTAACGGACGAATTAGAGTGAGGCCCGCTTGTCGTCTATTTGTATTTGTGGCTTGGCACTCGAGGCAGGCGAGGGGAGAACCGTGAGAAAGTCTTCAACTTTTCTGTTAGTGCTGTGTTGAATTGACGTGTGAGGCGGCGTTTCATTTCGAGAGAATGGTCTGGTGATGGATCACACCATGTTTGGTGAATCATCAGGGGACTCCTCCTGTTTCAAAGACTGCTGAGTGTCACAGGCGTGTCTGAAGATTCTCTTTACCATACTGTCACAGATTAGCGAAGTGTACCATTCGCCGAAGAAGCGACGGCAAGCTGCAGTCGCTTAGCTCATCAGAGGCGGGGCCTAGATCGGACAACAACAACTCTCTTCACTGAAAGAAGTGCAGAGTTGACGTTACTAGCTCACTTGACAGTAGCATGAGGAGGTTGCAAGACCATAGGAGGGTTGCAAGACCTCGTGTATGCCTCTAACTATCCGATTGCCCAATCAGCAACTGACAAAGCAGGGGGCTACCTACTTTGGCAGACAGAGATATGCAAGCAATCGGTTGGATATCCTGACGTACGGCTTTCAAGGCTGCAGCCTCTTTCCGTACACTGAGAGAAATGACATACAAAGGGCACAAACATGCCCAAGTCGAGCAATCGAAAGTTGTTACCTTCCATGACGATTGTGATGGAAGCGCGCGATTTGGCAATCATGACATGGGCTAAGTTGCTTCAATTGCTGATTACCTGCGGCTTATAAAGTGAGTGGGTCCGACACATACCGTACCTCAACGTGTAGATTCGTGAACTAGCTAGATTTCAATTTGGTAAAAGCTAAGTATGATCCGTCGGACGGCCGGCGTGGCCCCGGCTGGGCATGTCTAATTCTTGCCCTAGTGTCAGCTATAGCTATATATTTAAAACGATCCATGCATGGCGGCATGCATGTGTTCAATGCCCTCGATCGATCCGCACCGCACGCGCACTGATGCATGTACGTTCGTAAAATTAAGCATGCTGGTCATGCTCGGGGCCGCGCCAACACGGCCGGCTTCGATGCATATGTCGGATGTACGTGTCAATCACAATGTGTGATAGCTGCTAAGCTAGGACCGCGCATGGCATACATGCTTATAACTGCAGTGATGCAGTGCACGATATAAATCTATAGGCTGCTGCCGCATCTCCATTATTAGCTACTAAGAGCTTGAGTTGCCTTGCTTCGCATCATGCAGAGCAACATGGTACTAACGTAGCATATGGGGTGAATCGGCTCGGCTTTTGATGTTATGAATTGTCTTCCAATATACACTCATCCACAGAGCCTCTCGACAGCTAGCCTTCGTCTTCTAGAAAGAGACACTGCCGCCGCACCTGCAAGGCATGAAAACCTGCGTTATCTTGAATACTCGTACAACGTGTTGGGACGATCGGACCCGTATATAGGGCGCTCGGAACCAAATCAAAAAATGAAATTTCCCATAACGTAAGCTTCAGTCAGCAGGAAGGCTCCAATGAAAAAGGGATGCGAATGGACCAAAAGCAGCAAAGAGAGGTCATTGCCCTTGCTACGTCCGACTTTGCAAGTCGGTCCGAAACTTTGAATCGACCAACCTGCGATGCGGTTCTGCCCTTGGTCTCTCCAAAAGCGCACTCCCGTAAGCCCGTCCACTTAACCAAAAATCTGCAGACATGAGAGGGCACATGTGAGAAAAACGAGCAGCGAAGTTGCAATACAATTCGGATCTATTGACGGCGGGTCAAACATAGGTGCAAAACTGCATAGCCCAGTTACGATTGCAGCATAGACTGCCAAATTCCTTTTGTAGATGTCGACCATTGTTACCGTTTGCAGGAAGGCGTTCCAAGCGACGAGACAGCTCTGCGCTCGCCACGATAAAAGTACTCTCAACCCGCCGCCGTGCGTACCTTCAAAAGACCGTCTAGCATGCCGGCTGGCTTAGGGATCCCGTAGAACTTGAAAGCGATCTCGCCAATGTACTGCGGAAGATCAATATGTCACGTCAGCAGATGTTGAGCCGAGGGGAGACAACAACCTGAAAAAAGCATCCTGGCACATGTTCTCAGGACGTTCGCGAACCAGTTAAAGGCAGCCGTAGTCTCCAAGTCACCAATCGATAGGATCAGAGGCAAATTCTCGCATCTTTGGCACTACATCATGACACAACAAAGATGCACTTTCTGTCGGTGGCCTGACTAACAAGGAAAGCCGTAAAACGAGCACCGCTTTCCGATACATCCCGTACGTACGCCTTGGCGATCCTGAGTGCGTTAGCTAAAGGTGACGTAAGCCGAGCGGACCCTGTCTCGTCATCCTTGCAGCTCACCGTTTGGAAGGAGGGGTCGCGCTCCAGGCTGGGCTTGTACTTGTGCCGGAGCAGATTGAAAAGAGGTAGCGCGTCGCGCTCGAGTCTGCATGAGGGGGTTTGAACAGGTCGTTGTGAGTGACGTCACAGGGCGACAGCGCGGCCCGCCAAGTGCCTCCCCATGTCGCCGACTTAGTGGTATCAGCGCTTGTTCCCCAAACGCTCTTCTCTACGCAGAAGCGCTTTCCATAGACGCGCTTTTCCACGTGTCACAGCTTAGGTCTCTTCAAAAAACTTCTGCCACGCTTGGAAAAGGTTCCACCAGAAAAGGAGAAGCGAGAATGCATTCCAATCCGTTGTCTTTAACCTTTACGCTGTTATGTATCTCTAGAGCTCAATCGAGGGCCAAGTCCGCTCCGGTGAAATGACTGCTCCCTTGCAAGAAACTAAAGTGCAACTCGATCCCCCATGATGAAGATCTGATCAAAGAGAGAAGGCGGAGCAAGATGCGCCCACTTTCACTTCGAGAACCGGCAAAGACACGGAGAAAGGACAGTCCTGTCATGGTTACAGGGGTATTCCACCGTCGAACTAATATGTGAACCTTCAGGCGACTTTTCAACCTGCATATCCAAAATCAACATGCAACACAATGCAGAGAAGGTTTACGTGGTGCAGAGCAGCGTCTCACGTTTGAAGAAGGAAGTCGATGAAGTGCATCAGCGGCGAAGCTTCTAGAATTGTCTCCACTGCCGTATCCGCGCGTTTCTTCGTCTCCTCAAAGACAATATTCGCGTCCTTCAAGTTGCCCAGGGACAGGTATCTGCGAGCGATACAAATGCATGTCAAAAAGCGTAAGTTGAGTGTCAGATGCGACGAAATCGATGCATTGTCACACGAAGAAGAAGTGTCTGCAAAAGCAAAGAGCACGGTGACTAACCCTTGTGACTAAGGTTGTGTCCCGTCAGAAAGACGAATGAAAGCACTACGTCAGCTTCTAGAGAAATGCATCCAGTACGTTGCGTTCGGCGCTCTGGATGGTCGCGATTTGTCCAGCAACACAAGGCTATGAACGACAAGCCCGCAAAAAGAGGAGATCCGCTCAAAAGATGATGACCAGAGCGGATACCCGAAGTGGGTTTCCTGGTCCCACACGGCAAGCATCGTTTCGGAAAGCCACGAGCAACACCGGAACTTGAAGAGCACATGAAAACTAGGGCTGCTGAAAGCATCTATGTTGAGATGGTGCCAGTGGCCAAATGATGTTTTTCCAGGTTCACAATGCAACAGCACACCTCGCAGGATGTACTCTTCACAACAACAACGCTGTAACGCTCGAGTAGAACGACAGAAGAAAGCCGGGAGATTGGCGTGACTCACTGCAGAACGGCTCTTGCAATGACTAGGTCTGCTTCGCTGGGGTATCCCTGGCAGAAAGCACAACCACGTCAGCCTAAGCAGAGGTCTAGTGATGTGATAGCAATACCCGCGCAAGCCAGAGTTAGGGCGATTAGGACACGGTCTCTCGCAGTGGTCCGTCCTCGCACGAGCTCTTTTATGTTGTTTCGATCGTACGCAAGTCCAGAGAGATCGGACATCGTCTTGAAGGCAATCGAGGACTCGACTTACATCACGCTATGTATAAGTGTTACAAGGAATTTCTACCCTAACGAGTATTTTGTACTCGCTTAATACAACGGTATGGCAATACTCGCTTATATCCTTTGATTCGAACCTACACACCAGATTCAAGAGAGGTGACGAACAATAACAAAAAAGTTTTCTCACCTGTTGCATTGCCTCTCCGAGCACTTCCGCAAACCGCGCGGGCTTGTCCGCTCGCAGATAGTGCCGCGACGCCGTCGCGAGGTCCCCCGCAGAGGCCCACACGTAGTCGGCCAGCATGACGTGTAGCTCGGGCGCACCCTGAGCCGGACCACCACACTTCTCGGACCACCTGTGGAAGAGATGCATTTCAGCAATGGTAATGGTGCCATCCATCCGGGCAGGGTGGGGCATCCCCATGCTCCTGTCTGTGCGCACGAAAGAACGTGCTCACAAACTTCGAGCACTCATCCGGCAGCATCCGCCAAAGCTTGATAACAGTTGGTAACGTTTGCCGTTGGCTTATCTAGGTCGACCGTTGAACATAAGTTAAGTTGCGAAAATTGTGGCCTTTGCTGGATTAATTCGCAAGGCGCATGTTTCGCAAGTGCTACCTGTGGTGAGTGACTCCCAGCACTGCCCACTTACACTGCACGCCTTCCTGGCCCCAACGGATTGTAAGCCGCTAACAGCTTTTATCTATGCAAAGTCGCTGTAGCGCACACAGTGAAGCAACAAAGCATTCAATGACACAGCGAACCGATGCAACTCGAAAGCCTTGTCTCACTTGATGGCCGCTCTCAAGAAGTCCCGGCAGCCCTGCCCTCGGCCAGTCGTCGTGGGCCCGTCTGTGTTTGGCTCCTCCTCCGCATCTTGGAAAGAACCCTCCCCACTCTCCTCCTTCGGCGCTTCTGACGTCGGGAACAGCTCGTACATCCGCCGAATGCGACCTGTGGACAGGACAACCGGGATGAGGTTCGTCTCAATTCGGTTGTGAGGCCACGTTTTGGGGTGGTGAGCGGCCGTTGTTCTGACGACGGCAGACGATGTGCCTTTCTCATTCCGACAGCCCAAGTGCTGCTATCAGCAATCCTGGGTGTGTCGTCAAGTCTGCAACGATCCAGCGTCCCACTAAAAACAGCAAGAGCAGGGTTTCTGACGGCATTGCGAAGTGGTGGACCCATCCAACTTGGAGATCCGAAAGGTGTTGGAACTCTTACATACGACAGTCCGGCTGAGCTCTAGGTTGCAACCTTTTTCATACAGTTGTTTGACTGAGGAGAACCTTGGATCCAATTTCAAGAGATGTGCAGCCTTTCAAACCTTACGACATGATGCTCATGAGCTCATTTGTGCCCAAAGAAAGCAACAATTGGCTGCGGAAAAGCGCGCAGTCTTTCTCGAAATCCAGCTCGCTAGATTCCGACCCGGGCATACAACTTCAACTTTAGAGGCTGTACTTCGAGCGTTTTAGGGAAGTGCGTCAGCAAAGAAGCATCAAATCATCGAACAAATTGGAGAGGGTGCGATGAACAAGAGAGGCCTCAACCAAACACCCCTCCTCAAGCGGGTTGTCATAGAAATCCATGAAAGACCCAGTAGACAAGTTCATAAGAAAGCTGACGACGTCGGAAGTAGCGGACAAGCCCGGACTCAGTACACACGCGAAGAACGTGTTCTGAAATCATGAAAGCTGACGAAGGCGATTACAAAATAAGTTTCCTTGACCAACCAGGGTTCGATATTAGCCTTCGGTTGATAGTCTCAAAAAGCCTTCGGCTGAAAGTAGACAAGCCTGCTAATGCACGAGCCCAGGGCGTCTTTCTTCCTTGACTACTCACACTGCACAAGCCACGAACTTGACTAAACAAGCTTACGCTACGATCAAACGCACATACATAAGAGGCCAGCCATAAATGGTCGCAAGTAAATGGAGCCAACTCCCACCGTCGCATAGATCCTCATGAGCAGAATACTAGGCGACAAGCGTCACTGAAAGGCAAGGTCCTCAAGGAACAGACCGGAGCTAAACCAGGTTGGTCGCTCAGAAGGCGCGATGGAAACTTTCAGCTCACCGAACAATTTAGCAAATCGGAGCGCGCCCGAACCTGTCATCAGGCTAGGCCGTCCTTCAGATGAGGAAGCCGATACATCAAGCCAAATTTCTGTCGAGCGTGTTCAAATACGGTCAGCGGGGATATTTTTGAGGCCAGAAAGAACCTGGCATACTATGCCACCGTCGATATGCTCAACGCTTTCAGGAGAACCGGGGGAAAATGAAAAAACACCCTTGCAAATCAGCATGTTCTAGACAGCCCCGAACGTCCGGACTCACGCCTCTTATCACATGCCAACTGCGGCGGTCAGCCCGCATGTGCACCAACAATAACCCCGTAGAACTCGCAAATGATCGAAGCCCCTCGAAGGTGGCCGCTCAACGCTTGGAGTAATTGAAGTGTGAGCTCTCGCAAGCTCAACTCTTGAGCATCATTGGCAGCTACAGCAAAGTGCAGCGCTCATCCGAGTGACTGAATTGAGAGAACGCAGTAGAGACGTCCTGATTCTGACTTGTCTCGAAAGTTTTGCGAAGTCAAACCGGTATTATGTAAGCACTGATTGATTGCCTGGGTTGGAATGACGGACGAAGAGCAAAGGATGTCACAGGAAAGTCAAAACAGAAAAGTTCGGCCACAAATATCGGAGATTAAGCCAGCAGGATGTTGGCTGGCAGCCAGGCCCAAGCAAAGCGGCACCAAAACAGGCACAGAAAATGACTTACTACAAAGACGTAACTCTGCTTGGATGGCCCCTGTGGTAGTGCTGTGGTTGGATCGATTGAGCAGGTAATTTGATTTCCCAGATGCCAGTGAAAGTCCGGTATTGACCATACGAAGCGCAAGTCATTCTGGCAGGTTGCTTAGGTACGAAAGCCGTCCGACACGCTTCAAGAATTGCAAACGCAAGCGTTCGAGCATGTCTGCCACAAGTCCCACGAGCTAGAGGAACAGGTAATCGAAGCCGGGTAAGGATAGCCAGAATAGGGGGAAGCCTGAGACGGCCGAACATTTCGAGTACGTGCTAAGAGGCTATCCCCGTAGGGGTTTGGAACCTTCCACTCACCCTTACTCGTTCAAAACAATGCATTTCTTACGATAGCAAAGTAAATGCCCCTAGAAACCATCTACACAGGCCCTCGTCACTATGTTCAGGTGCTTTCACTCTGTAGAGACGAGGAGCAGTCATTAACAAGCCGTCCGAAAAGAAAGGTACCTGGTTTGGGAGGCCTGCCCAAGCAGCTTTCCGTCATCGGCAACATAGCGTGCAAGTCCAAGACAAATGAGAATGTTTCAAAGGAATCTGATTGAAGGGACTCGCGTTCAACCTCTTATGCGACCAGCACCTCCAGATTTAGGAGAACGTCTACCAAGTGCGTTCGAGGCGCCCTCAAAAGCGGAGGATACGGCGACACGCCAGATGCATTTTTCGGGGGCCACATAGACACTCCGCACACTGTCAACGGCTCTTGAAACGTTTGGATACCAGTCCACAAGATCTCCGTTGTTGATAACGACGCGCACTCTGACACGCTACAAAGGAAGCGGCTCATCGAGGCTATCCCCAAACTCCATATCTGGAACACGCAGTCAGCCCTCAAAAACAAGGCGGAACCGACGCAGGTTCGGCTCCCCCTCCAAAATGCTGCAAATCTGGATAGCAAGCCAGGGATACGAGATCTGCGAACTTGACTGGCGCCTTCACAACCAGGGAACACGGAGCAAACATGCCACGTTGGGTCGGTCCGTTTGGCAAACAAAGTGCGCCAATCGATGGGGCAAGCGGGATTCCTTGCCTTGCGACGTACTTTTTGACAAAGCCGACAACGCTCTACACCGCTCCAAAAGATGCCGCCATCCAGTCAACACGAGAGAACACGAAGAGGGCATGCGCTCATTTGAGCTCACAGTATCTCGCATCATTGGCAGCCAACTTGGATTCGGATTCCAGTAGAAAAGCGCCCATGAATCTTGGACTTCCGCTGGTTTTTCTGACGCCATCTCTTTACAGAGCTGAGGGGGCAGCTTGGACCAGAGAAGTAAGACGCACTGCAGAACTCTGTAATGAGATGTTCTGATAGTATCCGAGGCAACTTAAGGTCTTAAGATATCCAGGACGCTCAGAAACTGAATAACGTGCTTCGACCAAGTGTCAGGTCAATATCGGAAACGTCATTATCTGTTAGCAGCACGTCGTGACTTCACATTGATTACATCAAAGAAAGGCTGGGACGTCTACGGACCCAAATGAGCGGGTTGGGATAATCCTTTCAATTTGTCAGGAAAGCACAAAGAGCGCACACAGCGGACTCCAGCTACTTTCAACCAACTTACAAGAGTCTTCAGAACGGAGGTTTATGTTATGTAGCAACCTCATGATATTCCCGTGAACGGCCTTTACAATCGACATGAAGGCCTGGAAGTTCATGAGGGGGGCTCCGCTCGCTTTTTCCTCCAAAGCAAACCCGCTTCGACTTCGTCTTCCTAACCAGGAGGACTCGCAGATTTGACAACAGTTTCCAAAAGTGATCTGCAATCAAAGGAATTCCTTACGAAAACGACGAAGCATTGGCCGTTCATAGTTGACCCTTGGGCAAGTTGGTCCGGAAGGCCATGCACAGGTCACGACACATCATGCGGCGTAAATCATGCTCAGAAACTTGTCAAAAGGACCGTCAGGACAATAATTCTTTACAACAAGGACCTAGGCCCTTCAAAAGGAGAACGAAATATAGACTGCCAACAGGCAGGCTGTCATCAGACAGTGCCAACCTAGTCATGGATGGGTGTCTCAAAAGAGAGGTCCAAGTACGCAGGACTGAAATGAAGAACGCAAACTAAAGGCCCATGTGAAAAAGGCCCAGACAAAAGATGCCCTAATAAAATTGGTGCTCTCATGACCCAGAGGTGCTGTGGAATGAACACCCCCATATCCAGCTCATTCGGCTGTTGGATGCGGGCAAGATCCTCAAAAACCCACTCCAGTTGGAAGAAAAGGGCAGTATTCAATAAAGCCTTTTTACCTTTCTTTAAGGTATCAAAGACCTTGATCGACTGAGCCTGCCCGGCTCCCCATGTTCAGAATTGTTGGGGGGAAAACCATCGAGTAAACATGGATTCTCACCTAGAGGCTCCTCCCCAAACGGAATCTCGAACTTGGACAAGGCCTCCACGAGAAGTAGAGCGAGCTCTGCCCCGCACGTCACCTAAAAAAGATAGCCGGGGCCAATAAGCTGTGGTACAAGATCTGGGGATGCCTACAAGACGTCAGGCCCTTCACAGCTTATGAATCTGATCTATCCACAGGATGTTCACCGAGGTGGCTTGGTGCGAAGCAAGCTCTATGCAAATGCGTTTCCTCAACTGCGATAGACGAGCATGCGCACTACAAATGAAACACCAATTTACAATTTGGAACTTAGACTGGTCCTGGCAAAATGTAGTAGACACCTGCCATCGCTGGGAACCAGGATAGCAGTCTGCATGCTTTACAGCAGGTGAAGCGCCGCCAGAATGTCACATGAAAAAGGACAACATGTTTCCAAATTGGCCTTATAACGTGCAGAACTGCCTGGTCTTCCTGCAATTCTGTTGGTCCATGTTGCAAGAAGTTGGCATGCGCGGGGCAGACAAGAGAATGCTTTTGGGCACTGGCCCAGAGTTCTCTGCAGTTGCACACCCTTTTTTTGAGCACCGAGGATTACAGTGCCCGCTCTATGCAAAGAGGTTGCAGTCTATATATGGACAATCTGAGCCTTGAACAGAAAGCCAAGAGTTTAGAGGACCGATGGAAAGCCCTGATTAAAGCTCACCTGACCGTGCTTCAGCTGTGTGCAGGCACCAGCCTCCAAAAGATCCAGCGCTTCCTTCACCTTCTTCTGCCCCAGGTACCTACATCCAATGTATATCATCGGTCAGGCCCCAAAAGACTTGGGAGGAGGCACTGTCCTGGGCAGCTGTGCCTCACGGTCCTAGGCTTAAATCAATCCAATGTTCGACAGAATGAAGTTCTGCTTCAAGAAGCTGCTGCTTGCCAGGGGTATATCACTGACGCCAGTGCGAATTGATGGGTGTGCCGACGTGAAGAACGATGTGTGACGATGATCTGTCCAATCGAAGGCACAATCAAAGAAGAAGCTTGCAATCAGCCTTTAGTCTACTGATTCATTAAAGTGACAAAGTTGACCAAACCATGCACAAGAAACAGCTCACAACACAGCATTACAATCGCCTTGATAAACAGGCTATCTCGGGGTCCACGCGCACACGATCCGCTCCAACGGAGCACTCACCAGACATCCTTGACATTTGAATCAGAATGTTGTTATGGCAATGAAGAAGCACTTTAAGCCACAGCACTGCATCACCTTCCATAAGGACCAAAAGACATGTCAAGCATAGACACTTTGCAACAATAAATGCATGAAGTGCATTCGAGCAAGATTCTCAAAATGGAAGTAGTCCCACCTCGCTTGCACACTCTTGTACATCTGCTGCGCTTCGTAGTACTGTCCTGCTTCAACCGTCTTCTCGAGTTTTTCCACCATCTTCGAAGTTCCAGCTCCGGATGCAGCCATGGCTTCCTTTGGAGAGATACGCCCCCAAAGCTCAACCGAGTGGGACAATGGGAAGGTTGCGTGAATACGTTCAACTCCTGAGCTTGGATGATCTGCAAAGATTTTGACAGGCGATGCTGTGCTTTGGCCGCCTTCTTGTCAATGTTATTCTTGTAAACGCCTTCCCTGCTGGTTCATCCTAAACCCTAAACCCGGCTTCAAGTTCAAGGAGACAACCCTAATAATATCAAACCAGCAAACTTTCCTTCACCACTTTCCCCTGCTTCCTCAGGCTTGCAAGAACAGGACAAGAACAGCAGGAATCACGTCGCCATGGTTTCAGTGAATCCCGCTATTGGCCTTGCGTCTCCGGCACCTATTTCAGAAAGGCTTTGGCTCTCCTGCTCTGACCTCGCAGCTCGCGCTTTGGCCTGCCCGTTCGTTTCACAGCTCGCAGCTGGCAAGCTTAGAAAACTCACATTCCAGCATTACATCGCGCAGAATGCGTTCTACTTAGCTGCACTGGCAGAAACATATGAACGGGCTGGAACTTACATCAAAGATTCTGAAGCGAAAAGGTTGCTGTGGGAGTTGAGGGAAGCAGTGGTCCTGGAGCTGGGGCGCTATGATGGGTATGCTAACGTGAGAAAAAATAGTGGTGCACCATGTAGAAAAGCTGGAAAGGACCACAGGGTCGTGTCCTTGCTGCTGGATTCGTCTCTGTTTGATAGAATGCAATTTAGCAGCATAACTTGGAACCAACAACAAAGCCTTCAGAGGCTACTCGGGTATAAGTTGTCCACAATTTTGCTGGGGGCTATCTTTCCCCAAAATGATTCGGCTCTTTAGACTTGAAGGACCCTTCAAAAATTTCTTTGTTGCCGATGCTGCTCATTTCTGATCTATCCTTTCCTTTACCCCTTGTCCCACATGGACTCGGTTTTCGACTCTATAATCTATGTAAGGCTTGTTGGGGGCAGATTGCATCAACGGTTGCAGTCTGTGTCCAGCTTGTTTTCCTGCAAAGCCTTAGTTGATTCAATAAACAGCATATCTTGAGAATACCCTGATACTTCTAAGATACTTTTCTGGGGGATGAACATAGAGATTGGTAAGACCGTGAATGAACAAATCTATAGCCTATCCTCTGAACAAGTTTCATCCATTTCTGCCAAGAAGCGTACAGAGACATGTACAGGAACTTGTGCCATTTATGTCTTCGAACTTGGAAGGTTTTCTCTAATGCTATGCAGGCTTGGGTTATCGATCTGAAGGACCACCCTGAGCCCAGCGAAGCAACAAAGAAATACATCGACTTCTTGATCCGAGCGACTTCAAGAGCACAAAACGTTGCGCTCCCTAGTGCCTTTAGGGAAGGCGAAACAGTCGCCAACAGGTTAAAACCATTAGAAGTTGAGTCTTGTACATATGATGAGAAGAGCTCTAGAAACGGTATCGAACTTGGGGATCAAAGTGTAGACGGGTTTTCTGATCTACTCGAAAAGGTGGAAAGGCAGGCGACGAAGGTTTTAGATCCGAAGCAGCAAACGAATCATAGGAATCTGATGGATCAGAGATTCTCGCCGAAGAACTGTAGTGCGGCAAAGGCAGTTGCTGCACTGTTGCCGTGCATGCAGCTGTATGCGTTTCTTGGCAGGGAGTTGAGCAGAGGAAACGATCTCGAGGGTCATCCTTACAAGGACTGGATTACGAGTCACGCCTCTGCTGAGTTTCAGGTGAGCATGACTACTACTCAAGGCTCATCAAGAATCTGCCTCGTCCCGTTGGGTTTGACCATTTCTCTGGGTTTTGGACCCTGATAAAAACAGACCCACATGTTTTCTTTCCTTCCTGAGGTCCAATCGATGTCATGTCTGACGTTCCTTCAGGGTTGTTGTACTTGTCGCTTTTCTTGAAAGACCTTTTGGAGCAACAAAAGAAGAGGACCATAGATGTCTCCTCAAATGCACTCCTGTTCCAACCATCTTGAGCTCCATCGAAAGATACTGCGTAGGTAGTGTTAGGATCTGATCGATCGATCATCACCTCCAATTCAGAGTACTTCTTTGTAGAGAATGCTGGCTCCGTCATCACAGATTGTGGTTGTCGATCCTCTGTGGAGTCACTTACCATGGGTACATTTGTCGAATCCGTTTACTTGTTCCAGTCGTCAAAATCCGTCCCCCCCCGGCCTTTCGAACCACATATTCATGGCCAAACGTTTCACGTCGAGAACCTTGTACATTCCTGCTGATTCCTTCTTGTCTCCCGTACTTCGAAAGGAACTTGTTACTCCGAGATTAGTGCTACAAAAGCTCTCAGTCCTCCGACACGCCGAAACTTGAACCGAGCCATCTCTGCATTTCAAGATTGCGGCATACTTGAACCTTCAGAACTAAAACATCAAATGGTATCCTAACCTGCTCAGGTCGAATGTCCGCAGGCCGCTTCTGCCAAGATGGAGACCATTCTCGACAGCGTCTGCCAACAAGACGATTCCTTGGAGGCACTGCTGCCAGTGTATAGAGAGGCAATGCTCCTGGAGCTCAATTTTTTCGCGGGACAACCGGCCCTCTTGCCGGCGGCACCGCATTGAACCGTTCAGCAGCTGAGCTTGGGCTAAACATGGCATATAGACCTGATTGGACCACCAAAACCTCTGCTGGCTTGCCCGACAGAAGGCCGCCACCGCCGCCTGGCGGCATGCGTTGAGTACTTGATACTAACCCGAGAGCCGAGGACATCAATGATCTGGGCCGGCCACGTGGCACGATCATGCGCTTTCATATATACGGGGACTCAACGAATTGAATTATGGCCAGTCGAAACATGTATAACTCGCGGCCCTGTCAATCCGATTAGAAGCTCCGAGTCCGATAGACGTAATTCACTGAAGGCCGCGAAGAAACGGTTCGCTCATTGCCCCGAGTCGTGTGGAATTACCATTGAGAACCAGGCTTCTGTAAGGTACATATGGTAATTGCAAACATCTTTATACGCGTGTTGCATGCTTATGGACGCCGATCCTGGGATGAGCTGGCTGGCTGGTCGACGCATACCCATATACCTCTCCGGATATCTTCAATAAAATATCAGGTATATAGATGGTTGCTCAATGCAGCCATGCCTATATAAGCAAAGTGCAGTGAGTCGAACTTTTGAGAGCTTCGGAAGCTCAAAAAGTTTAAGCTCCGATCATCCAATTCAAAATATTTAGTGGCATATCATGCAGGCTAACCGTGCGTATACAGGCCGGCTGGGGCGGCTGTCAATCACCCGTGTGATCATGCATGGTTGCACTTGACCCTGACATTATTAGCGATGCTGTCACCAACGAATGCATTGTTTCGAATCGTTATATCGTACGAAAGCCTCACGAGCCGAATCAACCATACAACCAAGTCGACGAGCCCCGGCTTGACCCGGCAGCATCATTTAGATGCAGGCATGACTGTCGATCTCTGACACGACTAGGTAGTTGATATTAGTCACCGTCGCAATACAAGGGAGTCTTTATGGTCTACGAGCAACGATTGCCAACTCGACAACCTTCCGGAAGAATGCCTTGGGATACAATGGGGGCTCCTCTGCCAGAGCCTGCAAACGAGCAGATACCGCACCAATCAAACCCTTATCGATCTGTAGGGGAATCTCTAAGGTAAGTCCATATAAATGTTAAGCACTTCAGAGTATCTTTGCATGACCAGATACGACATGTTCGAGGACTGACAATCGCAAGTGGCCACAACAAGCCAACACGTACCCAGATCCTGAGAAGATAGACTGGAATCCTTCCCCCAAACACAAACCTCAGAGCTTTGCAGGTTTTGAGTACTCCCAGTGCTCTCACACGGCCTTTTTCCGTTGATGAGAAAGCCTTGGGGCTCAGCTTTTACTGCCGAAACAATGCAGTGCCGCAGATGCTCACCTGATGGAACAGCACCGTGGAGGGAGTCATGCCGGGCACCGTGTTCGCCTCGATCACAATGATCTGCAGGCAGCAATCGCGCTTAAGTCAGCGTATCGCCAACTGTGCAATACTTGACCATGTTCTCTTGAAACCACAGAGCGCGATCTGGCTGAACAGCGTTTATTCCAAGAAGCACAAAAGAGAGTTCAAGCTTTTAGCCCATGCGTAACAAATTAGATGGCTAAGACGCAGCCCACCTCGCCACTATCCGCGTGAACGAAGGCGTCGATGCGAGCAAAACCCTCCAACCCCAGGGCGGCCGCGACGAGCTCGATCCGCTCCTTGCACGACCGGAGAGCGGTCGGACTGCGCAAACGGAAATGTGCAATGGCTCAATAGCTGCTGGAAACGGGTACATGTTTCAGGAGGACTCGAGCCGAAATTTCGGTGTTAGCAAAAGACGCGCTCTCGGTGGGTACCGGCGCCCTTACGGTCTCGGAAAAGCCCGCACAGTAGTAAGCTATTCTGATATGCATGACAGCTGACAACAGAATGTGTCTTTTCAGCAACTGCTCTGCTTCAACAAAGGTCAGACAGCGAGCGCGTTAACCACAGAGCCGCGTTCTCTGACTCACACAGCTCGACACGTGCGAAACAGGTGTCGGAGTGCAGACTTCGCACATAGTACCCTTCCCGGAGTCTCCGATTCGTTTCACTTCTTATCCAACAACAACACGCACGAGGGTTTGCTTTCAACCTCGATTCAAATACTTTCTTTCCAAGCAGTACCTGACGATCTCGGCGGGGGGGGGTGTCAGGTTCACCCCAGTTCCCCCCTGGAACTTCTCCTCCAGAGACAGCACATGCCCGCTCTCCTTCACCGTTATGCTCGGACTCAGCGCCTTCATTGCGCCCTTTGGCCCCAACACCCCGACCGTAACTTCGACCCACCGGGACTTTCCTGCCCACACTAGTTCCGTACCCGACATTTGTTTAGCAACCAATGGGGAGGCCCGATCGGACACCCCCAAAATTGCCTCCTCCCCTTCATGGTCCTTTCCGTTTCCGTTTCCGTTCCGCCCTGAATCTGCGGAGCGCCCCGATGTCCGACTTTGCTCTGTGCTCTTTTCCGTTTGCCGCCGGATGAGAATCGGATCCGTCTCAATGAACGGCTCAAACATGAACCGCGCCGGCGGCGGCACCGCCATTTCCACCCCCCCCTCGCTGGTGCTCAGCGCCCCCGGAGCTAGCTGCGGCCTCCGGTCCCGCACCGCCGTCAGGTATGACGTCAGATCCCCCACGTGGTCCAACCGCGCGACACCGGTCGAGCAGCCGTCGGACGCGGGCTTGACGCACACGTGCATGCAGTCGAGCTCTCTAAGGAGGGAGTCCCAAAGAGAAGCGGTGTGATCAGTGGAGAGGGTTTCTAGCAGCTGGGCGGTCGGGAAAACGCGCTTGGCTGCAGAGAAGATGCCGTCGGGGCGGAGCTGCGAACGGAAGCGGAACGGTCAGCGAGCGAGTGAAGCAGCGCGAATCCGAGGAGGCGCTTCGAAGCCTCCCAGATATTTCCAGTGAGTTAAATATCACAGGGAGGATCTGAACGCTTTGAAAGCTTCAATTCGAATGGAGAGCGAAGTTCACGGTAAACAGAGCAATGGACGAGAAAGCACCAGGATGAAGCTCTTCAATCGATCTGGCCGGCAAGCCAAGGTTCAATACCCGCAACAGATCTGAGTATACCCTAAGCACAGATATGAGCATACCCTAAGCACGTCTAAGGCACTTTCTTAGAGCGTCTGGTCGCCGCCCCTTAACTTTCGTGCAGAAAAATTTGCGGCACCTGGAATCTGACATACCAAACCGAGAAACCTGAGCGGGAAGTATGTAAACCGGCTGAAAGCATGCTAGTGACTCACATGAGCAATCGCCTCCGCCGTCGCATACTTATCCATACACGTTCGTGAAGCCGCCGCATCCGAGCCCGTGTGTGGAACCCCCGCCATTTCGAGCATATCTTGTAGAGTGCCGTCTTCTCCAATCCCTCCATGCACAGCCAAAAACACGACCGCGTTCTCTTCCCTCGACTCTCGGATGAAGTCTCGCAACAGTAGCCGGCGAGGTTTTGATGGCGTAATGGAGCCCAGGGGTTTTTTGGGGGTTAGGGAGCCAGCGTTATTGGCTTTTCTTTCTGACCCAGAAGCTTTGGCAGAGTTTCCACCCGGAGACTCTGGGGTTTGGGACTGGGTTTGCGAGGAGGGTTCCGAGGTCGAGCAGGCCGCGCCGCTGGAGGCCCGCTCGAGCTCAGCAATGACGTGGCTCCTCAGCGTGTCGACACGTGTCAGGGTCTCCGGCTCGAGCGCCTTTTCACACCCCTCGACGACCTCTTCTACGGTATGCCGCAACACCGATGCATAAGGGAGCGCCCAGACCTCTCTTTCTCCCGCTTCTTTCGAAGTTTCGCTGTCGGAAGTCTGCGCAGCCGGCGCCAGTAGGAAGGGTTCGACGGCGAGGTCGGAGAAGCTGCGCAGCTTGAGCCACACGTTGGTCCCGCTCATGAGCGACACCTGGCGCTCGGAGGTGCTGCCACCGAAGAGGACCTTGACGGTGCGCAGGGGAGCCTGGTTGGCGAAAGGGTACAGAGGCGTTAGCCAATTGAAGCAGCGATATGGTGAAGGTCAAAAGACGTATTGACGCAGTTCGTTTTGTGCATCTCAGATGGATGACGAATGATTCTTAACGAAGCTCAGCAGAACCTTTTCCGGCTGCCGGCCAGCCACAGAGGCAACCATGTTCAGTTCAGAAGTGAGGAGTGAAAAGGACCCCAAAAGCACCTAGACCGATTAGAGACTTGAACCCTAAGGTCCGGGTCTTGTTTGATGGTCTGCATTTGTACTTCCCCCCCGTTTGAATCAGACCGTTCCGCGGTGTCATTAATGCGTGAAAGGGCTTTGTCAATAAGGGCTGAAATGTTATCTTTACTCTCTTGACAGAAGTCTGTGTCTTTCAGCACCCCTCCACTTATCGACCTGGCCCAATAACATTTGTTTGCTTTCAAAAGCAACCAACCCTGAATGTCGCCGAACCAAACTGTCGGCCAAAAGGTGGGGGGAATACGAAGAAAAACAACTTACCGGGGTTCCTTGTTTGCTGTTGTCACTCCCCATTCCCGGCCCCCCAATCCCGTTGCGTGCGCACGCCGTATCCAAAACCCGCCTCAACACGTCAGCATGCGCTAGCCCCACTTCCGCCGCTTGCTGGAAGAGGAAGCTTGTCTGCTCCATGCCGCTCATCAGGTTGATGTCCGAAAAGACGATCGTTCCGCTCGAGTTCCTTCCGCTTCGGTCCGTTTCCCCTCCGTTTCCGTCCGGATTCCGTCCACTTCCGTCCGCCCGTAAGAGCCAACCGTCTACCCTTGCGAAGTCCCTGAGCCCCAAAACACGGAACAGCTTCGCAGCACCTTCTCGGATTGCGCTTACTGTTGCCGGAGGAAATCGAGGGGGGGTGTAATAACCAACTTGCCTGGTCGGGAGGTACTTTCTCCGGTAGTTGAAGATAGCCCCCGCTGCCTTTACTCCATCCAATTCTCGTTCGAGTATCAACTCAACTTCTGTGGGCAGAAGAGTGACAGGCTGGGCGGATCTGGGACTGTGCACATTTTCAGTTTCTTCGTTTTGGGGGGACGGGACGTCTAGGACAATGGCTGTGAACTCGCGACCCCCTGAGGCGAAGAGCTCAACGACCACTCGGGAGTCGATGCCATCCGCGATGATGTGCTGGCACTTCATAAGCGTGTCGCGGAGCCCATAAGCGATGGAGACGCCGATGCTCGAGCCAGCACAGGCCGGCTTGGTCTGCACGTGTGGTCTTGACAGGGTGAGCCACAAGTGGACGTCATGCTGACGTTATCATGCGTGAAACGAATGCTACTTATGAAAAAGAAAGGATGCTCCAAAGCGTGACTAGGGAGCGCTCGGGAAAAAGCCGTCTGATTGAGTTGAGGGCTTCTGCGTAGGAGCAATCAGAAAAAAGCAGATTGACAGCATACCAAATATCTAAGAGAACACTCTCCAAGGTTCCAACGGAGCACGTGCATCTTTCGACCACGGCTGCTTGCAAAGCGACCACCGCACGCCCTCGTTCCCAAGTCGCGACAGATTCTTCCGACTCGGCAAGCCATAACAACGAGTCTTGCAAGTGGTCCCTGAGAAGACACGTGAAGGCAAGAGCAGACAACCGACCGGATGAGACGATGCTAGCGGAATCTCACAAGATTGGTAAGTACACAAATCTGCAGAACGAGGTTTTACAATTGGGAAGCTGGTCAACTCACCACAACGCGGCCGTTTTCCTCGTCGATCCCGTGCTCGTCAAACCAGGCCGATAGGGCAGATTCGTCGGATGCAGGGTCCTGCAGTTTTCAAATTGCACCTATGTGACAATACGCTTTGACAGGGTTGATATTGTTGATCAATCAACAATCTGAGCATATCTGAGCACACGAAAGCCAGCCCCACGGTGGGATCTTTCTTTACGTGTCACAGAGCACTCAGAAGTCTTTGGGGACTTGATATCCGCTTCTGAAATACCTCTAAAAAGTCACATGGATTCGTGCAGAAAATCCAGGACGCTTGCGGTGGCTACTCGTAAAAAGCCCTTGTTTAGAGCTGGCGTGGATGTTGCTCAAAGGCAAACTATGAGGTAGGCTCAAAAGTTCCGATGTCGTACGTGGCGGTTGGCACTAACGGAGACGAAACTCACCGTGACCAGAAACGCTGGGAGGGTGGCAAAGCCAGCTGCTCGCAAAAGCTGCGCCGCCTCGTACTGCAAAGAAGTAGTTTCGATAAATGTTGACCACAGAACAGGTCAACGCATCCAAGTTCGAAGCAATCGAGCACGTTGAGAGTTCGACGGTTTCTAAAGTACGCTACTTCCGGCTGAGGATGACACGGCGAGTTTGAATCTAATTAATGCCGTTCTCGTGACAGTTTGCATAAACTTGAGCCGCCAACTGTCAAACGCCGTCGTATCATTCTTGCTACTTGATGTAGAAGTAGAGAAGCCGTGGATGCCGTGGAAGCCGTGAATTTAATGGGCCCGTTTGAAACGGGAGTACACTCACCTTGTCAAAAGCTTTCGCAGCCGCTTCTGCGCCTGTTCCGACGAACGGCAGCCCCTCACCCTCGAGCAGGCGCTGAGGCATAGTAAGTGATTGAAAGCGTCAAAACAGGCCTTAGAAGCTTGCTCTGGGGTCACAACTATTAGTCGGGGAAAGTAGAGTGAAGTCGCACCTGAATACTGTATTGCCACTGTCATTCGCATCCCGGATTCGCAAATGAAAAGTTTCAGACTTCGTGCATTTTTCGTCGTAATGGCCGAACAAGTGTATCATTTTTTTCCATTCTGCCTGTTGAATAGGCTGGTTTTGGCTGGAATTCCTTGATCGTCGTTCTGCACCAGGCAGCGGATAATCAGAATCCGCCAGAGGTAGAAATAACTTGTTCTAGGCGAAGTGACAGTTGCAGTACGGGTATGAGCTCTTCCACAGCACGGTTCTTGGCTGATTGTCGACTCCCAATCGAACCGGAATTGAACCGGTCGAGTGCCCGTGCAAGCTATAACAGCGCCTTCAGAAGCTGTATTGTCCAATCACGGAGCGAAGCTCCAGCTTACGTTCGGATGTCCTCTAAAAAAATAAAAGAGCCCGGAGTCCACTGAAACTATAAGCACTTCAAGAGTTCTGAACCTGAACACTTCTCGTCAAATACCAAGTAGATAAGGTGAGTCACCTGTATGCCCCCATCTTCCCCAAACTGGCCGTGTAGAACAGGCCACATGATGTCAGCGTTCTCCTTCAAGTGACGAAGGAAGTCCTTGTGTGTTTGGAAGCGCTGGGCAGTACTGCAGCAAACATGAGCACTTGAGCATGAAATCACAGTGACGTGAGCACAAGCGCAAACGACAGAGTTTTGGAGAATTGTTTGGCCTGGAGAAGTATGTTAACCAACTAGCCGTAAACTCCACCTTTATGATAGCCTAAGAGCTGCAAGAAGCAGAGGTGATTCGGACAGATCTGCAAGTCGCAATGCTTGCTCCTAATCACTTCTTACGAAAGCAAGGGGGGTGGCCACAGTTTTTGATGACAATACATGATTGCTTGCAGACAGTGAGAGCAGGACTAAGAGGGTTGTCCATGTACCTGGCAAGTTTGAAGTCGAAGTCGGAGGGCGTATTGGAATACATCTGCGCCAAGGATAGGCGGGTGCGTTAGAGTCTGGTTTCGATATTGACCTAAGCACGCCAGCTGATGATCAAGCAGGACTTCTGATATTTGCCCTCCTTCTTACAGCCATAATATGCTATTGCTGAAATCATCATATGAGCCACAATCAATCTGCCAGCACTAGTTGGCGAGAAAACCGATTTCCAGACACCTTTCGTCACCTTGCAGAAGGACAGAAGCCTTAGCGCACCTAGACGTGTGTAACTCTCAACTCCTTTTTCCAATCTGACCCGTACCGTCCCTGCGGACTGAGCTCACCTGCTACTCTGCGTTTGCCTGACATGATATTTTCCAGATTGTGGCACTGATCGATCAAACCACATGTCAAATGATGTGCCAAACTCCAAGGTTTCATTGTGCCATCAAAGCAAGCGGATATTCCCCTTTAGCTTGGAGCCAAGGCTCACCTGTGCAGTTGAGATTGCATACGCTTGCAGGTTTTGGTCCAAGTAATATGGGGACACGTTAATGTCAGATGACTGCAAAAGGAGGTACGGAGTTGTTGAAGAGGTGTCAGTCAAGTCACAGGACGGTGCCAATTCCCTCTGCCTTATCAACAGAGCATAGAAATCAATACCCAAAACCTTTGTTGTTATCGAAGGAGTGGAAAGCTCTGCGAGCGCTGCTCCTTCAGAGGTTGCGGAAAAACTGGAAGTACGTCCACAGCGTTCCCCTTTTGTCTGGAGCTTGGCAGCGTTACATCGCACTCAAGGCCTTTGCACAGACTGTTCAGTTCATCGGGGCAACATCAAAACAAACGAGTCGCAGGTCCTGAGGCCCGTTGACATCATTTGCAACAAACCAATTCACTTTGATAAAACGATCATCATACTTCCACCAAATGATGGTGGTTTAGAAGTATGTTGGTGACACCCCCCCAATGTTGAGACTAAAAACTTAGCATTGTAGACCTCTACCTGCAGGTGGTCGAGCACACTTCTTGCAGAATTCAGTGATATGCCCCTCTCAGCAGACGGTCCCCCACAGATGATTGCAACCCTCAGGGGTCTGGTCGTGCTCCCCTCATCGGCTTGTGGAGCTTTGCTCTCCATCTTGAGTTGATCCTTAGACTTCTGACCACCCTGTGAGTGGTCGCAAGAGGCACTCCTCGTCCCTATACCCCGGCTTTGTGACGAGATACTTCGGGGTTGGCTGTCAATTGGTGGAATGAGAATGGACTTACAACTCTCTGCTGATTGAATCAGAGCGCTTTTCTTCGCATGCTTGAATCCATTGATGATCATGCAGCATTCTTTGTTGGTCCCAGAAGGTTGATGGAAGTTGGTGGATCCGCGCGCTATGACACAACCACCTGTCCGTGGTGGTGTTATGCTTTGCGCCAACATGGTTTCACGAAAGCAGCAAAGATCTAGGACACCCCTTGGTGCTCCATCATGACGAGCGCAGCACTTCTATATGCTCTCTGATCCTCAGCCCATTGGGCAAGTACAGGTTGCATGCAGTAGTACTAGTAGTCCTACACCACATTGCAAAACTGTGCTCTCTAGAGGCAGCGCTGCTCTTGACCTAGCTTGACCCAGCTTGATTTCCGAGTTCAAGTGCTCATGAGTGAACAAATCTCAGCATTCCAAACGCTGCATTAGCCTTCATGTCTCTGAACGTTGGTCGGCTTTTATAGATCTCTTCGTTCATGAGTCGAGCAGGCTCGAGCTACAACATTGACAAAATCATGAGTGGTTAGCTCAGACAAGTTCATGAAGGCATGTTGCTGAGCAGAAGCAGAAGCTTCGCTATCAGAGGAGCTGGTTGTGTTTCTGGCTTGAGAGATTCCGAGATGTTTAGCAATGAAAGAGGCAACAGAGTTGTTCGAAATCTAGTGATGTTGGTTGCGCTTCTCTCACTCTAGTGTCCATCGCGCTTGAGGACACGATCTTAAAAAGCTGGAGAAAATCAATGCAGGCGGTTGCTAGAATCATCTGAGAAAGTGAATTCAGAAGAGCAAGATTTGTTTGTGGGAGTGGACCAAGAAGAAGTGAGAAGTCCAGAGAATCTTGCTTATGAACTAGCAAATGCTAGAAAGTCCAGAGAAAGGCGCCAAATTTCGGAACCATAAGAATACCGAAGGCTCGGCCCTTTCTTCTTTTTAGCAGAACAATGTTCCAAAGAGCCCACCGCACAAGAGCCGCCTGTGACGTTTGCAGCCAGTGGGGTATATGACGGCTTGTCACTTTGCATTGGACGGCTTCTAAAACAGCCGGGAGAGACCATGGAACGATCATGTTGAGATAGAGGTGAGCTGCGAACGGTTCGTTGACAGGCCATGCATGGGTTTTGATATGTTGATTACATGTTTCGTAGTTGTTGCACTAGCAGTCGTTGATATCTTGTACCAAGGAGGCAGTTAGCTGAGTTAGCTCACCGGTCAATGATACATACTTCTGACTCATTGAAGAGCAATAGTTTTTCGAAAAGTACCACCAGCATCAAACGCAGGGGGGATTTGCGTTATCTTCTACATTCATTGATTGGCGCGTTCTAGTACTTTCTTTGGCACGAGGACGGATGGAATAGTAGACCACCAACCACTTGGCTGCATTTGTTATCAATGTCAAAAAACGGCATTTCAAAAACTCCAAGGTACTCCCCACAAGAAGGACACCACCACTCCATCACACTCAAGATGTCTTTGTCCTGCCATCCAGGGCGTACGCACAGCCCGTCTCCAAGTATGTCGCTCCCTCCCCCTACCGATCCCCCCAGCCAGCCAGCCCCCGATCGCCCCCCCTCCTCGCGGTACCCCCCACTGAGACCATCCGACCCCCGCAAGATGGCCCTTCTATGGCGGGCCCCGCAGCAGTCCCCAAATGCGCATTCTGTGGCGGGGGGCCCGACGGCGAGCCCCCAGATGACGTCATGGAGCGTGCACGCGAGGCGCGACGGAACCGCCCCCTGTCGGAGAAAGAAAGGGCGCGGCTGGCGCTGGAGCTTGGGAGGCAGGAACAGCGGCGGCGGGGCTTTCTGGGGCCGTTGCTGGGGCCGCTGAGCGAGAAGGTTGGGCTGGCGGGGGTGTGGGTGCACCGAGAGTGCGCCATCTGGAGCCCCGAGGTGAGGCGACAAATGACTCTCATGAAGAATGCGAAGATAAATAACGTTGATCGAAGTTGAAAACCTTAACATGAAGATTCATCTGCTTCGTGTGCCATCCTGAACCTCCAACTATACCTCCCCCTGCCCTAGTGCGTTGACCTCTGATTATTCTAGCCCAAGATTTGTTCTTTCGAGATTGATAGGCAGACAATGAGATCTGGAACCGTTTGCCGTAAGCGACTTCTGTTATCCAATAGTGAAGCTACTTTTTCGATCTGGTCAAATATGCTCGATAGCAGATCTGATCCTGACATAACACTTCTGTGGACTGCTCTGCCCGCCTTGCGCTTCGACGAACTTGCCAACCTGCCAAATTGGTCGACTTTTTGAAGAGTATGTACCAGGCGGGCACCCACGAAAGCTTTCAGATGCAATCAACTGAAATCAAATTTGTTAGCTTGGTGCTAGCATGGAACCAACTTTCCGAGTTGGGGTTCACAAAAAGTGAGTCAGATCCAGCCATGCCTTCGATTCAGTGGCGAAGTCACTCATAGCAGGCATGATTATGGTGCCTCAAGGACCAGTTCTCTTGCTTGAAATCCCGACAGCGTTGCTAATGAAGCGGCTCATGTTGGTCTGTGTTTGTAGGTGTACTTTGCTGACAGCGGCCACCTCAAAAATGTAGCCGCAGCCGTGCGGCGCGGGCGCCTCCTGCGCTGCGTGTTCTGCCAACGGGGGGGCCCAACCATGGGCTGCTGGATCGAGCGCTGCCCCAAGTCGTATCACCTGGTGAGCTCGCCTCGTCCTGTTTCTCAGTCCTACAAGCATGAACGGGAATTGTTATACTGGTGCTTAGGCAATCTTGCTTGAGGTGTCCTTCTATCAGGCAAATGTGGGCAAGTCTGGCGACTGCAGGTGCCAGTCGACGAGGCATGTTGAACGGCAAAGAGTTCCTGTGTTTCCTCGTTACTCAGACCCACTTCTTTGTTTGGGCGTCTGTAGGCTCGAACGACACCAGTTCTCTGTGCCTCCACACTTGAGACCAAACGTGCAGAAGCTTTCTGCATTGTGCTGACGTTACAGCGTGGTTCTCGTTTGTTTACAGGCGTGCGCACGCGCAGACGGATGCCACTTCAATCACGCGGACTACCTCATCACATGCCATGACCACGCCGTCATGGTGCGACGCCCCAAGCGGCACCGCCTCGCGCAGAACGGCCCCCCCGAACCCCACAAACGAGCCCGGTAAATTCTGCACCCTCACAGGATCAATACTCTTCACAAGCAGTGTCGATTTTCGTGATAGATGTTGCAAGGGCAAGCGGCCGCTTCGGCTTGCGGCCGAGCGACCTTCCTGACGTAGTGTCTCACAGGCCGGACCATGTTCGATTGTTTCAAACAGCATAGAATTACAGTACTTCCACCCCGAAATCCGACCCTCGTCCTCGCAACACATGATAACCTGCATCGACCCATGTGAGATGTGTGAAAGCGGAGGACGTGATTTTTAGCGGGCGGATCCTTAGGACTGGGAAAATAACCACAGAAGCTAAAAAAGACGATAGAACCATACCTCCAAGCCTTATCGCCCTTATCTTCTGCTCAGGCCGTGGCCTCTTCCTGTCCCGGAGCCGCAGCCCGAGATCGCGCCTCCGGAGCATGGGAAGCGCGCGCGGCGCGCGGCGGCTGTGGCTGCAGTACAACGCATCAGCATCACGGCCCGTCAGGACGCCGAACGAGAGGCGGCGCGCGGGGGGGACCTTGCTGCGGATGAGGTACGCATGCGGACCGCAGAAATGTGTATGACTGGGGGATGACCAGGAGTCAGTGCGCTGCCGTTTTCTGATTTGACGTCAAAATAGAAGCTCTAGACGCCTCGTTTGTGGTGGGTTTGTTGCGGTTTGTTGACGTCCCGGTCTGTTGCAGACTGGGGTCCTTACGTTACACCTGACGGTAGCACTGCGCCTCGAGCATCGCAAAGAAGTGCAATCCGCTCGTACGCACAAGCCCGAACGAGCTCAAAGCATTCATGGGGCAACTGCCGAAGGACCGCGTTAGCTCCAACAGTTCGCTTTTTGTCAAACCAGTTGGATCGAGCAAGATACAACGAGAGCGCAAGCTTTGAGGCCTTGACCCCGGCGTTCGCAGGAATTCTATTCGGTCGCGAACAGAGCTGCCTAGACTCTCGTTGTGGGCGTGTAAACTACTAACCCGAGGCCAGCCGGTCATTTTAATATCGGCAATAAAATGTGTCTAGTCTCCAGCTTTTGAAATCGTTCTCGACCACTAAAATCATTGAGTGCTTTACAGGCCGAGTTCTTGAAGCGCGAGCGGCGCCGTCTGCAGCGCGATATTGCCCGGATTGCGCCGCTGCGTCTGGGGGGCGCTGAGCCGGGTGCTGACATGGGAGGGCCCCCAGGGTGGGAGTCAGTGGCGGGGCTGCGCCATGTTGTCGACTGTCTTAAAGAGATGGTGGGCTCCCTAGGTCCTTATGGACTTCTGCTGAGATCATTGATGACCCGCTGCTTAGAGAAGTAAACGTGCGATATCCTCAGAACTTTCTCGAGAGACTTCCGACCACCAACAATGGCACATCATCGAAGTACGACTGGTTTTGACGTCTCAAAGTTCATTGATAAGGGCCCGCTGCTTGGATAGATATGTGCGCGGGCCTTGCAGTATTCTGTCGGAAGATAATTTCAATGACTAACATGGACACATCGTCAAACAACACACAACGTTTCGAGGTCCCAAAATTCGATAACATGATAAGGTTTCACGCTCCAGCATAGGGAGAGTGCGCTCACTGGTTACGTTCTTAGGAACCGGGTCACATTCGCAGGTGGTCAAAGTCCATCCGTTTCCGTACATATGCTGACTCTCGTTCCCGCCTGGCTGCAGGTAGTCTTCCCGCTGCTATATCCGGCTGCTTTTGCGCGGCTGGGCGAAGGCCCTCCGCGCGGTGTACTTTTGCACGGCCACCCGGGGACTGGCAAGACGCTCGTGGCACGTGCCTTGGCCGGCGCCTGCTCCCGGGGGCCCCACCAGGTGGCCTTTTTTGCACGCAAGGTGAGCTCTGACGCCACCGGCAATGTCAATACTTGCAGCCGTGTAATTTGGGAAACCGTTTGAGAAACCGTAGCGCAAAGATTTGGCGACCCGATAGAGCGAGCGGAAAAGATGCCCCACATACTTGCCTAGGGCAAGCAGACTTAGAAAGCCGTTCGGAAATTTTGAAAATCCAACAAAGCACACTCATTGTCCTGCTATTTGTACCGGGGCGGATTGCACACGAATCGTCGAATTTTGCAACCTTGTGCAGGGCGCAGACTATATCGAAACCTGCTTCTTGAAAGCGCCAGTTGCGACTGCACTCGAGGCTTTATATTCTTACATTATGGGTACCCACAACACTACGCACAGAATCCCAAAAGTTTGGAATCGTTCAAGCAGGGCGCTGACTGCCTCGGCAAGTATGTGGGCGACGCAGTGTACCTTCTCTGGCTGCTCTGTCGGGTTGCGAAAACATCATGTTGTAGCTCTCATGATTACAAATCGATGCAATTGGAAAGTCTCCGTGCAGGGCGCGGACTGTCTCGGCAAGTACGTGGCCGACGCAGAGCACCTTCTCCGGCTGCTCTGTCGGGTTGCCAAAACGTCATATTGTAGCTCACATGATTTCAAAACGCTACATTTTGGAAATGCATCGTGCAGGGTGCAGACTGTCTCGGCAAGTACGTGGGCGACGCCGAGCGCCAGCTGCGACTACTCTTCCAAGTCGCGGCCGCGTCGGCGCCGAGCATCATCTTCTTCGACGAGATGGACGGTCTCGCTCCCGCGCGCCAAGTCACCGCCTCCGACCAGACCCACGCCAGTGTAGTGGCCACTCTGCTGGCGTTGCTCGATGGGGCCACGCCACGTGGCGCCGTGGTTGTGATTGCGGCGACCAACCGGCCGGATGCCATCGACGCCGCGCTGCGCCGCCCGGTGAGGGCCCGATCGCACTTGTACGAGGCTTCGAAAAATCAGAGATAACGAAGCATGAGCGCTATTGGGTATCAAGTTTTGGTTGACAATTTTGCCCTAGGGTACGGCTTTCCTGTGCAGCAAAAAGATGCAGAAAGATGCAAAGATGCAGAAAGCGGAGGAAAGACAGCAACTGGAGCCCGCCATGGGGTTTGAAATTGTTGCTCTTGGTATCGCCATAAATCTGTTGGGGATCCGCTGGTCGTGTCTTTCCTTGGCTCACGCATGCCCGCTGCGAATGTTATACTCACCTCATGCTTCGTTGGAATTCCTCCATGAATCGCAGCAAAGTAACGCTTAAAGGCGGACGGAGCCAGGCATGGGACCGCCGGCTTTTGCGCTCTTGGCTTACCACAGGACTTCTGGTGGTTCGCAGGGCCGCTTTGACCGCGAAATCTACTTCCCGCTCCCCTCCCTGCCAGATCGTGCAGCCATATTGGGCGTGCACACCGCTGCGTGGCCGTCCCCTCCTCCCCCGACCACCTTGCGCGCCCTCGCCAAGGCTACTCCAGGTTATGCAGGAGCCGATCTTGCGGCGCTGGCAGCTCAGGCAAGTATACGATTCAGCTAAGGGAACGTCTGATTCTTTGCTAACAGGGTCTTTGACTGCCATTTTGGGCGTTCAAACGGCAGCATGACTGTCTCCTCCTCCCCTTGCCATCTACGCATTTTAGCAAAGGCTACCCCGGGATATGCGGGAGCCGATCTTGCAGCGCTGACAGCTCAGGTACGGTAACGAGGGTTCGGGGGTTTGATAATTGAAGTCTGCAGGACTTCTACCTACGTCCACTTCTCCGTAGGTGTCGAACATCAAGACCGGAGCTTGTGAGGCGTCGAGCAAGCGGATCCGGCTCTAGAGGTACAAGTGTTGGCCAAAGAAGGTATCAGGCAGGCTTACCTTCGAGAACTAGAACGGCGGACTCGGAGTCGCCTCTGCCCTTGTGCGGGTTCCCTTTTATTGAGCCCCTCAACTTTTACTGCAGGCTGCTTTGGTGGCCCTCAAACGCTCCCTGGGAGGCCGCATTCCAGAGCCGCCAGCGACGGCTCCTCTCTCGCCGGCCGTACACGTCACCGCCAACGACTGGGCACGTGCCTTGGTAAGGCAAGAGAAGACACGTGGTTCTCGTCGTACTAGCTTTCGCTTTTTCTGAACAATTTCACCAGGAACCATCGAAAGAATATACTCTTTGGGTCCAAATCACTGAAGGTTCCTATCTGTAGGTCCAGTCTGCCACACATGCCACTGCCGTTCACAACCTCAACCAATTCTTCATCCTCTTCGTTCCACGTAGCATAGCGGCAAACTCTCTCTTCCTTCGCGTGGATTTCGCGAGATTGCAAACTATTGCAAGGATTGCCGCCCCAATTCGTCCCTCCTTGCTTCTCCCTCCATTCTGACCGACCCGCCTTTTTCTTCCAGGCCGCTGCTCCCAGCCCCGCCTCTCGCCGTTCCTGCCAGGCTCTGTTAGCGGTTCCCCCCTCGACTCCCCTCCCTCCCCCTCTGGTGCCCCTGCTGGGCCCCCCCCTGGCCGGCCTCCTGCTCGCGCTGCGCCAAGACGGCCGAGCAGTCCTCCCCCCCACGGTGTGCATTCTCTCCCCTAAAGATCTACTGCCTCCGGACATGTATTGGACCTTTTCCGGACAGCTTGGCTCCGTTTTAACTGGATGGTTCGGGTTTGCCGATTTTCAACGATTGTGGAAACTTCAAGTGCAGCAGTGCTGCGAGGACATTGTTGACAACAATTCCTGGAAAGAGGGGGCATAGATTCGATTATCAATCCAGACAATCGAGTGAAGGTATTTGGGTACTCTCATATACTTGTTGTACATCACGAGCACACACAAGCTCCAGCTCGTACGGTATAGATCCGTCGCTTTCACATACATTTTTTTCGGATCAGGAAATGACCTCCATGCTCTTCTCGAATAGTGCCCAGATCCTTCTCTTCGCACCATGCAGGCATGCAGTGCTGCCGGGGCGGTGGCTGCCGCCTTGGCTGACGTCAGCAACCCCTCTTCCTCTGCAACCCCAGCGGATGCCGCTCTTTGGGGGTGGGCGAGCGCAGCAGAGCGTGCGGCGGTAGGGGCCCTGTTAAAAGCGGGGGTGCTGTCTGGCCCGGGAAGCGAAGAGCCAGGTAAGCCTTTGACACAGCATGCCAGGTTCAGAGAAGCAAAGGGGAAAAGCCATGTTGACGTCATCAAACGGCCGACTCTAACGTCAACCTTTGAGCGCTCACGTGCGTCAGGACTTTCGCATTGAGTGACGACTTGCAAACATCCAACCGGAAAAACCCTGCTGACGTCTGCATGACATCATAGATGATCGCCCGGTTGCACGAAAGTTGCGCCCTGCCCAGACGAGCTTTGACGTCTGCACCAAAACCGTCTGCAAGACCCTGTGAACGGGCAAAAGCTTGTGATTTTTCTTACCTGGTCCTCCTCTTTTGAACTTGGACCTCGTCTTCTGTCCTAGTTCTGTCACTTCCCTCCTTGGGAAACCCACGACGAAAGTCGATACTGGAACTTTCATCATCATGCGAGTCGCTGGTCAACGCTGAGGCAAGAATCTTAAGGCGAGCCTTAAATAGCCGAAGCTCACACTCCAAAATAACAGAAATTTCAGAGAAGGCCCAGGGCATATGCTGACCCTTGAGCGCACTGAATGGTGCAGGAAATGACGCAGATTGGAACGCTGACGAGAAAGAGTCCCACGGAAACGGTGGCGGCGTCCGCGTGCTAGTGACTGGGACAGGCGCGGTGGGGCAGGAGGCTCTGGTGGGCGCGCTAGTGGCGCTTTTGGAAGGCGGCGACGGAGAGGTGCACAGCGCGAGCCTGGGCGCGATGTTGATGGCGGGCCATGGGGACCCCGTCCAGGTACGCCACTGTTTGACTTGTCCGTTCTGCAACCCCATAAGGGTGGGGAAACCAGTCCGGGTAGACGATGGCGGGCCACAGCAATCTCGTTTAAAGTCCTTCAAGGTTTAGCTGATCTACTTTTTTCGAAATCAAGATTGCAAGAGAGATACGCCACTGGTTGACAAGTTCGTTCTGCAACTATGGGGAAACGCCTAAAATGCGAGGGAATTTGCAAAGTGCGAGCTCGGGGCAACATGATGATGGCGGGCCACGGGGGCCCCGTCCAGGTACGCCCAGTTTCACTGTTCGTTTTTGCACTTATGGCGAAATTCAGATTAGGAGGGACATCTGCAAAGTGCGAGGCTGAATGCCATGACCTGCCTGGCAATTTCGAAGGAATCGAACGCCTTGTCGCAGAACGTCTAACCTTGGTTCTCGTCTTCCGGCAGTAATGAGTCTGATACCCACGTGTTCCATAGTTTGCATTGGAGCTTTCGCCAGATTTGACCGCTTAGTCCGACCCTAATCCATCAGAAACAGCATTCATTTGTTCTTGTAGGGGACACGTCAAGTGAGCAGCAGCACAGGCTGCCCCTATCTTACACCGCGAAAGGTTTCCCTCAGTCACCCTTCAGCCCGCTCCCCACCGCCTGGTACTCTATTTTCTCTCACTTTTCCTCTCTTCTAACCGCAGGGCCTTTCTCGCATCCTGTCTGACGTGCGGGGCCGCCGCGCCGCCATTCTTGTGATGCCCCGCCTCGAGAGCTGGGCCACAGTGCAAGTGCCTCCCCCGGAAGGAGATGAGGGCCCCGCCGTCAGCGTCGCGTCTGCAGCTTGGAAGATGTTCTTGCAGCAGATCTGCGGTGCACCCAACGCCGCGCCCGCGCTCATCTTGGTGAGCGCTGGTGGTCTGCTGACTTGTGTCAATCGAGTCTGGTCACCTGTAAGAATCCGACGTATCCTTTTTGACAACTGCTGTTCTCATTGCTGTTTGAGCAGGAATTGTGAAAACATGACGGATATAGGCGCTTCAGACCATTGGGTTTGAGGGTGTTTGGCCTGAGACGACGCTGTGCAACTAGCGGACGTATGAATCACCGAGGATGCCTATGGAGGGCAAGTGCTCGTCGGCTGTGGTCTGCATTGGTATTTGGATTGTGCAGTCCTTGTTCAGCCTGGAAGTTGCATTTACTCAAGAAATCGACTTCATATTACAGTTTTGCCTTCACGAGGTCCCATTGCTGCTCTTTCTACAGCCTTTGACTCGCAGCCACATACTCTGCTCCAATGCAGGCAACCAGTGCGTTCTTTGTTGCGCTTTCTACAGCCCGTCGTTTGGGCTCACCTTAATACTAAACCGCAGCCACCTACTCTACTCCAATGCAGGCAACCGCCGGGATGCCCACTACTTCCCTCCCAACTTCCGTCGCTTCTTTCTTTGGCGGTCACTCCTCGATCAACACAGAAGCGATGCACACCAGCGAGAGAACTCCCTCAGCCACCACTCCGAAGCTCGTCAAGGGGGCCACGTGGCAGCTGGCTAAGGGCGCATCCGGCGGCGCAGTAGGCTGCTTCCGTGTCGCTCTAGTTGGAGGGGATCCCCCTCGGGAGGCCGCCATGTTTCGGTGGGCTGCGCACAGCTCAGCCGCTGCTGTGGCGCACTCGTTCTTGAGGAAGGAAAAGGCCCTCAGGTCGTCGGCTGAGGAGGAGGGGCAAGCGGCGGGTGAAAGGAAGAGAAAACGGGAACCCTCGGTAGGTGTAGTCGCTGAGGAAAAAGGAAACGGAGATACTGAGGGGGTCCAGAACAATGGAATAACTCAAGACACTGGGGTGGCTGGTGCGCCGGATGATTTCCCCACAGTGGGGCCAGAAACGGAAACGGGGCTTCCGTCCTCGAACGTAGACAGTGACGGCATGGGGGGCAATCTAGCGGAGGGGGATCCCCCACCAAATGCAAACATCACAAGCGTGCCCATCAACCCAACAGAGGGCGATTCGCCCCCTCAGAAGCGCGTGCGGCTATCCTCTCCGGGGGGGGAGCCAGCAGTGGAGAACGGCGGGGGGGGCCCGACGGCGACGGCTCTGCGGTGGTGCGGGAGACAGCTGCTGAGCGCTCCCCAATGGGGGTGCCTACGAAGAGCGAGCGCGATAGTCACGTGGGAGAAGGAAGCGCGGAAAAGGCCGTTAGATGTCGCGCGCGCGGCGAGTAGCAGCCCGGCGCCGGCAGCAGGAACGCAAGCCCCCCCGTTGCGCGGTGAGGTTCTTGTCGGGTGCAGACTCAACGACGGCTGGAAGGTGTCCGGATTGCAAATCTTTCGGCGGGCTGTTTTACTGATGCAAAAGTCGCAGGATGCTTCGCCGGATGAAAAGAGAACCCGCATTGGCTCGAGTGTCCCGTTGGTCAGTCTTCTCTTTTACAAACAGCCTGAATCACTCGAAACGCCCACGTTGCAACATCCTAGAGTTTGCGGACCTCTCTGCTTCAGTCTTCCCCTCCCCCCTCCGTCGGGACCTTTGACGTTTTGGCTCTGAGCACCTTTAATACCTTCTCGATGTCTCTTATTGATCTTCTCAGACGCGACTCCGCCCCCCCCTTCCGGCGGCCTGCTTGGCGTGGCTCGCACTGCCCTCTCCGGCGGTTCTTCGACTTTTGGCCTCTATGCGACCTATGAAGTTTTGGCTCTTGAACATCATCTGTACCTTCTCAACAACTCTTGATTGATATGCGCAGACGCGACTCCGCCGCCCCCTTCCGGCGGCCTGGTTGGCGTGGCGCGCACCGCCCTCTCCGACGGTTTCTCGAGTGCCGCCGAACTGTCCGCCGCAGTGGGACGCGTGCTGGCGCGCGTTCGGCGCCGGGAAGAGAACGAGCGCAGCAAACGTCGCCGTCTCGAGATGGGGGGGGACGCGGAGCAGGAGGGGTACCCCCCCGTGCTGGCGGCAGCGGCGGCGTTGCAGGATACGGTGGCAGGGTGGGAGTATGCTTTGGGGAAAACTCAGGCGGCTGCTGGTAAGGGCCGACTGCCGGGCTTGGAAGCGCTCCCCAAAACGGGAGCGGCCCGAGAAGATGAACGTCGGCGAGAAGAGTCGGTGCAGGCACGTGACCCGGGTTATGAAAGTGAAGCGCGGAGGAAGGGGGGAACGGTTGCAGGTAGAACATTGGCGCATGCGGAGGAACGGGGAGGGCAAGACGCAGCAAAGGGCGGGGAGAGGAGTGAGCCCGGGGGAAACAAAGCGGGGGTAGCAGCAGGCGGGGAAGACGCGGCGGACGGTCAGGATGGAATGGAGGCAAAGGGCATGGAAAAGCTGGAAGGGGAGATGGAGCAAAGAGGGGGACCTGAGAGGGAGAGGAACGTTGAGCGCAAGCGGGAAGGTACGGAAGGGAGCATGGCGGAAACGTCAGACGGACTGTTGCAGCCGCCAGCTGGAGGTTCGGAAGCGGTGGTTGGGGGTGGTGAAGCGGAGCCAACGAAAGTTCACCGAGGGGCAGTGCAGCAAGAGGCGGGTTCGGCAGCGTCGACCGTTAAAGAGCAAACCGGAACGCGGGTAGAGGGGTCCGGAACGGACAAGAACGTCGATGAAGCTGGAGTCTCCTTGGGGAGCACCGGAGCGGAAACGGAGGCGGAAAAGAAGGAACGGACGGAGCTGGAGACGGAGCACAGGCAAGAGTCAAGGGGTCGGGGAAAAGACGGATGCGGGGCAACGACCCGGTCCGATTTGTGGCAGGGCGAAAGAAAAAGAGCAACCGGTGTGGAAACCGGGGGATGGTGGGCTCCGGAATGCTTCTCGCATTTGGCGGAGGCGATCTTGGAGAGGTACACCAATGAAAGCGAGCGGCATGAAACGGTGGCGGAAGCCAAAGTTCCAGAGGGGAGCGTAAGCGCGGATCTGCAGTCCGCCAAGGTTGATACAGAATCTTCGGGCGTCGAAGTGGACCGGATACTGGAGGTGGTAGCAGCGAGCAACCGGCGGGTGCAGGCTTGCCTGGCGGGGATTGGAACGGAGGGGAAAGACACTCTGTGTACTTTCTGCCAGAAGCATTATGAGAAGAGGCAGGAAGGGTGGCGAGAGGAAGACGGGGAAAAACCAGACTTGAGGCCAATCTGCTTGGGACCACTAAGCGACGCCCTGCGCCAGCTCTCAGCAGAGGTTCAGAAGTAGCTTGCGCTGCGTCGTGTGGATCTCGGGCACAGACCAGCTTCCATGGTCATTGGACACTCCTACGTGCAACCGGCCCCGCACGTCGTTGCATGGCAGGTGTTGTACATTTGGGTCATTTCGTGCTTTGGAAAGGGACCGGCCCTTTACGCGCTGTCAATGAGGAATTCTACTTTTGTGTACGTGCGCAGTACGTTTTGAGCTCAGTGGTGCTTAATGTGTGCGGCCAGGAGTTCTAGCTTCTTGCCTGACGCGCTGACAAGGTACGGTAGTCGCGACTGTTGTTATGTCGGACTCAGATGTATAAGCCATCTAGCAATTGCCCGAGTGGAAAATCAACCATGCATCGCATGTGACAATGGATCGCGTCGCATTTGGTGGCATGGACAACCGTACGCGGTAGTGGTGCGCTGGCAGTGCGGCCAACGTGGGCACTTGTGTGGTTCGCCGCCGCCGCGCGAAATGTCATGGTCGATCAGGCGCGCGCTGGCCTATGCATATAGAAGCAGACGATAATCCGGGCGGCGGCGTATAGCTTGAACAGTTAAACCTTACAGAACATATATCGATCGAGTCTGATCTGCCATCACACTGGATCTCAGACAACTTAATGCATGCATGGGAGTCGCGCGCACTGCGGCAGCCTGCACGCACACATGCCGCCCCTGTATGCATGCAGAATCGACCCAACATGCACATAACAACGTCAGAAATGTGCACTATACGTACTACACTCTTCATTGCATCTCATGCGGCCAGGCCCGACGCGCACCACACCATCTCGGCCGTGCACGCCCAGCATTGATATAGCAAGCAAGCATCTTTATACACCCGAGTTACGGTGTTGTTAGCTGTTCAAGGTCGATCGAGCTAGAATAATTGCAGGGCATACTCGCAAGCGTCAGTCCGATACTCTTTGCTGCCTCATGTTTCTCTCCATTACAGCGCATTAAAGGTTGAGCGGGGACCGAGTCGGTGCCTTTTGACTTACAGCTGGGGTTCGGCACGTTAGCAACATGTCGTGTCAATTCAGTTGTTCTCTGGCTTACCGCTCGGCCAGGAAGCATTCTGAAGCGGAGACAAAACACTCTCAACTTCATTCAACAGACGCTCGTCAAGTGCGCCGTTCACTACCGCCTCTACGTTTGCTCTAACCTGCAATGACAAAGTCAGGAAAAGGTGAACCGGTTGCACCAATGCTTCAACAAGTACACGGAGTCGGTCAACCTTCAGACGTCAATCTTGTTCCTTTGATCCTTCTGAAACGAGACTAGAGCACATGGCTTCAACAGAGTGCCAATGCAGAACATTCGCTGGCCCGCGCAACTTTCGAAAGTGCATTCAATTCGACAAGCACAAGCAACCATCATACGTTCGCAACCGCAGAACACAAGATACCAAAGTATGAAGCGAAGGATCAATAGAAGACACGCGTCCAGCTTACGATCGCCGGCGACGCCATCCCCACAAGCGTGGTTGCGATGAACGGATTTGCCGTTGCGAACTGCAGCGCCAGCGTGGTGACATTCTTCCCGTGCGACTTGGCGACTTCGACGGCCTTCTTGCACGCCCCCTGTAAGAGAAGCGTAAAATCTTGTTCCTCTAACAACAATCGATTCATAGAGGGTAAGTGCCATCAAAGGTAACAGCAACACTTGACGGAAAAACCAAAGCCGTTCTTTACACCGACCTGTTTCCACCTTAATCCCCTAGCTGACTCCACCTGTCTCAAGACCTTGAGATTACCATACAGGAACTTCGAAACGCCAAACAGATGGGAAACGCTTCTGTGTATCCAGCGCCTCTGAAACTTTGACTGCTACGCTTGTCGTTAGTCCACCAAAGTCTCAAGCGGCCCTTCAATAGAGGTCCTCAGAGGGGCGCTGAGAACAATCTGGCAGCGCCATCTGTGCAGAACTCCAAGCGGGGGACTTCGATGCTTGAACTGCAAAGCTTGCATCTGAGCAGCGTCGCTCTGATTTCTTGGGCATTAGAAGTAGCCGGTCGTGAATGACGACGCGCTGCACCCTGCACCATTCTTTGCTCCCTCTGCTTTTGATCTAGAGGGATCCCGAATGGCTCGGATTGTAGCCCAAACTAAATTGCCGCTCATGTCCTGCCTTTTTTAGTGTGCTCAGTACCAATGCCTTGTGAAGCCACAATTGTCACTGTCCGAGGCCATCACTCACAGAACACCACTGCAAGACGGTAAACCCCTTTGCTTGTAACTGATAATCTGCATGTCATTTGACGACCTCAGGACAACCGGCAATAGCCGGCTCTTTCAGACAGCGGCATAGTAGTATTCTCAGATCGAAGTCTTGAGATCAGTTGAGAGTGTCGGCCGTACCTTGATCTCGTCTGAAGCGGGATGCCAGTCCGGAGGCCCTTGTTCCGTCAAAAGGCCCATCGACAGCGGACTAGCGTTGATCACGCCTACGCCCTTTTCCTGCACAGGCACGTGGCGTGTGTGAGGCAGAGTGTATCAAGGATAAGCAAATCGCAAAAGGCAATGCTGCAAAGTTTGTATGTTCAGAGGGATGGTGGTGACAGCGGAGGGAGAGCAAAAGCGAACGAGAAGCGGAGCTTCGAGAAAGCATCGGACAAGCCGTGAATGCATTGGCAGCGCTTTCAAGTTTGAAACAGTTTATCGAACCAGCAAACGGAATCGACCAAAAGCAGCAGGAAACTGAGCTAATTAAAGCGCTCAGGCCGAAGGGGATGGACGAGATAGGGGCTTGCTTTGCAAAAGCTCTGCTTCCGGAACGGTCCTCAGTCGAGCAGAGACTTTCAGGAAAACAAACACAATCCAAATCCACAAAAGGTTTGATCTTGTGAGTTGCGTTTACTCTGCTCAAATCCGCACTTTCAGGTGTCCAAAGGCGAGTCAGAGCGCCAGGGCGACATGTCTCACCTCTAGGTACGGCAGCAGGTCGCCCAAGCTGCGGTCGTTCAGACTGTAGTGGCAGTACGACAGAACGACGTCAACGGTCCCTGGGGCTACACGATCCAGTACGTACTTGTAGATCTTTAGGGGAAGCCCGGTGATTCCGATGAAGCGCACCTTGCCGGCCTCCTTGAGTTTCTGGAGGGCAGGGAGCGTCTCCTCGATGATCTGCACAGGGTTACAAGACAGTTGAGAGAAAGTTATCAGCTGGATTAGAGCTAGTTAAAAGATAGTTAAAAGATAGTCAAAAACGGTGGTGCAGAGAAGGGTGAAGTGTTACTGTGGAGTAGATATGAGAAAGCGAGGAAAGCGGAGCAGTTGAGACTGGCTTCCGAGCTACATGAGCAGATGCTTATCACATGGTAGGATGAAGCGGGGAGTGGCTCCTCAACGATGTCCCAGGGGACGCATCGGTCAAACCAAACTTTGCAAGGCCATCAAAAACCAAGTCCATATCCAATTTCAGTGCACGTGGGTAACGGAAGATGGTCAACCAGGGTTTCAATGTCCCAAATGAAACACATTTGGATGTGATGAAAAGGCAACGAAGAAAACCTGCGGGACTCATCCAGAACGCTAAGATCTTTCATCAGTTGCATCCCGAGTACACCACTTCATCTGCTCAGACACTGGGTAGCGCCGATGTAAGTCAATCTTCAGTCTCGCAAGGCTCTCCTGATTGTTCAGGGTCCTTAACCCCACTCGCTAACCCTCTGGAACTAAGAAGATAAGGAACGCTGTTTCCTGGGAAACTGACCTGGTCAAGTGAGCCGTACTCGATATCATGGCACTGTATGATATCAATGTATTCGACGTTAAGCCTGGCGAGGCTCTCGTCCACGCTCTTTGTGACCCGTTCCGCACTGAAGTCGAACACGTCCTGGCCATACCGCCCGACCTTGGTAGACAGCACAAACTTGTCGCGCGGGATGTCCTTGAGCGCCTTTCCGAGGTTGGTCTCAGCTAGCGTTGCGCCATAAAAGCTGCATATGCAAGCGAAATGACCCTCCTTTTGTGTGCTTTGGCTGGCAAAAACAAAATGAAGCCAGAGATGAAGAAGAGTGCCATTTGCGCTTGGGTAAGTCTTAAGAAGGGACAGTCGCACTAAGCCTTGAGTGAGCATGATCACATTTGGGTTTGCCACTGAGTGCGCTGCTAAGATTATGTGTCACAAGATAACAGTGCCAGTAACTTTCAACTTCTGAAGTGTGGTACGACAAGCATTGATGATCTGAAACAGGCGCCTCCAAAGAGGTCCACCCTCGACCACCCTCCAATCGAGCAGGGAGAAAACATAAGCTGCAAAAAAGTCACACTTGATCACTAGGCTTCAGTTGCAGCAGGCGCTCCGCTCTATGTGCGTCTACTCTGCAAATTTGGTCTCTGTGTGCAATCGAATGTTGTTTCAGTTGAAAGCAAACAGATATCCGCACAAAAGTAGACAATGTTGCATTGCCTTGTTGTCTGATCAATCAAGCGGCAAGTCAAAGCTGCCGCACACAGACTTGTTGAGTAAGCATGCCGCCAATCCAGTCTGGACTCGCTTAAAACTCTCGGTGGTGCCCTTGTCAATCACACGATGTGAATCTGAGCATGCTGCAAAACAGCAAAAGAATGCAGATGGAGACCAACATGCTCCAGAACAAAAGTATCGCACGCACTCACGGCGACACGTCAATGAAGTTGATGCCGAGTCTGATGGCCTCATGCACCGCCTCAACACCATCCGCCTCTTTCAGGTCCCCAAAAACGTTGCCAAGGGGAGACGCTCCAAACCCGAGGATTGAAACTTCAAGACCCGTCTTTCCTAGCTTCCGTTTTGGTAACGCAGTACCAGCCATTGGACCAAGAGTTGAGTTCGCGTTGCTCTCCTGTGGACTCCACGCAAATGGGCCCTCAAAAAAGCTCGCCACAAAGCGCCGCGTCTCGGCCGCCTTCTCGCGCGTGCCGCCGAGCTTCGAATACAAGAGAAGCACGACGAAAGAAGCAAGAGCAGCCCGCAGCCCAATGCCAAACCAATCAACCTTGCTCGTGTTCCTTAGAAAAGGGATTGCTTCCACGTCTCCGCTTTGCGCCCCCTTTCCCTTCTTCTTCCAGTAGTTGTCCTCGCTGTCTGCCGCACCGGTGGTATCGTCCTGCGGCTGCTGCGTTGCTCGCTTCCTCATGTCAGCTAAACCAAAGGACCTCAAAGGTGCGTCTTGAGTTGGTCGCAGGCGTCAGCCGCGACAAAACAAGAAGTGCCAATTTGGCGAACTTGCATTCACTGATTCAGAGGGGAATCTCTGGCACTGGCAGTCAGCATGGCTTAGGGTTTCCAGGGCCCATGGGACAAAAACCCTAAACTTCTTTTTCTAGGGACAGACCTGACATCATGATAACCCCATGATAACCTGTAAGGGGCTATTCGCATGCCACCGTTCCGCTAAAATTTTAACGGGGCTTTAGCGGAACCACGTGGCTCTTCATCCGAGCCCGGGTAACGGAATAGCGGCCGCATGCCTTTCCGCGAATTGGACATTACCGCAAACCTCCGGGATTCCGGAGCTCCACGTGCACGGCCGGCCGGCCGGTCCCGGACACCGGGTGGACCAGCCCCGCTGGAAACAGACTCGGAGAAGCCTGGGAGGCTGGCAGGCGAGGGAGGGGTACAAACTTTATTGAATCGTGGCCGTTCGATGTGCCACGGCGGCTTTTAGCGGAACCCGCTACAATCTGTAGAATGTATATGGCCGGTTATACAATGTAGCGGAATCGCTACAATGTAGCGGGATTCCGTGCGTGCGAAAGTTTTGGTTTAAGCGGAAAAGGGTGCATGCGATGGTAATTTTCTCGGTTTTCCGCCAGAATGTAGCGATAATGTAGCGATAGCGGTGGCATGCGAACAGCCCCTAAGTTTAATTAAGGTAGGTATTGTGACCACGTACAGAGTTATTAATTGCTCTCAGCCGTACAAAAGCTTCGAATGTTTGGAAGCAGAGCAGCTATCACCGAGTTGTTTCCAGGATATATACGGCCGTCCATCTCGACAGTGGACGACCAACTTTGTGCCTAAGGTATGACGAGATAAGCAGGAGGCAGACTGTTCTAACTTCTTATACACACTCCACTGCCGGTCTACCCTTGGTTGAAGGTTTTTTGAAGGCCGTTCGCGTCTGCTTCGCCGACTGTTCGGAATTTGCCTGGTAAGTGGTGAATATGCTAGCTCCAAAAAGAATCATCTCTAAGGCAAACTTCCATAGCGTATTGTCAAATGTCCCATACCTTATATGAAAATTATTTTGGAGGGCCATGTAATTAATTCTGAAGGGGAATGGACGTCATCCTGCGGATCGAGACAAGCCCGCGGGCCGCGGCCCATGTATGATGTACGGCAGCTGCAGTGCGGTCGTTCGCCGCCCCCGGGAAGGATCCACAACGACAGCCATTGGCATCAGCTAGCTGGCAGATTGAATGGCGCCAGGATGGCGCCCCACATTTATAGCTAAGTAGGCTTGGCTGGGGTGGTCATTTTGCGGCAGCCATGCGCCCAGGCAGCTCTGGAGTCCGAGCTCCCATATGCTGCCTAACGAGCCTGCTCCAGGGATGTTATAAGTTGTGGCGGGGCTTTCATTGAAACAAGCTTCTTTCCTTCATGGTCTCAATGGCGGCCGGCGAGCATGATCTATCAAGGTATTCAAAAGAGAAGCAGGTGTAGAGAGAGCACATAGTTTCTGTTTAAGCAGTAGGTCAGTAGGATAAGCAGATAGCTCAAAACCTGGGAACGTGTTGTCAAGCTTGCATACTTGCAAATTTGATCCTTGGATGGCAGGTGTTGGACCAGGTTCTTCAGGCAGGGGCAATGGCCGCCCTCAGAATTCTGGGCGTCAACCTGGACTGACAAGCATTGACGACCAAGGTGAGGATTCGTCTGGAGCCTTTCAGGTTCTGAACACCTTAATGAATGGGATGACTGTCTGATTGTAGGCGGTCTGGGGCGCGCTAACCTTCTACGCCCTTTTACAAGTTATGTTACAGGTCCTTATCATAATGATCTCTTGTGAGCCTCATCTTCCCCCCACAGTTTTCCAATAGAGGTTTTCAAGCATGATAGGTCCTGAACATGCCACCTTCTCAAGAGTGGCGCAAGCAGGCTGTCATTGCTTTGTGCAGCAAGTGGTAGGGCAAAGCTACGGCCATGGTTGTTGCGCATTCCGCAAGCGCAGCTCAAAGCTCAAAGCATCAGACAGGTACCTCACACATTATCGTCAGCATCTGTCCTTCAGTGCACTCTCCTTCAGCACAGTGTCGATACTGCAAACTCTCCCTTAGCAGTCGTTATTACCTGCAGATGCGTCAATCGCAGAGCTGCAAGAACTGTACGCAAACCTGCGGGAGCATTCTCGGACGTACCAGGGGGCAGAGCTCGGTGGCGCATCGCCATCTGCCCCCGTCCACTCTTCTCGTTCCGGCGCTGGCGCGGCACGCAGCGATGAGAACAGCGTGGGGGAGAGTCTGGAGGAGGGGATTGAGGACAAGAAAAAGAAGCTACCAAAGGACCAGGTCAAGGAGTTGGAGGCAATGTTTCAGTCGGGGTATACGGGGGCTCCAGGTGAGACGGGTCTTGCTCAAAGTGAGTCGTTGCATGTCCGCTGGAGAACCAGAGAACGGGGTCAGAATGGTGTTGGTTACAACTTTGCTCGCTGGTAATGTTCAAACCAGTGCGGCAGCTCACGAAGTCCATTTTCTGGGTCTGTCAGCTTAAACCTAACACGAGAGTTGGTCAAGGTAGTCGAGGACCAGCCTCACATCCACGACAGGAGTTGCTCCAACCCCTGGCTGTAAAACGGCTGGCCGTTTTCAACGTTTCTTGCTCTGGCGGGGGTGCTTATTGCGTGCGGTTGCAGGCTTGCAAGTTTGGGCATTGCTTCGTATACTAAGCCTGAGAAGATGAGAGGTCAAGCCCTCTTTTGAGAGGTAATCTCGACCCCCAACTAAGATTCGTCTGTGCTTCTGTGTGCAAATTACGTCCTACAAGGCCTGGCATGATAGGCATCTGGATTTACTTGGTCGTTTTGCAATGAAAGTGATGGTCAAAGCTTCAAACTGAGGGTCATTTGTAGGACATTGTTGTATCATTTTTTTTGGTGCAAGTCTAGCATGTTGGTTCCGCTAAATGCTGCAGATCTGTGTGCTTGATTTTTCCACGGGTGCTCGATTTTCCTGCTTCAAGCCAACACAAAAGTCCATCGAGCCAGCTCAGGAAGGTGTTTTGGACTCCTGATGCACCAAGCAGGAAGAGGTGGTGCAAGTATTCGCCCTGCTTTGCTCACTTAGCCAGACATTGAGCCCTCTTCCATTGGTGGATTTTGACCCCCAACTGAGATCTGATTGTGCTTCTGTATCTGAAGTGAATACTGGGAGTCTTGACAAGCTAAGCATGTGGGACTCTTTGGTCCTTTTGCAAAGACAATGATGGTCGAAGCTCCAAACTGAGGGTTATATGCTGGATATGGTTCTATCACCTCTGTTGGTGCAAGTCTCAGTTTGCTGCAGATCTGATTGCTTGGATTCTGCACGGCTGTTCGTTTCTCCTGATACAACCTGGCACGACAATGCACTGAAGCTGCTCAAAAAGGTGTCTTAGACGAGTGATGCGTCAAGGAGGACGAGGTTCAAGAAGGCTACGGTTTTGCTGTTTACCAAGCCATAAGCATGCTTTTGGTATGGAAAAACCCTTCAAGGATCAGATCTGATGCTGGATACCAACTGAGGGCATGCTTGGGCTTTAGGTTTTTGTGCTAGTGCAAGAGAGCGTCTCCCCTGATCTTGCACAAATTCCGTACCACGAAGATGGACATTTGTGGAACATAAGTAACCCAAGAACTGTCCCCCATCATTCTTCGTCCTTTGAGTGCCTAAGGTTCAACTGGACAAGAATGCAGAACGCTGAAGGAGGCCTTCGTTGGCCCCAGAGTACCGTTTAAAAGAATGTTGTTTGGCCCTTTTCCAGCTTGTGAGATTTTTCACTTCTCTGTGCTTGTTGTAATCTGGACGATACTGGCAGCTTTGATCTGTATGCATGAGTCGTGTTCTGCTTTGCTTTAGCTGCAGCTGAACCACTCGTCCAATCAGTGCAAGACAGGGTATCTCTTCTGACACTTCTCTATCATCTCTGAGAGGTCTGATACACACTTTCAACTTCAAAGCAAGGGCACTGAAGCAACCATGCTTCTCCTTGCAACCCTCACAGAGCGCTCAGTTGATGCATCATTATCCTTTGGCCTGCAAGAGCTCTCATCTAAGATCAAGCCAGAACATACCTGAACGCCAAATTGACTGCAACACTCATCACCAAGGCACTTTTATGATACAGCAACACCTTCCCATAGCCGAGGAACGTTGAACAAAGTTCAAAACCTTTCTCTCTCTCCTGTACGTGTTGACCACCTAAGACATCAACCAACGGACGGCACTGAAGTTCTTCAAAGTTCGTCAATACCTCCTAAAAACATCAACCGATCCAGGGCACTGGAGGCCTCCCAAGTCCACAACTGTAAAGAATCTCTTACCGCATCACTGATGGCCGGAGTACCAGCGGCAAGAAGATATGCAAGAGGCATTGCAAGGTCTTCCTGTGTGCTTCCATTTTCAAGATTTTGACAAACTTTTATCCGTTCTCTTTTGCAGAGGGCCGGAGTGCCATTGGCAAGAAAATGTGCATAACAGAGCGCCAGGTGGCGATCTGGTTTCAGAACCGGCGGGCGCGCCAACGGAGCAAGCAGCTGGGGAATGACTTTGAGATGCTCAAGAAAGACTTCCGAATGGTCTTCCTCGAGAACCAGGTCATGCGCAAAGAGGTGACTTGCGCTGCTCTGGTTCTTCTTTCAACATCTAGATTATCTCGTGCACTATTTTTGTGCACTAGTTGGTCAACTACGAGCAGAGGAGTGATCAGAAGCAGCTTGCTTTTTGAAGAAAGAAGCAAGCCTCCTCAGTAAAGCATCCGTTTTCGAAACGAAGAAGAAGCGGTCGGATGACCCTGTTGTGTGGAATCGGGAATGCTTATCGGCTTGCGCAACTTACTCTTCGTGGCAAAGGTGTCGCTGTAATCAGAAATGCTGGTTCAGTCTCCCCAGTCTGAAGAATCTCGGTCTAAAATCGCTGCGGACCCACTCTCCCTTCAACCAGGTCATCAGAGGTCCTGTCAAGGAAACGGTTTTTACCTTGCTTCAGCGTGTTTTGCATACCCATTTCCCTTCAAAAACAGTCGTTGTCAGTTTTGAACACTTCTCTTGGACGGCTCGACGATCAGATGCCCCTCTAACGCATGCAGAGAAAGAAGCGCTTACCGATCCTCTCCATTGCGGTCATGTTAAGGACTCACAACACGCCATCACCACCGTCTCTCGACCAATACTATTCTTCCGAAGGCTGTTCATCCACTTGGCGAACGATATTGTAGCTGTCAAATTAAGCAAAATGAAAAGGTTCCCCTCGTTAAGAGCTCTGAGAAGGAGGAGCATCATTCTTGTATGCACTGCCGTTTTTTCTGCAATCCAGCCTCGTCCTCACACGGCTTCTTATTCCGCTGCAGTTGGCTGAGCTGCGGGCTCGAGTCGCCGAAACCGACCCCTCCGGTCTGCTCCAAGCGCAGCCGCCCTTAGAAATGGCCGCTCCGGCCGCGCCTGCGTACTCCGACTTTCGAATCCCAAGCCCCGGCAAGCGTACCAGTTTAGATCGACCGCATCACCCAGGGGGAGAGGGACTGCGGGAGCGGCAAAGTTTAGATGACGTCGAGTATCTTCCCCGGTTGAAGCGAGCGAGGCTGTATCAGTCGGAAGGGGGTCCGTTCCCCGGGGGTAACTTCGGCCACCCAAACCGGAGTCTCGAACCCGAGCCCGGAGGTTTGAACCGGCAACCATCCAGCGGGCTACTAGACGCTGTGGTCGCACAGGCGAATGTGTCGCCATTGCCGGGAAGTGGAGGTCTGGATTTTTTAGATGAGAGAGAGGCTCGACAAGACCTGGACGCGGCATTGCTCGGGCCGGGTCACGAAGGGCGGTTAGAGCTTGGGTTACGGGGTAACAACACGGGGTGGGCCCCGCAAAGGCAGTTTTTTGACGTGCTCGGAAACGCCGGGGAGCGAGGGGATGAGTTAGAAGATGACCAAATAGAGCCTCCGCGCAGAGATCGAGACCCGGATGGCTGGTAACACTATGTGAACTTGGCAGCAACAAGCGCGGCTCTTACAAGGGCCGAACGTCCATTCGGATAGCGCATTCAAGCAAATAATCAGCTAGAGCAACATCTGCATATTTCAGCTTGCTGTACAGTAAACAGGGATGTTCAGCTTCGTGCCTTTAGGACTTGCATGATGAGCATTGATCGACAGCTAGGAGTTGCTTTTAAAGCTGGGCGACATTAGTTTTATTTGGGCTGCAAGGTAACTTTGACATTGACAAGAATTTAGCGCTTGCTTAGGTTTTTTCAAGTTATTGATCAAGTGCTTAATCAATGAGTTGCAGTTATGGTGACCCTTGGCATTGGGCCCGCAGTTCTTACCAGAATCGCGATTGTATGCGGATGTACGCACTGCTCTTTGCACTCATCTTGAATCCCGGCCATATAAGGCGCCGTGCACTTGCCGGGTCCTTAGGGAACGCTTTTTGTAGCAAAATACCCGCTATAGGCGCGTGGCCGCGGTGCCTGCTGCAGCAGTGACGGTGACGTACTGTGCAATGATGCCTGCTATATGGTCTAGGGCGGCGCATGAAATCGACTTCATGAATGATTATTCGGAAGCTGCATGCATTAAAAATTCATGATGCAATTTTGCATGATCGAGTAAATATACGCAGCCCAATATCTACCGGCAAGCTATAGACTTAGTCTGTAGAGCTGGCCGGTGCATGATCCGGGTAATGTAGCAATTATGATATTCTTCTATAGCCTGGACGCATGGTCACGTTGCATATGCAATATATATGCCAGTGGATCACAATGATACATATATATAATTTTGTGCAGTTTCCCTTCATAATTAAAATTAGTGTTACACTGCTGCGCACCATCGCGGTCTATTTATAATCTCTCATGCATATTGAACGGAGCTTGACCATGCAATGCATGCACGTGCCATTCGGACTGATGCAAGTGCAATAATACCATCTATCCCGACTGCAAAGCCATAGCTAGCTTCTCCGACATATGCAAGCACATTAAGTTAAGTCCAACCAATTTCGCGTACGGTATTGAAATGTCCTTAGGTCGGACATATGCAATTACGATTACGTCTTGATTATTTCTTGAGTGATATAAATGTCACTGACTTTGTGACGACTAGTAAAGGTGGAGACCGGACGTGCAATCGGCCTTTAGGGCATCATGCACTCAAATGCCAGCCGACAGTGACATACCTCATCGCGCACTGGATTGTTTTACAAGTTCAGTCAAGCTTTATCCGATTTAAGACGCGAGTTTCGGAAGACTACTTCTTGCAAGGCATTGAAAGGCTATCTGATATCAGTACGTTCCCGGATGAACATTCCAAATGTGAACATTATGGCGGACCTCACAGGCCAGGCTGGGCTGCAAAGAAGTCAAGCTCCAAGAGCATGGCCGTCCGGTAAGTTGGCGAAAGGGCTTCGAACGACGTGTCTTGTCCGCAAACGCTATCGAGGACCGCTTCCAATTTAGAAGCCGAAGCCTGCACGAGAGATTGTGCACGACACCGATGCAGTCAGTAGGAACGTCTCTGTGGCAATCCAAAAAAGTTTGATCTGTCGAACATGGGAGCAGGCCCCACACGAAGCCGACTTTCTGGCCAGTTCGATGGTATCAACTAAATGCGCTCTGCCAGAAAGTCCCATCTGGAAATAGTCGAGCTCAAAATATGAATTTGTGGCCACAGGTCCCGGGCACTCCCTACACGGCCAAGTCGCCGGGGTTGCCAAATCTCGGTTTAAGGTATGCGTCGACAACTCTATAGAGCTCGTCTCGCGATTCTTCAGACCGATGGGATTACTTCGGTTGATCAGGTGCAAACCAAACGACAGAGGTGGGTCATACTTCCGCTGAAAAGAATGTGGACATTTGTGAACGTGGACCAGAGACAAGAGGCTGGAGACCTTAGAGATTTCGATTGATGCGTACACAACGCAGAGACCGTCAACAGGAGTTTGTGTGTCAAGGCGAGAGGCATGCTTCCTTCGGGGATGTGCAGAACTGATGGATCGCCACCTGCCTGACGAAGTGACAAACGGTTTTCCATTTCTTCTTCTGAGGACTCTAGGATGGACCCAATGCCGTGGTAGCCTTAGAGCAGACACCCGTTCAAGCAGATTGCGATAGCTTCCTGATTCGAATAGCTCGCTCCAAATCAAAGCGTCGGTACAAAGTCGTTGAACACATGCTGGCATCCCAACGACCATCTACTGCTTCGACGGCTTTCATTTTGGATACTGAGCCACAACCTCCGACAGTAACAGCAAGCAGAACCCCAAGCAAGCCCCACCTGAAAGTCTTGCGACGCGTACGTTTCGATCCACTCCCGGTAAGGATGCCCCGTCAGGTCCCGCCCCCGCCGCAACTCCGTGCCGAGAAAGGCGTACAGCCGCATGCACGGTACCAACGCAGCAATCATTCTCGCAGCATCATGATCCAACGTGTCCCCTGCTACTCTATTTTTGCTTTTTACCTCTGTGATTTGACTGTCACGACTTGAGCCACCTTCGGTTGTGTGATTATTTATGTCTGCCCTTTCTTGGAGGGCTCCGTTTGCCGTTCGTGCTTCCAACTCGCTTCGTGAATCCCTTTCACTCTCCCCCTCCCCAATCACCTTTCCGTTAGCCTCCCAGTCCGCCCCGTTGGAGCCGTTTGACAATACCGTCTGAGTTGACTGTGATTCGTTAGCGCCATTCTCAGGAGGGCTGGAAGCAGTGACTGTGGTACTTCCTGACGCTGCCCGCCGAAGAAAGTCAATGTAGTTCCTCGTTGCTGCGCTGGGTTGGGCGTAGTCCCCCAGGTCTATGTCCCAAGCCTGCGGCAGGTCGACAAGAAGAGGGTTGAACCCGGAAAGAAAGTCTGATTTCGCGCTGTTCTTTCTGATGACTAAATTGGCGTCCAGACAAAAGAAGCCTTGGTTGAACCCCTGCTTCGGTGGTCAAGCTTCTGAGCCAATCAGGTAGAGCAACGCTGACCGCAAGCGAAGGGAGCAAGCTGCTGCTTGAAAGGGGGGCGAGTTCAGTGGGGGAGAGGAGTTAAGTTGGTGTGGTGACAGGCCCCCGCTTCGAGTGCACTTGGGGTATTAGTTGAGTTGATGCCAATATGAAGCGTTCAGGTTCTGCATGAGCAGAGTCGTAGTCAAAAGAAACTGCACTCCCTATTAATCTGGGGCTGCGACACGAAGCTGAGTCCCAAGAAGAAACAATCAGCAGCCCACCAACACAAGGGCTGATGGAGTAGATCTACGACGGATGAAACCGTGCAAGAGTACGGTTTTGTAACCCCCAGGTGGAATGACAGCTGTACAGCCAAGATCAAGGGACGCTTTTCTGTCAAGGTGCTGACGTCTGCGAACGCTGCCAGACTGAGGGGAAATGTGGCTAAAACCTGTGCACACTGGGCGTCGCACCACCTTCTTCATACAGGCTGTGGGTCTGCATTGATCTGTGAATTTTTTGTGGGCTTGTAAGGAGTGACGGGTGCGAAGAGCGGGTTGAAGAAGAGAAGTTGTTTTCCAGGGCTTGACTGAGCAGAATTGTCTATTCCACCTGCCGGCCTGAGCTTGCAGAGACCGTATGCACGTCTCCCGCAGGCTGAAAATAAAAACCCCAGGAGATAAAGTGGGGAGCTTCGAGAGGGCTGCCCCTCACCCCCCTGGTTCGATGGTCAAAAGTAAGCAGGGGGACATGTGCATATATGTTACTTCTCTCACCTTCGCGTATCCAGCATGCATTCCTAGTTCCCGCAGCGCCGCATCCCGCAAATCTCGCAGCGCCCCTTTCGCATCAGCGTCGCTGACGCGCTCCTCCACAAGCTCGTACGTCTCACAAAATGCGGTCAAGAAGAATGCGTCCTGTGCAATGTAATGCTGGAAGGAGACCTTCTTCAGCGTTCCTGCCGCCAGCTGAGAAATGAAGGCACCAGTCAGCGCCTTGGTGGCAAGATCGGAGCAGGATTGCCAGAGCCTTTCTGAGATGGACGGAGGAGACACGTCGCCTTTGGGAAGCTCCCTGTTCATCATGTTGTGTTTCTGGCAGCCTAAAGCTGGCGCCAAGATCGCCAGCTGGGGACCAACATGTATGGAAAAACCTTTCCGGGAATGATGTTGCCTCCCTTGCGAAGACGGTTCAACGTAAGCTGGAACTTAGAAAAGTTGAACGTACACATGGCGCCCACACTTGTTTCTGAAAGAGCTCATTGCGCATTCATCTCCAGTTTGTGGCATTAGGGTTTGCCCTCAGCATTAGGGTTTCGTCCGCAATGCAGGGCTATCAGCTGGCATCAGCATTCATGAGAGTTTTGATTTCAAGTCCAGCTTCAAGGGGCGTTCATGAAGGAGGAGGCCGTTGCTGACAGCTGCATAAGTAAAGATGCGCCAGCAGAAAAGTCAGCATTCGAGTGAACTGGATTGCACGTCTCTGCCCACTTCAGCGATTCGCTTCTGAGTGGTACAGACGAGAGACATTCTGCTTTCGGAGATATGGGCAAACGCATTGGTGGTGACTATGTTTGTGATGACGAGGACCGTGGCAAATTTGAAGCAGACGGCTATGTGCATCTCTCAGGGGTCCTCAGCCCCGAGGAGATTGCAGACATTGAGAAAGAGTACATGAAGTTCATTGATAGGCAGATTCTGGTCGAAGGGCGGGACTTCTGCGACATGAGTGGGGATTACAGTAAACCGCTCAGCGAGTTCAGCATCGTGAACATCATGCTGCCAAGGAAATACCACCCCACCTTGAAGGACAATGTGTATGAGGTATGACAATCTTCCGCTCTCTTCAACGCCCATGATTCGTTCGCTCGGCGTAGCGGAAGCAATTCTGAGCTTAGATTGAACCATGGTCATTGTCTGAAAGTGTGCCCTTTTTGGAACGCGTGGAATGTGAGTCTGCCAAGCAGGTCCTTGTCCAGCTGCATCTCTCCCTTTTGACAGCTGGCAACTCTTGGGTGTTGTGGTGTCTGGTTCGCAATGGAAGGGGCCGCTTGAGGGAGATCAGCTGGCATTGCTGGTGATTGCTCTTCTCAACTAAAGTGGAGTGACACGGCTTCCTCTACTATAAGCTGTCTGAGACACTGAACTGCCCCTTAATCAGAACGCCCACTCATGTAAGGCTGTCCGAGAGGGAGTTCTGTCTCAACATCAAATGCGCTTGGACATCTTTAGAGACATCCTCTGCAAGCTCCCAGTCTGCAATTTTTTTGAATTGTGTTACAGGATCTCACACAATGGCTTCGCCTTGCATGGCTCCTCCAAGTTGCCTGACTCAACTTGAATTATGCCCTTGCAGAAAAAAGCCGCGTCCATTGCTGCCCAACTTTGTGGCCCTGATATGGTGTTGGACTATGACCGTAAGTGCCCTCTGACGACTGTCGCTCCTTTCCCTCAGCTTTGAAAGGGGTAGAGTTGCATCTAGCGGGCAGACGAGCACCTGTTACAAAAAGCGATTCTGGATTATTAAAACGCACTTCATGGCAATCATTGTGCCTAAGGTGAAAGGCTTAAATGCAACTGCGTGATACGTTTCCATGGTCACTCAAAACAAGTTTCAAACACTCCCTTGTATAAGTGACTGGCTTACCCCTGCCTGTCTATGGAATTAGCTGGCCTTGTCAGAGGCTGTGTAGCGTAGCAGCTCTGCTGAAAAACTGTATCTCACATTCCGCTTCCGAGTCTTGGCGCATTCGTCTCTCAATCTGCAAAAATTGAGGCGTTACTGCCATAAAACTCTACTTGAGCTCCGACACGCGCAACGTCCTCGTTGTGAACCTCCCCGTCATTCCTGAGAGCTACGTTGATACCACCTCTCAACCTCGTTAACTCCCCTCCAAGCAGCAACTTCCAGCAACCCCCTAGTTGCCCGTCATCTGCCCCTCAGCTCAGTCTCCCGCCCTTTGACTTCTCCACCCTCGCATTCGCCCCTTCTTTTGCATCCTTGTGGAACCAACCCCTCTTCCGTTTCCCCCCCTTCTCAGAGCTGCTGGCTAAGCCCCCCGGGAAGGCGGACGGCATCTTTGGCTGGCACCAAGATTTGGCATATTGGCCCATCACGCCAGACACAACGACCGCTTCCTTTTGGCTAGCAATTGACGACTCCCGCACTGAAAACGGCTGCATCCGGTTCGTTCCGGGAACGCACCTCGAGCGGGAGCTTCGGAAGCACGCCCCGCCGTTTGGCGACCGGTGAGCCCGTTCACACCTCAGCGGGAGCCCGTTCACACTGTCCCCATTCCGGATGTGTTCGTAGCTTGATAAGAGCAAGTTCCTCTTAGAGAAGTCCGTTTACACCTTGCATAGAGGACAGTCGACGTCGTATATCGTCTGAACCAACTTGTATAAAATACTCGTATCCAGTCCCGGGCCCACACTTCCCTGCTTAAGAAACGATGTGGCGTGGTTGATAACACAGCCCCTTGCAAATGTACTTTCATTCAGCGACTGTCTTCGGTTGAGTCGGATTGCGAAGCTTAAACGGACCACTCCTGTATCGGTCTGACGTACCTTAGGTCAGCCGTTCGTCTCGTCGCAGTAATCTTCTTTGAGACGGAACTATCATCTTATCCGACTTCAGACGACGTCAATCCAAAAAGAGGCCAGGAGAAGTACGAGAAATTTGTATGCATAGGGTCGAGGTTAAGGTTCGACGAAGCGTTTGATCATGGTTCCATTCAAGGACTTCACTTCACTGATGCTGTCAGGCGTATTGCCTGCTGCTGTTTACGAGTAAGCCGTCTTCCTTTTTGTTCCGTCTTGGAGTAGAAGCCTTCCACCGAGTACATCACCTTCATTACGCTTCGGTTTACCCTTGGAAAAGCGTAGCTCGAGAAGGTCTCCGTTCTGCTGCCAGCGGCGTATCTCTCATAAGATGCCTCTGTGACGGAGAGTAGACCTGGCACAGCGGGGCAACAGGGTGCAGTAGATTCGTCACACTTTGTCACACCGGAACAAAGGATCGCTTCTCGGTGTTTGAAGTCTTTTTTTGTCGCTCGGCACAGGGACAAGTCGCACCTGCTGACGGCGGAGCTACAGGAGGGCGACCGCGTCGTTCCCGCCGAAATCAAACGGGGTGACGTCACAGTGCACCACGAGCGGATCCTGCATGGATCGGGCCCGAACACGAGCCAGAGTAGTTGGCGCCGCGCTTACGTGATGGCGTTCCGGCGAAAGAGTACGGTGGAGGAAGAGCGGCGGCGGGGGTTCACTCACTCGCACAATGACAAGATGGAGGTTTTGACGAGCGTCGGCGAAGGCTACAATTCCTAGTGTTGTTGAGTTGCTTGTTTTGGTTCTCCGATGCTTGAATTGAGTGTTCCAATCGTCTGTTCTCTAGCAATGTGTAAAGCGCGTGGTGTGTGTGATTATGAATGATCAAAGACTCGGGCCACTTGGAAAAAGTACTAGGTTGTTAGTTCAATGCGTTTTCGACTTTACAATGAGCCATCTGTACGCCACATGAGCTTCAGAAATAGCTGCAAGCCCTCGCATGCCGCCTACTTTTCAACCCCGTGCTAGTCTCGACTGCATAATCAGAGCCTCGTGCATTATAAAGCAATTGAGTGGCATGGTTCTTGACATAACCAACGCTTTGTCCAATCCCTTGAGATCATTGCTGTATGTAGAACTTTAGCTCATGCACCTCATATGTTGTCGTCCATGTTACAACCACATATGCAACATCGAGCCGCGTAGAGAAAGCGCCAATTGCTTCCTTCGCGGGCCGGATGAGCAAGATTGGATCCATATCAATCCATGTGAACGTGTTTCATTCCAGTGACAAATTACAAACCGGTGTTATTATGTGACTTCTCACAGCACCACCGCCGTCCAAGCAGATTGAACTTTGCACAGGCACGCTGATGAGATTTTCATCGAGCTTTTTGACGTACAGCTCGAGCTCCTGTACGCCCTACATGATGTTCAAGTTTGTGGATTTGAATTCATATCATTACACAATTACATGATTACAAGATCATTGCACTTACACGGGCAGGTTGGCGAGGTAGCTGAAGGTACCTCAAACTGCAATGATGGTAGCCTATAGCGCTCAGGGACGGCATGGGTATTCTGTTGTTATGAAGAGCAAAGAGAATGACGTCGACGGCATGCGCATTGCACTGCTTATTATGGAAACGCCTTCGCGGCGGTCAAAGTTCTGCGCTGAATGCTGTTGTCCGACAGTTCAAAACTTTGACTTCCTGCAAGAGTTTGACTTTCCTCGAATCCAGCTCGTAGATTGGTCGACCACATATCCACGTGGTTCGCGTGGTAAGGAGCTTCCAATCATTGATGAGTTCCGACTTTGACCAATGAGCAATTTAATGCTTCATCATTAGAGGATACGAGTTCTCCAAAACTCAACGCGCTCGCGAATGCGAGATCTGACCGTTCGATCGATGATGTTGTCGAAATCGACGGCCGTATCAGAACAAAGTCGGCGTAAATATCTGACGGTTGTCGGAATTCGTTATGCTGGGGTTCCCGGCGGATGCCGCCAAATGAGTCCGAGAACTTGTAAAGGTCGCGACGGTTCGAAAGCACCCACGGTCAACCGGCTTGTTAGGAATGGATTTCCGGATCGTGGGGAGTGCCCGGGGACCAGCTTCCGAGCAAAATAGCGGCCCGAGGATCTCCGTTCGTCCGACTCCGACTCGAGTCCGGCCGAATTGCTGATCACTGTAGGTACCTACATACCTACACTGTGAACATTGTGGCAGTGCACAATGAACATCCTTCCTTTGAAGTCCCCTGTGGTGGAAAGCCGCGCTTCCTAGCTGAAGTTTGCCTTCAGCTGGTCAATCTGAAGGGGCTCACAGTCAGGCCGGGTTTCTAGGTAGCTCGGGCAGCACCCCCACCTCGTTTGAGCTTTCTCTCTACCTTCTTTCTGCAAGACTCATTTCGGAGGAGCTGCCCAGCTTAAAACCCCTTCTATTCACCATCCTCTTCCAATTACTCCCTGCGCCGATTGACTGTTGACTTGGATTGCCATGATGGCGTCATCTACCGTCGCCCTGAGCTCCTCTCTTGGAGCATTCGTTGGTAATTGTTCGGTCGAGAAGGTCCACAGGAGGAGGCCTGCTGGTGCTGCGAGGGCGCAGGGGGTCAATGGGTGCAGCCTGCGGACTCCCCTTGTAAGAAAGCAGGTAAGTGCACCATGAACCAGAATGATGATTCTGGCTTGAAACTCTGGGACTTGGGTATCAGGATAAAGCCTTATCTCACAGGTGACAGATATTGACTGTTCTTGTGTCCTAATCAGTCAGATCCGCACAAAAAATTATTGTCTCCACTCCTCTTGCCCATTCAGTTGATGCAGATTGGCTCAAATGTGTCCAGATATTCAATCACATGGCATTGTGGAGTATGCAGGAGCTGAAGACAAGTTTGTGCTTGGTTCTTCTTATTCCTAGCAATACCCCATATTCTTGAGTAGGAGGTTGCTCTAATCCTTGCCCTTTCTAGCAACTTGTCTGGAAGGCCAGCTCATATGTGGCATTGGCTTTACAAAGATGGGAATGCGTCAAGAGGGTTGCAATCTTGAAAATGAAAAGCTCACAACTTTGAGAATTATTCCAGTAGGAGACTGGGAGTTCAAGGGGGTTTCAGTCCATTGCTGCCACACAGCGTCTGATTGCCCTTCTCACCTAACCTGTGGATCTATTTCTCAACATTCCAGTCCTTTGAGATGCCTGGAACTTTGGAAATTTGGAACTTTGATAGAATGACCGCAATTTTAGATGATAGTGTGGTCCTCTGTTCTTCAAGCTTTATGCTGTCTTGCCCTAAGAGTGCAACTTAATTTCCGCAGGAGGCTCCAACATTGTCCAAAGAAGTACACAGTAAAGTAATCCAGGCTGCCTTCAATGTCTTTGGCCTCAATGCATTGAATGTTCCTTTTCCATTGATAGTTGTCAATGAGATTCAAGAAACAGTACAATTGGCAATTGTGGATTGCTTGCGCCAATTGATTTTCATTCTCTTGGCCTCAAAGGTACTCAGTGCTGTAGGTTCCTTCAAATTCTAGGTATGCTATCCGGTGGGGTCAAAACTTAGTGTGCAGAGTTCTGAAGGTGCTCAGTTTCTTGCTTGGTTTCTCTGGTCGGTAGTACATTCCTCTTTGTTGAAATGCTTCAGAATCAGTTAAATACGGTTCCTGCGCGGCTCTTCACTGAAGCACATCGACAATCATAATTTGTTCAGTTAGCTGAGAGTCCTGGGGAAATCTGCAAAGAACTTCCTTATTCAAAACAAAAATGGTTCTCACTACATTGGACGAAGCCACAGATTATATGTTCAGCCACCACAAATGCTTGATTTATTGTTCAAGGATGACATCCTTTGATCAACTTGCTTTCTCTCGCTGTCTTTGTTCTTTTCCAACTGTGTTTGAAGGACTGGTTTGCTGGACTGAAAGAACAGCTTAAAGAAAGGATTAGGGTGCCACTATTTTTACCACTTCGCAGAGCACCTTTGTCCCCCTCAAGCTTCTTGCTTTGATTCAGTGCTTCGCTGAAATGAAAAGGCAAACTGCAAACAATCTCTTTCAGCTTGAAAAGCTTTTCCCTTCTCAGGAAAAATTGCCTGGTCGTCAGAATCCCTGTAGCAAGATGTTAAGCAGGCTGGGGCTATCATGACCATGAGCTCATACTGTAAAACATACATTCCCGCTCTTTTGAGCCACTTGTGCATTCTCGCCAGCTCAGGCTAATCTTACTACTGAGTTCTCTCCTTGAGAATGAGTGTGCAGCGCCCCTTGCCACCATTTTTTTGACTTCTTCACCTCCTTCTGCTTTTCCTCCTTCCCCTTACATTGCCTGATTGACACATCTTTTACCCCAACCCCATTTCTCAGTCAGCAAAACCTGCAGTATATCACCATGTCCCCCTCAAAAACATGACTAGTTTGATCCTCCTTTGCCCAGGTGGTGGACTCTAGTGCCCGTGTTCTCAATGCCGGCAGAGCCGCCTTTCTCCCCCCCCTCAAAACAAGAACTCCCGCAGCAAAGAGGGCTTTCAAGCCTCGTGCTGCAGTCGCCGTCGATGAGCGCCCGGCGCCTACCATGGCGCCCCCCCCTCCTGTAGAGGGAATGAAGACCGTGACCGTCAAAGTCCGGACCGGAGCGGAGGCGGATGCTGGCATTGGCCACAATGCTTATGTGAGTTGCTCCTTTGACAAATCCTGGTACTGTGGATCGTCGCTCCACAAGCAGATGAAAGTCTACCTTGTAAGGGGCTTGAAGTGCCGCTGCCATGTCCCTGATTGTGCCTGCGACTGGGGCACAAGCGTTGGTTCATTTCAGAGTCCAGGAAGAAGGGTCTGTAGAGGGCATCCTGACCCAATTACATGTCTCTCTGGGTGGCGGCTGGACATATCTCAACCTCTGTAGATTCAAGAACCGTCATTGCTGCATCATCCCCTTCCCCCTCTCCAGGTGACCTTGCTAATCTTATTATACTCTCCTCCTGTATTGCATGGTGATACAATCTCCCGGTACTCAACTCCCCGGGATTATTGGAAAATGTGACCTGAGTTTCTCAAATTCCTTTGCAGTTCTACGTGGTGGGGAGCTTTTCCCACGCCCCGGACACTGGCCTTCGCTACCCAGAGGAGAGCAGCGGCTACTTTGAGCTTAAGGGCCCCTTCCGCCCTGAGACCGAGATTGGGGGCAACTTCCAGGTAGGCGAGCAGAGATGAGTGTCAGCCAAATCTGATTAGGGACTGGCAAGGTGGTTTCATCTGGCGGTCATGAGATCCTTTGGCTTTAGAGGCACAACTCAATTCCAGATTGATTCCAGTGGGATTTGTGTATGTGTCAATCAGAGGCGCCACATCGGCATCAGGTCCAGGTAAAAGAATCGGGGTCGTCTTGTCTGCTCCAGAGGGGACGTCACCCCTCTTTTTATGTCGCGCGCAAGTGTGGACTCCCAGTGCTTGGGTGTGTCGTCCTCAAACACCCGATTCGTACTTCTCCAGGTCCCGTTGATGTGGGATTAAGGAGTGGTTTACGACTTACAAGACACGGCCGGAAATGAAGCTTACCGCCATGTATGCTTATCACGTTCCTGATGTTCGAGCCCCCGATATCAAACGACGTAATTTTGTATTACTGACCCTTCTCCAGGTCCCTCCTGGATGCAACATTCGAGAGGGGGTCCAAACACAATTATGGGTTCTGATTACAAGAAAATTAAGCGACACACTGTTGTGTTTTCAAATTCCGCCAGGTTCTCGATGGATCCAACAGCAAGGGGGTCGTCCTTTTGTACAAATAGATGAATTCCGCACAACTCACTGGATACGGCCCCCTCAGGTAAAGCTCCTACGCCAGAAGCCAAAGTCTCTGTGTCAAGACCAAAGGACGTTACATCCTTACTGTGACTTTCTTCAGGTTCCTGCTGGCTTCAACATCAAGGGGGTGGTCCTGTACAACCCGCAAGACAACTCCCCCTGGGGCAAGTTCACGGGCGCGCTCGCCGACTTCCTGAACAAGGACAATCTGACGTTTGGCGGGAACTATCTCAACATTGCCGTCAAGCTCTTCGGGATGGGCTGGATCACAACAGGGCAGGTGAGGGAGAGCCGTCCACAGTGACAATGTTTTGAGCAGTCATTGGTCTGACCTGTCACATGAGGTCGGACAGAGGCACTCTCTCGTGAGGCACGTGTTGGTGGATGAAAGAGAATGTCAAGGAGACAGGATCGATCACAAACGAAGCCAAGCGTCTAGAGGTTAGGACGTAAACAGCGTGTTGGACGAAAGAATACAAACAATAGCCGGAGACGATTGAAAGTGAACCAGTAACAGGAAAAGTAAAAGGGAAACGTAGTGAAAGCAAACGAGGTCCAGAAGTCTCTGCGCAGTGGTACGTAAAGACGCGTTGGTGGATGGAGAAGGACGATAAGGAGACAGACTCGATCACGCTAAAGCAGAACAACGCGAACCAACAAAGATCACACCATTTGCACGTAGCAGTATGTAAGAACATGTTGACGAACAGAGAAGAGATGGTAAGAGAAAGCGCGATCAGAATACACTGAAGAAGACACAGTAACATATGCAAGTTCGATTCTCTCCTGCGCAGTCGTACGTGAACGACCTGTTGTTGGACGGATGAATAGTAACAGAAAGGGAAATGGAATTGTTGTTCAAAAATAAGCAAACCACCTGCGAACTAACAAACACTGAGTTATATTCGCGGAGTGGTAGGTGAACGTTGTGTTGGTGACGTGCGAAGCAGGATGGACCGCCAGAGTCGATGAAAGCGAATTGGAAAAAACAGCAGAACCAAACACGTTGGTTTTTCCCGCGCAGTGGTACGTGAACGATGTTTTGGTGGACGGCCACGAGTTTCCGGTGTACAGCTGGGTTCTCGACAACGAGTCCCAGATTGCGTTCACCGGCAAGGCGCACCTGCCGCAGGACACGCCTCCCGGCCTGCGCCATTGGCGCCGCCTCAAGCTCATCCAGAACCAAGACATGTACGACTACCAGCCGGTAAGTTTCGCGTGGCTTTTCTGGGGGGTGAAACACTGCAAGTATCAGCCCCTGCATTTCTATGCGCTTTCTGGATGAAAGGAAACATAACATTAAGTCGCTTAAAATCGAAAGATGGTCCTTTGGAAGCGCGCTTTTGGGGAATGCGAAGCCGTTTCAGGACCCGGATGTGTCTGACTATCAGCCCGTGAGTTTGTCGTGTCTTTTTCGGGGTGATGTATCACACGTCTGTAACACGCCTTTCTGGGAAAGGAGGATGCATTCCTCGTACGAGAGCCGGAGTTGTAACATTGTCAGCCCGAATGCGCGAGTCCGTCAAATGGCTGTTGCCTTCGTCTAGTTTTTGGAAAATTTTGCGGCTGCTCCGGGAGCTAATCGGCAGCAACGGCCAGCGAGATGAAAAGGGATAAGTTCCTGCAAAGGGTGCAGTCGGGATTGACTGCGTGGCTTCAGTAGCTGGCAGTTTTGAAATCCGATATCGAAGCCTGCCGTTCCAAAGCCCGATGCGACTTCGGTTATTCGCGGCTTCAATACAAGCTTGGAAAGCAGCGCTTCAACACTTTGCTCGGCTGTTTCCTTCGCAGTACAACGACCTGAGCGTGCCCCCGGACAATGCTGACGTCAACAGCGCCGGATACAGACCTACCTTGGACCCTTATCCAGCGTGAGTGGGCTCCGGGTTGGCATGAAGCGTTTTCATGGCCAGTCATTCTATTCCGCATGCTTTCTCTTATATGTCGAGCCTGCGGACATTGATTCCCGTTACTTCCGCCCCGTCCCCAATCCGCCGACCATCTTTTGAACTCAGCTGCAACTGCGACTAGATTTGTTCTGCCCCTTCAAACTGCTCTGCTCGAATTTTCCCCTACATAAAGCTCTGACATTGTGAGAAACGTCCGCTGGTCTGTTCCTTGTGTCTTTCCCGTCATGCACCAGCTCAAGCCCCCCCGCAATCTTCCCTCACCCCCCGAAACCACAAGTCTAAGCTTCTACAATTCCGCTCGTGCAGGCACCAGTGGGTGGAGCGCAGCGGCCCCAAGCTGGAGCAGGTTCCGAAGGACGAGCAGTTCCGGCTGGACAAGCGCTACGACTTCGGGCACTACACGCTCACCTCCGTCCTCACCGCGCTGCTCTCCGACCCGATGGCCGGCTTCCTCAAGCTCGTCTCGTCGTTCGGGTAGGGTTTCAGGGTTTGAAGAATTGGGTTTCGCGGTTTGAAGAAGTGGGTTTCGCGGTTTGAAGAAGTGGGTTTCGGGGTTTGAAGAAGTGGGTTTCACTAGTCTGGGGTCTCAGCTTTGCCAAAAGGATTACGTTGGAAATCAGAAGAGTTTCAGGTTTTTCGACTTTCCTCAAGCTCGCCTGATCTTTCTCAAGCTCGTCTCGTCGTTCGGGTAGGCTTTCAGGATTTAAAATTTGAGATTCACAGGTTTGGGGTTTCGCCTTTCCGAAAAGGTTTGCGTTGGAATCCAAAGATTTTGAGGATTCTAAAACCCTGAAACCTTCGCCTGATTTCGGGTAGGGATCTTTCGGGTAGGGGTTTTAGGAGGGGATAGTTGGGGTTCTTGGATTTTACGGAGTTTCTACTGTCTAGAAGCTCGATCCGCCCTTTTTGGGCACGAGGTTCGAAGACTGTGGCTTATAGTTCTTCTCAAGCTCGTCTCATCTTTCGGATGGGGTTCAAGGACAGGCACTTTTGGGCTATTTGAAACCCCCAAGCTGCATGTCAAATATCCGGAAGCTTCGCTCTTTTCGGTGGTCAGGAATAACGTTTCTGAGGTTCCAAACGTTCCTCAAGCCCTTGAAGATCTTGATTGAAACTGACAATGACCCCAAACGGCTGTTAGACCGAGGCTATGAGATGCAGATCCTGTTATTGCTCTTGCAGCATCTACCCAAAGTACGTTTACAAGTCGCTGGGCGAGTACACCAAGAAGGTGTTCGAGGGCTTCGTCCACTACAAGAAGCCGTTCGTGAGCAAGTTCATGGACTGGTGGAGCGACAAGGCGTTCGGCTTCCAGACGGTGGCCGGCATCAACCCCATCCAGATCGCCAGAGTGGGCGCCAAGGAAGACCTGCCCTCAACCATCGACGTAAGCTTTCTTGAAAGTCACCACGTGGCGTTTCTGACGTCAGAGTTTGATTTTCTTGGCTTGAGCTTGTAGAGTTGTCATCTTCTCACGGCGCATTGATAAGCTTCGTGGCGCTGAGGCCGCATCCTGGAACATGCCGGTAGCCACTTTCGAGGCGGCGACCAACTTAGAAGCGTTTCAGCCTCTACTAAAGGGTTCTAAAGGCTTTCTCGAACGTGCTCTTCCAGAGTCAGAACTCAAAGTTCATTGACTTGAGCTTCAGAATCGTTGATCCAAAAACCCAGAAACCTTGATTCTGGAAAACCCTTGTGCAGTTTGAAGAGCTAGACGCTGCGCTAAGGCCCGCCAGGCCGCTGCCGGCACGACGCTCGCGGGCGCATTGACGGACGGCAAGCTCTTCCAGTTGGACTCCACCTTCTTGGAGGCATTCTCGAACCTCTTCAAAGAAGATGCTACACCCAAACTTCTATTGATTTCCTGGCCTGAGTCTAAAAACTTGTGTTCCTCGGACCTCCATAATGCAGTTCGAGGAGCTAGACGCGGCGTTAAGGCCCCGTTTGGAAGCGGCCGGCACGACGCTGGAGGGCGCGATGAAGGCCGGCAAGCTGTTCAAGCTGGACTTTACGTTCTTGGAGGCATTCTCAAACTTCCCTACAAAATATGCTATCTCCAAAGTTCATTGCCTTTCCTGGAATGAGTCTGAAGGATCCTTTTCCTCCCATGCTGTTGCAGTTCGAGGAACTAGATGCGGCGTTGAGACCCCGTTTAGCTACTGCGGGCACGACGCTTGAGGGCGCGATGAAGGACGGCAAGCTGTTCAAGCTGGACTTCACGTTCCTGGAGGCGTTCCAGGGGGTGGTAAACGGGCACCAGCCGTGGAAGGAGCACACCACCGACAAGGGCGGCTACAAGATCAAGGCGCTCGGAGAAGACGTCTGGGTTAAACACATGTACTCGGTGAGGGGCAAACCTGTGATATTCTGAAACAGTCCTGCAAGCGAGAAAACATTGGGGTTTGTGAGTCACTGGAAATGGTACGGCGTGAAAAGTGCCCCTGGGGAGGGACGTCTGGGTGGAGCACATGTACTCGGTGAGCGGAGAACTTTTGAGAAGCCATGAAACCGAGAAGCTCTGGAGATTGTATAAGACTGAGAAAGCACGACGTGAGGAATGCCGCTGGGGAGGACGTCTGGGTGCCGCACATGTACTCGGTGAGGGGCAGACCTTGATATCCTCTGAAGCCAGCGGCAAAGCATAAATTCACTGAAAGCTGAAAGCTTTGGAGTTTCAGAAGACACTACGAAGGGAACGATCTAAGAAGTGTCGCTGTGCAGGACGTGTTACGGTATGTGTTGTAAGTGGTCTGGAATCCTGAATCTCATGAGTTGTAAACACAAACAATTCGATCATGCTCAAACCCCTTCGTGTCAGCCTGTAAGCCGACAGTAACCCTAGTTTCTAACCTTTATTTACAGCAACCCCGCCACCTGCACACGCCCGCGGCGATCTTGTTCGAGGACCCCGATCCCGAGTATGAGGGCATTCCGGTTCCGGTCGCGATCAAGCTGGAGCGCGACACGCCGCTGATCACCGGCAAGAGCGGGCCGGACCTGCAGTCCACCGACTGGGCCTGGACGCTGGCCAAGGTGAGGGCACCGATTGGTGCCACGTGTCCATGAATATTGTCGCTTTGGGCTGCTTGTGCGTTAGCCTCTTCGCCGAGGAATTTTGGCAGGGCTCTTAGGGAGGAAGGGTTGCCTTCATTTGGAGCCTCAAGCTGGAAAGAGCTGCTTGAGCCGTCTCATGCTAAGCCCTCTCCCTGTTGTGCATGCTTTTCTGATTTTGCTGCCTCGTGCGCTGGGTGCAAGTGTCCTCATTTGTGTCCTCATTTGTGTCATTTGTTGTACGTTATAGAGCCTCCACTTGCCCAGGGCCGCGTGGATAAGGTGCTCGTGTCAGCATCATCCCTTCATCGAAGCTTCGAAATCACCCAGCAAGTTTCTGACAATCGGCAATTCAGAACAGATTGACGCAAATTTTAAGAGTTCTCTTCATCAGCCATCGGTACGGGGAACAGCCCATCGCAAAGTCACGATGCCCATAAGCGATGCATTGTTAACTTGGTCATTCCTCTCGCAGGCCATCGTCTTCAACGCCGATTCCGGCACCCACCAGTTGGTGACTCACTGGCTCAAGTGCCACGCATGCTCGGAGGTGAGGCTGGACCCACCTCCAACCTAATCGTGGATCATGTAACTAGAACCGGTGACTCTTTCCTACCCACAAGCGGGAAGAAGAACCGTTCTGAGCATCAATGTGACCAACGGCAATGTTCAATCGGCTTGTGTGCCATACATGCGGGTGATTAGATCGCTGTTGACCAAGAGTTTTCCAAGCATTATGAACCCCGGGTTAGCCAGTTGATTCGGTGCGGAAAAACCGCTCGATGCCGCACGTTCGTCGGCTGAGGCAGCGTCAGCGATATGAACAACCCACCACTCTGAAACCGAGGGTCTATTCAAAGAAATGCTATTCGATCAAACACTAAAACTGTCAATCATCGATCTTCATTCTCGTCACGTGCACGTGCATTGGAGGGGCTGACCCCTTGAAAGCCTTGACAGCTCACGCATAGATGGACAGGGGAAAGCGAAGGGCCAAGCGGCTGAACCTATACCACCACAGTAATCCCATGCACATGATTGATCCCATTATCATTTGACGGCGACCCCTACCTGGTGTCGCAGACTGTGCTGGTCGCCCTGCGGCGGCAGCTGTCGGAGCTGCACCCGCTGTTCAAGCTGCTGCTGCCCCACTTCCGGTACACGATGAACATCAATTCCAAGGCGCGCGTGCAGCTCATCTCCGCGCAGGGCACCGTCGAGACCAACTTTACGCCGGGGCCCTACTCCATGCAGGTCAGCAGCTTTGCCAGGGGATTACGTTCTTGGGTTTTCCAACCTGATAAGCTCAAAGAAATGCCAGACTTTTGAGCCTTTCAAGGTGCGCGCAGCGTTGAGACCAACTTCACGCCGGGACTCTTCTCGATGCAGGTCAGCAGAGTTGAACGTTGGAGTTCTCAGGCGCCCAGGAATTCTTGTGGGATTCCACAGTCCGGAAATGTTCCATAATTCTTGTTCACGGGGGAAACTGCAAAAACAATATTTAAGTCGCAGGTCTGCGCCATGCGTGTCACCACTTCTGAATGACCAGGCGTTTTATGTCCCTTTTAACACGGCATCTCGTCCGAGCAAGGTCCGCTCGTTCTCCAGGCCGCGGTTGCTAACCTACTCGGCAGACACTTCATTGAGTGATCTCAACATATGAGTTGGCTCAAGTACTCTAAATGATTCATGGAGTTCATGAGGAAACCTACTCGCTCTTGGGCTTCAGCTCTTTCAGCTAAGAATGCGGAATCTGACAGTTCAGGGTTGAACGAGATCGGACCTCCATACGCCGCTATTACCGTCAAACCGGACGGGTGCATCTGGTCGAGTGAAGGCACCGCCTGGCCTCTCCGGACACCACACGTAGAACTCCCAAGCCCGTATCACAGGCACACGAGCAACAATAAATTTGTAAGCCCATCGGATCTTTATTGAAAATGCAGCCTGTTTTTTCTCGCAGGTGTCCGCCTTCGGGTACCGCTTCTGGAACCTCAAGGACGAGGCCCTCCCCGTCGGGTTGAAGAAGCGCGGCGTGGATGCCGAGTCGGGCGCGCTGCCCAACTACCCCTACAGGTAACTGCCGGTTTCTTTTCTGTTTACGCAGAAAACTTTTCTTCTAAGGAAATTGAGTTGGAGTTTGTTTGAGTTGGAGTTTGTTTGAGTTGTCAACTACTCATACTGGAGACTACCGCTTCTTTTCCAAAAAAAAGAAATCGCTTCTACAATGTAAAAGGCTGAAGGTTGTTGTGCCGCCCAAGTACTCGTACACGTGACTCTGGCCTCCTTCCACCAGATGAAAGCACTTCCATTTAATGAGATAAGATTAAGGTTATTGCGCTGCCCAACTATAATTGACTGCGGCATCCTTCTCATTCAAAAGAAAGCGTTTCACTTAGATAGAGAGAATGGTTACAGGATGTTTGCGCTGCTCAACCAATTCTTTACCGAACGCTTGTAAACTAAAGTTGGGTTAGAGTAGCAATGACGTTGGTGGACCAGTGTTCCGCGTTGAGAAGCGCAGGAAATAGAGGGACGGAAGGTAAGAATCTCTGCTCAAGACCCCGATCCTGAGCTGCTCGGGTCGCCATCAGTTTCTTCCGGTTCTCCGCCAGTGACGTCATCACTCCAGGTTACTCACAAGATGACAAGCGCTCCCCGTGCAGAGACCACGGCATGAAGATGTGGGACGCCATCGAGGCTTACGTCACGGAGTACGTGGAGCTGTACTACGGGCCGGAGGGCCCCGCGTCCGAGAAGCGCATCGCCAACGACGGCGAGCTGCAGGCCTTCTGGACGGACTACAAGCGCGGCCACGGGAGTGAGTGTTTCGGGCTCTAAGTCCGTTCTCTAGTGATTCATTTGGAGAGTACGTGTGTGCAGCTATCGAAGTGCCCAGATAGTCACAGACAATAAGCGCGGCCACGGGAGTGAGTAGCTTGGACCCGTTTTTTCCGAATCCTACTAGTCGTGAAAGATTAGTCTTGGAGTATGAGTCCAATTTGTCGGCAAGTGCCCAACCATTTTGAGTATATGCAGGTAGGCGTTGGAAGTCTATTGTCTAGGTGCATAGTCCAGTTGTCGGACGTCCGCTTGCAAACTTCTGCGGCGCCGACTTCGGCCCTTTGTCTCGAGTCTCTGATCGACCCGTGTCGCTGCGAACCCAGTCAACGTATTCCTAATTCTTCGGTTTAGACGACAATCCTGTTGTTGTTCTCTCGATGTTCCGCATCCTGTGGTAGGCTCTCGTGATTTGAATTGGGCTTTCGCAACCAAAGTGTCCGTTGACTTATTCGGAAACCGTGAAGACACTAAGGCGCCATTATTGGTGTGAGGAGGTTTGTTATCGCGGCAAGCAATACAACTTGGAACAAATGTTGATCAACCTCTGCCTTGCTCGGTGCAGGTCTGGACTCGTGGCTCAAGGAAAACGGAAGTGAGTTGCTGCTAGCCCCTTTCTTTTCCGGATTGTGTCCCTTGCTTGTCAGCAGATGAGTTCTCCGATGACTCTCTGCCTTGACGTTGAATCCTATCAGCTTTTCTTCGTCAACACAAAACGCATGGCCTTTCGGCAACACTCAGCTTCGTGCTTCTGAGCAAGCCTCTCAACTCAAGGTTGGGATGTCAGTTCTACCGGTGCCTGCGCTGCGTCCGCTCTCTCTCGAAGCTCGCTGAGAAAGCAAAGCGACAGGTCTTGCTGATACGATAAACCTTTGCTACATGAGTGATTGAGTCTGACCTTCCTTCCTGCGGCAGTGATGGCGTAGAGTGGCGAAGCTTAGGCAACCGCTCCATGATAGCTTGTCAAAAGAATTTGTCAGTCCAAGTTCAGATACTTCGTCAGCTGTGTTGGTACCCCGTCCCATTCCTTCAATGTAAAGCGGCAGATCTGCCGGCGCTTTCTGTCGCAGCTTTCAGCACCCGCTTCAAGGCAGCTTCTTAGGGGAAACTGCAAATCTACAATTTCCTTTTCTGACTCGGCCCCCCTTGCTCTTCTTTGCGGCAGAGCCTGAGGGCCTGGAATGGCCGGCGCTGACTACGACCTCGGACTTGGCGCGCATCTGCACCACGTGGATCTGGGTTGCCTCCTGCCAGCACTCCGCCGTCAACTTCTGCCAGTACGACTACTCGGTAAGGCATTGCGGAATCTTAGCGCATCCTTATTCCCGCAGTTTGTTAGCGAGGCTATCGTCTTTCGCTCGGCTGAGAGATAAAGAGTGTTTTTCCAATTAATTCAAGAACAGGTTTTCTATTAGTCGTCTGCACTTCGTGCGGCAAACTACGCCCGTTCTGAGGGCTTTGCAGAGACTGTCGCCGCACAGACGTTGTGCGGCAGTCAAAGCTTCAAAACAGCTGAGCCAGGAGTTCTAAAATCTGAACGGTCGAGATCGTTGCAGTGGGCCACGTCGCCAAAGTACGAGTCATCAATTTGGGGGATCCCTTTTTGTCGATAGCGACTTGCTTATTTGCTTAGCCCATGCTTTCTGAATCTCGGTAAGTCCAGCTTCGCACACCTGATCAACCTTTTTTCTCCGGTCAATCCCACGCACATTGCAGCTAAGCAATTGTCGAGTCTTTCTTGACCCTGTTGTTCTCCTCCTAACCACTCTGCTTTTCCCCCGTAACCTCAGGGTTTCGTGCCTAACCATCCGGCCAGCATCCGCAAGCGGTACCCGTATGGCGAGAAGGTCGACGAGTCGACCTTCATGGACCTCATGCCGCCGCCCTCCGAGATGTGGAAGGTCATGACCGTGGTCGAGGTGCGTGCCACGTGTCCCTGCTCACAGATAATTACGGAACTTGGGTCAAGCTTTTGGCTCTAAGGGTTTAGATTATAACGTTCGAACCTTCTTCGTCGGCGCACCTCTAACCGAGTTTTTACTGTGACTAAAGCGAAGCCCTCAAACCGTGATCCTGACCCTGCCTTCGCTTTTCCAGACGCTGGTGAGCAAGTCGGTGGAGGAGCAGTTCATCGGCGAGAAGCCCGACAAATACTCCGAGTTTTGGTTCCTGGATCCGGAAGCCAAGGCGATCTACGACCGCTTCGGCGCGCGCCTGGAGCAAGTCCAGAAGGAACTAGAGGCGATGAACGAAACGGCGTCGATTCCGTACAACTACCTCCTGCCCAAGAAGGGCGCCAAGAACCCGGATCCGGAGCTGGACCCCTTCGGCTTTGGAATCCCCAATAGCGTGGCGATCTAAGTTATGGTGGCCTGAGGTGTGGACGAAGGGGAGGAGTTGTTCTGTAACTAAGTCGGGTCCGGAGATGCTTATTTGATGTATATTCTGACTGATGTATATTCTGAGGGTCGGAGGAGAAGGGTGGAGCGGAAAGAGAGTGGTTGGAGTCTGAGAATAAGGGCTCAGTGTTGGAAGAGTCCTTGCGAGGAACATTCCAGTGACGCCCGGGGGGAGTTGGCCAAGCGGTGAAAAGTTGTCAGTCGTAGCAAACGTCAGGCGTGCTTTGTACAGTCTTCTAAGCTCCCCAGGAAGTTCCTAGGGGTGACAATGATTGCGATAACTAGTAAGTCAAAAGAATCTGTAGTCCTCGAGTGCTAGGGTTTTGCTCTAACAGATGAAGAGGCGCCCATTTGTCGTGCGGACGTTTGTCAGCGGACGCCCAGGAGCTCTGACGTGGCGGCCTCTGTTTGCTTGGTTTGTGTGCACAACTTGAAAACAATAGCTTGTAGATCTGAGTTCCGCTAGAGATACTAACGTAAATATGGGGTGGAACAGACCTTCGCTCGTCGGCGTGTAATTAATGAATAGATATGGACTCATGTGTTTCTGTTAAACAGGCTCTTAGATAGTTGGTAAGTACATACTTATTTACGTAAATTTTCAAGTTTGCTACGAAAATTTCTTTATAGATCGTGTGTTGTATTCGTCAGCCGTCCGTTCACTTGAGACCTCTTTTCTTCTTTTGACGACCTTTAAGCTAGCCTAGCTAGGCCGGCCCATTTTCACTTCAAACCACCAGATATCGAGCGACTGCGACGGTACTATGCGTCCAGGCGGCCAATTCTCATATGACTTGCTACATGCACATATGTAGTAATGATCATGAGCTGGCCGCCGACTCACTCGTCAATCATGACCATGCCACAGCATAGACGTTGCCGGCCGCGGCATGGAAGAGAAATGATGAATGACTGAAAGGCCCATGAGGTTACTATGATATGCAGTCGGTTATCTTAGCTTTGGACATTGGGACCATGTCGCAAAGAAGTCCCCCGGCGCCGCTGCACAACGAACTATCGACCACTTGTCACCGTCGCGTGTAATTGGACCACTTTCCTACTTCTATCCGACTAATTTCAGCAAACTCGACCTGTAAGTACTCAAAATTTCGTATATCAGGCATGGATCTGACAAAGTTCGTTTGTGACTCTTCCTCCTAGCCAGATGCCAAGCATGGCTGCATCCACAAAGCAACCTATCTTACCTACCCAAAGCTTCTCAAAAAGCAGACTTGCATGGCCGCACTGGGTGATCCATCTAAACCTCGGACGTCTCAAGCTAAGCTCCAAGCAACGAGCATGCAAGAAGATTTGGCTGGTACTTACATCTACTCCAGACATGACAGCTTCATCCCAGACCTTCGCTCCTACGAAAGTCTGCTTGTCTACGCTCGGTTGCTTGCCAGGTGCTGTCTAAAAGTACACGGCCATGCGAGATAAGTTCCGTACAATCTGACGGCTTGCTAACAGGTTCCCATAGAGTTTGTGCAGAAGCTACGGGCTACGCTCTATATAAACACTCCTTTAAAGCAGGCTCCCGTTGAAAGCGGCTCAATTTCCGTTGGAAAGTTCTAGAACCTCCGCAGCATTCAACAAGTCGTCCCCTGCCACACCCGAAGAGATGGCCGTCAAAACGTAGCTCCCGTCTCGAAGCCGCAAGCTAAGCGCTCTCCGCAGCGATTGCCGCCCCTTCACCGCCTCCCAAAGCGTGCAGCTATACTGAACGACGACACTGAGTAGAGAAAAGGTTATCGACTGGACGAAGATCGGTTCGTCGATGAAGATGCGCGTGGCGCGCGAGCTGCCCAGCATGTATAGCGCGGTTTGGAAGCCGGCCTGGGGAATGGACTCTAGAAGTAGCTCTACGAGAACGCGCGACTCGTGGTACGCCCGCGCGCTGTACGCGATATCCCCGAGAACTAGATGCGCGCCGAAGTGGTTGAGGATGGCAGAAACGTCTAGGAAAACGACCGCTGGGACGCCTAAAGGAAGTAGCACAAAAGCTAGAAGCTTTTGGGTTATGCTGCTAGGGCCGGCCGGGCTTTCCTGCGGCGAACTAGGTGGGGGGGGCGGCCAGATCCACCTCATACGCGGACGCAGTGGGGACATAAGCGGGCGGCTCCGGCGCAAAAGCAACAAGCGATGCATTACCCAGAAGCTAGCAACTAGGTACGGGGCGAGAATCGAAGCGAGGATGACCCACATCGGCCACGCGCCCCATACTTGGGCGAGGACCAAGACGTCAGTGATCAGGTCGACGAGGCATACGATATGCGCCACAATGCCCCATACGCTCTTGGCCACAGCGACGCAGGCTCCCCCCGGCTTGGTTGACGTATTAAGCGCGGCGCCCTTTCGACGGGAGCGCCGCGCAGCGACGCAGGTAAGCAGGGTCGACAGGAGGAGAAGGCCTGCAGAAAGGGGTAACGCAATGAAAACCAGTACTTTCAAATCAAGAACGAGGAAACGATTAGTCCGAGTCAATCAGGACTAGTTCTGTTCCGTTCCACGATTCCACAGCCGTTCGTACCACCTCTTTGGCAAGGTCAGGCTGCACTCCTTGACTTAGCTGCAGGTAGTTCAGGATCTGCGAGGGGGTTTGCAAATGTTACCACCGTTGAGAATTTGTGCGGACCTAGACTTGCCAGAAGCGCAAGCCGAGGAACGGCAATACTTCCCATCAAGTGCATTTCTGTCGACTTTGAATCCCTTCAACATGAAACGATGAATGAGTCGTTCAGCTTTTGTGAGACGGTATGATTGAGAAGTTGACGGACCAGTTTCGAAGACGGTTTGTCAGACCGGAAAAGTAAGCGGTCGGCCTTGAGAGCGGCACAGCACATCCTGCCAGTATCAAAATCTGCAATCGACTCTATATCCAAACGAGCCGTCCGCACAGAAGAGCAGAAGCGCACTTGAGAGGCGTGGATGAAAAGCAAAAGTAACATAGAAAGGGAGATGTAAGCAACTGACGCTGAGACGATGCAAGATGTCCACAACTCCCCTACACGCTTCCTCTTGACCAGGGACTGGACATCTCATAAACGATTTCTCATGTTCCAATTGACATCATGAAGCGACTTATAAACGCACCTGCGAACACGCAATATGCAATCGCAACCACTCGCCCCGCTTCCGGATTCCGGCACAGGTTTCCCCGCTGTACGCGCGCAAACCCGACGCCGGTATATGCCTCCCCTTCCGGCCCGAGGTCAATTCCGTCAAGAAAGTCGGTGCTGTTCAGAAAATACTTCCCATACTTGTTCGTCAGATAAGCCGACGAGACGTACTCCCCGTCTACCGTGAGCCCTTCCTCCACCACCGAAGGGGGATCCCCCGCCAAGAAAACGGAGATCTTCCCCAGGCACACGCGCCGCCTTGCCGCCCGCGACAGTTTCGACCCCGTCCCGATCAGGTTCACGGCGCACCCGGCAGCCTGCCCTGAGCACGCGTCCCAGAAGCGGACCTCGGTCAGCGCATCGCCCGCCCACTCGACGTACTGACACGTGGCAGGCGTCAGGGAGAGGTCGAGGGCGGAAGCACCGTGGGTTGGGAAATTGAGCCGGAGGTACCGGAGCTCGCTAAACTGGCGCATCTCGGGGGTTGGCGCCGCAAAGTAACCGAAGGATGTCACATAGTTGTTCCCGCGCATCATGCCGAGAAGGGGTTCAGGAACTGGGCCGGAAAGGTTGGTGTTGTCGAGAAAGAGCGCGGTCACGCGCGTCTCATTCAGCTCCACCGGAATGGGCCCGGTGAGGTTGTTTCCCGACAGGTCCAACCGGGAAAGCGTCAGCTGAGAGAGCTCCCGGGGGATCCCCCCGGTCAGCCGGTTGTCGTGAAGGTCAAGGTAGCTGAGCCCGCCCGTACCATAGTTGACGATGTCGCCGAGTGTTGGGGGAATCGGCCCCGAGAGCGCGTTGCTGTGGAGATCGAGCTTCGAAAGGAGCCCCCCCGGGCCCAGTTTCCCTAGCTCCGAAGGGATCCCCCCGGAGAGGCGGTTGTTGGCTAGGATCAGATCGAAGAGCGAATCTAGATTGCTGAAACTGGCGGGAATGGGGCCAGAGAGCTGGTTGTTGCTCAGATCGAGATCAAAGAGGTTGCTCAGTTGGCCCCACTCTGGCGGGATTGACCCAGAAAGATTATTGTTTGAGAGGTACATATAGTGCAGGTTCTCGCATTGCGCTAGCTCTGGGGAAAGCGGGCCTAAGAGCAGGTTTCCGTGAAGATCCAACACGTCCAGACCAGTGAGGGCGCCAATCTCTGGCGGAATTGGCCCACTGAGTTGATTGCTATGCAGGCTTAGCTCATAGAGATTGGTTGCATTAGCAAGGGTGGCGGGCAGAGGAAGAAGAGGTTGCCTAGCTGACCAAGCGACTCGGGGATTGGTCCTGAGAGCGAGTTGTTGTAAAGGTAGAACCGGGTTAGTGCAGGAAGGGAGCCTAGTTCAGGAGGAAGGGGGCCGCTGAAAGTGTTGTCGTGGAGCGACAGGTGTCGCAACCGCTTAAGCTGTCCCAGCTCTGGGGGGATTGCACCCGACAGGGCATTCCGAGAAAGGTTCAAGTACTGCAGATTGGAGAGCGAGCCTAGCTGGGGTGGGATCCCTCCCGATAAGCTGTTGTTGAAAAGATACAACCGGTTCAGTTGGGGCAAACCGCCAAGTCCAGGAGGGATGGGACCACTCAGAGCATTGTTGGAGAGGTTCAGGGTTTGGAGGTTGGTTAGGCTGCCCAGCTCATAAGGTATGCCGCCCGACAGGCTATTGTTGGAGAGGTCCAGGTGCGCAAGCTGTGCAAGGTTGCCAATCTCTGTGGGGATGCCTCCGCTGAATGCGTTGCACGAGAGGTTAAGGTATTTCAGATTGGTCAGGCGGTGTAAACCCCTTGGGATGGGGCCGCTCAATCTTCGATTGGCTAGGTCAAGGCTAGTGCCCAAGTTGGTAGCGTTGCCCACTGCTTCATCAATTGTGAGAGCAGAAGCCGCCACAGCAAAGTCCACCAACACAACTAAAAGAGCTAACTTTGAAAACCCCATGTGGCTCATTTCAGCTCGCCTGTGCTGCTCTACGCGCATGCTCTTCTTATCGTTTCACCACTCTCTCTGAATCTATGAAAGTTTTTCCTGCAAGAACCTGAAGACTGGAGATGAGAGCAAAAATTGGACATTAGATGTGCCAAAGAGAAGCATAATCTCGAGAAGGTGCTTGAGAAGCTGAGAGGTGCCACCGTGCCAGCTATACTTCAAACCCGTTCTGTGCATGAGCTCCTGGTTTTGTGCGCGAAACCTAACTCGAAATCTAAGTTAGCATTGAACCGGGCCGGTGCAAATGGAAGGATGCCGGCCGCCGGGCGCTCTGATCCAAGGCCGTTGTAGAAGAACTGGCCGGTGGGAATCACCAACTTGAAACGGTGAACAATGTGCCGGTTCGGTCACGTCCTGATTACGGGCAAACCCCACGGGCAACGAGCAGAGGGAGTTCCCTGCTTCGGAGCTGGGTCATTCTCGACAGTCGCAGAACCCTTCGATGAGCTGATCCGACGGCTCCGGTGTGCTGGTCATGCAGCACACTCAGTTTGCGACTTCAACGAGTGCCAGCGCTTGCAAGATGCGTTGCCAGCATTCAAGAATTGCTTGCTCAGAGTCAGAGTCAAAGGCGAGATTCACGAGAGCTGACACAGTGACAGAGAAAGTGCTCAGTCAAATCACAATGAGATTCAACTCATCAATTGGTGTACGTTTGTTGGCAGTATAAGCTGGACGCTTGCCAGAATCCAATCAGATTTCAGACAATGGCGACTGGGCACAGCGAAGCGCAGGTTGAAGAGATTGTGAGCAGCATCTTTCCAAGGAACCCGGGTTCTGTAGATCTGATGAGACCGGAGACCTCGCAGGTTTTGCAGAGCATTTTGGAAGAAGCGCATTCCAGAGATGAGACTGTTAGGCTCTTGGCAATCTGACGCTTCAAGGATATCTTCCGGCCATTCCAGGAAACGACGTCTGCGCAAAGTGCAGTGCACGCAGCTGTCTTCCTCTTGGAAAGAGGTTCATGAGAGCAATCAACCAGGGACTGGAAGACTCACTTGCTGGACGGTGGCTTCTGGTGCCCAGCGCGGAAGACATAGAAATGCTGGCTGCTACTGCTGATGGCTCAGTCCCTGCTCTGATGAAGCCGTCAATCTGTGCAAATGCGGTAGAGTGCCTTGCGGTCGACAGCCGCACTGTGAAGTACAAGCTGAAATTTTCACCGCGCCTGCCTTTCCTTCTAAAAACCCTCTTCTCCAAGGAGTTCACTCTACCATATGATCAGGCTTCAAAGCCCTGGACAGCCCAAATAAAACAAGCGGTCATCTGTGCAATCCCCAGGCTTTTTTCCTCTGATGCTTTTCCGAAGGAGATTGGCCAGAGCACGGACTTTCTCATGGCAGTCATGCAGAGCGCTGTTGCATACTTTCAGGACAAGATTGTGGTCAGGCATGCCGCTTCAATCATCCACACTGCTCGACTCTACTGCTTTGTTAGATCGTCTGAGTCCGTAACCCCTCTCGAGGAAAGCTTCCTCCGCTTTGCAGCAAAGCTTTTCACAGAGTCTTCCGACAAGACGTGGATTTTGTGTATCCTTGAGACACTATCTACTTTCATTGCGAGTCGTCTCCACAGTCTGGCCAAAGGCCAGAAACCCTTCCCTGAGATTCCAGCACTCAGATCGTCGGTTCTTGCCCTGCTTCTTTGTGAGGACGAGCTTCACAACAGCGTTGATGCCAGGAGGCTCGCTGATTTTGCGGGGTACCTGAATCACTCAGCTGCTCTTGCTGCCAAGAGAATCGAGGCCTTTCCAGGCAGCCATTATTCAATGGAAGAGGTGAAGCAGAGCGCACGAGAAGACCAGGCAGCAGTGCAGAGAGCATCACAGCTGAGGGGGATTCTATCATCCCCCTCGGAAATCGAGGGGAGCGGCCACATGTACATGTCAAGATCGCGGGACAGGGATGCAGCAGAGGAGGAAGCGCTGAACAAGGGCTTAGGTGCGGTGAGAGACATCAGAGCGCCAAGGAAGTGCTCAAGGCTGGGGTGCAAGAAGTTTGAGGACAAACCGTGAGAGTTCCGCAGGTGCGGGGCGTGCAAGCTCGCCGTCTACTGTGGACCAGGTTAGATGGTTGAGCATGTTTCTGACTCCACATGATTATGCTGACTGTGTTATCCAACTGTGACTTCTCAAAATGGATGATCTCTTGTGTCGTCTTTTTGATTCTACTTACTACCAATCATTGAAGAGAGTCTGTGCATATCACATAAGCGCAAGTTGAGCAAGAACTTTTGACTTGACAAATCTGCTTGCCGCTTTTGCCAATATTCGATCCCCCCATTTACACAGACGGTGCCGACAAGTGTCGTCACCTGATCGAGTTCATTTCGTTGTGTCTCTTCGCAGTCGATTCTGTGGCGTTCTGCTGAGTTCTCCAGCAATACTTTTGATTTGGATTAAAAGGATTGCTGACATCAAATGTTGGATACCATTGCAAGTACTGAACATTGAACTTCTACCAGAAACCAGCACCACTGTGCTTTGGCTAGAAGCTTTTTGAAGATCCTCCAATCCTTTCACCGGTAATCCCAAAAACTCTGCAATCAGGGGTCCCCTCATTGTGTTCTTTGCACGTTGTGCAGGGTGCCAGAAGGCTGCATGGAAAGCAGGCCACAAGCAAGTTTGCAAATAAGAGGATGATGTATCTAGCAGGGGACAAAATCTGGATTTGGATTGTGAAAAGATCGGATGATGGGGCGTCTTATAGAAGAATTCAATGAGGTGCAATCTACTTTGTAAGCCGGTACTAGTAAGCTTTTCATACCAAGATTCGATAATCCTACGTTGTTTCCCAAAGCAGACTGCCGTTACCAAAACATGTTCGTGCAACACAGAAATCTAGAGACCCGCTTGGTTGGAGTTTGGGGGTGAGGACATTGTCTCGGTCGTGAGCAGTATTTGTCTCCAACAAATCACATCGACACTTACACATGGCCATTGTATCTAGCCTAAAGAAATATAGTTAGCATCATTTGCGCATGTTATAGAGAGCCCTCGTCTTTCTAGCTGTCCATTTTCCCTGCATTTAGAGGAGATAGGCTTTAACTTCGCAGGAGTCCATTAGTCAATCGTACGATTGGTATCTGCGAAGATATGGCCAGTATATATTGCACGTCTGCATGTCGTAGTACACGACTAGAGGGCAGATCTTTTGCACTTAATCCGAGTTTCTTGAACTTGATAGTAGCCGGGCCATGAGTCCAATGCATACCCCGCGGCCAACTGTGCTATCCTCGTGCTATCTACCATGGTCCGACTACTCGGTCAGGTCATCGAGGTATTGACCGAGCTTAGAACAAGGTCGCAAAGCTGTGGCTCTGTATTGAACATCTACAACTAGTCGTTTGTACGTGTCACGGTACTTCATGTATAGGGCCGTGTACTGCGGCCCTCACATGTGCATCATGACAGCAGCGTCAACCACATGCCAGGACCACTGCGAGCACACATAGTGCAAACGCAAATGATCCAATTGTAACTTATTGTCGGCCATGTCTCATGGCAAGCTATCTCTAGTAGTGCCGATTGAAGTGCCAGCTTCCGCCCGGCTTCCCGGCGGCTGAGTCACTGTGACGGATCAAACTTATGAAACTTAAACATGTTAAAGGAAGTTTCACACGTTCAAGAACCGTCAGAAAGTTTTGAGTTGCAAGTCGACAAGTCGACACTGCCGCCATTTCAATATGGTCGCCCGCCCACCGTCGTATGGGGAGATGGCTGGGTGCAAAAGTGAAAAAGTTCGTGTCATGAAAAAGTTGCTCCCTCTGAGGATTGAACTCAGGACCTTCCGCTTACGAAGCGGACGCACTACCACTGTGCTAAAGGAGCTCGCTTGATGTGACGAGAATTGCCAGAACGTTTATGTCCCATAGTTTTGACAGGGCCCCTTGCATTAAAGAAGTTGTAAAATTCTTGAGCATGCCCACATTGACAATGATATGTTCATCAGCATCTAGCAATGGCGGCCTCCTCTTGTGTGTGCGTCTCTCTCAGCATTGGCAGCCGATTGCTCTCCTCGACTAAGGCAAGTTGCAGTCAGCAGGAATCAAGGAGGCCGGCATCTGTGCCTCTATGCAGCCTTGCTCTATCCACATCCAGCCATGGTGTCAGTTGCAAGAGACAAAAGACTCGCACAACATTGCATAAGGGTAAACAGTTGAGGTGGCACAGTACTGTCAGTAGTCCTCAACTATCACGAAAAACCTCGTCTTCTTGCGCAGCTGATGTTGGCGATGGGGGCCAGCTTACCTCAACCATGATAAACGACATGAAAGAAAAGGTGTGTTCTGCAGTCATCAATTTATGACGGCAACTACAAGGAGGTCTGTATATCATTGAGGTTTCGAAAGGTGCTGGGTTCTCCGGCATTGAGTGTGGCAAGTACCCTCCGCTCTTCTATAATCTGAGAAATTGTGCTCGCACCATCTGACAGCAGTTCTACGACCAGTCTTGCTTGTCACAGTCAGGCAGCATTTGAAGAAGTAAAAAGCCGCATCAAAGATGGCACCGATGTAGGCTTTGCTAGAGAACGGCCAGACCGTTTCTTTCAACACATTATGCTGTGTTTTGAAAGAAGAATGAAAGATTCAAAATCCCCCGTTGTAGGCTACCACCCTTTTTACATTGCTGCAGATTGGTCAGGAACTAGAGGCGGTGAGTGTGGTGGTTCAGGACATTTCAGGTGATGGCCGGCACGTCAGGTGAGAGAGCCCCTGCAGGCCAGGTCGACATTTTATGCTGATGCAACAGGCTGCTGTCACTTGGTGCTGGATGACTATTTCCATCAAAGTGGGAGGGGGAGAAAGTTGCATATTTTTGAAGTATCCTTCTGAACACTAGCTTCTTCACAAAAGCACCTGGCCGTAATGCTATGTTGCCATCATGATCTGTCAGTGCAATGAGGCCGAAGGCTTTAAGTCAATAAGTGGCCATGTTCGCATGGAGACGCAGTCCCAAGACATCATCGAATTGACAGCTAATGCAAGTTTTGAGAGCTAGGGGCGGCCATTCTTACCCTGGTGTATAGTCCCTTAACCTTCAGCCTTGATGGTCAGTTTGCAACAATGCACCCTTGGTTAAAAGGAGGTATGGCCATCAAATAGCCCGCAGATCAGTGTTTTGCTTGTATTTCCTTAGAGGAATTTTGGATCAAAGCATGTACCGAACCTCCCCCCAGGAAGAATCCAAGTGTTTTGCTGCAGTCGTTAGAGTGCACACAGTTTGCGGTCGCAGGACAAAGGCATCCTTCAGGCCGTTTACGCATTTCGCCAAGGGGACCTTTTAAGCAACGTCTTCCTTCACCTCGCAGTATCGATGTCGTTTCGCCGGTGTTTGAGGGGAAAAGTAGCATGAATCGACAACGGATGGTGTACAAAGCAATCTGGCAGGAGCTGCAGGGGGCCGTGCATGCTGTAGACGCAATGACAACCAAAACGCCAACTGAAGCAGGGGTTGGGCAACAACCACGGCAATGAGATTGCCGTGCTAAGTGTGTAAGTGCTTTCTGAAGTGATGGCCAACGCTCATGGTTTGTATGAGCAGGGCAACAAGGCTTTACGCCATTCTCTAACGCGATAGATAGATCCATGGCCTATGTACAGCGACATGCCTAGATTGGCCTACGATAAACAGGCAATCTCCTTTCGTTTGCATGCTGTTTTGGACAATCGCATGATTCGAACGATTTCATTCCCGACCTCAGTGCTACGCAGGCATCCGCTGCTAAGGTGCGCCCACCATCAGCATATAAGGTTGCATAACCGAACTGAAGCGAGTTCATTGATTTGAATGAACTTGACTGCTTCTCATGGAAGTGCATGTATTGAGCGTACTTCGTAATCATCAGGTTTCCAGGTCTGATCTCTTTTCGTAACATTGTGTAGCCGGTCCTGCGGCCATAGGTTCTCATGGCATATAATCTGATCAAACCCGGCGACCACGCGTCATGCAATATAATTGTTTCTAATTTGACATCGAAGGCATGGAACAATGTAAGTGACCTGGTCTTTAGACCATTTTTTCCGCGATGGCAGGCCGGGGCGGCTGGTAGCCAGCCAGCCGTGTTAGCTACTCTAGATGGACCACAGCTAGAGGCGCTGCACACTAGCTCCATGCCATGGGAGCCAATGCAGCTGCGGCAGGCAGTCCAACAAAGAGCCCGATCATGAATTCATCAATTGTTCAATTATATTGCAGACTTGCCAAGTTGGAATCTCAGCATGTGATCTAGCTTTTGCTCAGTGCCCTTTGTAATTTTGTAAAGTAGCAACCGCATACAAAGAATACAGATGCAGATTGCGTGGTTTGATCAGAGATCGTTTGAATTGGAAAGAAATCGTTTCCAATGGCACGACTTGGTGCATAGCACTGGCATATCTCAACATTTGTCAACTTGAGAATGCGAACCTTTTCATATGTTCTAGACAGGTGTTCAATCAACACCATCCGACCGGCTTCAATTCGACAAGCCCAGATAATGGCCTAGTGCTGTTATACTTTTGTGCAAATCCAATACATTTAGAGAGTTGAAAAGTTGTACAACATGTAGAATAGGCAGTGGGGCTGACGGTGTATACTGTATATAGCTATCACCCGATGCCAAAGCCGCTGTTTGGGAAGGGTACCGTCAAGTTGCTGTGACAACGGGGTAGGAATGTTCCACAAACTTCACTCCCTCTTTCCCAAAAAGCCTCAAGCCACTGTCAAACTTTGACCCCTTCCGACTCAGTGGCCCTTTCATGAAAGGTTGTCCCAAGCCTCAGGAGCAGCAGATTGGATCAAGTTCAAGCCCTGCTTTTACTCCGCCCCGGCCAAGACCTCAAGTCCCCTTCCACCTCCGACCCACCTCGTCAAAGCAATGCATAACTAGCCAATACTCAGTGTCTCCCATCCAATAAGGACTGTACTTACTCCGTTGTATGTACCCTGCACGTCACCGAAAAAGCGACGTAAGGTATCCTGATTGGCCCACTTTCGTGACGGAGCAATGAACCGGTTGTCAGTCCCGTTTGGATTGTCAAGCGTACCAACCACGAGATTGTACGGGTTCCTACAAATATCGCATGACATGCAGATCCAATCTTCAACTTCGTCCCGCGCATCGGTCACCTTTGACCACGTGGGTTCAAGATTATTCTCGAACGGGCGTGCAGCGTGCCCTTCAATGTATCATCTCAGTACAGCCAAGGGTATGAAACATGATTGGAGTCCACCTTGGGAGAATACCTTCTGGTCGACTGATTGATTGATTGACTGATTGGCGTATGAAATTACCTCGAAGTTCGACTGAACGGTTTTTACCGTTGATTTGTTGTAGGCCCATGCTTGTAAGGGGCTCGGTCTTCTGAGAGGAGAAAACAACTTTGACTGATTGATTGACATTCCGCAGCGGAAAGATTTTGCCTGCAGGGGTATTCTCGCTGCTGCTGGATAACGTTTCCAGTCTTTGGGTGGCCCCAGGTCCTTCTGGAACATTTGGCAGGCAGACAGGTAGCATCAGAACTCGTTGCAGGTATCCTCGATCAATTGCTTTCCGTTTGAACTCATTTTTTATGCAAGAATGACGGTCACATCTTGAAGGAGAACCAGTTCCGGGCTACGCAGGTTCACAAGAGGAACGTTCATTCTTCCATGTCCCTGCAAGAACTTCCAGCTTCTACTACCTTTGTTGAGCGAAAAAATGGCGCAGCACCAGAAGGAGGTGAGACTCAGCTTTTCTGCTGACAGCGCCAATTGTTTGATGATCATGCCGAGAGATGTATGGGACATGCTGCATGACAGGGGGGAATAAGAATCAGTTGAATCTCCAGATAAGCAGGTGAAGAAGGAGAACCTAGCAACTGACAAACATTTTACATGTGCCGTCCTGCCTGCTTTCTTGTAATAGTTTTGATTCTTCAGCCATCCAGCCATTTATATTAAGGATATCACCAGGCCCATTTTGGCTTACCGCATATCAAAGTTTGCAACTGAAGAAGCCAATTAGTGACCACCCTCCAATCTGCTGCATCCCTGAGGCTGCATGCATCGGCGGGATCATCGTTCAATCTTCCTCAAACCTTGTGAACGCCCAAATTGCAGCACTCGCCGAGCTTGTCACATTTTTCGAGAAGGGCCGAAAAGAGGAGAGCTACCGTCAGGCCGACCTTCACGAGCGATCGCTCTTCCCGCTCGCGCCGCAGATTCTGGGGCTGCTAGAGGCACGCGCGCATTCCGATCTCGAGAGGGCGGCCGATTTTGTGACGGCCTCGCTGTACGTCCTGTCTGAGATTGTCAATTCGGAAGTATCTAGACAGGCGGAGCTTTCCGAGGTACCTCCGGAAGAAGGCGTATTAGAGGAGGTGGGAGTTCGGCTGCTGACGTGGCTGAAGCTGCACCTCTCCGCGGTGCGCGGCCGCCAGCTCCTCTTCTTCGCACTCACCACTGTCGGCCAATGCGCGCACGCCACGTGGGAGTCTCTGGCGGCTATCCTAAACGCGGGGGGGTTTCTCGTCTTTTGCAAGGAGTGCTTTGGCGGCAACTCGCAGCAGGCGACGCTCGAAGAGACGGAGGAGCTTGCGGAGTGCGTGCTGACGCCCCTCCGAGCGCCACGTGGCGTGCGGGGAGGGGCCGCACAAATCGCGGTGAAAGAAGCTCTGACGAAGGACGGGATGCTCACGTGGGTCTTCGAGCGCGCGGGGCGCGGGGTTCAACATAGACAAGCGCCCAAGCCTCCTCCCCCTTCTAGCGCTCTGCCAAAAAGTCCAAGTTGACGTCAGCGCCTTTCTTACGCCCGAGCTGTTTCGCCTTTTCGTCCGGCAGCTGAAGCGCAATTGGCGCGGTTTCCAGGGCATTCTGCCGACGTACGAAAATGAGAACCTCGCGCTGCGCAAGTTGGGCGGCGAGTTCAACCGGGTCGCGGGGCACGTTCACATTGTCGAGGCAATGCTCTGCGGCAGTCGGCGGGGCGGGGGTGGGAACTGGGACCCGGGCTACCTCGCGGACGTCCGCGCGGCAGTTTCGCGCGGAACGCGCCGTCCGGCGGCGGAAAACTTCATGACGTTCTGCGAGGCGGAAGGCGTTCCCGTGTTCGCGTCGCTCGTGGAAGAGCGGAACCGACTGGAGCGGTTTCGAGCCCGGGCGGAACTGGGGGGGCATGTAATGCCGGAGGCTGCTGACGTGGCGCGGCGGGTGGACGCCGTGTGGGAGCTGGTGGCGGACGCGTTCAGCCTGCATAAGTGCGCCAACTTTCAGGTACAATCGCTGATTTCTTTTCCTTTTCCTCTAACCTTTTGTTCTTTTCTCGCACATTCGTTTCATTCTAAAGTTGTTTCGTTTTCGTTTCGTCCTCTGAATCGGTGTTTCCATCCCCTTCCCCCTGGTTCCTCCGTAAAGTCCGCGTTTCTATCCGATCTGTTTTCACTCGTCTCCCTTCCCGTAATGATTTTCTCTCCTTTCTCTTCGGTCTCCTCTTTGACTTCCTTTACCAGGCCGGTACGTTTTAGCCAGTTTTTCGTTTCCGTGTTTGTACAGCTTTTTGCTCCTCCTCGAAAAAGGCTGACGTGTCATTGTCTAAGCGTGGTCTAGGATCTTTGACGGCTGGTCGACAACAGTTGACAGAATGCATGCCTGCACTCCGAGGAGCTTCTGCGAAATCCCAGAGTGGTGAAGGTGATTTGTGATGCTGACCACGCTTACAAAATTTCATTTGGGCACAAAATATCATCGCGATCCAAGCTCTCAATGTTTTCGTCAGCGGATCTTATTGTGCAGAGTCATCCCCGTTGGGCGTCGACCCGCCTGCTCTGTATGCTAGCAAAGCTCTCTTCCACTTAATTACTCTGCATTTCAACCATCGACAGCCAGTTTTCCGCTTTCGCAGGCGTGCTCGCGAGTGGAGGACCAGAAGGGAGTATTCATGAGGTGTGGCAGATGTAAATCCGCCCGGTACTGCAGCCGAGAATGTCAAAGAGCGCACTGGTTAGCTGGGCACAAATGGGAGTGCCAGTTTTCGGCGTAGGGTAACTACCGTCTGATTATGAAGTGAAATTCAGCAAACCTCCAGTTTGAGATACAGTAGTATAGCGAGTCCCCGTATACAAAAATTTTTAGTGACCCACTTTCCGGAGGTCCTGTCAATCATTCGTGCAGTGCCTGAGACCAGGTAAGGTACATTCCAGCCGCCACATTCCCGGTACTAGCATTACGGCTACTATAGTTTCAGTGACGCATGCCCCTGGCCGAAAGCGAAGTACTTTACTTGACCTGGCACGAAGTATATCGCTCCTCCTTGTAATGTTTAGATATGATGTTCTTCCTCGAAACATGCAGGTTTCACTCTTCGTTCAGTTCTTCTGTATGCGATTACAGCCATGCAGCGTGCACGCTGATGCACGCTTGGTCGAGTCAAACTGATTTTTGGAAGAATTTTACATCGGCATAAATCCTGTTTCCCCGCACGGCCAGGCTCCTCCGATCACATAATGTCTGTAGGCATGCACATGATCTGCATATATCCTGCAGAGTATATACCACAATTGTACAATGTGGGCGAAGTCGAGGCGCGGACGGTCCTTCAAGATCAATAGATTCATGTTTTTAAGAGTTGAGCTCGATGATATGAACACTTGTACGTCACGGTGTATCAGAAAAGTTGGACTCAACTGTGCCAAGACTGATACATGGCACCGCACGGTTGCTGATGCAATGATAAGCATGCATACCCGCACGTACGTATCAATGTGGACCATTCAATGCGCCAATTTTGACTGCAGCAGCGATTCCGCCAATCTGCCGTTGGTGCAACGTGGGGAAACTTGGAAGTGTTTTTGACAGTGTGGCCAAGTAATCAACTCCGCGTTCTGCTGTATATAATTCGCAATATATTATTCGCAGAGGCTTCTTTTCAAAAGCTACTTCAAATCCTGCACAAGCGCATTCAGTGCCTTGCTCGACAACCGCACTACCCGTTTCGCAATCTCTTCGACCGGGCCAACTAGATACGCACCACCAAGCAAACCTTCCCCCTCCGCCGCGGAAAGGGCCCTGTTGAGCCCACGCGCAATCCGCACGTGCTGGGGCAGCTTCCTCTTCAAGTACCGCAGGTACCTCAACAAGGCCTCCGGCGCGCCGTCCCACGTGGCAAGAGCGGGCGGCACGCGGAGGTACTGCAAAACGAGCGCCCCCGCGAAGCCGTACATCTGACACGCGGCTAGCTCCGCAACGAGACACGAAAAGGCGACCGCCGCGAGAGGGTTTACGCCGGGGCTTTGGGGACCGTTCGAGAGGAGCAGCTGCTGCTGGTCTCGCGCCAGGGGGGTGACCGCGAGGCACAGCGCACGTAGCAGGTGCGTCCCCCCCTCGTGGGCGATTTTGGGCAGTAGCTCGTGCGCTAGAACGAGCCCCAGAAGATCCGCATCCACCTTGTCGAACTCTCTTCTCGCTGCGGCCACGAAATCCGACACGTGTGGGCACGGTTCAATCTCAGACACCTGTCCGGACTCGCCGCGACTTTCCGACTCCTTCGCTCCTTTCCCCACCCCCGCGCTTTCCCTTTGGATGTAGCTCGCAGACTCCTTGCGCTCTCCCCCGCTTTTCGTACCCGTCCATGACGTCAGCAAAGACACCGCCCTCTCCGTCTTGTCCGCCAGAGGTGACATCAGAGCCACTTTCGCTGCGGCCACGCTCCCAATCGTCTCCTCGGCTTCACGTGTCAGCTCCAGGGCCTCCGTGGGGCTGATGACGTCATCGCCGGTCCAGCGGTCAAGCACGACGAGGGCAGCCCGCGGGGTGCGTGACGTCAGCAACACGGAGAGGAGCAGCTTGGCCGACCTGCACAATGGCCACGTGTCAGCGGAAAGTGAGATGGACACGTGCCAAGAAAGGCAAGAACGAAACAGCCGACACTACAAGTAGGGCTATATTGTCAAAACGTGTGAAGCAGATAAAGGGTATTGCGAAAAGCAGGCAGAGCGTAGAATTGACAAGAGCTTCGATTCCATGGTCGCGGAGCCTGTCTTTCAAGTGCCAGAGTCCTGTGCCTATTAGCGAGCGTCCAAAGATCAGCAGCTTGCTAGTGCTTGCTTCTCACGGAAGCGGAAAAGACGGGTTCATGAGACATAAGAAAGAGCAGACAGTAGCTGCTCGTTTTCCGCAACAAAATCTGTAAAGCTAACCTGAACAAGTGACCACTATTGGATGTGACGAGACTGAAGACGAAAAACGAAACAGGGCTAACGGATGTACAGCTGGGGGAAAGAGGTTTCCTAGAGAGTCAAAAGGAATTACATACCGAGTTGCCAAACAACCAGAGATATTTGGGAGCCATCATCAGGGAAACCTGGGGACAAATTCGCGGCAGACTCTCACCCGTGGAATCGACTAATCTTCGTCCCTTCTTCTTCACTCTCTTGTTCTGCCGCTGCCTCCGCCCGTCCAACAAGATCGCTTCCCTTCTTTTCCGCGTCTCGCTCTCCCTCGGACTCCAGAACCGTTGGCTTTTCTTCGTCCCTGCTGCGTTCCCCTTTCTCTTCCGTTTTCACAGAACTAGACCCGTCTTGTACAATCGCCTTTCCGTCTTCCTCCTCGGCAGACTTCGCTCCCTCCGACCCTTCCGATGTTTCTGCTCCTTCTTGAATTGCACCTGTTCCTGCGCCACCCCCCTCTTTTCCCTGCTCAACGCCCCCCCCCGTTTCGGAACCAAACGCCGCCGAGTTCGCCTCCCACAGCCTCAGCAGCCCAAACAACGCCCCCACCCGCGCCTCAAACACCCCTGCTCCTGACGCTGACTCTTCCCTGACGTCACCCGACTCTGTGCTGATGTCAGCCGACGACCCACCGACGTCAGCGACCAGCGTCCGGAACAGCGCCTCGCACGCCGGAACCGTGCTGACGTCATCCACCTCGCGGTCCGGCCACTCCCCCTGCACAATCTCGGCGGTCTTGAGTAGCAGCAGTGACGTTCTGGGGGGATGAGGCCCCTCGGCATTCGAGCCCGGAACTCCCCCCCCCTGCTTAGTTTCTTCGCTCCCGGGGGGCAGTCGCCAGCCTTTCCAAACCCGGGGATTGCCCCCCTGCCCCGGTTTGTCTTCCAACGAGTTCAGCAGCTCGAGCGTCCGGATCTTCCTCCGCAGGGGAACGGCCGGATCGTCCATAAACGCCTTAATCCGCGTCCAAACCTCCCGTCGAACGCTGTCGAGTTCACCCCCGTCTTCGCTGCTTTCTTCGTCAGCTAATCCCGCCAAGACCAACTCCAAACCGTCTTGTGAACCCGCCTGCACTGACCCATTTCCGCGACTCAGTGCTTCCTCGAGCGCTGACCGGTAAACGGCCACTAACCCGCCGTTCCTTTGACCCGTTAACCCACCGGTATGCGCCTCTTCCGGACTTCCCCCCCCCTCACTCTCACTCCGCCCTTCTTCACTTTCTCCTTTTGCTTCCTGCCCGTGAAGTTCCGTCCACATCTTTTTGACAGGCCGGTAAGGAACCCCGACCAGAACGAGCGCCTTCAAAGCACTGTATCGGACCCCCCCTGGGGATGCCTCACTTTCAGCTCCGCTCCGAGTACCACTTTCCGGCCAGGACGGAACGGAACGCTCGGCAGCGGCAGCCTGGCTGTCGCTGACGTCACCGCTCTCTTTCACTTCTTTCACCGCCTTCAAAACAGCGCCAGCCTCCGCAAAATCTGCCGCTAGTTCCTCAAGCCGTTTGTTTGCCCGCGGGTTCTCAAATGCTGCGGCTTTGAACAGCGCGCTCGCATCCTCGTAGAGCCGCGTCCGAAGCCTGAGCGCTTCTCCGGGTTCGGACGGACCCCCAGCTTCGTACGCCCACCGCAGGACGTCCGAAAACAGTCCCTCCAGGTCCTCCGGCCCCAAGTTTCCGATCGCACCTTTGCTGTCGTCGTAAGCGCTCGCCAGTTCTTGAATCCCAGGCACTTCCTTTTCGCTTCCATTTCCGCTTCCGCTCCTGGCCGCTCCCGGGACCGCCACAGATCCCTCTTTGCTGACGTTGTCAGCCTCGGTAATGACGTCAGCAAACCGCCTCCGCACCGCAGCAAGGTGAATGCGGCCCGGGGTCGCATCGCTCCGCGCCGAGAACGCCCTCTCTAGTTCTTGGACGGTCCCCACCATGGCCTCCGCATTAAGTAGCGTCACGTGGCTTTGCACCAGACCCAAAATTCCGCTCAGAGACCCGTTGCGAAACGGCTCTAACAGTGCCTTGAAGTCTGCTTCGGGTGCTGACGGCATGAGGATGAGGTTGGCGCACCGGAGAGCGGGAAAGAAGTCTGGGAAGGAGAGCGCTGACCCCGGGGGACTCCAGCTCTTGGCGAAGTCGGTCTGTGCGTCGGGGGGGAGCTTACGCCAAATGGAGTCCTGGAGACGCCGCGGGTGTGATCATCAGCAATGTAAGCGAACAAGTTTTGGCAGGATAAGACCAGAGGCTCTACAGGTGGGCTCTTACGCCTTCGCAATTGTCATTTTGTTGGACTCCTCCACTGGCAGTCCGCTGACTCACGACGTATTGAAGTTCTTCCTCCGCTATGCGGAGCAATAGGCCTGCTTCACTCTCTCTCTAGGTGGCTGCTTTCAGGTATCCCGCATCGAAGGCTACAATCAACGAGTTTCCATAGACTCTGCAACCCTCAAGAAGGCTGAAAGTGACGTCCTTTTTGGGAACTCCGCAAAGAAGGGCAATTGAAGCCGCACGAAGATGACGTTCCTATTAGCGCAAAGTGGTGGGAAGAAGAGCTCACCATGAGAGAGAACACAAGTGCTAAGCGGTTGTGTCGTGTTCCGCCCAATGCCGGCCAGACGTCTGACGTCAGCGCATGCATCAGCTCCACCTCCCTTCCACTTAAGCCCTCTTGACTCTCCCGGACGCCGTAAGCTACGTCCGTATCCGGCCAACTAGACAGAACCAAGGTTTGCACGTGACAAATCAGGACGCGCCACGTGTCCACCCCATACCGCTCCGCCAGCGCCAGAGCCTTCCGGAGCGCTGCGCTCTGCTCTTCAAACGTCCTCGTTTCGGGGGGCTGACTCCCCCTGCGTTCCTGACCCCCTGGAGCGGTGACGAGCGACATAACGAGCTCCTGTTGGTGTTCTTGGTCGCCGCTAGCAAAGCGGTCAATGTCAACTCCCGGCAGAACCCCCTCCAAACCCTTGGCGTCCTTGAGTGCCGCCAGTCTCGCTCCGTAGTCCAAACCTTTTTTCCTTAACCCTGATTCCGCATCGCTCCCCCCCGCGCTTTCCTCCGAGGCCCTGTCCGGCTGTTTGCGCATCTTCGCCAGCAGCTCTTCCGTGCTGAGGTGCAGCAGATTCTCGATCTCACGAGGCCCTTTGTCTGCCGCTAGCGTCAGCGCCTGGATCCCGTAAAAGTGAACCGCCAGCCGAGTCGCTCGTTCCACCTCGGCAAACGCCTGCGCGTGTTGTACCACTTTCTCCACGAACGAGGCTCCCTCGTCTGGCCCCATCGCTAGCAAACAGCTAAGAGCGACGCTTTCATACTGGTGTCTTGAATGAGCGCTTGCCGGAGCATCCGAAGTTTCCGCCCCTCCTTCCGAAGCCCGGTCTGTTCCGAGGGCCCACGCGATACCCGCTAACTGTGCCAACAGCTCGTCACTCGCTGCGAGACCAGACTGGCTCAAAGCGGTGCGGATAAGCATCCCCGCAGAATGCCCTCGCTCTAGTTCGCCAAAGGACACCTCGCCAAGCCTGCTAGCCTTGTCGAAAAGGCACACCTTTGCCAAACCCGGCAAGTACACGCGAGCGAACGCGACTGCAATGGACGAAATTCCGGCTGAGTCGCTCACTCTCGCGACCTTTCTCAGAATCTCCATCCCGCTTCGGTCTTCCGGCTTCACATCTGCCGCCGCGCCTGGCGCTCTGAGCAAAACCCTCAAATAACCCTCCTGCAAACCCGTCTCCAATCCCGCCCCTATACCCCGTCTCAAGACCTCCTCGCACCGTAGCGCCAGATCCACGCCCTCCCAGACCCTCAACAGCTCATCCATCCCCCCGTCTTCCACGTTCGCAATCGCGAACCCCAAGAGCTTCTTCCGGTCAGCTGGGCCGACGCCCTGTCCGAGATTCTCGGAAGAGGTTCCGCCCGCCCAGTTTCCCATTGCTGCCGCAAGCGCCCAGGCGGGGTGGTAATTCTCGTCGACCAGCTCGAGGCAGACCGTGAGAGCAAATCGGACGTCACCGGACGCGAAAGCTGCGTCCGCGGCAAGGGACTTGATGCGGCTTTGCTCGGTGGAAGTGGAGAGGCCGAGTAAAGTTGACACGTGTAGCAGGTCGGGCAACTTCAAGTATGCCTGCGCAACAAGATGATCATTTAAGTACGTACGGCTTTCAGAGAAGTTAAACCGATCTCATGCGACTAGTGAGGGAGTGCGCACAATAGATGGGGAGCAGAGAGGCAGGGATGGAAAGGCGAGGCTTACTTCGGGGAAGGAAAGGAGAAGTGAAGACTGCCGTCGAAAAGTGAAAGAATCACAGCACTCACCAGAGTATCATCAAGAACGCAAAGGCGTCTTGACAGGCCTTACAAAACGAAGGGAAAGGAGATTGCAAAGGACAACAAGAAGAATGGTCCACTGTTATGCGCTGCTAGAGCTGGTCGCAACGTCCCCTTCTTTGAGCTCCTTGTCCTGCTGCGGTAATTGCAGAAAAGAAGATTGGCGACCATGGTACTCACTACGCCGGACAGGGGACGAAAACCCGCAAACAAGGAACTAACAAAGCACCATTGGCTTTGCTTGTCGTTCAGCCATTTGCAGCGCCTCCTCTTTGTCCTTGAGCTGCTTGTATTGCAGCGGAGGATAATGATAAATTCGAAGTGCGCCGACCATGAAGCTCTTGAAACCGGACAGAGGACGGAAGAACGACCAAGAAGCTGCTGTTTGCTTACCTTGTCGTGCGCAGCAAGAGCCATTTGCAGCGCCTCTTCCTTGTCCTTGAGCTGTTTGTACTGTAGCGGGAGGAGCTCGACACCCAGCTTGGGCAGATGAACCGTGAGGGCCTCCATAAGATCGCGGTCAGCGGCCGCGGCCGCATTGCCAGGTAGCAGGTCCAGGCACTCGCGCGCATGCCGGATGTCGATACTGCCAATAGACACAGGCAAGGATTAATGGGGAGCTCAAAAGGAATCACGAGAAGTTCAAGAAACCAACGGCATCGAAAATAAGTTCCTCTCACGTTGCCAGGTAGCAGGTCCAGGCACTCGCGCGCATGCCGGATGTCAATACTGCAAAAATCCCGAAAAAGAGAATGATTGAGAAAGTTCGCAAAGGATAAACAAGAATGCAAAGAAGAATCTATGAGAGGTTCAAGTAGCAGAATGCTTCAAGACGGGATCCTCAAAGGCCCGGAATGGCCTAAAGGGTAGCGACTGGAAAGCAAAGTCTCTTCATAAGCAAGCAATCCTGAGAAGTACTTCCGGAAGAGCGAAGGTACAAGAAGATCTCAAATGTGCTCTGAGATGTACACGGCGCGGAACGACTGCGTCACATCACTTTCGCAGCTTCTGACCAGCTCGGGTGATGTCAGCAGCCGTTTCCATCGTTGATGTGTTCCGGAACGAGGAAATCACCCAAAGAATCCCAACCCACTCAACCACCCAGATCTCGACGCGTCAACACTCAAGATCCAAAACAATTGAGGCCCATTGCGACCGGAAAGATGGTCTGAGAAAATTGACGATATTCCCAACCTGTCAAGCGCCGCCGCCGAGTAGAAGTACTCCCGCGCGGCCCCCAGGACCAGCGTCTCCGCCTTGTCCGCCAGCAGCGGGGGCCGCTTTTTGCCCCCGGAAACGTACCCCCGGGCGAGCGAAAGCCTCCCCGCCCGCAGAAGCGCCCGTACGAATTCGGACAGCAGGTACTGGGTGTCCAAAAAGGTGAAGGCGTCCGATTGGAGAGCGGTGAGATCGTTCCAGAGGGCGTCCCATTGTGCATCCGGGCCGTTGGATCGGGAGGCCCAGGCCAGGAGCCGTCGGATGAGCTGCTTCACACCGGAGGGGTCGGCGTCGCAGGTGAGGAAGAATGCGAGGGGGCGCGCCATCTGCCGATGGAATCTCAAAAACTTTAGGCAATTGAGTGAAGCGGCACCTGTGAGCGGGCTCCGCCAGTATATCATTCAGTCAACGTTGAGGAGATTTCGGCTTTTCTGTCGTGTCATGAAGGAAGCTTGAAAAAAGACGCGGAGATATAATTGCCTTGAATGATCACGACTTCTCCATAAGCACAAGGGCAGGAAGCACACGCGGAAGTCGTCCCCTTAGTTGGGTTCGGTCGCCCATCAGTTCGAAGAGAGGTTTGTCACGGGTTTCTGTCCCTAAGATACGACTTTGCGTCAAACACTGTATGCTGGAGGTGTTTTCGCAGAGAATCAGCTTCTTGAAATGCTCTTTCGCCAGAACCGCCCAGATATTAGTGTAGCAGCGGCTTAGGACAATAAGAAACGTGTCGAGTTTGCACACAAGCGGAGTATCAAACCCCAACGCTACGTCATCACCAAACGCCATACAATAAACCCCCTAGGATGAGTACATTACGAATTGCTCAGGAGCGCCAGAAACCACCGATACACTTACCTGTTGCTTCGCCAGAATGCGCCCCGCTCTCACATGCCGCTCCGCCCGCAAAACCCGTTTCTCCAACCCTTCCAGCCGCTCACGCGCCGCCACGTCAGCACCCGCTGCCACGTCATCACCCAGCTCCTTGTGCCCCGCGTCCTCCTCCAACGCCGCCCCTTCCTCCCCCTCAAAACTCTCGAGCGCGTTCTCGAACTCGGCAGGGGGGGCGTTTGCACCCGCTGTCTCCCCCCCCGTCCTTGGAAGATTCGCGAGTATCTCAGCCATCCCGCCTTCCTCCCCCTTTCCAGGGCCGATCTTCTTTGGCAGCCGCGAGAAAAACCCCGCAACGCCTCGTTGCCCCGCCGCGCGTTCTGCCGCGCTTTGAAGGAACCCGGCGACTCTTGCGCGCTTGCTGCCCGCAGGACCGAGCGCCAAAGCGGCGATGCTCGGGGCGGGTTGCGGGGGGCTGCCCCCGATCATGGCTTGCGGGCCTGCGAGAAGACAAATGCGCATCAGCAACCTTGCAGAATGCGACTTTTAAGACGACAATGTAAGGTAGTCCGTGTCTCCCATTCCTCTAAGGAGCTTGCTGAAAGACTTTGACTCAGCAGCTGTCGTGCCGTCTTGTTCAGATTGATAGAGGCAACCAGTGTAACTCTAGCTGCGGTCCAGCAACTCGGCAAGTCCGTAAAAAGAGCGTGGGGGCAAGGTAAATAGTTCTCTGCCAGGACCAACGCCATCGCTACTGATTATCCTCATAACGCAGTCTAAACTTGCCTCGACCACCAGAGGGACCACTTGAAAGAGACATCCTTACCTTGCTTGACACCATCTCCCTTCCCGCTGACGCCCTGAGCCCTGGGGCTGCCGCTCGGTGTCAACGACTTGGGCCTCATCAGGTCACCCAGCAGCGCCGCCATCTCGTCCCAGGCGTCTGTCGCCTGGCAAGTGTAAACGCACTCCAGCGCGGTTTCCAACACCTGCTCGTGGCTCAGCAGGCGCTTATTCACACCGGAGCCAGGGAGCGCGGTGGAAACAAGCCCCAGCGCCCCTTTCTCGGCCTGCTGCAGCAGCCACCTACGGGGGAACGACTCGCTTGGGCTCATACTAGTTGCGTCGCCCCCTGTCTCCGGACTCGCGGTACTCTCGCCAGCTTCTTCCGGCCCGCCAGAACTTTTAGGCGTTTCCTCCTGCCGTTCAGCCCAGCGCCGGGCCACCCGGTCCGCCGGGCCCTCTAAATGTATCACCACGTCTTCCTTAGTCGCCCCGCTCATAACGTTGCAGTAACGTTCGAACCCGTCCATTCCCAACCACTCTACGAGGCTCAGATCGACCGCTCCCGACGCTTCTTCAGACGCCTTCCCGCTGTAAACGACTTCGTACAAGTCTTGTACGTCTTCGGACAGCCGCTCGAGCCCTCGGACGCCCAGATCGGTGCCCAGAGTGAGCAGATACAAGCTGTGTTCCAAAAGGCCACTTTTCGAGTCGATCGCCACCGCGCGAGCCTTGTACCACTCAGAGAGCTCGTCGCCCGAAGGCCAAACAAGGCCTTTGCTCAACTTCGCCAGCTCCTCCGTGCTTTCCGCTGCAGCAGCGGGTAGCGAGCCGCTTTTGATGGCCGCTAAGGTTTCCTCGGATTCGATCCAGTCGGGCCGTCGGGAAGTTGACGCAAGCAGCGGTCTCGGCCCAGGCAACAGGCTCCGGATGCTATAGGGAACCACAGTCTCGGGCATGGCGTCCAGAACCTCTAGCCAATCCTCAGCCAGGCTGTGGGTATGCCGCTTGAGCAGGACCTCTAGAGGCCCTGCGCTGCAAGCCTGCGCAAACTGGACCGCCAGATCCTTTAAGCTTCCCGCCTGGAACGCTGCAAACTTGTCGGCCGAGAAGCGGTTGTTGTGGATCACCAGAAACGTCGCCAGAAGGTCGCTGCTCCGCAGCAGCTGCAGCCGCCGTTCTCGGAACCACCAGGCTTCCCCGTCCCCGCTTGACTGTGCCCCCGCAGCCTCGGCCACCTCCGGAACCTCTAGAGCTTCTTCCTCCACCTCCCACCCGTCCCCCTTTTCCGGATACCGCCATTTGCCAGTCTCCTGCAGCCCGTACTGCAGTAACGCCCGCATCGCTTCCGCGGTTTTCGGAACCCGTCGCAAACACTCCCCGATAACCCACCGCCGGTCGCGTATCTTCCCGAGGTTGTCTCCGATGCTCGCGGGACCGAAGTCGGACCGCTCCCAGCGCGCCTTGTACGCGAGATCCGTGTCCAGGCTGTAAAGCTTTGCGAGGGAAAGCGCCGCGCCATACTCTTCGTGCCGGATGTGCACTGACATCATCTCCAGGGGCGAGCGCTCCACGAGTGACGTCAGCCGCCACGTACGGATGGGCGGGGCGAGGGCGTCTGTTCGTCGGAACCAGCCGGAGAGGCGGCCGAGAATGCCGGCCTGAGAGGGCAAGAGAGCACGTTCAATAAACAACTACCCGATATTGAGACAAAACCGAAAAATACAACGGGGAGGGACCGCGAAAAGAGCAAACGAGCAGGGATATATTTTTTGGGCGGCCGTCGACTGTCAATCGTAAACATAAAGCAAGTGCCACAATTGGATTCCAGGAGCGCAATCAGGCGACCAGAAATTGAGCTCTTGCATACGTCTTAAAGATGCCGCCTACATATGGAAAGGCGTGACAACAGGATAACCAGTCGAAGACCGAACGATTTTGAAAAACTAATACTCTAGATGGATCGCAGGAGATGAAGGCTGCAAAAACTTGACGAAAGGCGGCAGCCAGGAGATGTTTAGTGACGAGCTCAGGGCGTCACACGAGCTCATGACGTCACACGCCGACCTTTCATCCATATAATCCAACCTTGAACTTACCAACTTTGCGAAAGTCGTTGTCCATCTCAAAAGCATTGCCGATACGACTCCTGACCCGACAAGATATGCTCACCGGCGCAGTCGTCGTGGCTCCTTGCTGCACACCCTCATCACGTTTCTCTCTCTCCTCCTCTATCTCCTCGATCCCGTCCAGTACAAAGGCCCTCTTTTTGACAACGCCAGTCACCCGCGGACTGGCTCCAAACTTCTCGGCAGACTCGCCCAGCATGTTTACAAGGCCCGGAGGCTTGCCCACTGTGACCGCGCCGTCTGCCCGCGACAGGAGCAAAGCATCGTCCGACCACCACGCCACATCATGGACGTTCGCACTCGCTTCCGAGCCCCCCGACTGCGAGTTTTCCCCCGCTCCTAGTTGCAGAGGCGATGCAGACTCCCCCGCTGCTTGCCGTCTGGCAAGGGCCGTTCCGTCGTCGTCATCGGTTCCCGCGCCAATCTGAACCAGAGAAACGGGCCCTTTGCCCTCCGGACCCAAATTCAAGACGCGCAGAGACTTCGACGAATCCAGGGTTGACACTTGGCACCCGTCAGGCGAGCAGAGCGCCTTCGGGAGGGCAGGAATTTGCGCCCAGGCGGGCCGGCGCAGGGTTTCGAAGCGGGAGGGTTTGACGGCGCCGGCAGAGAAGAGGAGACGGTGGAAGGGCGCAGAGGAGGTGAGGTGCCAAACGGACACTGAGAAGGGCACACCTGGGAGAAAAAGGGGCTTGCGGTTAGATTGGGCGTCGCATTTATAAGCACACTAGTGAGATTGGGTCCTGAGGGCGGCTTGAAGAGGCCGATTGTAACCCGTCCGATGAATTCAAATTAGCTGTTCACACCACCCCTTTTGAGTGCAAGCGCACTTGCTGTGCCCGCTTTAATTCTTAGCGGCAGGACTGAAGGGCAGAAGGGGCAGAACATTTAGGCGACTGCTTAGACAAAACGTATGCAGTCCAATGTTGGTGGAACCCTGAGGACCCTCTGCAGGACAGAGGAAACACAATCCAAGTGTATGCTAGCCTTGACGAGTGGCTCTGGGCTTTGTTGCTGAGATATGAGAACACTGAGCGGATGCTCACAAGGCCACCCAACCGCTTGGTACACTCGACATTAGCTGACCCCCTTTTCTTCTTGACTTGCGTAAGGAACATCATTTGCGTCTCATTGACCAGAAACACAGGGTGCCAAACATTCAAACCCGCTTTACTCAAGAGTCAGACATCAGCGAATCTTCAGATTGTCAAACAAAAAATCGATCTTATGTCACTTAATGTGAAACTCACTCTGTCCAGAGGCGTCGGTGAAGCATCCTGGCCCCAGCACTGTCGCCGTTGACTGGCTCGCACAGTAGGCGAGGCAGAATGCCCCTTTTGGGTGCTGTTCGCGCATGTCGATTTGAGGCCGGTAGTACTCGGAAGTGAGAGAAGACAGCTGTCCAGTGGCTGGAGACGCTGCCTCGAACGGTGTCCGCCAGAGGATGGCCTCCTTGCCAAGCGCCAGAAGCTCAGGCCTGACAAATACGGAGCGTAAGATAAGATGATAAAATGAATTGCTATCGGACAAAAAAGACCCCCGCTGCAGGAGTGAGTCAGAGTCAAAAATTGAAGCGCCAAACGACGTTTGTATTTATGGTTTGTCGTATCAAGGTGGGTCTGGCAAATCCGTGGCTCTTACTTGGTCACAATAGTATTGTCAAATACATCTGAGGAACAAGCGGCGAGCAAGGGCAAAACCAGGGACAGCCCTCCAGAAGGCAAGGGGGCATAGGGTTACATGCAAATCGAGATCTGCGACCACTACCGAAGGCCCTAGTATCTCTACAGAAGCAGAGTGCTTATTACGAGTATCACGTCGACGTTGTGAAATATCCCCCCTGAGAGACAGTCAGTAGACCCATTAGTAATTGGCTGTTAGTGCCACTATACCAGACACGGTCTCAGTCACTTGCAACTTCACATGAACCCTTTGCACAAACAGAAAGGCCTTCGAAAAAGATCTGCAACACCCACCCTTTTGCTTTGGCAGGGGCCGTCCCCCTAGCCCCATCCTGTCCCCCCCGCAATACAGCGCCAGCAAGCCCCCCCGCTTTGACCCATTCCGGCCGCGTGAGTTCTGCCTCTTCCTTGCCCCCCCGGTTGAGTATGTGGACAAACCCCGATGAGAAAGCCACTGCCAGACGCTCAGGCTCGACGCCGGCCGGGGTCCACGATGCGTGAGTGGCTCGAATGACGGGGGCTCCGCGAGCTGGGCCGAGTGCAGAAGAAGCTGGACAAAGAGATCAGTCTTGTTTTAAAGTGTGCAGATGAATTATAGGTTGCCCTGTTGCTTGCCTACGAGCTGCAAATTGTTCGGACCGCTGCAGATGAGTGTTTGTAAGTTGGGGGTCTCTTTCTTTGAAGTTGTGCACAGGTGGTGGTATGGAATCAAAGCTGTCTGAAGAGTCACCTTCACGATGAGAAGAATGTGACCCAAAATCGGACATCTGCATGTCATGGCAGCTTTTGTCTCTGCTTGTCTCTACTGATCACTAGGAGGCTTAGAAAGTAATTGACCACTCCTCCTTTCTTATAGTATGTTTCTAATCTGCCAATTGAAGTCAAAGGTGGCTGATATTCAGTCAAGCACAAATACACAACCACCACCATGACGAACATACCTTGGAAGCTGCCCTGCGATCTCTCAAAGTTGTCCTCCTCAGTAAAGATGGATGCGGTTGCATCACGGACAAGCGCAACCGCTGTCCCCGATGATGATTGGATGGGCCACCATATAGTTTGTGACTCCTGCACGTTGAAGAAGAGAAAAGGAACTTGCAGAACCTGAAAGTTTTCCCAACGTGAAAAGAATGTCGAAGGAAACAGCTTGTGATTGTCACTTCAAGATGTGCGTGGTGCTGGTGCTGAACGGCCAGCTTTGGCTGTCTTACAAGTGGATTATAGCTGCAGCAACTAGCAGCCATCACGTGATCCAATTTTTGAGACAGGGCTTTTTAGTATCGAGCGTGGCCAGGACCAGTCATTTGCGCGTTTTGCATTGCATGCTCCATGTAAGCCCCCATCACATGAGGGGCGGTTCTCAAGACCGGTCCAACACATAACCTCTTACAGAACAATCCTTACCTCACCACCGTCTTGAGCAAGCTCTGTGTGCTCAAATATTTCGTATAGAAGACGCGCGTCAGCAGCCATTCCTGGAATCTGGGGCTGCACAAGGGGCTGCTCTACCTATTAATATTGTACTACATTGGTTTCAAGGGCGGCCTGGCCTTGAAAACAAAGGAAGCTAGAGTGTGGAGCCGGGGGCATCCGCCACCTTTGAACTTCGTGCCTTCGCAAGGCACCACGTTTGAATATTTCACTGTGAGTTTGAGCAATTTTCTCGTGCTGAGTTTTTCCGCTGTCCGAGGCAGGCACGCGGAGGCCCGCTTACGCTAGATTCTGAAAGCCCGTGATGCTTGACACTGCTTGCACTTCTGCCATGAGACAATGTAGGTAGGTACCTCTGCTGCATGCAGAACTCTACTAGCGCATGAGCTAGGGAGGCAGTTGAGGCAATCCAGCAAGCTTCTGCATTTCAGGACCATGGCTCCCGGTTATCTAGGCAACTTGTTGTTCTACATATTCTGATTTGTGAAGTAGCACCCTCACTTGGGCGGTCGAACGGCGGCCCTCCTTGTCTGCAGGCATGGGGGTACTACCAGTTGTCAACTTTGTTTTCATGCGGTATGGCAGGGAGGTCGAACGCCGGAGGATAGCTGTTGCCCCAAGCACCACCCTTGGGAGCCTGAAGGTACAGTGGGCGAATAGAGCCCCGCAGAAGTATCCTGCAGGACTCAGTTGTTATTATGTGAACGTTGAATTGCCAGATGAGTGGCATCCTGCAGCTGGGGAAACGTACACTGTCATTGCTGCAGATAGGAGCGATGCGCTGAGAAGAGTCGCTGAGGACGCATCGCAGATTCACCACAAAATCATCAATGCTGGCAGAAAGGATGGGGAAGACGGAGTGTCTGGCCTCCATGGTTGGCAAGTGCTTTATGCTCCGCAAGGGTTCAATCAGGACGGCCGCTTTCAAAAGGCTGGAGAAGCCAATGCTTATTGGGTGCTCCATAGGGAGTCGTTTGATGCTCTTGAGAGCGAGGTCCAGGGACTCCTCTTCGATTCACGTCCTTCTAGGAGCTCTTTCCTGTTGTGCGGCCCCATCGGCAAGAGTCACTGGGTCCTGGCATTTGTTAACAGCCTCATTAGAAGAGCTCATGACCGGTTGGTGGAGAACGAACAGCTGAAACGGGGGAGCGAACCTGCTGGAAAAACAGGACGAGAAGTCCGCTTTCGAGTAGTTCCGGTCCTGGACTGTCGAGAACTGCAGCACAACTTCACGCTGGCACTTGTAAGGGGGTTGTCCATAGCTTTTGGAGATGATCAGCAAGCACTTGATGAGATCTGCCAACTAGAGACTGCAAAGCAGTTCCGAAGCTTTGTGGCTTGTCAGCCAGCAAGGGTGCTCTTTGTGCTCGACCAGTACGAGTGTGTCCTCGAACCGGGCAACGACACTCTGAAAGGATAAGTGGAGACGCTCTTGTTTGATCAGAGGTCTTTGCTCGTTGCTAGTGCTAGCAGTATGGCAGTGAGAAAGTTGGTTTCAGCTTCTCACAAGTACCACAAGTGGGTCCAGCTCGACCCCGCTCTCACAAAGGTAAGAATTACCCATTACTAAATCCCAATTACCCTTGACTAAATCCCAAACAACAATCTTGAAAACTTGCATTACGTTCTTCTCTGGGCGGCCTTCATCTGGTGGTGGGATTGATCCACCAACAATTCCCCTCCTGACTCGATCTATTGTGTCTCGTTTGCAACCAATCAAGGGGCAACGGAGTACAGATTTTGTCGGCAATCATTCGCGCGAGATGCTTTACCACTATCTTTGTCACAGACACGCTCTCATCAACTGTCTTTAGAGATCTGGCTGCTGTCTTGGTGGCCTGCGGCTGCTTCCATGACCGTTGACTCGAAAAGTGTCTGACGTTTACGACTGCGTTCAGCACAAGATGCTTGGCGCCACCAAGTTGCCCCTCATGTTTTGCCTAATCATGTGGGATAAGGACACCCTTCTGACTGCTCCAACTGACCGCAACTTATCCATTTGCAGAAGGACCTGTTTGCTTGGAACCTGGTGTTTGGGACGAAGGCCGTGCTAACCGAGGAGCGATACCGGGACTGGCTGGAAATCCTGGACAGGAACCCGCTTCTGCTACATGCATGGTACACGACATGCAGGGAGGCAGGGGTACCCGTGCGGAGTATCGAGGGTAAAAGTGAGGAGGAGGCGGCTGAAATATTGGAACAGGTCAGTCATGAAGGATGTCGTTACATAAGCAGTGGCAATTGTTGATGATATGCTTTTGCCCTTGTAATGATTGGTAGATCTTGAAAAAGGTTTTTGAAAGGAGAATCTTTGAGCGTCTGGCATGCCACTGTGAACCAGTCACAGCCCTGCGCCCTTCACTTTTCTATCCATGAACGACGGATTGTTCCAGCATTTCTACAGGTCTGCTAATCCGGGGCCGTTCAGAAGTTCCAACGCTTCTGATTGTTTGATGGGCTGGTCTATCTTGACGCTGTCCATCGTCTGATTCAGGCTTCGCGAGCAGCAAGGGCGGAGGTGGATGTCGAGGGTTCGGCGGGGGAAGTCTCTACAGGGATTGAATGCGGTGGATGAGATAGAAAAAACGGGGCCGAGCAGGCGTTCAAGAACCAGACTAACTCTTCGAGAAAGCGGCAGCGCTATGAAAAGGGTTTGGTAGAAGATTACGGGGAATGGTCTGCTGAGGGGCGGAAGCCAGAGGCATGGCAACCAGGCCTTGGCCAATCGAAGCCTATCAGGGAGCCACGAGAGTTATCTGGTGAAGCAGCCTCAGGGGGAGGGGACGAGGGGATGTCTCGATGGCCTTCCTTTGAGGATCTGCATGCAAGGTTCCTTCAGCATGAAAACGTGCAACAAATATATGCCGGTTTCCAGAGAAGCTATGCAGAGGCAAAGAGCGAAGGAGAATTCTCGGTTAAAACGTGGAAGACGACGCACCTGGACCTACTGATGAGCGGCGAAAACTTTCAAAGGGTCAGTGGCATCGGCCGCATCTGTGGTCGGCACTTTGAGCTTGATAGGTCCGGGTTTCGAGCCAGACCTACGAGCACTTTGGTGAGGAAGTTCTTGGCGCGATTCCTAGAGCAAATAGCAGAGAGCGGGGACGACACTTCTGACTGAGTCCGACATTGTTAGCTTTTGGATTAGTCAAAATCAAATACCTGGGCCCGTGGCGGTGACCGGTGCAAGATCGAGATCATCTTGCTTCGACTTTTGTTTTATGCGATGTGGGTTTGGGCCAACCTCTGAAAGGTTTCCAGCACTGGCAACAAGCATACCTTGTAATCCATTTTGTGGAAAGGTTTCGACAAGCGGTGCGCGTGTTTGAGGGGACAACGACGTACATGGAGCTTCGTATATGTATATCCATGGCATCATCTCTCCGCGAGGCTCGCGGCTGCGCCATGGGCCGCATATCATATATGACTGCTACTAGCAGGCATGCAAAGAGCTGACGGTCACTATGATAAGATGAGGTGCTTTCAGATATCAGGTTTTGCACGGCCCGCGTGCAGCCGTCATTCGAGTTTATACGTCTCAATGCATGTGCTAATATATATACAAACCAGGCGCCATGAAAGTCCAAGAGTCATGCATGATCCCAGATGAAGCGCTTAATCCCGGCAGACGTGCCCCGCCCAACTCAACTTTTATATAGCTAACTAGAGTGCATGACAGCGAGCATGTCACTGATACTAGACGATCCGGCAGAATGATGACGGTGGTCACTACAATATAAATCGCCGGGCCGGCGGTATGGCCCAACAGCCTGTCAAGCATGCCCGTTCTCGCGCCACCACCTTGAGTCTAGTATAAGATTTAAGACTTCCGACGGTGGGCCCGAGTCAAAATCTTACAATACCCTTCTAGTGTTTGTCGATCCTGCCCTGCCGCCGCATCCTTCAATGCAACATGGGGTTATGAAGGATCACGACCAATCGATTGACGTTGCCGTCATAAGCTTATTGCAGTTTCGATTCTCAGAGCGAGTCTGTAAGACCTGGTGAATTCCTCCATATTCTCGACGATCGGACGACAACTAGCGCTATATATACCTTCCGACCGTATGAGGCTGTAGAAGTCTTGAGAATGTTCCCAGTGCGTTCAAACGACCGCTTCCTGCACTGGCCAGCCTCCAAATCTAAAAACTTTCTTGCGGCATATACAAGATTCGTTTTTGCGCATTATGCGTGCTTGAATTACAACATCTTTGCCCGCATTCATTTGTGGACAACACAATTGGTCTGTTCAACCCAAAAGCACAGGAATCAACCAGTTGCCTAAGAAAACTACGTGTTGAGGTCGTCGACTGCTTCCCCTGCAACAGCAAGCGACGCGTTACCGGTCAGTATGATGCCTGGCTACTAACTTGCCATTGACATATCAAGCGGGCCCGACACTATCTCGCGTGAATCAAACCAGTGGGGCATTGAGGCTTTCAACGACAGCTTTCGAATATGGTGACCGAGGATTGTTAGGGGGAACGCCGTCAAACCATAAGCTTTGAGCTCCGACCAGACGCCTGCCGTACCCGCAAATCTGTAGCGACGCCGCTCCCTGCCAAATGCAAAGAAACTTCGCAAACCCCTCTCGGATGTTTATACCGTGATTGCCATCTTACTTCCTCCCGTTCCCCCTCAGTTTGACCAACAAGGCCACAAATGCAGACCTCTTCTGCCGACTCACCATGTAGTCTCTTGACGAAGCGCGCAAACTCCTTGAAGTTTTGCTCTTCCATGAGCGTGGGGTTCAACCGCAGGTACGTGAACGCGGCGAGGCAGCGGCCGTCGGGGTCTTTGCGGGGCTTGGCGTTTTCTAGGATCTTGTTGTAACCCTGCCGGTCGTAGCACGGGAGCGCATTCTCACTGGCCACGGGAATGCCCGCGTCCCAGGCAGAGTTCAGCACCTGCGGAAGGTGGGAACCGCCGCTTGTAATGTGCAAGATTACAGGTGGAGAAGGTAAGACCGAGAGGGACGGGAGTTAGGCAAAGGTAAAACAGAAAAAGGTTGGATGAGGATTAGATGAATCCATCTCGTGCTCCCACCATTGCCCCACAAAGCGAAGGGAAAACCCTTCAAATTTGATTCAGGAAACCTAATTCCAGCGAACTCCCTCGGTACGGTGCTCGTCCCCTTTTTCCGATTCCCGGAACGCCTGGCCTCCAGAATCGGCTCTCCTCCTTCGTTCAAAATAACCTCTGCAAAGCACCGGAGACCTCATTCCCACCTCATTTCCTCCGGTCATTCTCGCTCCTCACCTGCCAGACGAGGCCCTCCGGGTCCGCCATCGCCTCCGGGAACGAGTCCTCCTGCGCGGTCGTGATGAGCTCGACGCACGTGAAGTTGAAGGCCGCGTTGTGGCGCGCGAGCATGTCCGCGATGGGCGCGTACCCGTCGCGGTTGTGCGGGTTGTAGAAGCCCGCGCACAGCTCCGCCGCGTGGGAGGCCGTCTTGTACCACCAATGGATGCCCGACACCTGGCAGCGGGTTGCAATATCGTTTCTGTGTACTGTTACGCTTTGGTAGAATATTGGTCGCACAACTTCGCTGCGTGGAAGGCCGTCTTGTATCACCAATGGATGCCGGACACCTGGCAGCGGGTAGCAATACTTTTTCTGTGAAGTGCTACGCTTCCGCGCTTTTCATGTTTTGTTTTTAGAACACAGCCTCGCCTTAAGAGACCGTCTCATCCCACCAGCAAATGCCCGACACTTGACAGCAATCTGTTATTCCGTCTTGCATTACTTTCGAACTTTAACCTCGTCTTTTCCTGTGTTTCAAGCTTAAGCTAAGGAAAAGACTGTCGTGGATCACCAGTAAATGCCCGATACCTGGCACCAGGCTTTCACTATGTTTCAGCGAAGCCCCATCCCTCGGGACATCAAATCATGTCCGCGAGCCGTAGCATGCTCGATGAGCTGCTGCAAGATCAGCTTCTGGAGAACCACCGGAAACTCTGAATCCGTCAAGCCCTGAACTCTAAGGAGATCCCGAGAAGCAAAAGCGCAAGACGGCGGTTTTGCGCACCTTGGCTGCGATCTTCGTCCCCTCGAAGACCATGTCGGCGAGGTGCAGCACGCGGTCCCCGTGCTCGATCAGCTGCTGCGAGTACCACTTGAGGAACCAACGGCCGTAGTAGCTGTCGAAGTTGCCGCCGTCGCGGAAGAAGCCCGTGTCCTGGGGCTGGCTGTTGTACTCACCTGCGGGAATGTGCGGACTTGGACTCTTCGGTTATGATAACAACGACAACCGGAAAAAAGTTTTCTGCTTTGCTGGCAGAAGACGTAGATGACACAATCTGTAGATGACACAATCTGGTGGCGATAGGGAGTAATCGAGTACTAGTCAGGGTCCTTAGAAAAAGCCCGTGTCCTGTTGAGAGCTATGCCAAAGACACATTCCGATGATCAGAGTTTCGAAGAACGCATCACCGGGAGAATGACCGTAGGAAGTGTTCCCCGGTTGTGGATTCGGGTCCAGAATCTGCTAATTCTGGGTAGGGCTTAATCTTTTCTTCACTTCCTCAAAGGAGGAGGCAAAGGTAAGAAGCAAACGGACAATTGGGTCTCCGACCGGACATGGGTTGGAAAAGCACGTACCCGCATCCTCCGGCCCGTGCGCCCAGTCCGCGTGGTTCCGCGCCTCGGCCGCCTTGGTCAGCTTCGCCATCATGTACTTATCGTAGCACTGCACAGAGGGTGGTTCGCATAAGCGTCAATTATTTAGAGGTGTTTGCTGGCATCAATGGCAAACCCTGACGCTGGCTGTGGAAACGCTCGGCGTAAGAATGCTCCGTCTACTTGGAACAACGGGCCACAGTCCGCTTTCGAATTGTTCCATTTTCCCCGCATCCGGTTCCGAGAAGACCACTGCCGCGAAGTTTCATACCCAACTCTGATGCTTTTCGACACCTTACTACCCTTGCAACGACAAAAAAGGTCCGAACAGCCGAGCGGAAAAAGATTAGGTTTATCAAGCCAAATATCGGCTCTAAGCTGCTCCCTCCAATCCAAGGTTCCTCAACCAGATCAGGCTTCTCTTGTTTTCGCACCCGGCATTACCATCCCATGATCCAGCCGTGCCACCCCAGGTAGCTGGATTTCGTACGACTTTTTTTGCACACGAATGACGGGCCTTGAAGACCTTTTTGAAAATAGAAAATCTGTGTCATTGTCTGTGGCCTTCCATTTCCCCTCACTACGGAATTAGCGTGCTTTAGTCCACGCACCTGGAACTCACCGATTCCCGAGTGCTTCCAGCCATGCCCCTCCAGGTAGCTAGACTATTTCACGACTTTTCATGCACACCAATAACGGGCCTCAAAGACCTTTTTGAAAGTCAGAAAGTCTGTATACTGTCTGGCGACTTCCAGTTTCCTGTTACGTGGTTAGCGCGTATATATCACGCACCTGGAACTCGCCAATCCCCGGGTACTTCCAGCCATGCCGCTCCGGGTAGCTAGGGTACCGCAGCTCCCCGCACGCGCCGAGGCCGACCTCGACTTCCGTGATGACGCCCTTTGAGAAGTACTCATCCATAGCGGACCGGAAGCTCCGCATGAAGTCGTAGTATACCTGTCCAGAAACAGGGTGAAAGGGCTTCAAAATTCTGGCGAAAAGGGATTTTACCATTACTTGAAAAAATGAACCTCTCTGGTACAGAATCTGGAGGATTCCAGGCCGTTTTTGGAGAAAGATGTAGGGGCTTCGAGTGTCCCCTTCTGGCATTGTTGGCTCTGGGTGAAGAGCAATCGTTGCAAACCGAAGTAGCGAAAGTAAACATGGAGACGGAAGAGGTCCAAAAGACTGACATCTCGTGATACGTATGTTTGATAGCGCCGACGAGTGTTGAAGCGGTGTCGAATTGCGCAAAAAGATTCTGGTACAGATGGCCAAATGAGTGTGTGCTCAGCGGCTTTATCTACTTCTGTAAGCCACCCGATGCAGCAATCCTATGTGAAGCTTAGGGCAAGAGGGAGTCCTTCCATGTCTTATAGAGTCGCCCACATCTTCTCATCACCCCTCTCGAGAGGACTGTCGAAGAGCTGCAAACCTTCCGATATCAGTAATGCAAGACCGCGTAAATTTAAGCTCAATGGCTTACCTCCAAACCCGTCCTGCCCTTAAGCACGCGCTCTTTGTCCACTCCCCACGAGAGGCACTCGGGGTTCCGCTCGCCCTTGCGGTTGGTGAAAAAGATGTCAGGGTTCTGCTTGGCGATCTCATGCACCCAGGGGGGGATGGGGATGTCCGTGTCGTCACCCACGTTGCCACCGCACTGGTGGAACGACATCACCACCTGGAGAACCGCAGGGTTTTAGGCTGTAAGGAATTTGCACGCGGGTTTACGATGTTGACCTTATACTGGTAGAAGGGAAACGACCAACTGTATAGGTCTTGGTAGGATGTTTGATCTAGGCTGGGAAGTGTAGGGTCTCAGCTCAAGTAGAGGTGTCCAAGGCCCTGAACCTAACGGCCTTGGTCACATCATGGGGGTTTGGGGGCTGGGGGTAAAAATTCAATGGCAAATGAAGACGGATGCTTCGCAGAGAAGTTCCGCCCCTAACATGTTCTTCAGAAAGTGGACAGGCCTTGAAAATATTGGATTCCTAGCATTGCGACTGGGGGCCATCCTTCAAGATCAAAAAGCGCCAGACCAACCTCGTCACTGCTCAGATCAATAAGTAGTCTGGGAACCAATTATAGCGGCCCCACCTGGAGCTCAAGTTCCGCTGATACAGTTCCTGGTATTAGTCCTAGTGCATCCTTTCCAATCAGGAAAAGGTGGACAAACCTCATCATGCTGCTCCAACCATGAACCAGAATGGGGACCAAGTATAGCGGCCTCACATGGAGTCTGATTCCCATGTCCGAGACCCGCTTGAACATTTTCTGGTAGGCGCGGCGGTCCTACTGGCCAAAATTCTTGAACGTCTGGTTTTTCCGGGCACTAGGGGCATCCCTCCAACCTTGAATTTCAAAAGAAAGCCGGACAGGTCTCAGTACACTGATCAGACTAAACATAGGAGCTAACCCCACCTGAAGCTTGAGTCCCGCGCCTGAGACCCGCTTGAACAGCTCCTGGTAGCCGCGCCAATCATACTGGCCGGGCCCCTCACGCTCGACGAGGCCCCACCAAACATCGCACATGACTCCGTCCACTCCCACCGACTTCAGGGCTGCAAAGTCCTTCTCGAGCTGCTCCGGGTTGTGCAGCTGGTTGCTCTCGTCGACAGTGTTGAGCTGCAAATGTGAACATCACTAAACATGTTGTACAATGCAAGTATTCACGATGCATTGGGTCACCACCGACTTCAGGGCGGTGAGTCATTCTCAAGCTGCTCCAAGTTGTGCAGCCGCTTGCTCTGATCCACGGTGTTGAGCAGTGGAAGCGATGAAGCAGTGAACATGTTCAGAAGTGTTTGCCATAGGTTGGACCCCTTGCACGGTAGATCTCTGCATCTTTCTTTATGCACAGAAAATGGATTACTTGCACGGAGAGTATCGGGATCTTTCTTGTTGGGGAAATATTGGAAAAGTCAACCGAAGTGATACCGTAAGGGGAGGAATTGTGTTCCCACTCTACATGTGTCAACCGCTGTCTCTGGTGAAACAGCGACACTGAGAGTAATTTCCATTTGTGGATACCTTAACATGTATGTGAGGATGAAAGGCTCAGCCGTCTCCTTTCCAAGCGATCCAGACTGAGAAGGTCAGAAAAATGTGCTTGAGAGGACTAGGTTTAATTCCCAATGCAATAGACAATGAGTCTTTTTGTGGGAATAGTGGAGAACATTCCATTCAGCTCGCAATAAGGCAGTCTTGGTGATTTTGTCTTGTGCTGCTAGCGTGGCCGGGAATATTCTTGCCACCTGATGCTGGGCTTCAGAATGCATCTCAATGCCACAAGCACCATCGCATCTTAAAATGTAAGGAGATGCACCTCTTGAAAACTGATTAAAATTATTTGCCAAAGTGAGGGGAGATCAGCACCGCGCGAGAGGACTGAGTATCGGACTTACTGGAAGCATGACGTAGATGGGGACGTACTCTGAGCCAGCAAAACACCGCTCCTCAATCTGCTCGCCCTCAGCCTGCACAGGAATCTCTATGAAAGTGAGTCTTGTGTGTGCATCTGATTTCTGAAGAAAAGGGACAGGGAGCTATATGAAAGATCATTCGTCGCTTTAGGGTCAGTCTCTGTAGCTTCAATTGATGGTCAGGTGTTTCCTTGGATGGCCTCAGAAGAAGGACCATGATGACAGGCTTGACATACAGAAGACTATATTCGGACGGCTACATCTCACTGGCGCAAAGATTGCTGACAGAAATGCTGGGTAATACAGGTATGCTATAGTTGTGCCGGCTTCCAGATGTGATGGTTTGTGTAAACTGAGAGCAGGCTTCGTCATTGTAAGGCCGTCTTCTTGATCTTAGTGTGTCGCAATGTGTTGAGAGAAAGAGAGCCTGGAATGGAGGCTCTAAAATGGAGGGGCCCAAGAACCCAAGGATGCCTCAAACAGGTTCCCCTCTCAACCTGTTCCAAGGGGCGCGTCATTCTGGCCACCATCATCAGAACAACTTTGACATCAGCAACTGGCCCTTTGACCATTTTGTGACTACTTTCATGACGGTGTCTCGCAGCATTTTCGTTCAATCTTGAGGTCATCAATGATCTATGACGTTTTGTAGGCTCAGGATAATATCCAATGCTCTTCTTGGATGACCAGATCTTGGACTCACCTTCCCATTCTGATCTTTGGAGGCGGTGACCGCTTCGACCGCCTGCAATGTCTCCGGTGCAATCCCAACATGTGCCTGCTGCCCTCTGTTTTGCACAGGCTCTGACATCCTTGAGATGCGGCTCTGATCCACCGGAGCCACTTTCCAGCCACTTCTCTCAAGAGCTGTCTGGACTTCAAACCTGCTTTGACTGGAAGATCTTGCAGGGACGGCTTGAGCAACACGTTTGCAGGCGACGTCTGGAAGGGCTCCCACGCTCTGGAAAAGTGCCGCGCAGCTCGCGTTGCTCGTGAGCACAGCAGCCCTTGATGCCATAGCGGACTCCCTTCAAGAAGATGGCGCTCGTGAAAGCCTTGGAAAGATCCTGTGAAGAAAAGCAAGGAGCAAAGCTGTTTTGGAGCTGATCCAAAGACTTTGGCCTGTGCAAAATGAGGGGCAAAATGAGGTGCACACGGCAGGGGAGATTCGGAATCAGGGCAACGTAGCAGAGACCGCCAGGTGTCCACCAGAATACGGCAGACGCTTCTTTGAGTGCCATTTGTCGTTCTCGTAGTGGCGTGAAGACATATGGTCATTGAGACTCTACAAGCCGTCGATTGTATTGCTCTGCAAGGTGTGCGTATCGCATCGCACGGTGCAGATGCTGGGTGGCGTTCGCAAACAAAACCCACCGGTTACGCGCGTTGTTTAACCTGAAGCGAACTTTGGCCGCCTTTTTCGACTTTGAAATTCTCAGCCATCATCTTTTCTCAGATTGCCTGGGCGGCGCCTGTCAGTGTCAGTGTAAGTAGTCCATCTTTGTCACACATCCAGCGTTGCTGCAGCAGATTGCAGCAGCATTGCGGCATTTCAATTGCGCAGCACGAGCAAGTCACATAGGCAGCATTGCATATTTGCAGGGTGTTTGTGTCTTGTGCGATCGCCAGTTTTCTTTGTCTGTTGCACTCCAATCACAAGATGCTTGTTCATCTATCGGTTTGGTTTCTGCGGAGCGCGGCACTTGTGACCGCCATTCCCCTAATGCTGAGGGGGGTGGTTCGCTTATGGCATCAGGGGATGGATCTCTTAACCATCTGGAGGACGGCAGGGCCCGCCCTGGCCTCTCACATTAGGGTTTCACGAAATTAGGGTTTGAACAAGATCCTGCTCACCAACAATCCAAAGAAGCAATTTCACAACGGCATCAGTGGCTCAAGCAAGCTATCCTTACGTACTCAAGCAGCGAGTGGGTGATCAGAGGCGGAAGCCTTGAGAGAACGAAATCATGCAATCAAGTAGGGAGGGCACATGATGATCATTCTTTAGAGAGAGTAACCATCCTAGCAATGGCAGAACCGCGCCTCAGTGAGAGTGGGGCCCCCATCCCCCAGGAGAAGCCCGCCACTCCGGGCCTCTCTCGACTCAGCACCTCTCGTTCCCCGCCCCCAGACAACCCCACGTCAGAGGCTTCTAGAAAAGCCACCCCCACGCCACCACCTGGAACCGCCCCAGGCACTCAGAGCAACCCCTTCTCACGCCTCAGGTCTCTCTCCCGGCGGCCGTCCACCCAGCCAGGCCCTGCCGGGGGCGACGCAGACGAATTAGCAGGGAGCAATGGGGCGGCCGAGCGGGAAACAAGGCCCCAGCGGCCATTTATCGTGCCCCAGCTGACAGAGCTGTGCGTGAACACGATTTCGGCCAGCTTTGAGCAGCGACCGACGTTTGGGAAGATGCCGGACAAGTTTGTGAAAGCCGTGACGAAGCGGGTGGCGCTGGATCTGCCGCTGGAAGTGGCGGGCCAGGTGAGGGCTGTGAGCTGAGATAAACGATGATCGCTCGAGGATTGAGCTGGTCACTAGATGATCAAAGAGCATACGGCAGAATATGCCAGCTGACTCTCAATTTTCTTTCACCATTCCGTTCACTGTCGAAGTGTTATTGTGAGCTGCAGGGTTGTTATGAAAGGGAGATGAGGACGAGCAAGTTTGATCATAATGAAGGACTCGGGGTTGCTAGACGTCGAGGTCGATCAGGACCATCAGGATCCTGATGTATGCCAGAGTAACGAGACCTTGCTCTGCACCTTTTTGATTGCTGATCATCGAACCCAGCTCAGTCCCGAATAAAAACTTACAGAAGCCACCAGGAAAGTCCACAATAAAGCTGTCTTATCAATAGAGGGTGGCTTACAACTTAGCATAGGGTCAACATGTTAGCTTATCTTTCATATCTGCCGCAGGCCAATAACGAACAGCTTGCTTCTACCAATTATTGAGCTTTCATTCCCTCCACCACATCAACTTGCATATACGATGTTCAATCAGTTGCTTGAACAGGCGCCATGATCCATGCCGGTTTGCGCAGCGAATGCAGAGAATCTGTCTTCGGCCGAGCAATTGTCACTCAGCTCGTTTATGGTTGAGCCTGATTGTTCCTTTTACGTAAGTGGAACACGGAACAGACTTTGAGGATCCAGATAGACCTTCATCCTGTCGATCTCTCCAGCTGATCGAGGATGAGGACTACTGGCGCAGGCGCACTGCGCTGCGGTGGCGCAACTGCGACGTGAGTGTCCTGGGAAAGACGTGGAAGCAGCTCTATATGGAGCGGAACCTAGAAGCTGCCCTCGAAAGGTGAGGCTCTGTTTATTCACCCTTTTTTGGACACTTTGTCTTACTGTGCCGTTTGTAGCGAATGCTAGTTCGGCTCGGCGATGCACCTAGCGGTGAGCTGCTTCAATTGCGGGCCAGGTGGGTATCAGAAACCGAGCCCGTAGGAACGCAAGCAGAACGGGAAGATTTCCAGCTGCTTTCCTTCCGAGGTCGTGCAAAACAGTGTTGAGATTCGAAGCCGCACCTTAAACTGAGGACTGTCTACGTCAAGCGTCTGCTTTTCCTAAACGGGGGTATTTTTGAGCTTCCCTTCTACTCTGGGTGCACCAGGACTCGAGCGTTAGTGGGCAGGGTAATCTGCTTGGAGCAGCTGACCATCTTGAGCCCGGACCTGGCATCGAAGCAGCTCGGAAGCCTGCTTTAGGCTGACAGAAAATGAGCCCGGAATGACTTTCGAACCAGCTTCGAAGCCTGCTGAAAGGAACCATGATCGATTCGAGCTTGCTCGTTCTTTGATGTTGTGCTGATGCAAAAGATCGATGTTGCGCGCTTCGACCGGAATTTCTTCCAAATACCGCAAAGAATCCTGACCCTCATTCTTCCAGACGGTCGCCCTCTTCCAAATCGCTAACCGTTATCTCAACAAGCCTCGCTTCGTAGCATCCGCTGCTTTCGTGAACATAGAGGAATGCACATGTTTCGAGAACATCATCCAGCCTCCTTGTAACGCCAAAGACTATTCGCCGCCGTTCCGGTTCGACTATCCGTTCCGCTTTGCAGTTACGACCCCGCCGTGACGGAACTGGAGTCCCTGCGGCAACTCGTCGCATTTGCGGCGCCCTTTGTGCAACAGCTGGTCATCAAGCAGCTGCCGTCGCACCTGGACCTGGGCATTCTTTTCGAGGGGTTCCTCGGAAAGTGAGCTCGTTTCACTGCTGATTCTTGTCTGGTAAAAAGAAGAGTTAGCCATGTTCTTTCCCTCGGAGATTGAAAAGCTCTCGCCATATGTCCGCTGTAGAGGACACATTGGAGCTTCGCCAACCGAGGCTCCGCTTGGATCGGGGTTCTCGGAAAGACAGTCCTTTCCTCCTCACAGCAAACAGAACTCGTCCTCCCAATGCAGCGTTCTCCAGTCGCTGTCCGTTTCATACGGCCTCCGCAATGTGGGCATGGACTACACGAGCGACCTATTCGGCATGAAGCTGGCCGACTGCCGCGCGCTCGCGGCCGCGCTCCCGCGCGCGCGCGCGCTCACCGCCCTGGCGCTCGCGAACGACGTCCTGGACGACGACAAGGTCAAGGCGCTCGCGGCCGGGCTGGCCGACAACCGGACGGTTACCAAGCTTGACCTGAGCCATAACAAGGTGGGTTCGCGACAGTAGCTGGTCAGGCGAAGTAACTGCGTCTAGTTTGCGGGAAAAACAGCGGTGAGACCCAACTCTGCAGAAGTCAGATGTTTCTGCTATGAAATCACGGTTTGCAACGAGAAGACAGAAGAGCACTAAATTTGGACTCTGTGTAACCCGGAAAAAGAATGAGGTTTCTCGACGATCGTTTCGGCCTAAATGGAGATGCCGGCTTTTGCAGGGCTGCACTCCTTTCAAGGAGATTTTGGATTAAGCAATTGCTTATTGTAGGCTTTCCAGATAGAACTTTCAACATCGTAATGTTGCTCGCTATTTGGAAAGTTCATCTTCTTCGAGATCTGGCTCTTGACTTACAGACAAGGGCTGTTGGTTGCTGAGACGGACAATCCCGCGTAACCCCTCGTCCTTGAGATCGACGGTCCGCAGAATTCGAAGGATACGGGAATATCTACTGCTCTGACGTCCCTCATCATGGCAATCTGCAGATTGGGGACCGAGGGGCGCGCGCCCTCGCGAAGGCGCTCGATGAGAAGAGCGTCCTGACCACGCTCAACCTTTGCGACAACAAAGTGGGAGCGGAGGGTGAGACCCCGACCGACATACTGAGAATGTAGAAGCACATGATTTGACATTATTTCCTCACAAGTCTCGACGGACTTTAGATTTTCAGCGGATACTGAAGCTTCAAGCCGCTGAAGAGCAAGCGAACTAAGACCAATTCCCATCCTACCCTTATCTGCGCACTCAGTGTCGGCGATTAGGCTCTGCCTTGTCACTCTTTACGTTGTCACTTTTTGCGTACACCAGTTGCCTGCAAGTCTCGAACTCTGTATAACTGCTTAAGTGTCCTGACCGGGTGAAGATTGTCCCCGCTCCAGGAGGCAAGGCGCTCGCGCGCGTGCTCCAGACCAGCCCCTCGCTGACGTCACTCAACCTTCGGCTGAACAGCCTGGGCGACGAAGGTGGCGCGCACATCGGGCAGGCGCTCGCCGAAAACAGCACACTGAAAGTGAGGATCCTGTCTTCTTCGAGACGTTTGCTTGAGACTTTCAGAACTCACTTCTGAACATTCTTGCAAAATTGTTTCCAGAAAAGATGGACGTAGGCAATGCTCTTGCAGAGAGTTCAGCTTTGTGTAGATGCTTGGTCGGAAGTCTGTCTAACCTAGCTGTGGGACCTTGAAAACGAGAAGGCTTCTATCAGAGCGGACGGATGAGCTGCGCATCTGCAGCTTTGGCGGATGACAGTGACGACTGACTCGACTAACGTTTGGGAGGGAGTGCGCAGGCTCACGAATTTGACTCTAGGGCGTGTTGAGAAGCGCTCGCTTGAATTCACATGCTAAAACTCGGATGGCCACAGATGATTGCCACCCGTCATCTCAATGCTCAGTAGAATCTCACGAATGCGAGAGATGCGACTTGCAAAGATTTGCTTTTCAAAGATTCTCACGACCTCTGCCGTCCGCTCGCTTCTGTGCCTTTTTTGTCAACCGCAACGTCATCGCCGTTGAGCATGACTGGTCAGTGCTCCTAACAGCCCGCCAATTGGCCCCCGAAAACCTCTCGACAAGGCCTAGTAGTCGGTCTTATGAAAGTAACACGAATGTTGCTCAAAGTTGTCCCCTTTTTCCTCGAACAGGCCTTGCATCTGGGCAGCAACTTTTTGGGCCGTGGAGCAATTGCCGCCATAGCCGACGCCCTCCAGACGAACAAGGCCCTCCCGCTGGCGTCATTGGACGTCACGTGTAACCCGGACATTGGCGTGGAAGGAGGGCAGCTCTTGAGAGAAGCGCTGGTGAGACCACGTGTCATCTTTCGGTTGGACTGATGTTGCTTTCGCAAGCACGGTCTGAGTGGCTTCGTTGCAATGGGCAGATCTCAAGATGAGGCGAGGGAGTAAACCGACTTTTAAGTGCAGCGCCTCAGAGACACGAGCGTTCACATCTAACGATGCAGGCTCGTCATTGGTGATTGAGCATTGACGACGGAGCGAGATTGTGTGATGTCACCTGCGCAACGCATCTAGCAGCTGGTTTTGCGCGCTTCTATGCTTATTCGGGGCAACGAGCTTTTTGTTGCAGTCTCAATGTTGAAGCCGCCTTGAGGAGCAGTCTGATTGCATTTTTCCGTTTGAGCAGGAACAAGCCACGAGTGTAAAAGAGTGCGACGTCAGGCTATCGAACATGGGGGAGGACACAGAAGCCGCGATTGCGGCATATGTAGAGTCTAGATAGATCAATTCCGGTAGTAGAGATCATTTATGGTAGAACAAGTTTGGCGCGCAGCAGGCCCCTGTCTACGAAGCATTGGTTGGACATACAGGTAGACGTTAAGGCCAACGTACGGTTCTATAATGAGATAGGTTCATCCAAATAAGTGTGAAGGCTCTTTCCAAAAATTGCTTTGACCTCGCTTTGACCAACTGCTAGGACATGTGCAACAGGATTTACGAGCGGATAAACAAGCCAAACAATTGGACACTTTAGCTGAGCAAGATTGTAAGCTGTATGATAGACCGGGTAAACGGCAGACGTTGAACGGGGATCCTTTTCAGACAATGCACTTTCAGAGTCAATCCGATTGCAATCGAGTTTCATGACATTTTTCGTATCCCTGAATCCTGCTGGCCGGTGGAATTCTTAGACAAGTTATAACAGACTACGAATGTGTTTATTTGCAATGGAGCTTGTCCCGGGTGCAGCCCTACGAGTGCCTCATGCAAGGTAAACCACATGCATTATGCAGATTGATTGAGTGATGCACTCAGGTACGTACCGCGTTGACTGGTATCCGTCTTTGCTGGCAGTCTCATCATTACTCTCCAATGCACTGTACAGCCAACAATCATGATTCTCAGATTCTTGGAAAGGTAAAAACCTTGGACTCTGAACGGCTTGAAACCTTGGAGAGTTGGTAATTACGGAGGAAATTTCAAGTTTCAACTTCGGCAGATACGGAGATACGCTTAAACTCGCGAATCCACTAACTTGAAGGCAAATGCCACAAACACATGTGTCATAGCCTATAGATACGGTACATCATACACATGTGACAAGCTTGAATCGCTGTTTTCTTTGCGACGTCTCCATGGGGCCCAGATTCTCTCAGAATCTCTGTTTCTCTCTTTCTCTCTTTTCACTTGTTCCAGTTTCCTAGCTTTGCAGATGCCGAGCTCTCCAATTCTAAAATTTGGCTTTTTGAAATGATGCTCTTGAACAGCACAGCTTGCAAGGCGAGAGGTGGTCAGGCGTGCGGCGAAGCGTGAATGGTGGGGGAAGACTGAGTGATATTGAGTGAAAAAGCGGGCAGCATTGCTTCAGGGGCATCAACGAGAGAAGCAGGGGTAGGAGTAGGACTAGAAATCTATAAGCTGGAAAAACCCCCGCCGTAGAAGATCTTTTCCTGAGTTGTTAGTCACTAAGTCAGATGGACCCACCCAAGGTCTCGTTTGAAGCGCCTGGTGTTCGTTCCCAGACCCAGCGCAGTGTCACTGCAACAAATAGCGGGCTCAGCAGAACCCCGAGCGACCAGCTCCCAGAGCAAGCCAGGAGCTCAAGGGTGCAGTTCAGCGACTTATCCAAGCGTCTGCTGACTAAAGCGAGAAGGGGGGCGACCAGCTTTGTCTTTTCTGACCGCATGAACAGTGAGAAGCTGGATAGATATGGTTTGGGGCCGATAGCTTATGAGGAGCTGCCGGATGAGGAGGTCCTGGCTGCCCTGGCCGCAGAGCATGAGTTTAGGGTGCGCTACACATGCAAGGGCCTGGAGCTCTGCTGTTTTATGCTCTTCGGCCTCGTCTTCTTTGTCGCTGTGGCTTTGCAGGCAAGCATCTTCTCTCACTCCTACCAGTTCTTTTCATTTTCTTGCCCCGTCTTACTCTTGAGTAGAATAAAAAGAAAAAGCTGAAAAGCCCTTGTTTTTTCAGTGCACTATGCGGGTTGAGCTGGTGTTTGACAAGGACGTGCCACACTTCCTAGGCCCTGTCTTTTGTTGTAGCTTCTCTTGAAGCACCTGAAACTTTCAAGATCGGAAGGTTTACAATCGGCAAGCTGTCGTTTCATGTTCTTCATAACGTTCTCTTCTGCATGGAGTTACAGTGGCCCCTCTTTCTCCCCACGTCTCCCATCGTCCACAGACACACTGACTTTTGGCGTTGCAAGGTCCAAAGGTTTACATGTACCGTATCTCAGATCACCCTGCTAACCTGTCTCGCAAGCGTTGGTGGTGCACGTCATTGAGGTGGTTAAGACGTATAAGGAAAGCTTTTGGGATCCAGATTGACATTCCGAAAGTTGCGGAAAGTCCTCTCCCTTGCCTTGAGGGGGGAGGAAACGCGTTGATTGAAAGCTGGGGATTACATGGTTGGGGAGCGGTCACATCGATAGTCCTTTACGCAGAATCTGGTCTGGATTCTCCCAGTGATTTTTATTAGGAGGAGTACACTCAACTGTCAGATCAAGGGGGTTGCTAAGATGCAGCATTATGCTTGTACTTCTACTCTCTTATTTTTCCGAAACTTGTTTGGACCTGATGCATGCGGCCAGGAAACTTGGTTGCAGCTCCTTGCCCTCTGTGAGACTTATTGGAACGGTTCGTATTCAGAGCCTTAGCTTTCACTACAACCAGGTCAGTGTGTCAACAAATCTCTCGTTTGCAGTGAGCGTCTCCCCCAACAAACCTCTGGTCAAAGAAAGCTCAGCGTATCTCAAACTTGTTGCTGCCCCCAGCGCTGCATAGATTCGTTTAGTCATGTGTTTGCCCTCCTGTTGCAGTGGAGTGCACCAGTTGTCTTTCCTTTCAGCCCCCAAACTTTTAAGAACCCCAAAAAAGCCTGACAACTTGTGAGTTGAGATTCTGGAACCGCCGCCCCTTTCCTGCAGATCCGGGCTGCGCACTCGTTTGGCGTCAACAACACTATCTTCTCGCGGCTTCCGCTGGACCCCTACTCAGGGGGTCTGTTGAAAGAGTTTCCCTCCATGGACTCGCTCGTGAATTGGGTGAACACCTCACTTGTTTCCAACATCTGGATGGACCCAGGGTGAGAGCCCCCTTTACTTCCATGATGACGCCTCCTCTTCACGTTAACAAACTGCATCTCATGCTATTGCACCCTTGCTTTGAAGTTTTATCCTGGGGTCTTGGGTTTGCGAGCCTTACCTGCTCAAACACAAAAGCCGTCATCCCCATTATTTCACCTTCTCTGGATGCAAGGAACAGAAGTCTAGACTTCAGATTGCACTGACTGATTCGATTGCTTGCCTGTGCTTTGGTAGGGGCCTGGATGATCTTTTTCATCCGAAGTATTAATGAGAAGCATGTAAGTCTTCAACCCCGCTGGCGATTTATCGTCTCGGAAAAGATCAGGCTCACTCTTCGGTCCAGCACACTCCAGACTTTCTTCTCTTCAAGCAAGCAAGAACAATTTGCCTATAAATAACCAGTCAGTATTGCTGTTTCGGCAGCTGCGGGAATGGCGTCTGTGACTATCCAATGGAACTTCCTGGTGGCATCTACGCTGATCGGGGCTGTCCGGAAGACTGCGGCGACGTTCGGGATGCATCCGTTCAAGTACTCCTGTCGGGCGAGTGAGTGCCTCATCCTTCTTACTGTTTCTCGATTTGAGCGAGACTCGCTGCTGGCATAGATTCGTGGCTGGCAAGTGACATCATAGTCGCTCTGGTGTTTCTGACATGGGTCAAGCGAGAGCCGCCTGTGTATAAAAGCCGCCGTCAGGTTGGTGAAGCACGTAGGAAAGTAGTCTTGATGTTGGGTCATTGTGCTGCACCGCAATGCGAAAGTCGTCTGGAAGGGACAGATTGCACTGCCCATGTATGCTCACGGCAGTTCCTTTTCACGAGCGGACGATATTGATTTGCTTAAGCATTCTCCTCTCAGCAAAATTTTCACCTTCTCAAGGATCAGACGTGTTCATGGCCCTGCGTTTGGTCGTTTCCTGCAATGCGTCTGCCTTCAAGTTATCTCGGAAGGCGTTCCATCAGTCTCCCAGGGTGGTCTACCGCCCTATCGTGTCTTGCAGGGTGACCAGAAAAGTTGCAGATTGCGTATCATCAGCGAAGCCGAGAATTCGCGGTCTGTCTCTCATTCTAGTTTCGCTTGGTGCTTGAAGTGTCCCCCGTTTGTGCCAGGGCTGCTGCCGCCTATCTGAAATCCACCGCCACATATCCAATCCAGATGTGCTGGACCTTTGGTGGCGCCTCTGACTGCATGTAAGGTTTCAATCCTCTGATTGTTTTGTTTCAAGCTTTGCTTCTCGTTCCTTTACTTGTCTAAACTCAGAATTCAGGAAAGCAATAATGTATCCTCGGCTGGCGGTGATACTAGGGCAGAAAGTTTCACTTGTATGGGGTCCCATCGTTTTATAGGGGCAGGCACGTGCAGATCAAGGTCTACTTCGAGGCTTTGCTCACTCTCTCCCTTTCTAGGGCGGACCCCGGGTGGAAACTCGAGGGGTCCGGTCTTTTACGGCGCAGAAGATTTCAGGATCCTGATGTGTAAATTTTGGGTTTGAAGCGTCAGAATTGTGTTCTGTATCGATTCCTGTACGCTCCACAGTTTTGTCCGACAATCTACATCTTTGTTTCTGCTAACGCTCTTTGATCCTGCTTTCGACAAATACAAATGTCATCGAATCATTTATCATCAGATTTAAACAAGTCGCTACCCCCTGCTTATCCCCCCATTCTGCTCGCGTTTGATGGACGAGTCTCGTCCGTGCAGTGAAGGCACACCGCAGCCTGTTCAATTGCTCTTCAAGGACTCCATACTGATCCAGGTACGCTTTCATCGATTCCCATCTGGACGTTCGCTCGTCATCTCATCACGGAGACTTGAAAGCAAAAGCAGCGGCACAGTGCGTCCCCGTCTTTGCAAAGCTTGCATTGAAGGTTTCACCAGTGAGCCGTTTACGATACTCCCAGCTGATTGGTGGATTGCGACCCTTGCCTTGATCTGCAGTACAACCGACAAAGGTCGGCAGGTTTGCAAAGGCTGTGATTGGGTCAGAAGCGCCCCGTGGCGCCTCGCTTTAGAAGCTCAAGTCCAGAAAAGAACAGGGATTAGAAAGGAAGGAACGGGCAGAAGATTGGAAGAAGAACAGGAAATTGACTTGAATAGAAAGCAAAGGAAGAACCTTCAAAGAATGTGCGATGCAAGGCCCGGGAGTAAGCGTGTGGTCCATGATAGCGCGAAATCCCGACAGAGTATTTCTGATGCAGATTGACTACTTTTTGAACGAGAGTCCCGATGCCACGTGGCACATTATTGTACCTTTCGGAGGTCAGTCCGTTTGATTGTTCCAATGGAAGGTCCGGGGTCGATCGAAAAGCGCTGTGTTCTTCTATTGTAAACTCCGAATATAGCGCAGACAGGTAGGATACCGTCCCTGCTTCATAGCTTTGCAAATAAGTTTCTTGTTTTTTGAGCAATTTGAAGAGCGAACGTGGACGTCAGCCCTTTTGTTTGACGTATGACTTGACTTGAGCGGCGTTTGCTCACAGGTCAAGAGGCGCAAGTATCTCTGGCGTCGCGAGAACAAACTGTCCTGGTGAGCAGCTCGGTCATGCCTCTTAACTGGAAAAGCAATTCTTCGCATTTGAGAGCTGAGACTATCTCAAGGAGTCACTGACTCTAAAGCTTTCTAGATTAGCTCATCTTGACACAGTTAGAGTTCTGGGTACCTCTTGGAGACTGGAGAACTCGCTCATGTGCAGAATGGGACGAACTATTCCCTAACTCTCCCCCTTCACCTCAGGTGTTTGGCGGCCCAAACGGCTACACGCACATTCCCCAAATTAAGACGTGGTGGCTCTGGCCTTCGGACGGCAACCGGACGGTCGTTTTGGACGGCCGAGCGCTGCTGGACAACGTGGAAGCCGCGGACGCTTGCGTCAGCCTCGGGTTCAACTACACGGTCCAGTGCCAGGTGCCCTTTGCTGGTGAGTAGGCAGTTTATGCAGGTTTTGTCTTTGCAGATCTTTGTTTCTTCTCTTTTTCGCGTGTGCTATCAAGCAGCAAAGCTTGTATTAAGCGCTGCATTGGACTGTCGGGAATTCACTCCGCTTTCGAAAGAACAAAAGTTTTGCTTTAAGTACACAGCGCAGCGCCAGGCTGCTAGCTCGTACGTTGTTTTGAGCTCCAGCATGATTCCACCTCCTACACGCGGTTGCTGTATTGGCCTACAAAAGCAACGAAAGCCATCACCGTACGAGTCTGAGACGAAGCAGAGTCTACTCCCGAAGGCAACAAGTTTTATCAGAACCCTCGCGAAACCGTTACAGAATCGTCTTTCAGCAGACAATCCTAAAGGGCTAATTCTGCTTTTTCCAGGCACCATCCTTCCGCCCGCCGACGGTTGCTGCGTCGGTCTCAACAATCAAACGATCGCCCTGGAAGGCATCAACCCGCGCAAGCTCTACCAGCAGCTGCTCCTGACGACGCCACGTGTCATTGGGGCGGCCGACAAGCAATCCAACAGGTAGGCAAATCTTGGAAGTCGAGCCAGCTTCTTTGTACGGTTGATCGTACTTTGTCATCTATGTATCTTCGGATAAGTCCTGCCTGCGCGTCGAAAGAACCGACTTAGGCAACATCCATGTCGTCAGAAATCCAATCTTGCATCCATACGCATGACTTAAATCTCCAGAGTCCCAGAGACCCACAAACAGTTTGCCACACTGCTTTCCCAACATCGGCTCGGGTTCGGCTCCCTCACTGCAGCATCTATGTCGTTTTCCGACTGCTTTGATCGGGCCCTGGAGAGTCACGAGGAAGACCTGAACGAATGTCGCTGCTGACGTCAGCTCGTCAGGATGCTGACGTCAGCTTGTTTGCGCGGCAGGGTGATCGCGGGGCTGCTCTTCCGGCAGAGCCGGCGGGCGTACTCCAAAAAAGAGTGCGGCGACTTTCAGCACATTTACAACAAGACGGGCCAGTTCTTCTACCATGCCTACGGCAACCGGTGAGAATGCGCCCCCAGATTACGAGATTTGCATTCCTGAAAGCTGATGCTTCCAGCGGTTTTTCTGCCTCGGATCAACACCGGTGACCGAGGTCTGCTAAGTAAACGGTTTGCCAGATGTGCCGTCAGATGCGTGGCTTGCATGGAACGTTGGTTGCAACAGAGCAAACGCTGAAAATTGAGCCCTCGAAGATAAGTTCATGTCTCGTTGGCCCAACTTTCAGGGTAGTCAAGCTGAGTGCGCGCCAGCTTATTGCGACTCATAGCGCCGATGTCCGGACCGCACTACACAAGCTTCAGCAGGATTTAAAGCACCCCTTCGGAGCCGGATTTTGCAGGCCTCACGACAAAACTTTTAACGGTTCTCCCATTCAGCATAAGTCGGTAAACTGATGAAGTGCTGCCTGCCCGAGACGAAATTGGTGTCAAAGTTGGAACATTGTTGCGAACAAAAGTCGCAAAATTCAAAGTCGAACGGGTCTGTTCCATCTTTCTTTTAGGCTTTCTCTGCAGTTGTGCGGTGGTTGAAACCTGGTGTGAATGCAACGGGATCGACCCAACATTTTAGCATTGTACAACCTTCTTACATCCTACGATTTGAGCATAAAATTCACAATCTAATTTCGTTACTGCATCTATCAGGCCTTCTCCTTGTTGTCATGGATACGGTGTGGTGAACCCCTGGTGCGAGCACTACCCAATCGACCCGACAATGGACCCTTTCCACTTACCCTTCTGAATCATCACAAGCATGCAAATCGAGATTCACAAACCACTCGGATTATGCCTAGTAATCCGAAAACTGTTACCTTCATGTTCTTTCGTAACCATAATATTGTATTACTCTATTCCTTGTTGTATCAGGTATGGGGTGGTGGATCCCTGGTGCGAGCACTACCCAGTTGACCCGCGCGCCCCGTTTGGCATCGACCCGGTCTTTCTGCCGTCGTCGTCACTCTACAACGCCAACCTGAGCGCACTCGATTACTACAAGCCGGAAGAGATCTCAAGTCTCACGGGTCTGCCGTACGCCTTCTACGAGAGGGAGAGCAAAGCCGCTGTGAGAAGGGCTTTTTTACCCCCGTTTTCTAACTTGGTTACGGAAGTCTAGGGTTGAGCAACGCAAACTCAAGACTCTGCTCTGCTCACATTGTTGAGGTAGGGTTTCCACGGTTCTCTTTGCCTTCCCCAGGGGCCAAACACCGTTCGGAATTCTAGCCAGAAGTTTGCTTCAGGTGTCGAAAGAACTTCGTTATCGATGAAGGCGACTAGTCATAGAACAATCTTCTGCTTGCCCGTTGCAGGGCAAGGGGTATGAGGGTCCGCTATTATCAACTTGAGCAACGAAAGATGACCTCTCTTTGGGGCGCAGACCTCGACATTCATAATGCAACTAACAAGGACTGTCTTTTCTTGCCAGCTGCAAAAGAGCTATGACGTTCTGCTCGACATTAACGTGAGCTCCGAAAGACGATCCTCTCAGCGCGGGACATCAACCTGAGCTCCGAAAGACGATCTCCTTAGTGCGGGACCTCGTCGATCATGCAGAGATTTAGAAAGACGAAATTTTATTCCTGTTGGCTGCAGGGCAAGGGCGATAACGTTCTACTCGACATCAACTAAGCATCAAAAGATGATTCTCTTTGGCCGCAGGTCTTGTTTCTCATAAAGCCTCTGACGAAGACAACCTTTTGCGACAGACATGAACTATCTTCCGCTTGACCGCTGCAGGGCAAGGGCTATTAACGTTCTGCTCGACTCTCAACCTGAGCTCCAAAACATGATCCTCTAAGCGCGGGACCTCGTCGATCATACAGAGACTAAGAAAGACACACCTCTTTAACTTTTCGCTGCAGGGCAAGGGCTATAACGTTTTGCTCGACATCAACTCGAGCATCAAAAAGTGATCCTCTTTGGGCGCCGGACTCTTTCTTCGTAAAGCCTCTGACAATGACCACCTTTTGCGACAGACATGAACGGATATTCTGCTTGCCCGCTGCAGGGCAAGGGCTTTAACGTTCTACTCGACATCAACTTGAGCGCCCAACGTGCCCAAGACTGGTTCACGTATCTGGTGGACGGCCGCTTCTTCCACCGCCAAACCGACGAGGTCTCCATTCAGCTGCTCACATTCAACGGTACGCCTCTTCACAAAACTTTGAATCGATTCTCGAAAACCCCAACTTAAGAAATCAAGGTTCGAAGAACAGTGGGAAACCTTCACATTGAGATCGGGCCTCTTCTTACGGCAGACCGACGAGGTCTCCACTTAGCTCCTCACCTTCAACGGCACGCCTCTTCTTCCTATGCCCTGTATCCCGATCTTCAAAAGTCGCAATATCAGAAAAGCTGAGTCTCAGAAAGGTCATAGGGAAAACCCCCGCACGTCGAGATCGGGCCTCTTCTCACCGCCAGAGTGACAAGGGTTCATCCAGCTGCTCACCTTCAACGCTATGGCTCTCCTCCCTACATCCACAGGTCCTCGGATGTCGAGCTTCGCAAACCCCATCTTAGAAAGCCTGACTTACAGAAAAGATTTAGGATCAAAACCCCTCACCACTTCCCAAAGCGCAAAGACTTCCGTCAAACCGTTTTGAGTGTTCTGAGTGAACGTCTTATTGACAGCGCTATTCCGTTCGGACGGATTCGTTGGCAGCAAGCGCTAAAGCGCAAGGGATCGTGTAGGTTCCTGAACAGCTATCAATAGTCTACTTCGGCGCATCTGGTGTCAGGAGGACAGGCCTTATCTTAGCGTTTCGAGCGTTTGTCGAATATTCGTCTGCTTGCCGGTCAGAATCGAAAATGGTCGATACGGTACTTTTGAGCAGGTAACTCCAGGTCTGGCGAAAAGAAAGAAAGTTTCACACACAACTTTCCGGCGTCGAACGTGCCGAACAAAGAGCAGTACAATAGTTGCAAGTCTTTCTTGTTCTAAAGCTAAACTCAAGCCCCTCGTTTAACGCAGGCGTGTACCGGTTGTTCTCAGTCATGGACGTCCAGATCCAGTTTACAGACGCGGAGAGCCTCACGATCGTGCCACGTGTCGACTCTCTGACGGTCCCAGACTACGGCACGGGTGAGGGGTCCTTTTGGTAAAGTGCAGACACCTTCTGAGAGTTTGAACTTCTGCGAGCATCTGATGTTTTGAATAAAACGATGGACTGAAACTTGAAAGAACTCTGACTTATGATTGGGGGTCGCTGGAGATACAATAAATGGCCGGATGTCAGCAAGGGTGACGAAGGAAAAGCTTGAAAGATAGAAAATGAATTGGGCCTTCTAGATACGGCTGCAAAGCAGATAAGGAGAAGGAAAACTCACTTTTTTTTAAAGCCGTGATTGAAACAGACAGCCTCACGAGCGCCCTTGCCTTTGCGGCAGTGGCGTGGATCTTCCAGGGCCTCTTCTTCCTCGGCGTCATCTTCCTCGTCATCAGTGACGTCACCCGGATACTCAACTTCATCCGTCGGGGTCGCTTCCTGAAAGCGTACCGCAAGCCCGGCAGATGGGTCGTCACCCTTTCCAATTTGGCTTTCATCGCTTCCATTGGGCTGTGGTGAGCCGCATTTCACTGATCTTCTAACATTATATCTTCTTAAAAAGAATTGTCTCTCTGGAATGGCCCGCGTACTGCTTTTGTGAAGATGAGGCTTCTTCATTGGGCTCTGATGAGTGGCATTCGTACCGGTCTTCTGAAGTCAAGATGCTTGACACAGGGCGATTCAGTTCTCGAACGAAAACGCTTGACACAGGGTGATGCTTTTTCTTCCAACATTTCTGACGAGGGTCCGGTCCGACGAGTTCTGTGGTCAATGGATCCTTGCTCTGGTATTTTACGAGTGATCTTTCATACAAGCCCCGTGTTGCTTGAGAAAGCCGGAACACGTATTGTTGGCTTGTTCGCAAGTTCCTCAGCAGGTCGCCGAGCATTATGCAAACGAACAATGGCTTTGATCAACTCAAGCTGCCGCCTTGCTTGCACTTTCTCTCTCATCGTTTTAGGGTCGCGCTCCTGCTCAAGGAATATAGCTTCGTGCCTACCTCCCGTGCCTACCTCTCGGATCGATCTGTTAAGAGTGTACATGTTAGTAGTCCGGTTGGCATGCCGAGTGTGGCTGGGATCCTCTTTTCGCCAAGCCGCTCTGTTGGGTCTAGAGAACTTTGGCGGGAATCGCACGCCCGGGCCTTTGCGTTCTTGTTGACCTGCATCTTTCTAGCCCCTGTTGCTCAAGGTCAAGCTCGTTACTCACTGCTTGAATCATCTCATAGGATACAGATGACCGTCTCTTCATGAGGATGTGAGAAAACTTACTCTCCTGACTAACATGCGTGAGCGCCCCAAAAACCCGCTAGACGTTATTCTGCGAGGCTTGCGGAATCTACAACTTCGTACCTACCTTCTGGTCCTAGTCGAAACCAATTCTATGATGTCCCGTTAAGGAGGTCAAAAAGTTGTTGGTCCCGTCGTCAGACGATCGGCGATCCCTAAGAACCGCTAGCCTTCCTCTTTCCAGGGCCGCGCTGCTGGTCAAGATCGACAACTTCATGCCCAAAGCTCGTTTCAACGTGTACAATGATCTGAACGCCCCTGCGCGGTACACGCAACTAGCGGCGGACCCTTCTGGCGCGGACGAGCTGATGAGCACCTTCGACGAAGTTTGGAGTATCGTGCGGGTCAAGAAGGCATACGTCACCTTGACGGGGGTCAAGTGAGTGAGCTGGCTCAGGTCGAATGCAAGGGTTTTTGAACATTCGTATACTCGTGCATTATTGTTCAGATTAAGCGTCCTGAGGTCTTTTTTGACGAATCTGCTTCCGAAACGCGTCTGAATGCGTACATCCTTTGGCAAGCTTTAAGTGAAAGTCGGGAGGGAAGTCCAATTTGAGAACGACAGATTGAGTTTCAACCATGTTGCTCTGCAAAAGCAAGCAAAGAATGATAGTCCGGATGTGTGATTGGTCTGTAAACGTCGTCACATTATTCCAGCCTGCTCCAAGTTAAGTTGCTTGCATTCTCTGCCTATTTCTGCCGAACAGCAGCCGAAGGCCTCGCCGTTGTACTCTGCTGCTGTCCATGACTTTCCGACGAACCGCCGCCTACTCGTGCTTCACTTCTCTCTGTCCTTACGCAAACCCCCGGTTCCTTGCAGCATGATCCTGCTCTTCATCCGGGCCCTCGGTCTGATGCACTTCCACCCGCGCCTCGGCATGGTCACGCGCACCCTGCAAGCGGCGTTCCCCGATCTAGTTGCTTTCTTCGTCATCTGGTGCATTTTCATGACGGTGTACGCCTTCATGGGCATGCTTGTCTTCGGGGACAACGTGCGCCAGCTGTCCACCTTCTGGCTCGCGCTCAACCAGTGCTTCGTCATGAGCCTCGGGGACGTCTCGGTGAGTGCCACGTGTCCACCTGAGGGACTTTCCACGTCTTCTTTTTTCATGGCCCAAGGGCTTCATGATCCTGAATTGTGAAGAATCTAAAATTGCAAATCACGGAGAGTGCAAGACATCATGGCCCTAGCCCTCGACCTTCTGCTTTGCGCCTGCGTAGTCGCCTCGCTCCGTCTCTCGGGAACACTTCGGGAACAATCCTCTGCCCGAAGTCAAGTTGCCCGCGTCTAGTTTTAACACTGCTCGTATGCCCTTCAATCCACTCATTCTTCGTTATCGGAGCAGAAAAAGAGTGCTCACGCTACAAGCGCAAGGATGTCTTGCGCCAACCTATCTGGGTTCGCCCTCAGATTGTTCACGCATCTTTGAGCCTCGGGGGCCTCTTGTGAGGAGCCTCTGTGCCCATGTGCCACAAAACATCTGCCTTCAAGATCTTTGCCTTCCCTGCTTCTTCGACGAAAGCTGGCGAGCCTCCCGTCTGTGAAGAATACACTTTTTTTTTTTTTTTGGAGGACCCGATGCCTGGTTGCATCCTTTAGAGACGCCTCCGCGTTCGCCCAAGCCTCGCAGATACTCAAGCTTGGGTTTTGAAGGTCTCACGCATCCACGCAAACCCCTGTGGGTTACAGAAGTCAACCCAAACTGACGCGTGTGGCTGCCGCTTGTGCGCAGGTGAACCAGGCGCTGCTTGACGTGGCGACGACCATTTGGGACAAGATCCCGTCGCGCATCTACTTTTGGTCCTTCAACTTTTTGGGCACGTTTATCATCCTGCAGTTCCTAGTGGCGATCGTCGTAGACGTGCTGCAGGTGGGTCGCTCACCGACGTTTTCGGGTCATGAAATTTGAAGGGCTTTGAGTGTTAAAAGCTTGTCTTTCTTGTTTATAGTATTGCTTGTTGCTTGAAGGATAATTGAAGTGCACTGGTTGCTTTCCGATCTTCGTGACGTCCGAGCTTAAGTAAAGTGTTCTTACCAATATGTCAGAGTCCAATTCAGTCCGCTTACCAAGATTTTGTTCATTCGAGCTACTACTGTCCTTTCAGCTCTGCTTGATCTTACGTCGAGCTACTACAGACCTTTCAGCTCTGCTTGATCTTACGTCCTGTGAACGGACTGAGAGACCTTGAGACGTTCATGTACATCCTCGTTCCATGACTTCGGTCTTCGGCGACAGCATTTCGCGCACGTGGTCTGACTTGAGCCCCTAAAAATGTGCCCCCGTTGATGACGGGAGACCTCCAACTATGCTGCTGAAAAGTGTCCCCTTGAGTTCGGGGACACCTGCGCTTCTCTGATGTGCACCAACTTCCGTGTTACTCGCTCTGCTTCGAACTTCCTTCCGTCTCTCAACTACGAAGACTGCTTCTGCAGGTCGTCCGCAACGAATATGCGCGCCTCGAAGAACAGACGCTGGACTGGAACGTGGAACTCAACTGGCTGCTGGGTCACTGGCGCCACATACGCAGCGTCGGCGTTCTGCGCTCGCTGGTCCTGGCATACCGCGCGGAGCAGGTATCGCCTTTTCCTCAACTTCTGAAACTGGGTTGCCTGAGTTCTTTCTGCTGCTTCTCTCCAAAACTGAAGCTAAGTGGATGTTTCACTTTCGGACATTCACACCGCTACTTCTGAGCAAGAAGCTTCGGGTCTGCCAAAAGGTAGTACTTTTTCGGACACCTTTTGGCACCGGAGTCGGCGTACTTGTAGGTGGAAGGCGGTGACGTCCTTGATTGAGCTTTATACGCGTGGCCGTTTCCTGTTTTGCAATCTCGAGCGAGTGAAGACTTTGGCATCGAATAAGCGACGCTGACGCTGTGAAACAAAACCGGTTTTCCTTGCTGATTCTGACGGACGCAGGTTTCGCTCGCATGCAATGTAGAAAGTGCAGACAATGATGACCTTGATTTTTATGTTGGTTTTGGCCGGCAAATCTTGCCGCCGCCGCGCATTGATAACTTGGCATGGCCTTCGCGATACTTGTCGTGCCCATGCAAGCACAACTTTCGAGCTATGCTCTGCCGCCTCGTGATTCTTACACGTGTCGCTCTGTGCGTCCCCAGAGAGCCGCACAGGAAGGCGTAGAGAGCGACCACTCATGGCTGGACTGCGGCTGCTGGGCCCGCGGCAAAAAGAAAGCCGACGCGGCCGCCAAGTCGAACGATAACCACGGTAAAGCAACGAAAGCTTTGGATCTTCGACAATCGATCTGGGACTACAGAATGTCTTCTCGTTTTCGCGCGTCTAAGATGCACTTTCTGCTTTCTGTCACGTGTCGGAAAAGAGGGCAGTTGAACCGGTTCTCCGAGTCTTTGCGAAAGTCTGCAACCTTGGACTCCTTATTCAAGGTGGGCAGTCTCCTAAGGGCGTCTGAAGTTGTTTACGATAGTTTTGAACCCCTCCTTTTCAGAGTACTGACGATGTATCTCGGGATACCAGGACGAGAGGTCTCTGTTCAGGACTGAGATTTTTGGTTGTTTGAATCAAATCTCACTGATTTAGGTAGGTCTGTTGCGAAGCTGTGTCACAACGGTGACAAAGAATCGTGTTTCTCACTCATCATCAGGAAAGTACTATCTCTTCGTTGGAACAAACCACTTAGCCGCCAGCGATTCTGCAACGGCGGTGTTGGCGGCGCAGAAATCAATACACGTCATCTTTCTGTTACCCAAACACGAGAGGTTGGAAGTACGGCTCTGACTGCCTGATTCCGGCCGCAGGTCATTCCGCCCGCGGCCATGACTGGCGGAACAACGTGCTGGTGGTAAACGGGGTGGAGGTGCCGCAGGCCCAGGTCAAGCGGATGCTGGAGCGGCTCCTCCTGGAAAAGGTACGTACCAATACCTAGTACGAAGTACCCATTAGTGCGAGATACCACACTGCCTCGGAAGTTGACACCGTCAACGCAAATACGGGTTAAATGTGAACAGCTTTTGAAGCTGACGGGCATATTAATCTGCGTCCACCAATTTCTTGAGTTACTCTGCAAAGTCAGTGAAGAATTGAAGCTAAAAGGTCTTCGTTACTCGGCGTGTATTGAAGATAGGCAACCTATTAATAATCATTCGAAGAATCATGCCATGAAGCGAGTCCTTTTCGTCCGCTCCTCCCCTAGCTGCCACTGACTATTTTTGTGATCCGTGGCTTTTCAGCTGAGGTGACATAGAATGATTAAAGCGGTATTGTCCTACCTCACCTTGTACCTAAGCCTAAAATTTGTTCCATCTTAGAGGACGTTGTCCGTTTAATCTTCAGCACGATTCGTTTTCCGCACGAATGCCGCAAAGGCGTTGTCTCCTAGGCCACTCTGTACTTGGACCGAAACGTCGTTCCGTTCCGTTCCGACGTATTCCGCTTGGATTCGTCAGGAATGCCGGAAGGGCGGGGTCTGCGACGCCGAGCTGTCGCGGTTGACCGAGTACGTCGTCGCGTGTTTTGGCGATGCGCCTTCCCCCGAGGACCCCGAAGGTGGGGCGACCAATCACACTGGTGTGCTGACTAAAGACGTCGCCACTCGGGACAAAGACGCACTGGCACTGATAGACGAGTTTTTGACGGAGATCCGGGGGAAGCTTATGTCGAATCAAGACGCAAGGGCAAAGATGTTGGAGGGAGAAGGGGAGGGGGAAGAGGACGAGTAGACTGAAGACGGGCAAAACGAGGTGTTACTCTTTAAGTACGTATAGGGCCAGAACCGGGCATGTCGCAAAAAACAGTTATCTAGCGGTTAAAGTTGTATCGAAGCGTGACACGGAGATAGCTCGGTGGGTCAAAGCGTGGGACTCATGGCGTTTACTTAACGAAGATCGGAAGTCAGTCCTCGTTCCGAACAAGCAGTTATATGTATGCTAAGCGATTAGTAGTGTAGACGGCAGTCGAAAGCACAGTCGCAGCGCCAGGAATCAGGTAGAAGAGACAAGCGAGGCAATGGTTCATTGACCAGGCGTAGAATTGTTCGCGCTACCGCAGGCTAGGCAAGCGGGTACAGCAGTATTTATTGACTTGTAGGAGACGCGTTTCGTGGCAACTTTGGTTAACGTGTGCGGTTGCGCGCGCGTGCAGTGCGAGCAATCTCAGGATTGTTCTTGAAGCAGTCACAGGGGCTTGGCTAATAGAGCGGATGTGAAACGCTCCAGGGCACCTTACTTTTGGACTGACTGCCCTTTTACCACGCGACCAAGTAAGTTCTGGCATGGTCGCTGGATCCGATTCATGTAGTTAAATTAGGAATTCGATCATGCTTACAGTACTTGGCCTTGAGCACAGTCGCGGCCCCGGCCATGCCCGGCCGGCGGCGGCCATGCCGGCAGCGCGGTATTCTGGCCAGCCGGCGACCGCGAGCGATCAAATCTGGACGGCCGGGCGTGGCCGAGTGATTGGACGCGGGCGCTGCCGCTCAAAGCAACACTGACTGAATGCATTGCACACGTCAAGCTCCTGGCTGCCAGCATGTTGATGTTGATCCTGTACATAATTGCACTGGTAGATTCTGAGGAATTAAGGTATACTCGTCAGAGACAGCAACAGACATGCTTGCATTCTCGATCATCGTGCTGCAGCCTGAGCTAGCACGCGCAAGTTCCTTCCAAAGCGTTTTGCGTGCTCCTAGTGTCTTGATCAGGGCGCATGACGCGACAATTCCGAAACTCTGACCACAGATGGTCGATCGGGCCCCGCAAGGCAGCTGAGTCACCACTTGTGTGGCTCGAAGCCATGGCAGCATGCCCAAGATGCAGTGACAAAGTGGGGACTGAGCGTTCACTGATTTACAGGCCAGTACGGCCGACGGTCGGATCGGTAAATTGTACAAATCAGATGCAAGATGCTCTCAAAAATCTAATAAGACGCTCTCATACGTACTGTGGTCGCTTCTTAGGAGTATTGGCATCACTCGATCGTCATGATGACAAGGGATAATGTGCATGCTACTTTGGATGCCACGGCCGTCGCACAAACGTTCATCTGGTGGACAGCTATAGGACGTTTCAGGAAGTGCTTGCGCTCTGCACCAATTCCAGAAGTGAAGGCGCGCCTGAAGAGAAGCCTGGTGAGACGTTTCGTTGTCCGTCTTGCTTAGTCTTAGATCCAGGCAAAATCCGCAAACACGCTTGCCTTGAGCCTTGACCAATTCCTCGCGTGACATACATCTGCCAATTGATGCTTACTTGTGCGGTTGCGTGTCTTTGGTATCCTGGTAAGTACTTGAGGACCGGGTTTTACAGAGGCGGTTCTAAGGAAATAGAGGCCAGGAATAGATAGTATACCAACTAATGTTGTTACAGACTCAATACTTGTTGTACGTGAACACAAGCTGCAAAGGCTGGTGCCTATCACGAGGAGGTTGCAGCAAGTCGGGGTTCGTTCACCAAGATAGTAGGTCTCCTTCATTGCTTTTGGTGCGAAGGGATCTTCGGGCTTCTACCTGTGATGAGAAGGTCCGCTGCGTTGATACGGCTCAGCAATCTCGAACTGGACTCGGCGGCAGGCTTACCAATTGGACACAGAACGGACCAGCCAGAGTATCCAGAGCATGGTCCAGGAACCTCGATCAACGGTTGAGAACCTCAGGAAAGGAGAGGACAATCGTTTTGTTCTTTGCAGGATGCATTGAAAAAAGCGCTCAGAAATCCAACCGCTGGTGTTGTCCACAAAAGCTTTGACAGTTTGATTCAGCGATTGCGCAAAAGCGGCACTTACAGGACAGATTTGCAAATGTGAACCAGTCATTGTAGACGAAGCTGCCATTACGGAGGCCTTTTATACACTCCGAGAATTTTGTCAATAGACGAAGTACGGGTTTCGCAACGCCGCAAGAGCAGGCAGCCCTTGTAACATCCTGATTGATATTGTTGCGCCACTCTTCACCTGCTGAACTGCCTGCTTACGCTAGACAAACTGTAAAACCAGCTAAGGCGTAGAGAGAAATCACCCAGCTCTGATCCTCACTCTCATCTCGACCAGAAAGTTTCTGCCATTCTGGATAGGCTCGACTCTTATGATCTCAAGTATCTCATAAGTAGGACACTCTATGTCTGGAATGGTCCTGCCAACGGACAAACAAGGGCCGCCATGAGGTTCCACCGAGGTCGGGTTCTCCGGAGTTCCTTCATAGGTCCACCACGATACGTCTTCCTTGAACATGGTCACTCTGTCGCCAGCACACGAATACGAGCACGTGGATCCAACTGAATGGCAACCTGGGTGCAGTATGCATTTGTAAACGTGAGGCGTCATTTCTCCAGCAGATTCTGGAGTCGGTTGCAATGGGAAGCCTTCCGACTGTGTGAAAGAAACGGGTCGAATTGAAGCTAATTCAGGACGCGTCTTTTTGTACGGTTCTTTTCGTAAGCTAATTCACGTACGGTTCTTTTCGTAATGGCGTCAGCACTTTATGGCGTGTCTAGCAAGAGCACCTTTGCTCCCTCCTTTCTAAACTCAACATGCATGATGAACTCATTGATTTTCAGGCCTCAAATGAGCGTGATCCATCCAAGTCGAGTATTTTTGAAGTGGTTAGATCAGCCTAGATTCTCGCTCGGTGACATCAGGACCGTTATCTTCTTCCGAAAGAGTTGAACCGTACCACAATGCTTTGAAAGGAAGCCTCTAGAACGAGTGATGAACTTCCGAGCAAACCTGAGCTAGCAGATGTTTTGAAAAACATTGCCAGGGTAAATGAAGCTCACGTGCACGCCTTTCCTCCTTGTCGCCTCTTGAGACGTGGCTCAAAAGCCTTCAAGATTTCCTTCACGTTCGTGGGCCACCCTCCAAGCTTCTTCGCTTCTTCTCCGCCCGCTCATTCTTTTTGTCCTCCTGGTATTACTATTCCGGGATTCCGGGATGATTCCGCTGTACTAATACAGTCCGCGTCAGTTTCAGAGCGTGGATCTCCCTCTCGCGCTTCACGCTTGGAGCCGGTTCTTACTCAAGAGTCGACTGGTTGAACTACGGCCCAAATTGTTTGTTTCTTATAAGATCGGCTTGGGTCGGATGAACGGGGAATATCATACCAATAATGATGATCAATAACAAGTCTAGCTGAAAAGCCGCACATGTCCTTGTGAAGGCCTTCGCCTTGTCGCCTTTAGATGTTTAAACGTGCCATGTTGGCAGCGCTCGTTGGACAACCTGACAACCTCTTGTACGTGGCTCCGACGCTAAGCGGAGCACCCCACCGCCTGAGGCCCACAGCAAAATTACCACGCACAAGGTTTGTGCTCCTCATGAATGAGCTCTCTGCTCATCAATGTCATGGAAGTGCAGGTCAATCAACGATATATATCCGCGCGCGCGCGCGCCGCCGGGCAAGTAATCCACGCCGGCGCGGCCGCTAATGCGCTGGGGTTTTCCCCAAAACCCTCTGAAACCCTCTTCTTCAAGTTCCGTTCCGTTTCAGTGTGAGCTAGGGACTATTCCGGTTTAGCCTCATGGGCGGAGAGGGGCTGTAGGCTGTAGCCTCGTGAGCCTCATCTGAGTCATCAGAGCCCATCAGAGCCTACACAGGCTACAGAGGAGCACATACCGTACAGAACGCTCGCAAGCAAAGGCAGCGCACGCTTGCAAAAGTAGCCCCCTGTTCTATTGTGGAGCTAAAGTTGATCGATCAGGTGTGGTTGGGTCCCTGGTAAGCACGATGGCGATCAGGCTCCACGAGCTCCAGGAGCTGGACAAATTGGAGGAGCGCCTCAGTCCGCTGGCCGGCAAACCTGGCGGTGACTTTGACGCCCGTGTGCAGTGTCTGCGGTTGCTCAGGAGAATGCGCCTTCGGCGGTCAGAATGTGTTGTCATGTATGGTCAAGAATTGGTGAAGAACAAGGCTTGGACGAGAAGGCTGGGAACGCAATTGTGGGATGTGTATGAGCAGGTGGGTAAATAAACCGACTAGAAGGGTCTGAGGTTGGTTGCATTTTGCGTATTGTTTGCTGTGTGATGGATTGAAATATTGGATCCGACAGCAGCAATGAACAGATGTATTTGCAAAGCCAAAGCTACTGGGGTTGGTCTTAACTGATTGCAGGGGTGTCAATGACGATGATTGGGTGTCCCTTTCATCAATGTTATAGATTGGTTCAATCGCCAGGCAATAGAGGACAATTGGACCAATGAGTGAACCAAGCTTAGCAACATAACCATCTGAAAGTCCCCCGCAAGACCTCACAATCCTACCACCCTTTTCCAGCTTTTACGGAACAAGAAACTACAATCGAGCCAGAACAAAGTCGGAGGGCTCTGTTTCAGGAATTAAAAGTGTTCAAACCACATAGGATCTTGATCCATGTAGAGGCAGGAAAGTCCAATGTGCTTCAGCACTGACTGCGATTGCGTGCGATTGATTTCTTACTTTTGAAAATTTTGGGTCAGGCATTAGTTATGCCTGGGGCTAAGAGGTCAGTTGACAGGACTTATCGAAAGGGTTTTCGAATTAGCAAGGCTTCATTTTGTAAGATTTGTGGGACCACTGCAAAAAGGGATCTGCTTCCACTTGAGGCCGTAACACCTAGAGGGGTCTCTCTTTCCCCTTCTTCGGAAGCTTCCTTGATCCTCAGAGCAGGATTCCCAGGATCGTCAAAGTCCAGGGCCAACAGAAACAATGAGATCTGAAGAGAGAGGAAGTTTGTGACTTGTCAAGACCTCCGATTGCTCAGACATTTGGAGAGGACTCTAGTCTAGAAAAGTCAAGATAACGACATTTCCTTTGGGATACTGAAGATCATGCAATTTTGAGAACAGCATTTACAGAAAATGTGAAGTCACAGACCAGATGTTTGACTCAGAAATACGTGCGTGCAGGTTGCTCTTGCTGCCCTTGACACCGGCGACTTGGAGCTAGCGCAGGAATGCGGCAATGCAGTGGCCCGAAAGTTTCCCGGCAGCCAGCGTGTGGCTAAGATGGCGGGGATGCTGCTAGAGGCGCAGGAGGAGTGGGAGGAGGCGGACCGAGTGAGCTCGCGCCCGATCTCTTGGCTTCCTTGTTCGTGCTCTTGGTGATTGTTCGATCTTGGCGGAGCTTCAATCCCAAAAGCACTTGGCTATCTGGGCACAAAATGGAAACATCGTAACCACCCCAGGATCATGATGGCAAGACTTTTGTGCGGAGCGAACACTCTTGATATTCATGAGTATACGACTTGTCCCGATGCTTGGAGTCCTGTTCCAGTTTTGTCAAAATACAGGGAAAAGAAAGCGTAGTGAAAAAGTGTGTGTGCTCAATGCACTCGGGTCAACCATGATTAAGAAGGATGATTGTGAACTTCTAGTGCAACTGCAAGACATACCTGACGGTAAATTGTCTCCATGCAGGTGTATAAGGAGACTTTGGAGGAGACCCCAGGCAGCCATCTTATACATAAGCGGAGGGTGGCGGCGCTCAAGAGTCAGGGGAACTTGACGGGGGCGGCCGAAGCGCTCAATGCATACCTCGACATCTTCCAAGCAGATGCGGAAGGGTGGCGGGAACTGGCAGAGATCTACATCAAGTGAGCATGCGTTAGCTTTGCTGTGGTTGAATGGCAGTTTAAGAAGCGGTTCTGCCAGGCCCGAGTCGAAAAAGACAAACTTTTTGCAGGTTTGGTAAGAATGTTGTTACCTTGCTGTCAGATTGAACTAGATGTGAAGTAAAGGTCCTGCCAGCTTACCTAGCGTGTTTCTGCCATTTGTTTTCGCAAGCAGGGCCCAGAAATTGCACATTAGTATTATCCTTGAGACCACTGATTAGCACTTGCTAGCTATTTTGTCCGACCAGTCGTACTTCGCCTTCTGAGCTCGTAAACTTCATCCGTTCTGGCAACTGAGTGTGATCCTTTCTTCCGTTGCTGTCGCATCGCTCCAACGTTAAGGCTCGCTGACTCCCACCGTCCTCTTATCCGGCTGGCGTAGCCTCCCTCTCGACAACGGAACGAAACAAACATCTGCTCACATCATCAAAATACAGGTTTTGCTGACCCGCTTCCTGACCATATCCGCAGGCTTCAGCAGTATCGCCAGGCGGCTTACTGCTATGAGGAAGTGCTGGTCTCGCAGCCGCAGAACTCGCTAATACACATGGCGTATGCGGACGTACTGTACACGCTCGGGGGGGTCGACAACTTCAGACTGGCCCGCAAGTACTACGCAGGTACAGTGCTCTCCTGCTTAGAAGAAGACAATTGAATCGGAGGCGAATCTCATCGTGCGGGTCTTGCGTGTTCTCAGATTTTCGAACCGGGTCGATTCGGAAGTTTGTTTTAAATTCCCAAGCCAAGCTTTCTTTGCAGCTGAACTCCACTTGGAGCGTGGCCCACGATTGCTTTGGCGAAAGCTCTCCTTCAAACTGGCATAAGTCATCAAGCTGGCCGCATATGTAGAATTTGATGACAGAGCACTTCAACCAGATGACGTCGAACTTATAAATGGAGAAGGCAAGCTTGATGTGGCCTCTTCATGCAAGCAGCGATGTCTGTTGCTAACGTGGGTCTTACTGTTGCAGCTGCTGTGGAGATCTCCGGCGGCGGGAATGTTCGAGCGCTGTACGGAATTGTGCAGAGCGCAGCAGCAATTGCAGCGGCCACCAAGGGGAACAAACGAGGGGAGCCTGAAAGTACGGACCTTCCTCTGCTGGCAGTCGATGTTTTGAAAAAGGAGTATCAGCAGCATTGTCCAGCTTTGCTTCCGATTGTCACGAGAACATTGGACGGTCAGGTCGCGCTATTGTAAATGATAGTTCTGGTCAGTCAAGCAGCCTCGCGGTTTGGACTTCGCACCCGCCATGGCACGCTTTTTGACCCTTTGTGTCGACTCAATAATGGAGGAATGTAATTTTTCAGGGTCAAGTATCCGATTCAGCCTATTTCACATGTTGGGATTACTAGTGCAAGTTCGGGGAGAACGTGATATTTGGCAGCTGACCAAGCCGCCATAGTTTAAGACAATGATTGCCCCTATCTCGAGGTTCGTGTACAGTTACAGCTCGCCATACATCTTCGGCCTATAGCACATCGCTCTAGGTCTCGTCTGCATCATGAGACACCATGAGACATCAGCGGGGCGCTGCGTGCGGCCGCGCAGGCCATGCAGGTTCTGACAATCGCATTCCATGCAGTACATGGCCGGGCTCTCGTGCTCTTTTACCTTTATCCCATCATCCTTTCATATATGTCCATGCCCCCGGGTGAGCGTTTGCGGACCCAAGCGCCATATATACCATGCAAATTTGATAACGACAATACTCAGTTCTGTGAGTGACTCCAAGGCGCGAGCTAGCTGAAAATGGTCCCAGCTGAACATTCCGACATCATCTTTGCTACTCACATAATTACCTGGCGTCCGACTTATGCGGACACGGCCTGCACTTCGTTTTTGCCGGGCAACGCTGTTCACCGTACAACAATCCGACTTTCGCTGCGCATGATGTACGGCTCACAGCTTCCCACAACTATGTCCCTCAAGAGATTGCACCGCCGCTCAAGCAGTAATATAGCTCTTAGCTTCCCCTTTCGGCTGCGTGCCAAAACAGTCGGACACCGCGCATTCTCTTGGATATGCCCCCGAGATTGTCAAAAACACGCTGGAGACAGACTGCTAGAGGACATCTGACAAGGAAAAGACCCTTGACACCAGATTGTGAAGTATCTGGGCCGGATTCAAGCCAATGTTCCCAATATCGTACGATCAGCTGCACATAGTTTGTGCACCTCAGATTGTGTACTTGTTCTTTGCACCCCTATCTAGCTCCTTAGCATCCGCCTGCAACATACAGTCAAGAAATGAAGTCAGACCGAAGTCACACAAAAGCAACGGGATCCGAATGTAGATCATGCGAACAGCTGACCAAATCTGGCACAAGAGACCGTGAGGCATGAAACCGAAGACAGCGGTCGACTGTTACCACGCGAAGAAGCTCCCCAAAGAAAGTTCTTAGCCCAAAAACGATCGGCAGTCAAAATCGAAGAAGGTGATTGCTGGCTGATCAGAACCGAACAGAGAGCATCCACGCCCATTCTTGAACTGCACGAGCAGCAACGAGCAGCAACGAAGAAACGGATGCTAAGTTTGGACTGCAGCCAACGCCCGCAGAGTCGCAAACTTTCGCAAGCAAATAGGTGTTTAATGTCTGCTTACGTGAGTGATGTATCCGATTCGGTCGTCTGCGTCCAGGAACTCCTTCCATTGCTTAGCCAAGTTCACCTGAAAAAAGGAATAGAGATCAGATCGACACCGCTGCTTCTCTCCTCTACTCCAAAGTGACATGTTGCGACTCTTGTGCAGCACCACATATCCACGTCAGATTCGCACCAGCAACCTCCCTTGCAAAAAAAAGTTGGGTACAGAAATGCTTCCAACCTCGTCTTTTCAGTATCTGAAAAGCCTAGTGCATAAAGTGTCTTGATTAAGGTTCTTTCGATCAATTCAACCGACACAAATTCACATGAACCAAGAGCGCGCACAAGTTGACTGATTTTGCATCAATCTTATGCTGAGAACTGGAGCACAGTAAAGTACAGAGTTGATAGAAGCAAGCTCAGACGTCCAATTGGTAAGCGGTGATAGAGTAGCACCAGACGACTGGGTCATTCCTGACCCGGTCAACTTTGAAGAGATGCACGAACATCAACCTACTTAAAGTACGAGGTCTGTAACGATTTCTGCACTCCGACGGGCCTTCTGTTGCAGGAATGAAAACGTTTCTTTGTCTTACGGCCAGGAAGGTGAAAATCGGGAAGCTGTTTTTCGTACAGACTTTGAGCAGACATGAGAACGCAGCAAACGGCTTGATAGGGTTGAAATGCAACCAACTTCTAGAACTGGCAGACTGTCTGGAACTTATGTACAATTCAAGCAGCTCTCTGACAGAGCAAAACCTTGACAATCGCAACAACCAGCCGCCACATTTCCAGAAAACCAGCTGCGCTGAAACTGACACATCTCCAGAAGCCCCGGTTCCCTTTGGAACTACTTACAAAGAACCAGTCTGCAAGCAAGCGCTTCCCTTTGTCAAAAGGCTGCAGAAAGCCAAAAACGGCTTTTTGCACCTGCGCCGCCTCGTTGCTTGCCGCCTTGGTCCAGACACATCTGCATTCTCTGCCTTTCATTGAAAAAGCTGCACAGAGTCAGAATGACGCTGAACGCACCTGCCCCGCCTCGTTGCTCGCCGTCTTGGTCCAGATGGCTATTCTGTCCTCCTTGGAACGGATCTGCAGCACCACCCCGCACACTTCCTCGCCGTCGTCAAACTGCTCCCCAATCATTGCCAGCAGCTGCAAAGGCGGAAGGGAGGGCGCTTATACGCTAAGACGAGAAGTGGGATAAAGGGGGGAAACTCCAACTTATGGTGCAGGGAGGGAGCTTATATGATAAATCCAGAAGTGGGATAAAGGGGAAAGACTCCAACTTGTGGCACGCGGAGGGAGCTTATCTGATGAGTCGAGAAGTGGGGTAGAGGCAAAAATCTATAGGCTAAAAGTGAGGCAGATTCATGACACTGACTTGGGGCAGAGCAGAAACAAGGAGGGGCTTGCGAAAGAGTTGAAAGAAGGGCGAATCTAGAGCAACTGCTGGGAAGTGAGAGAAAGGAGCGAGGCCTTGGTGGTCTGCAAGGAAGAAGGCAAACTCTCAGAGCAGTGAAGCTGACAACCTCGGACATAAATAATGATGTCCAGGGAAAACGAGGTTCCAGAAAACCCCGTTCAAAATTGCCAGAGGAATCGGTGGACTCCGATAACCCAGGGTCACTCAGCATTAGTGGAAGCCCAGCTTCAGTTGTCTTTGAGGGGCTGCCTGATCTGCAAATAGCGAAGTCGGTCCTCGACAGGCCAACGAAGGCCCTGCCCGTACTTTATGGATGGCCTGTCGATTGATTTGCGCGATTTGCGCGGGGGCCTTCAAAACAAACCCTGGAATGCTCCTCTAGACTGGTGGCAACTAGCCCCATAGAGGGTCCGATTGCTCGTGCCCTTTCGAGCTTCTTACGTTCATACAACGTCAACCGGAGTTGTACTTCAACTTGAGAGCGCTCAATGAATGGATTCGATCTCCAGGCTTTTCCTCAAACTAGGTAGGCATCACTCAAGCAAAGTGCTCACCACATGCGGCCAAGTGGTAAACAACTGGAAAGAACTGTATACGCGCACCCCCCCATACCTCGAACTTTGCCAAGAGCTTCACATGCATCCCATGAAACTCAAGCGTTGCGCTCACCGTGTGCAGCCAGAACGTATCTAGTTGCGTCGGCCCCTTGGCATCCGGACCCTTGCCTCCTTTTCGCACCGGCAATGTCCATTTGCCTCCGTGCTCACACTTCGGGTCCTCCCACTTGGGCTCGATGCCCTTCTTGAAAAGATGCAAGTCCGCGCCAACAATCAGGTTGCTAGGCTGCACGACATTATTGAAGAGGCTGCAGAGAAGTGATAAAAGCTTCAGAAATATGCGAATGAGGATTTCGGAAGCGCACGATTGGGCTTTTCCATGCAGAAAGGTTTCTAGGCTGCTGAAAGTTGATTGGCGAAGTGCGGAGCCAGATGGTCTTCGGGTTTCAACTTTCTACGCTAGATGAGTTCAACCTTCTGCTGAAAAGTCTGAATAACTCTGAACTTGGCTGGAAAACCAAGCGCTATACCTGTATGCACTCTAGGGTTTAAGCAGCTCACTGCCAAACAAATCGCAATATCATTTCGGTCAAGAGAAGTTGTGCCAATAACAGTTGCAAGCATCAGCATTTGAGATATTGAAAGTACCACTCTATGGGGCCTGGGTGCGCTGGACCCTGGTGTACCATTTGCATAAGGAGGCCCTCTTTGATATACTTAAGCTATGGAAATATATTACATCCAGATGCTAATCCAATCTTGCCCTGTAAGCCATTTGCTTCTTTACTGACTAACTTTGGCAAGTTTTCCGCGCAGAACCGGGCCCATCGTTGACACTCGAGAAGAGTGGGTGATAGAGGAAGAGGAGGATTCATACTAATACTATCACTCCAGCTTTCGACTTGGTCAGATTGACAGAGGGATTGAAACTTCTACAAGATCTGTCACCTCCGTGCAAACAGATAATTTTAGCTTCATCTTCTAGTTGGATCACATGGTAATGGTCCGCACGAAACCTCAGGTGCCACTTGTCATGAAATTTCCTCAAGCGTGAGCTAGCAATTGCACCGACCCTCAGCTTCACTTCGCGGTGTCAAGGACCGATTACCAAACACATCCGGTTGAAAAGAGCAAGTCGCTTTTGCCCCTACTCACCACCAGAAGTCTTCTACCGTCCCAAACGTGTACACTGGCCGCATCGTGCTGCCCCACGCCTGCCCTTTCCTTGTCTGCGGGTTATCAAACCAAAGAGTCCAGTGGTGCTCTAGAGGGTGCTTCTTAGACGCCTCGTCGGCCCCTTTTGACGGCGTAATCTCGCCCTCCTCCTTCTCAACCTTTGCATCCGCCCCCTCCGCCATTGATGTAAATGGCACCTCTGAAATGGCGTAGAAGCACTTCCGGTTCTTCTTAGCTTGCTGGTCTACTCTTTGCCTACAGGCTTTACTCGAGGACGTTCGCTTTCTACAAAAGCGTCTCCTGACAACCGTCTTCCTTGAAGTTGAAGGCTGAAGCTGAACTTCAAGGGCTGCAGAGATGCACACCTCGAGTAGGTTGGAAGATGGTTGGTAGCTCAAGGACATTTGTGATCAATTGTGATGGACATATTGAGATATGCGATACAACAATGCGCGTTTCCGTTCGCAAGATACAGTCATATAAATAGCGCACCTTTCGAACGTTTGAATTTGCAATCAGCTGCATCGATGAATTTGGGAGTGATTTTAGCAGCGTATGTGTTGTCATGTACATATCCAACCGAACCTGTCAGAAAAAGCAACAGGAACGAATGCTAGAGCATTGGTTATACGGTATACCTATGTGGCTCATGATGAATCAATAATTCATCAATTGATGCAAAAATCCGGTACTGTGACCAGTGAGTAGGATCTATCATCGTCCACTCAAGATTGTCAGAGTCTCCGTTTCACGCAGCAGAGCTACGTCAGGCGTCCAATCCCACAATAAATGCCAATGCCCAAGCATTCACAATCTCGTCATTGCATTGTTGAGCTTGTCAGGATTCAGGAAAGGTTGTTGTCAATGAGGTAGATTTTGAACCTACAGGTAAAAGTGGGTAAAAGTGGTTTCGAAGACGATTGCTTTCTGTGATAGAGCTTTTGAAGCCAGATTCCGATTCAGCTGTCAGATTAGCAGAGGCGCTTTGGTGCGGGTGTCATTCTGAGCTTGTTGTGTTCTTGATGATGAGCAATTGTTGTCTGGATTCTCATTGGCATTGTTGAAGCGAATTGTGGAAAACAGAGGCAGTTGATTCATTTGAAGGTTTGAAGGCAATTCAAGCGCAGAGTAGGGTTAACAAAAGCCTCATCGCATCGCAATCCAGCTGGGGCTCTGGGAGAAACCGTAGGAGAAACCGCAGGACGACAATCAGAAGTGAACGACATGCAGCAGCCCTCGGGGGGCCCAGCACAGGCGCCCTTCCCCGCGAGCTCAATCACCACTGAACTCATACAAAAGGTGAGGGATAGATGCGTGGCAGCAAAGGCTTAAAGAGATAATCACTTTCTCGAGCCTTGTGCTTTAACACAGGAATCTTGACAATTGCGTTGAATGCGGGTTGAGGTGATTCAGGGATGGGGGCTTTATTGCATACCACTCAATATTGGACAATTGCCAGATGTTACCTCTAGAACCGTCAGGACTGTGCATTGGATCTTCGTTGATTCCTTGAAAAGGTTCCCAACACTTCCATGCTATTCTTTCTTGTGCCTTGAAAGCATATCAAACTTTTGTGGGCGAGTGCAGTAACAGAAATATGCAATTACTTAGTAGAAAATAGTGTCAGATCACGATTTTTCCTCTAAATTGCCGCTCACAATTGCGAAGAAAACCAGCCCGTGGGGTCCTTGCAGTATCTCGACGAGAACAAGCAACTGATTCTTGCCATTCTAGACAACCAGAGCCTGGGAAAGCTGACGGAATGCGCTCAGTGAGTCCTCCGACCCACTCCTCTCATCCCTTTGTGGGCTTCTTTTCTTTTTCCTGGAAGACCAACACAGAAGTAGAGCCAAACAAGTCCATTGCTGACTTCCGTCATTTTAAGACAATAGCGATGTCGATTTTGTGAAGACGTGCACCTGGCGAAATGAGAAGCAAGTTTTGGGGGCACTGCAATCGTAGGGGTTTTTGTCTTATGTTTTCACCAGATGCTTAGGCGAGCACGGACACAGCCGTTAGGAATTCTCGTTCATATCATGTCCACTAAGGAACCATTCTTTGCACTCAATTGAAGCTTGGTGCGTTGGAATTGCGACGGCCCACTTAAGGTGGGTACTAAGTGTTTGTCCTAGATAACTCCCCACGGGGGTAACAGCAGGTCAGTGACCAGAATATACCTGTCAAATAGGTAGGGAACTTCCTGAAATATCACTCACCAGATGGAAGCTTGGACAGAACATCGTTAGCGAAAGTGGCTGTGGAAGCTCTTGAATTGGCTTTTCCCCGTTTAAGAACTTCCTTTTTTGACGTGGTCTGCTTTGTTAGGAAGATCTCATCCTGACGCGTTGCCGAACACTCTCTCCCTGAAAAGATTGGGGAAAGACTTGGAAAAGAGTGCATGCAAAGACGGTGGCTTGCCATCTATCTTCGCTGCTGATCCTTTCGTTCTGACACCCTTGCGCAATTTGTATTGCAGCTATCAGGCACGGCTGCAGCAGAACTTGATGTTTCTGGCCGCCATAGCTGATGCGCAGCCGCAGGCGCCCCAACCGGCACCCCCAGTAAGGCTTCCATTCGGGCACACCTCAATGAATGCTGTTTCTGCAATGCTACTCCTCAAGAAGATTGTTCGAAGCAGCGAGCTGCGCTTTTGACACTGCCCAACCCCTTTAGAGCAGTCGCTTTTTGTGCTTAGTTGTTATCATTGTCAACAAGATCTGTGAACCGGAGTCAAACTGATTGTAGTCCCACGGCCACTCCCAAAATATGCTGGTGATAAGCAGGATGAAACCACAGAGTAGAAGAAGCGGACCGATTGTATGCATCCGTGGGTCTCGTTGACGTGTTGTAGAAAGTTCTTGGTCTTTGTGCTTGTGCATGTTTCCATGTTGGGTACTGTCATTCCGCCCTCTTTGTATATGACGACAAGTGGCTGGCATGTAACACTGCAGATAAGTTTCGAAAAGCTATCGTAAGATTGGACGTCAGAAGGGCCTCGGCGAACGTAGTCAGACTGCAGGCTTCTCGAGCCTGCTTTTGAAAACGAAGCTGAGAATAAGAGGCGGGCAGAGTCAGCATATCCTAAAGCTTCTGTAGTAAAGCCGAGGAAGCATTGCGCCCTGGTGTCAATATTTCAGAACAGAGATTCCTTGATTAGAAGACACAGATTCACAACGCGTGGCAAAGAAGGACGGCAGCTGAAGAGCTTTCCCCGTTGCAGCGTCCCCCCTCGCCCTCCTGGATGTCTATCATGCAAGGTACACTGTCAATCAATTTACCGAATCCGCCCTCTCAAAACCTTGTGGTCGTTTTTTGCAGCAGCCGGCGGCGCCCCCTCCCCAGCCTAGTTTCAACAATTTCCAAAGTCAGCCCCCCCAGTCGTCTTACCCGGCCCCGGCTCCCTCGTTCAGTCAGCCCCAAACTCAGGCGCCGAGTCAGCCCGCCCTACCTGCGCAGAGTCGGCCCTGTACTTCTGCGGGGGATCCCCTAAAAGAAAGCGCGCCGCAAGAGGGCAATAAACCGGAGGAAAGCACTCCGATGGAAGGCGTATCTCGGTCTGAGGGGGGCCCCGCCCCGGGTTAGTGTTGAGCAGGAAGGGTAAAGGGAGGGTTCTGCTGATATGATTGCTAGGAAACGTGGCGTAATGGATCCCCAATCGTGCAGGGGTCGCTTCCAAGTATTGTCAAAGTCCTGTGCAGCAACCAAAGGACAGTCAAAAAGCTCATACTCCATGTCGGTTTGAGTTACTTAAGTGCTAGGAAGCCTCGGGAAAAGTAACATCGTCCAAGGCGCTGGAGTTGTTTATAGATAACATACACTAAGAGTTCAGTTTGGAGATTCAGAATCACACATACGCTGCGGCTGAGCCAACTGTCAGTCATTGAGTCAAGTCAATAAAACGATTCTAACAATTGTAGATCAAGGGCAAATTGGACTTCAACAAGTTTCTAGGTGCTGGAAGCTCTATGTAAGTTCAGGCCAACCGTATGAATGATCAAGCTGCTCATGACACATTGAGCTTGCGCATAGCAAGGCGGCGCTGTTCATGGTTTCTGGTGTACTGTACGTATGAAACCAATGGATCCGTTGGACGTGGTTTCAAACATACGCGCGCGCGGTACTAGCTGTGGCTATAGGCATCATGGCACATGCACGCAATCTGGATCCCGTGTGAGACTCTCGGCCGTCTCAGTATATACGTCCGGTTAAAAGTTTTTGAATTGGCCGTCACAATGATGCGTGTCGCAGCTGGGATCTGGCACCGGGCCAGGATCGGATCAAGATCGAGCCGAGAGAGCTGCGCACCACTCCAATCAGAATACAGTCGATGCATTGCACGGCACGAGTCGTGGGTTGCACGGGGGCCTGTCCTTTGATTACAATAGACTATGTACAGGTACTTTGGTGGACATTTATTCAAGCTTGCTTGCTCACTATTCGAATCTCTCTAGACCCCGACCTCTTCAGAACTTGCGACTTTATCTACACAACCACTTTAGTGAACGCTACTGGGCTGACCAACGATCCACATCAGCAGGTTGGCCCGATGCAGAAATTTGGAAAGCATCACATCGAAGTGCAGACCAGCCGGCTGCGGCCGCTCAATTGCAACTAACCTTGGGTACGGACTCTTCTTTGGGTGCCCTCTTTGCACCTAACGTACAGCGAGCCTTCGTCTTTCCACAAAGCTTGAGGACCTTGATTTCTACCGTACAACTCTGATACAAACGTCGTCCCATCGGTTCTAGGAACCGCTTCCATCGTCAACACCTTGCAAACATCAAAAACGCTACAAACGCAGTCACCGTGACCGCTTTCTCGTTCGTCACGGCGTCTCAAACTCAGAACCGCCGCAAAAGCCCTACTTTTTCCTCACAATCGTCCGTTCCTCTTCCCACCGCACCTCCTCGTCTTTCAACCGCTTCAGATCCGCCTCCAGCCTTTGTATCCGCCTATGCCTGTCGTTCGCCCGCGCCCTTTGCCACCTCTTCAACTGATCGACGGCCCGCGTCGAAAGCGCCCCCCCCACTACAAACTTTTCCACCATTGGCAGCACGGCGCTCCTTCCTCTCTCGGCGAGCCACTGGATTCGACGGGGGCCGCTCGTAAGCGCCGGCAGCAGGAGGACGCGGGTGAGAGCGAGGGCCCCCAGCGACGCTCCGCCGACGGCTGCAAACAACGAAACAACGTGGAAAAACGTTACATAAAGGAAACAAAACCCTTTGGAGACTCTGTTTGGAATTCCCTGAAAGCCTTAGTCGAGGACTGATGATCTCATGTGTCCAGTCTTGCCTGACCCATGGGAAGAACCTCAAAATGGGCAGGTTGGAGCCATTTGATACGTTTGTGGAAGGAATGGCTCTTCGCAACATCTTGATTTACAAGAAAACGGGACCCGGTTTTTAAGTTCTTAAGTTCACTCGGCTTTTGGTCAGCGGCTGAAGTCAGCTTCGCTCTGATGCAGTGAACTTGACTAGCCTCCTGTAAATTCCCTTCGTTTGAGCAAGGACTTGAAGCACTTTAAAAAACAGAACTGGCTTTTGAAATAATCTTGTCCAACTTGAGAGGACTGCGTGGGTGAGAGGAGACTTCTTTCAGATTTGTTGACCGCTAACCAAGACACTTCGCAAACAGGTAAGTGAGGGCGCTGAAAGAAACTGTGGACTTGATCCAAAGACGCAGCATTTTAGCTGGAAGAGAAGCATTAACTTCGAGAAACGCACTGACTTCAGAGGATGTATGTCTCGATACCTGTCACGAAAAGGGAGAACAGAGACTGATATACCCCGTGCAGAGACAAGGGAGGCTTAGTTCGCAAACTAGAGGCATTTGACTCGAACAGCCAGGATGAAGAGATCAACTTCTGAATCAGTTCAGAAGCCTCCAAAATTCCGCAAGGAAAAAAGGAACTTGGGAAGAAGAAAAGCTGTTTGGAAAGCAATGTACCTTCCAGAGGTAGGGCCGCTATCCCTTGGCAAGGCAAGCCGATTCCGACGCCAACCGCCGTCCACCCGATACTAAACCCTGCACCACCATGTTCATTACACTGTCAAAAAGTTTATCGTCTTTACGGCACAAACGAACTTCGTCCATTCTACTGCTTGGATGTAGACTTACGACCGAGCTGATTAAAGACCTTCTATAGAAGGACGAGCTGTGTCCATCGTGGACTGCAAGGCCACATTTCCATGACGGCGCCGTTCGGCAACCGTCACATAACAGATAACAGATTAATCTCTGTAGTTGAAAGGCAAGGGAAAGCTCAACTACCCGCCCTGTGTTTCATGACGCCATGGAAGCAGCAAAGCAGGGGAGCAAAGACGTGCAACTCAAGTACAGAGCGATCTCGAAGGCTGCACTGTGTCAGAGGACCCAGCTTTCGCCAAGAAAGCATCGAGTCAATGGCTTAGCCACGGGCGTTTACCATTGACAAAAGCTCTGCTCGTCTCTGTCTTGTGATAAGTATGAGTGACACTTGATGTTAACAAACATATGCGATGGAGCCTTCGACGGGCAAAAGCTTCTTTGAAAGGAAATTGAGGGTGTATGACTCGTTTGGCCAGTCTGCACAAAATGTGGGACACTAATAATGTGGGACACTAATGTAGGGCCTTCTTGCATCACTCAAAGGCATACTTCTGGTACAAGAAAGGGGAAGGGCTTCGACAGAGTTCTGCTGCGAGAACCTCACCAAGACCGCAGCCAGCCCTGCAAAATAGAAAAAGGAGGCAGTTACTGCCCGGCTGCCACCTTCCAAGAATAAAAGGTAGAAACATTGAAGACTTTGTAAAGACAAATAGTACAAGGACAAGGTCTGTATCTACTGCAGGGGCAGAGCTTATCAGGCCGCGGCAAGAGTTTTAGTGTCCATTTGTAGTGCCCTTGTTCCGACTTACCCAACATAACCGATGACTTCTGGGCCAAACCCCGGTCCTGCAACAAAACCTCACGTTCAAGAGTCAGCCAGAACATTCGCATTGAAAAACAACCAGCTTTTCAATACATGTCCAAGTGATGCCTAGCCAAACTCTGCAAATACAAGTGGGGAGCATTCGAACCGGAGCAACAGTTGAAGCTAAAGAAACACGAAGCTGGACTCCAACCCATCTCTGCAATCACGGTTCAAAATGGGGTGCTGACTGATATTCTGCGTGCACGTCGAAACAGTTGCGAAGCATCGATCAATCAGTGCTTGGGTCACTGGAAGACAACTCGAGAGTGCATAGGGATGTGCATTAGATATGCAATCAAGCAGCTCAGAGAAACAAGTAGGCCAAGCACGGCCGTCTCCCTGCTGGCTCGCCAGCTGAAACTCACCAACGCCCACGCCGCAGCCCACGCCTAAACCAAAGCCCCAGAAAGCCCCAGCGGTTGGGTGCACGGGGTTCCAAGAGCGGTACTTCCGAATGAAAGCGGAGACCATCTCTTAATACAGAACAGCAGCTTCGTACATTTGCTCAAATACGTTTCTGCGATATGCCAAGTGCTGTGAAACGGGGCTCAAGCGGCTGATGCTTGGCGACCACATTGGGACCAGAATGGCAGATTGGCCGAAAGAAGCAATGCGCTCTTATTACAATGGCAGCCCTTGACAGGTTTGAAGTGCGAGCCATTCAACTGTTCAATGTTCAGTGTCCAAAGCCATTTGCCAAAAGGTTAAGGATTGTGGTTAACTAAAGAGCCACGGCCAGGCGCTGTTCGCTGAACCGGCAGACAGATCAAACCCGACCCGAAGAGCCAATACAAGAGGGAGGCCGGCTGACGGAGCAAACAGACGGCAGCAATTCTAAGATAGGGTAGATTAACGGGCAGTCAGAGAATATAACCAAGAACGAAACACTGCAGATCAAACCTCCATTTGTGCTGCCACGTTGCTGAATGAGCAGGATTGGAGTTTGAAGAAGGAAGACGTTGGCGATACTACATAGCGCCGCTTAGTACTGCTAGGACGAAAACTTTCAGGACGTTCTTCCTGGAAAGTAGAGGAGCCGATCAACTCTTGAAAGTTGCCTGAATCCTTTGATTGACGATAGCGGCTCACTTTCGCAGCACAACAGCGTGTCTTAGAATCAACCGCAAGCGGTTGCATGATGGCGGGGTCTGGGTCATCGTTTGGGTATTTTCTGACATGGTCGCGATACATGGCTGCCAAAGTGAAGGAGGTGGTCGCCTTGCATGGGAAGGTAAGCTGCTGCCTTGGCTCCGCTCAACACGAGACTGATCCCGGTCCCATCGAATGAAACAAGAATCTAACGACGCTTCTGAGTTTCAATGGTCCAAAGTTTTTGGAAGCGAGTGCGTCATCTAGCACTTACTTTCGGTTCGCTGATGGATGCAGAAATGCTTCATTGGTTTGCATACGCTGGTCGATTGAATGATTGAATACATCACTCTCATGTTTTTCCGTCATGCCCGCCCCTCATGAACCTTATTTGAAGTGTCGACAAGGTTCGCAATCGATGTGGCGGTGCTCCCTTCGTGATATTTATTCATGACATAGTTGACATATTTACAAAACATAAGCCGTTCAAACTGGTTGTAAGGATTATGCTGTGCTGTGCTAGCCTGCGGCGAGGGGTGGTGTTCAATTGTGCGTAGGAATATAAACTAGGCTATTCTTCACAAAAAGCTTTTGGAGAAGGGTATTGATTGGAACGTTGGCTCCAGTTGCTGTAATTTGGGGAATGCATCGGGTCTCAAGGGTCAATGATTGTCGTTGAAATGGTTGGGTTTCGTTTTAGGGTTTCCTGGCTGGTCAGTGCCCCATTGTTCCTGAACGATGTCAGCAAGCGCTCCGATAGCTACCTCACGATAGAGAACTGTTTATCCTGATTTGTTGCCATCATTTCTTGATTGCTCAGACTTGTCCGGTTCAAAAGTTCAATCAATTGAGCCTTTGGTGGACTAAGATCGACTGTTTGTCCATGCTGATGTTAGGGGCAGCCTCGGTGAGCTGCGGGTGCCGTAATTTCTATGCTAATCAGACTCTATTCTCTGATCGGTGTTTCTGGTTCTTAATAAGAGTTGATTACTTAGATCTGAGAGGAGGCAGCCGTCGATATATACCACTTTCCAAGTAGCTCTCGAGTCCACATTCGCTGGGGGTTTGCTTGTCCAATACAAGGTCACACCTCCCTAGATCTGGTTCGTAATCTTCGTGCCGCCTTTTCAAGTTCTCTTTGCTAGAGAAAGATACGTAGTACAGTTGAGATGGATGGATTTCAGGGGAAGAGAACTGAGATTGTTAGCATGCGGGCAGAGCCAGGTAACAGCAGTCGTTCTGAAAACCGCAGTGCGAAGCACAATCACCTCAGTCCAGTGATTTCTTCTTGAAATCGCCCCTGCCTCATTTGACTGATTCATGCAAGGACCCTGGAGTTAGTTCCTGAAACATCCACGTCCACAAGCACAGTCACAGCAAGAGCGCCGACTCACATAGTCATTTCATATCATCGCCATCGATGAGAAGTCGATTCAAACCGTTCCTCAACGAAACTCCTCTTCCATTTTGCCAGAGCTACGTTGACGGCAAGATGGACCAGAGGGAGATGTACAAGACCATACGGAGTCACCTGTTGCGACGGGCAACGTTTATGACGGGAGTCAAAGGGGAAGCCATGGCACCGACGTTCAATACGGGGATGGACGGAAAGGTTGGGGAGACGCTGCTCATCCGGTCACTGTACGAACCAAGCATCAGGCAAGTGCCTCTCTCTCTCGGGGTTTGAATGTATCGCTCAAGCAACTCTTATTCTCGATCGAATATTATCGAGGATATCTCCCAATAACTCCGTCTTCTCTTGCTTTGACATAAGAATGGGCGATGGGACTGCTTTCGAGGAAAGTCTTTTCTTTATCGTCGTCGAAGGTAGCAGTTCTCCACATTCGCGCTTCTATTGTCCGTGGATTGCCGCGATGAATTCTGGATCATGCCGAGGTCAGCTCTGGTCACGTGGTAGATACGTCGACCTTTTTATCGTGTTTGGCTACTCGACCCGCTTTCAGAAAAGTTTCCCGTTCATTCGAACACATTTTCAAGGTCGCAACTTGTGGTCCAGCCGCTCTGATTGTAGTCGTCTTTGACAACGGAGCTCTCTCGAAAAGTTTCAAAGAGTCAACACGGACCTATCTCAGAATTTATCTCGAGGTCGGCATGGGTCGACGACGTTGTGTTGTTCTCATTGTAGTCGTTCTTGTCAAAGTAGCTTTTCGCTAATTCTGACAAACGTCCGTCGTCCTATCTTCGTGGTTTCTAGGGAGTTTTTAGAGATTCGATTTCTATCCACAGGTCGGTATGGGTCGACGACGTCGTATTACTCCGGCACCCAAACGACAGCAAGCAGTCGCTCGTGCGCAGAGTTGCGGCGCTCGAAGGAGACGAGATGCTTTCAAACGATCCTGAAGACAAACCGTTCCGGATAGAGCCCAACAGCTGCTGGGTGTTAGCGGACAACCAGGAGACGAAACCCCCGGTTAGTTGCTATCGCCGAGCCTGATGTCCTAGTCGTGGTTCTGACATGAGTCGCCATATGTACTTTTGGATTCATGGACATCATGGCATAAAGTGGGATCTGCTTGGATACTCACTGGAGTCGCGAAGGGCCGACTTGCTTGACTGCGTGCCCATGCGGTCACACGAAAATTGTCGTACGTGTCAACTTTGACGGATGAGGAGTGGAGGACTACATAAGTGGCAGAACTGGAAAGCTGGATTCATTTTGGCAGTCCCGTTCATAAGGAACAGGTACCGCTTACTCGAGCCTCTTCATTGGCCGCTGCCGCAACGTTGGCAGTTGTTGGTTAGAGAGTTGCGGATTCCGGTGCCGAATTCGGAGCAAGTGTGTAAAGCCGGAGCTCGTCTGAACACCTCCGAAACATAACGGGCAGTAGATACACCTCCTCGAAGGGTGCCCTCTCTGTTGCACGAGGAGTTGATTGGCCACTCTTTGCAGATCCCGCTTCTTGCCTGAAATAGTTGTTTGGGTTGGGTCTTGGACCGTTTTGGAGATTGAATTTTGCATTTTCTGATGACTGGGTGAAGAACGCCGTCACTGCGACAGCATTTCCTATCCACTTCAGGTTTCGTTTACCTCGTTCTGAAGTTGATGCGGAGAAGAGTCTGGAGACCCACGTACTTGGACCATAACCGTGCTTGTGCCCGCTTTGTGCACCGCAGGAAGTGGAAGACAGCCGGACGTTCGGCCCGCTCGCGCTTCGGAACATCGTGGGGAGGGCCATCTACTCGATGACGTCACCATCTGACCACGGGGTTGTCAGGAACAGGTAGGAGTTCCCATCTTTTTGTTGTGTGCGGGACGTCGGGGCGTCCATTCATTTCGGCGGGATTAGCGTTTTGCCCTGAAATTTTTAAGAGTTTGGTATGCGCCCCGCAGCGCCCCTCTATTCGCTCACAGGCCAAGCAACCGAACCGAAGGGCCATCCACGCTTCCGTAATGAGGGAGGAAGTCGGAGGCGATTGATGCCATGTTGCGACATTCGGAAGGTCGTCTGGAGCGCCTCATCGAAGCCGAGCCTTTGAAGCGTCTTCTCTGAAGGATTGCGAACTCTGTTTTGGATTGTTGCGATTACTTCCGTCCAAGCAAGAATCTTGGAAGTCGATGGATATGCGTTGGAGAGGCGGATGCGTTGGTGCAAGTTCAAAGCAAGATGAGTCCAAGATCAAAGCTTCCGTCCGTGCTCCGTAACTGTTTGTGCGAGCCCCTTCAAAGCGAGCACCAGGTGCGACGAGTATTGATGAAGGCGGGAAAGAACGATCAGATCGGCTTGAGTTCAGAGACCCGTACTAGAAGCAGATTCGGACAGAATTGGTGGAACTACGCGTGTTTTTGAACACGGCTTTCCGCCGTGTTGTGCCCTATCAACCGTAATAAGTTTTAGTTCCCATCTTGTAGCAAGTTCCATCTTCTCCAATCACCTCTCAGCTCGTTAACGAATACCATCCTTCTGCTGATCCGTTCTTTTCTTTTGTACTGAGTTCAAGTGATTATCCACGCCTGTGACCTTGCTTCGCGTGACCTTTTCGTCTCTTCTAAGAAAAAGGTCAAGTAACTCTTAGACCTCTTTTTGAGAAGACGGCGTGGTAAGCTTTGGCTCACGGTTGGCTGCTCTCTTTCCAGCGACCAAGCAATGGCGGCAGACGCTCCGGTCCTGGCGTTTGAGTTGGACCTAGAAGAGATGGGCGATCGAGCGGGGAAGAACGGATAGATCCATAGGGTTTCTCTTCGAGGTATGGCGAAGGCAAGTCACAGGTGACAGTTGTAGATACGTAGGAAAGGTGTCGGAAGGAGGAGGTGGGTATTTTTAGCTTCGGGTTAGTCGCGTCATTTTACCGGGCTTGGAGCTCCTGAGCTTGGATCCGAGGTATGTTACCGTACTGCTTTGCAGTCAGCCCATAGAATGAGGTGCGTGCAGCTTGATAATGAATAACCCAGGACACGTGTGTTCAAGGATCGAACCGTATTTGCAGCAATCGCTTGGCCGGCTTACTTGGTACTTTAACGTGGCTGTTGCACGTCCACAAGCAGATCTTGAGGTCGAACTTTTACATGCCGTTCTTACTTCCTCCCTTTGTTCGATCAGGACACAAGTTAGGTTTCTCATCCATGCATGGGAAACAGCGCGCTTCAGGGTCAATTCTATGCATAAGATCGGGCCGCATGCATGTCCTTTACACAGTTCGTCAGAGACACGCATATGGTGACATATAAGTTGATGACATGCAAGCTACTGCTACTATCTCGATGACTTTCTGAAATGTAGGTCGGACTTTGATTTTACATGCATACGCGTGGCCACATACATATCGACGATCCGATCGGAGATCAATCGACAATCGACAGTCAGTCGACAATCACTAATTGGTGCATGTTCAAAAGGTTTTCAACAGCTATAGACTCTGGCTATGGACTAAGGATCATCCGATCGGAGATGGTCGACTGCACAGTATAATGATATATTGGCGCCGGCGCGCCCCTCGGCGGTTAACGACGGCCCTAAATTTATGCCGATGTGCAGCGAGGCATATTCAAACATATATCTCTGCATATCAAGAAGCTCGCCGGGGCCCTCATAAGGACTCAGGAAAGCTGCCGCAGCACGTTCAGTGTAGTACCGTACCGGCCAGCGCGCGCGGGCCCGGCGGCACGTACTTAGTGAGGCTGAATTGATAGTGCGATATCCAGCCTATTGACGCATGCTGAAACCGTCCAAGAATGTGAATCTTCTGGCGTGCAATCCCTTGAAGCCCATTGAACCGTGGATGCGACTTCTAGAGTCTCTGCCATCGAACTCGATCAATCCCGCAATGTGCCGAAAAGTTCTCGGGCACCAACAGAGCCTGCTTTCAATCCTGGTCCTAATGCCGCAAAAGCGCAGCAGCTCAGCATAAATTAGAGGTCCCCTTTCGATGACCTGGACGTACACCTGAACCTGTGCTATAGTAGCCTAGCATTAAGCTTCATTGATTAGTAGAATCAGTGGCAGTCCTGTTGTTACGGGCTTTTGAACACATGCAATCCGGCAGGGGGTTTGCAAATAGTGCCTCCGACCAACTTCTATCCTGCCGCCTCATTGGCGCCCCATCGCCCGCCTCCATATACGTCCACCCTCTCATCTCGTGGCTAAAGAACTCCCAAGTGTTGTTACCCAAGCTCAATGACCCCATGTCCGACCCTCCGAACTTGTTAAACCCAAAAGCGGGTGCTTTCATTGTCTTCTTATGCCCTAACCACTTTCGGTGCCCTTGCACTATCTCCCCCATCATCCCCTCAAACGTCAGCGCCGTCACATCCGCGTTTACCAACACGTGCATGTCAACGGCCGCACGTATATTACTCTTCCCGCGCATGTACGCGGCCTCTTTACTAGTCACGAGCATGTCCTTCGTAAACACATGCGGAAACATCGCATAGAACGGCGCCATTGCGCGCTTCTCGTCGTATAACTTACCCGCGGCCATATATATCCGCGTGCTGCTATCAAATCCTAACCCCTGGAGCCACGTGCCGATCTCCTCCGGCGACGGCGGGCATTTCCCGTGATCCCGCAATTCGAAGTCCGACTTGGTCGGAACCGGCCATTCCCGCTTCCGCCGCATTTCCGCCCACCGCTCTTGTTCCTCCACGCCCCCCCAGTAGACGCAACCCGAGTGCGCCAGCATGTCTTCTTCGAACCGCAGATGCACCGCCAGAAAGGGTCCCCGAGCGCGCTGCCGCATGCGCTTCAGGAGGTTGTTGCCAAGATCCAAAATTGGGTCCGAAAACCTGTCACGATAAAGATCCTGAGTTACTGTATTTACGGTCGCACCTTGAATGCGAGTCATCTTAGTCTCCTCACAGTTGCCGGGCCATTGTCCTGTACTCCTTGTGCCAAGCGTTGCGCTCCATTGACTGACGCTAACAAGGAACAAGCTGAAGTCTTTGATACGTCAGCACTGCAGCAATCTTCAATCGCCCCTCCTTTCCGGACCGATTGTCATGAGAAACTTAAACGGACCCAGATATCTGTCTTGCAAAATCTGATGAAAGTACAAATCAGGACGTCGCTTCAAGTACGTTGTTCCTCAATTTGGCATTTGGTTCGACCGGAGCCGCCAAAGTGACTGAATGGTCGACTAGACTTTCAGATCTGGACGTTCGACCCGAGATTCCACGGAATCCTTTGCCTTTTGCAGCAATCTCTAGTTTTCAAGTTGCAGTGGACGCAGGAACTTGAGAAAAGGTTACTGATGTTGATACAGAAGCCAGCGCCCGGAGAACAGCTCCAGTCACATCCCTGATTGTCGATTTTCAGTGCTCACAGCCAGATAATTAGAAAGAGATTGCGGGGTAAAGCAGAAGGGAATCACAAGCTCAAATGACAGCTCCAGCAAATCGTTGCTATTTCACAAGCGCATTCGGGGGGTAAAGCAGACCGGAATCAACAAGCATTTTCTCACCTGAGCGCCTCAAACTTTGCGCGGCATGCGAGCTTGAGCTGCTCCGCAGAGAGCGTGTCGTCATCGAGCGACTGCCACATGCTCACGAACTGGACCACGGTGTTGTTCTGCAACCAGGGGCGGACACGTGTCACAATCTACTTTGCCCCAGTCGCGCGAGGAGTTCCTTGACTACGGAGACCGCATGGGGCGAAACTACTAGGGGATTCTTTTGGGACACCAAGCATGTTTTGCGAATCGGGGCTTCTTTGCAGAGACTGCGTGTGGCAACACTTCAAGGGGGGATTCGGACCCCCAAACACTGTTCGCGAAGTGGATTTCTCGGACATCCTGACTGCAAGGACAATACCTGAGTAGTTCGGCAGGACGCCCGGCCGAGGACCGACTCCTTTTTAAAATCACAGAGAAGAGCAGAAAGCAACTCGAGTCAATCCTTGTTCGGAGCTGCAAAGATGCTACATCGGAATAATGGAGCGACGTCCCGTCTGAATACGATAAGCGTCGAAGATCAGAGTCGCAAGCAAGGATGTATACGTGTTCGACCAGCTCCAGAATCGACAGGCATGCCGCAAATCCAGAAGGCCGCCCCCAAGAAAGCAAAGAATTATCTGAACAATGTCGTACCGAAACTGTTGCGGTAGCCGCAAAAGTGTCAACGGTGTCATGCGAAAAGGGATAAGCCGCCCTTCTTAACTTTCCACAGATTGGCACCCCAAGAGCGTCCGGTCGTAGATCTGCCCAAAGGCCTGACAGGGAGATTGGAAGGACGTCCCTTTACTTCCAAAAATACCTTTTAGATGCGGGATGGCCACTTCTAAAAGTTCCGCTTCGTAGAAGTACCCACAAGCTCACCTACAAAAGAGGAAGGGCATCCGTGCAGAAGTATCAAGCTCTTCTCACCGACACTCACCTACACAGTATGTACCTTAAACGGAACAAGCTTCTGCTTCGCAGCACAACCTACAGGCTCACCTGAAAAAGCGGAAGGGCGTCCCGCAGGTACACCTCGGGCGCGCCTTTCCAGACGCCCCAGAAGTCACGGTACCACGTCGTCTCGGCGTCTTGGAGTTCCGGCGGTAATTCCGTCACGTTGACGGTCAGGATGTCGTCTCTCAGCGTTTCCACGAAGTGAGAGATGTTGAAAATGGCCTCGAATGGACTGCAAAAGAGAAGGGTGACAATGGGAAGCGGGACGTTCCAAAACAATGGTTCTACGAGTCCGGGACCACTTCAATTTGTGTTGGAGAGCAATCACGGTGTCGTCCTAGCTCGCACAATCTAGGAAATGATTAATGTGGCTTTTGAATTGAAATGTTTCTGAGAAGGCTTTTGGGAACTGGCAGTTGGGCATAGCAGCGGTCACACTGCTGTCGTCTTAGAATCGTCTTACGAGGTCGGAGACGATCGATGTGGCTTCCAACGGCAGCAAGAAGTAAAAGAAGAAACAGCAGAAACAGATTCTTTTCGGGGATACATCGGCTGCATCTGAATCATTGGAAGTAAGAAGAGAAGACTCATCTGGAGCGTATGCTCCCAGGAATGACGGTCACGAAATCGTCTTGCACAGTGTTCATGGCGGAAAGTAGAATTGCTGCGGGCTTACGTGGATGACAGACCGGAAAATGAACAAGTAGTATGGCTCGAGTCGGGGAGGATTGGAACCGACTACGATGATGTTATCCTCTGAGAGAGCTACAGTTGACAAACGTCGAAGACGTCCTCACAGGCTGCCAGAAAGCAGACGGGACGATAAAAACGTGCATTCTTCGCCATAAGCTTAAGGCCGGAATCTTTCATCTTGATCAGCGAACAGACTGACCGACGGTCCAAGAAGCGACGGTTCAAGAGCTGCGTCCGGTGATAGAAAAAGTGGACTCCAATTAACGCAAGAGATCGTGGACAAATATTGAAGGGGATCAGGCGACATGGCTTGACAGGCTCGGGCCTGATATCAAAGTGGATGCTCGATGAAATGAAAAGTGACGAAACGGAATACGACTTGAAAGGAGGGCAGCGAATGTTTGGAGGCCCGCAGTGGACTACAGTGGGTCTAAGTCCTTCTAAGAATCTTCCTGATGGATCACTCCGGATGTTCGGTCGACTTCGGAGCAGGGAATGGGGAGTGTGAGCAGAAGGGTTGACCAACCATCCAGGGGGGCCTTTTCCTTATGACACTCGGACAACCAAAGCGCATATCAGTGCAGAAAGGGTCTGGAGAAGGAATCATTCGCCTTACGTGGGGTCTTTCCAGTAGGGATCGACAGTCAGCGAAGGTAGTATCATGGTCACGTTGAGCAGCCGCGCTAGGACAACCCCGTAGCACAGCTCCCAAGCTTGTTGGCCTAGTCCCCCGTCCAGGTAAAAGGAGGCATACTTCCCCATGTGAACGGGCTCTGCAGTGACAAGCGAGAGGGTGTGAACAGGCCCTGCGGTTAAAGGCAACAGGGTCTGAGTGGAGGAGAATCACTGTGTACTGAAGCTCTTGTTTTAAGGAAGAGGACTGAGACAAACTCTTTTGATACAAGGGGGTGACAAAGATATGATAAAGGGGACGGGTGTTGTTGACGTCGTCGGAAGGTGGCGCCACAAGAAAGTGTCGCATCACATGCTTCAAGACAAACGGATCAGTGGACGCATCATTGGTCCCTACATCCCAAAGGGCTTCCAATTGCCAGGGGGCCAAACAAGGCCTCATAAGGATCTGAACAATTGCTCCATTGAATCAGCTGAAACCAACTTGAGGAAAAACTGCACCTTGCCTTGTCTTGGAAACATTACAAGGTTTTCCCAGACATCTGACTGGTCAAGGGCTACCACCACTGTTCAAAGAAGGAGCAATTGGGAGTTATGGCTGGAGCACCAAGTGAAACTCCGTCGTCAAACTTGAACTTTCGGGGCAGTTGTTGTTCTATATGTCGGCACCAACGATTCAAGGTCTTCCACCACTTTCAGAAGGAAGCGCAACGTGAACAGTTCGGCGAGCTGCGCGGTAGTGTGTAAGTGGTAGCCTCCAATCGGATGAGGGCTTCTCCATTCCAAAAGTGCATGATCCCACGCCCGAAAAATGCAGCCGAAGAAGTGAAGGCAGGATGAAAGAGAATGCCTCATAACCCGATGGGTGCTATGCTAATTTGAAAGAAAGGTCGAATCTTAATTCAATTATCCCTGCATTTAGTGACCGCAGTTGAACAAACCACTTGAGAAAGGCCTCCCTGAACTGTAATCACGGCCAGGAGAGACTTGCCACTCACTGCGGTACCCGGGATCCCTTTCAAGGCAAGGCACCCATCCCTCCTCATTGATAGGATCATCCCACAGGTCTGGCGGCGACACTATTCTCCTGTCTGCATACTTCTGACGCTGCAGATAGCGCGGCGCCTCAAGGAACCGCTTCAAAAGCGCGGCCTCCCATTGCCACAGGAATGCGGAGAGGAGCAGCAGAGCTATGACCACTCCAATTGCAATCCTAACTTTTCTCTGAGGGGTTTTGTGAGCCTGGGCTTGCTGGAAGGGCCTGGGTTTGCCAGGGGGAGTGGCAAGCAGGCCGGGCCGAGTAATGGATGGAACCATCATCTCATCTGAATTATGCTGGCGCAGAATAGGGGATCAACAAGTTTGCTATATGTGGTCCAGCTCTTGTGCAGCGTCTGGCATGATAAAGTTCCTGTTTGATTCTAGCTCTTGAAAACTTCGCCATTTTGTTGAGGGTCTAGTTCAAAAACATGTCGTCATCGTATCCATCTGCCCCGTCCACATAGAAGGGGACTTGCTCCTTGGAGGCCTATGTGTAGGACGAGAAGCAGCTCTTATTATTGTATGCTGCTACTCCATCAAGTGCCTTGCGCTACGCCTGCGCTTTCGCAGCTTTCGCAGCTTTCAAAAGTTTTTCACAACTGATGCAGTAGAACAAGCATGACCGAAGAGAACTTCTGGCGTCGCAGCTGCAAGATTTGAACCCGCGACATGTCGAGATGATGGTGGTATGATTCTCTATGGGCCAAAAGTTCCCAACGAAGGTGCCTCCGATGACTCCGATCTCCCCGCAAGCGAACAACTAACCAAGTGATTGTTGGCATAAAATGGGCCAACCGCGGCGCGCCACGTGTCCCCTTGCCGCGAGCAACCGCCTGATGGCCGTATCGGCCAAGGGGTCCGCCGAGTTTAACCGCTTTTGGGTTTGGATCCTAGGCACTGGCCCCGGCAACC